ACCAGAGGGCCCAGCGTTCGGCGTGAAGAAGTCTGCGGCACCCGAGTCTGCACCCGTCTTGGCGTTTGCTCTGAAAGACTGCCCCAGAGCCAGCACCGGCACCCGTCGCTGCTGCTGCTGCTCCCCCGCCGCCGCCACCAGTCGCCGCCCAGCCTCCGCCACCGCCGCCGCCAGTCGCTGCGGCCGCCGCACCTCCGCCGCCCCCTCCGGCTGCCGCGGTGAAGAAGTTTGGTGCTACTCCTGCTGCTCCCGCACCTCCTCGTGCTGCTGCTGCGCCTGTTGCTCCTCGTGCTGCTGCTGCTGCTGCTCCCGCACCTCCGCCTGCTGCTGCTGCCGCGCCTGCGGCTCCTGCCGATCCTTCGCTTCCAGCTTGGAAGGCGGCACTCAACGCCAAGAAGGAATCAGAGGCCAAGGCCAAGGCTGAGGCCGAGGCGAAGGCCAATCAGCCCGTTGAAGATCCCAAGCTTGCTGGTCTGCCTGACTGGAAGAAGAACATTATCAAAAAGAAGGACGCAGATGCTCTGGCCGCCAAAGGACCCGAAATGGAAAAGGCTCGACAGGAGGCCGAGCGACAGGCCAAACTGGCTGCAATGCCCGAATGGAAACGAAAGCTGGTCGAAAACAAGTAATTATTGTTTTTGCGTGCACTCGGGTTATGGTGGTTTGTTGTTTGTTTACAAAATGCGCTGCTTGCTTTGCTTTCTTCCCCGCTTCTCTCTCTCTCTCTCTCTCTCTCTCTTTCTCTCTCTCCCCTCCACTTGCCACTTTAACCCTGTTATTGTTTTTGTTGCTACCACTGTTTTTTGAAATACATGGTATTTTCATCGTTGCTACAAGAATCCCCGAGTACAATTGGATTGGCAACAACAAACTATCTAAATCGACTGTACAGAGCGTTGTCAACAAAGCGGGGTCCAAAGCGGAAACGCAAACAACTGATCATTGGAAGCAACAATCAGCACAGCGTGGGCTTGTGAAAACCACACCTGAGTGACCAAGCCGTGAGGGACGGACAAAACGGCAATGATTGATCCCGCTTGAAAGTCGTACACATGAACAAATGCGCCAGATACGACGCAAAGAAACGGCGGACAGCATCGAACGATCGAGATTGGGTGCTTGTGCCGAATAACGAGTCGGGGTGTGAGGGATGGGAGGCGATAAACAACCACCAAGTTGTCTGGAAACCGGACGGCCATTTCATCCTCGAAAAAGTCGACATAGCCGATAGGTGACCCGAGATATGCTGCGTGTATAAGCTCTGTACTCGCCGGATACGCCGGCCAAAACCGCACGACGCCATCTTTCGCCACCGTCACGCAAATGCAGCTCGAGTCGACCGTCGTCGTTGGCCAGTGTTCTGGACGATTGTTGCGATGGAGCATTGCGGGCGTGGTGCCAAGATCGACACCATGTTGCACGAAAGGCAGTGGCGGCTCGTTGTCTTCATCGAGTTTCGTGTCGGGCAAAGTCTGACGACTCTGTTGTTGTTGTCGCGCTAGCTGAAGTTCTGTCAGAGCATCTGAGCCTAGCTGCAGCAGTCGAATACCAAGCAAGACTGGCTGGCGATAAATTCCTGCACAAGTTTGGCCGGTTTTCAAGTTCCAGAAGAACACATTCCCAAGGTGAGCAGCGGTGGCCATCAAGCCATGCTTGGGCGAAAGATCAAAGGCAATCACTGCCGACGTGTGACCACGGTATAGAGCAGCAACGACACCAGACTCCAGCGAGACTGAACTGATTGTTGCGTCAAACGATGCCACGTAAACGTGTTGATTCTTTGGGTCGGTGTGCAGGCAGCTCACAGTGCTAGAGCTGATTCTAGAGATCATGGACAAAGAATTCAAGTCCCATACGCGCACCGATCTGTCCTGCGAGCCTGCAAATTCAAGGGTGAGTGAGCGAGAGAATGAACGGGTTTGTCACTAAAAAAAAAACCTCAAGCAGGGAACTCACCAGTCACAAAGCGATCTTGGCCAAGAGCCTCGATGGAAAGTATTCGAAGCTCGTGCCCACCGAATCGGATGAAGCGCTTTTGTGCGTGGTCAACACCATACCATTCCTGCGCTTTGCGAAAGCAGCCGTGCCATGTTCGATGCGCCAGAATGAACGCACGGCGACTCGCCGCTCGACAGATGCCATCCCGTGCTGTTTGCTCTTTATCGACTTCCTCGAGCATGCGTGCTTGGGCGTGAACAAGCGCCTGCGCGGGTTGGCTCAGTCCGTCGATGGCTCCGGTTTCTTGCGTTTCGAGCTTGAGAAGCTCTTGAATGTAGCCAGTAAATGCAAAATCCTTGCAAAAGCTTCGCCAGAGTCGATCGGCTCCCAAGATGAACGCTCGCCAACTGCGGCACACGAGCGAAGCCGAAGCGAGCGACGTCAAATCCAAGTGTGCGAAAACCAGCTCGGCCAACTCGTACGGCAGGTAACTAACAAAATCCAATCTGCAGGTTGTTTTTCAAGTTGTGCTTGTGTTAGTATGATCAGACGTAAATCTGGGACCTTGGGGGTGCAACAAACGGCAACGATTCGTGTCTGTCAAAGTACTTTTTCGAGTGCATCATCCCCGTCAACATCGCCAAAAGCGTACCTTGATTCGACAATCACAATGTTTGACAACTCGAACAGCGTCCTTGGCGTGCATACTGCGAGTAGCTGACGAAGGTAGTCCAATTGCTGCCTGGCATCCAACCTTGCGAATTGGCCAATGTGGCGGGCAGCGTCGTCCATCCCGAGCGGCTGCTGTCCGATGACTGCCGCGCCCAGCAGCGGAATGGAGCTCCGCGCTTGTGCTGGAGTCCCAGGAGTGCTCTGCCCTGACGCGGACGGCTCGACCATGGCAAGCCAAAGAACAACGCACGCCGTCTAGAAAACTCTGAAACTGGCTCAAAATTTGTAGGACTAGCTGGCCGGATTAGAAACTGGTATCGTTGTGATTTAGTGATGAGACTGTGATCATCACCAATTCCAACGGATACTTGAAAATCTGAGCCAATTTCCCATCATCCTAACATAAACAGGTCATTCTTCATTTGACTGTAGATCATCATCACCCATGGTGGACGACGCGACGAAGAGCACGCTTGCGAAAATCCCGCTGCTCAAGACGCGCGCTGGGCCACGCGACGGCGACGCGTGGATTCTGCGACTGAAGGAAGAGTACGCGGCGCTGATCAAGTACGTGCAGAACAACAAGGAGGCCGACAACGACTGGTTCCGCCTCGAGTCGAACAAGGACGGCACTCGGTAAGAAAAGCAGCAGGGGCGACTTTTGGGGGAGCTCAGCTCGGCTCAGCTCAGCTCGGTTCGGCAGCTCAGAACGACTGCATTGAGGCAGAGGTTGAGAAATGCTGACAGTGTGGAGTGGAGACGCGGGAGAGCCATGGCGAGGCTCAATGCTCAAATGTGAACCGTATCAAAACCTCCGCTTGGGCTAACTGTCAATGCACCTTGTTTCGTTGTCTCTGTTAGGTGGTTTGGAAAGTGCTGGTTTGTGCACGATCTGCTCAAGTACGAGTTTGACGTCGAGTTTGACGTAAGTGGAAGCGATTGGTTTTGGTATAGCAGCTATCAATCCCGAGCTCATGAAGGCCGGGTCCCGTGTCTGTGTGTATGTGTCTGTGCATGTAGATTCCCGTAACATACCCTGAGACGGCCCCAGAGCTGGCATTGCCCGAGTTGGACGGCAAGACGGCCAAGATGTACCGGTAAAGCTTTCATTTGACTCATTTCTGATGCCTCCACGAGTCTGGTTCCATTTCATGTTTGGAGAGATTTGTCTCTAGTTTCTTTGTGTGAATCGGAGAGCAATCTGCTGAATGCCGATTCCCTTGTGCTCACAATTTTCATTTTTCGTGCTGCACAGTGAGGGAAAGATCTGCTTGACCGACCATTTCAAGCCGCTCTGGGCGAGAAACGTACCCCGTTTCGGCATTGCACATGCACTGGCTCTTGGCGTGAGTGTGACCGACGGCAGGATGAAGGGGAGGGGGTTTGTCTGTGTTTTCTGTAGGCTCAAAAACTGATCCTTGTTTTGTTGTTTTGTTTTTGTTCTGCATCTCAGCTCGGTCCTTGGCTTGCCGTCGAAATTCCCGACCTCGTCGAGAAGAAGTTGATTGTGTATAACGAGCCGAAGGCATCCAGCTCTGCCGCCAGCGGGTCCGGTCAATGAAATCGAGTTCCAGTCAAAAACAAAGCATCGTCCAGTTGGTGTGTTTGATTTGATTGCTTGCTGGTGTATTGATACAAAACAACAAACATCAATGATACAAATCAACCCTGAGAACTGACTATTAACATTGCATTTTTTGCCATGACACTCGCTGATCTACGAATCAACCATCCTTGATTTGATCCCCATTTTGGTTTTTTTGGGGGCGGTTCTTTATCGAGAGAGCAAAAATAGCAGAAAGGTGCCTGAACACTTGAAGAGTCGTGGACACGCAGAACCCTTCAAGAAGCGCTCCGGAAGAAGGAAGAAATGGCCTTCTGGCCTTTCATTGGGGATGCGGCTGCCTTGCCAGATTTGACTGACGCATGGCTCGATGGAGCTGATGGCTTTGCTGCAGCTGGTGCAGCTGGTGCTGTTGTTGTTGCTGCTGGAGCTGGCGCAGAGTCCAGCTTGACACGCTTCACATCCGCGACAGGCGACGAGATAATCTCAATCGAATCATCGTCGTTCGGCGGTGCCGCGTCAGTCGGAAGAGCGGCAGCCTCGACCGTACTCACGTTATCGCTGTCATCCTGCTCAGATTCATTGTGCGAGCGCTTGACACCTTGGGAGGGAACTTGTGAACGAGGCACAGCAGCGTCAGGCTTGGCGCTGCTGCTGCTGCTGCTGCCAGCTTGCGATTTTCCAAACATGGACATCAGCGTACCGCGGTCGGCAGAGCGTTCTGACTTCCAGTTGTACACCAGATCTGGAACAAGCTCGGTGAGGCGTTTGGCGTTTGTCATTGACTGGTTTTCGTAGTTTGTGTTCCACAAAAAGTAGATTGGTCCAGTGGCTTGCTCGTGGAGGTGCTTGACACGCTGGGCCCAGCGTTGGAGCTCGCCAGGACCAAGCAAACGGTCGGTGCCTTCTCGTCGATGAATGCGGACATAAATCAGACTTGGCACGGGAACGTGCAGGCCGAGCGACACCCGTCCAGGGCGATCTGGTTCGGTGATGGGTGGATTTGCAGTGCTCGAGCCAGCACCAGAAGGCTGCACGGACGAGGTTGCTGCTGTTGCTCCTGCTGCGCTGCTGCTGGGGCCGCTGGAACCTTCAGAGCTCCACGGCGGCCGAGCCACAGCGCCAACAGGCGCCAGCTCGGACTCCAGCTCGTCCACAAGAATCAATGGCAGGTCGTTGGCCTTCATAAAGTCCATTGTATCCTGGACCTGCTCTGCCGCAAACCACGCACGGGAGCGAAACTCGAACGCGAGCTTGTATTTCGGATCGAGGCGCGAGCGGATGTCGAGCAACTGCCGCTTACTCTCCGCCGACGGGTGGAAATTTGTTCGAAATTGAAAGACGATGACGCCTGTTGTTGAGGGGTTGGGGGCGTAGGGGGGGTGGGGTGAGCTATGCAGCTGGTCAACTCAATCTGCTCGAAAATTGAACAGACAAAACTCACCCAGCTTGCCAGCATCGTGCGCCGGCTTCAGACAAGTGTTCCAGTGCTCCCAAAGCAGGGACATTTGCATGTCGGACAGATCGGTGCGCGAGACTGTTTCGCGACGCTTGAGGTGATCGGAGAGGGTTTCTTTGACCAGGTAGGGCAGCGCGTTGGGCGGGCAGCTGGACAGGGCGAAGATCTGGAAGGCCTTAAAGTGGATGAGAAAGCCCTTGGGAACAGCATCGACCCATGCCTTGACCTTGGCCTCGCTCGGGATGGCGTAGTTGGACGAGTCGACCTCGACGCAGGGAAACGTCGAAGCGTAGAAGGCGAGTCGGTCGCGGTCTGTCTTGACGTTGCCCGGGTAGAACTTGTGGCATCGCACGAGCTGGCGTTTTGTTTGTCGAGCAAATGAAGGAGGGGAAGGGCAAGCGGGCGAGGGGCGGGAAGGGCAAGCGGAAGGCAAAGTCAAAAAGTTGCACGCAAAAGCACACTCAAACCCCAACCTCGATGATACGCACCGATTCGTCCGTCCACGAGCATGTTCCAAAGTGCAGCAACCCTGCCGTTGACGACGCCGATGACACACTTCCAGCCATGATCGACCAAAAACACAAAAAAAACAACCCAAAAGAAAGTGTGTTTCAAAAAAAAAGTTCTTGTTCTGTTTCACAAACGAAAACAGAAATGAAAAGTGAAACAGAATCCTAATCTGAAAGTTCAGTGTTCATATTCAAACACACCACTCGATGTTGATCAAAATCTCAGTCCTTCTTTTTTTGATCGCTTTTGTGGCGCGTTTTTGTGATGCAAGTCAACCGAGCACAAGCAGACTTTTTGATGAAGTCGACAATTTCCTAACTTTTAACCGCCTCGTTATCTTTCTCCTGTTTCTCTCTCAGGCAATACTCGCTCCAAGAGTCAGAGATTATCAAATCCTTGTTCAACGTTGGAACTCTGGTGACCGAAAAGGCCAATCCGTCCTTGATTTTGGACGAGCTCCGTGGCACCATGAACCTCGTTCGAGATCTTGCAGACAGGCAGCTTCCGCAGCTTCCTAGAGATGACCTCCTCGTGCGATTGCTCCACACAAAGTTCCCTCCAACGCGTGATGAGGTGTCTCGGTACTGCACGGCGTACACACAGCTGCAGCGCGACTGTTACACCGGGAAGGTTGCTCGTTGTGCGCTCGAATCGCTCGAAGAGTACCACTGGACGATTGCCGTTCCTGAGTTCGACAAGTTCGAGGCCGAGGACTGTGCAAACAGAGTTGAGGACTCTGCGGGTCCAGTTTTCCATCCGTAATGCCGCCTTCTGCTCAAGAGGTTTACTTTTGTGGCATTTGCGCGGCGACAGGTCGCCTGGAGAGCATGCCCCGATGCGCAGTCGGGTTTACTTTTCACTCGAGGCGCGCCGGTTTAGCAGCCTCGGCCACGTCTTTTGGCAGCTTTTTGGAGCAATTTCTTCGATGGTGGCACTCGCGCCAAGGCAAACCCGCAGTCGACGTGGTTGGCTCCACGGCGAACAACAAGGGGCTTTTCGTTGGATTGTCTCAATACATGGCAGCGTTTCTTTGTTGGATTGCCTCTTGCTCCACCTTCGGTTTGGTGTTTATTGTAGGATTTCCACCTTCGGTTTGGTGTTTATTGTAGGATTTCAAAACATGGGAGCGTTTTCTTTGTTGGACGGCATTTTCTCCGTTGTTTGCTCTCTGATCACCAACCGCCCCCTCGCCCCCAGATTGACATTTGATATGAACATTTATATCCAGTTTTGATCATGCTTCTGCACACTTCGATATATCGTAATTTGTTAGGGGTGGATTACTCGTGTGCTGTGAAGCAAGGTGTTTCGAACTGGGCAACGGTCTTCCCTCAACTCTTCACGATATTCATCAGTGGACGAAACTTTCGCATTCATTTTATCGTTTCAATAGTGAATCCAGGTTCAGTTAGGGGTAAGGTTGAAGCACACGGTCAAACCTTTCTCGTCTTTTCACACAAAATCCAAAGCCTGTCAATTTTTCCCGTCACTGTTGCTCACCGACTATGAAACACGAAAATGCTCGACACGGATTTACAAAGTAAAAACAAATGGGTCGCTTCTGGATTGACTGACAGTTTTAGCAGATAGGTCGCTTTGGGATTGACTGCCAGTCTTTTGTTTGTTTAGCTGTGTTGATTTCAAAGATCTTCCAAAATGCTGTATCAGTATATGAATCAGAAACAGCGCGAGTTGTATGATCAAGTCAAGAATGCGAGTGAAGGGCTCAGGTAAGAGAAAAGCCCGAGTTGATTTGGAACACAGTGTTGACTGTGCTGACGAGAATGGAGGGAACAGTCTGAGTGGGAAACAGATTGGCGATGCTGAAGCGCAGGCGATTGCTGAGGCACTCAAAGTGAACAAGACACTGCACAAGCTCAAGTAAGTCACTTCACTTGGACTGATGCATGTGAATGTTCTTCACTGTGCTCACTGATGGAGGAGATGGACAGTTTGGACCGCAATCAGATTGGCGCTGCTGGAGCACAAGCGATTGTCCAAGTGAACACGGCGGTGACTAAGCTCATGTAAGTCATCTCACTTCTAGTGATGCATGTGAATTGGTGATTCAGCTGAGGGAAAGTCCGGGTGCTCACTGATGGAGGGGACAGGCTGAACCAGAATCGGATTGGCGGTGCTGGAGCGCACGCCATTGCTGAGGCACTCAAGGTGAACACGACGCTGACTTGGCTCGAGTAAGGCATCTCACTCTTGCTGGTGCATGAAAGTGGGCGATTCAGAAGAGCGCCCATTGATGGAGGGGATGGAAAGTCTGTGGGTGAATCAGATTGGCGATGCTGGAGCATGGGCGATTGCTGAAGCACTCAAGGTGAACACGACGCTGACTTGGCTCGGGTAAGGCATATCACTTTGACTGATGCGTATGCAAGTGGGCGATTCAGAAGAGTGCTCACCGATGGATGGGGTGGACAGTCTGCACGCCAATCAGGTTGGCGAGGCTGGAGCAGGGGCGATTGCTGAAGCACTTAAGGTGAACACGACGCTGACTTCTCTCGGGTAAGGCATATCACTTTGACTGATGCGTATGCGAGTGGGCGATTCAGAAGAGTGCTCACCGATGGAGGGATGGACAGTCTGAACAAGAATCAGATTGGCGATGTTGGAGCAGGGGCGATTGCTGAGGCACTCAAAGTGAACAAGACGCTGATTAGGCTCGGGTAAGGCATATCACTTTGACTGATGCGTATGCAAGTGGGTGTTTCAGAAGAGTGCTCACCGATGGATGGGGTGGACAGTCTGCACGCCAATCAGGTTGGCGAGGCTGGAGCAGGGGCGATTGCTGAAGCACTTAAGGGGAACACGACGCTGACTTCTCTCGGGTAAGGCATATCACTTTGACTGATGCATGAGAGTGGGTGTTTCAGAAGAGTGCTCATTGATGGATGGGCAGATTGGAGTTCAATCAGATTGGCGATGCCGGAGCGTGCGCGATTGCTGCAGCACTCAAAGTGAACAAGACGTTAACTGCTCTCTTGTGAGTAATCTTACGAGTACTTGTACTGATACATGAAAGTGGGCGATTTAGCAAAGACATGCAGTGCTCACTGATGAAGGGGACGGACAGTTTGAATTCGAATCAGATTGGCGATGCTGGAGCGCAGGCGATTGCTGATGCACTCAAAGTGAACACGACGATGACTGGGCTCTAGTAAGACACCGCACTTCCCTGATGCATGTGAGTGGGTGAACCCGTAGAGGGCGTGAAGATTGCTCACTGGACGGACAGTTTGGAGAGGAATCAGATTGGCGGCGCTGGATCGCAGGCCTTTGCTGAGGCACTCAGAGTGAACAAGACGCTGATTAAGCTCAGGTAAGGCAGCTCGCTTTGACTGCTGCATGAGCGTGAGTGATTCCGTAGAGGGCGTGAAGAGTGCTCACTGATGGATGGGCAGATTGGAGTTCAATCAGATTGGCGATGCCGGAGCGTGCGCGATTGCTGAGGCACTCAAAGTGAACAAGACGGTGATGCTACTCGAGTAAGTTACTGTGCGCGCGTTGCTTGTCTCGCGCATTGAGCCTGGGTCATTGCTACGTTGTCATCCTGCTCACCCAATGTTTTGACAGTCTGACGTCTAATTGCATTGGCAATCTTGGTTCTCAAGCGATCGATGAGGCACGCAAAGGCAACTGCGGATGTGAGGTTGAGTAAGTTTGATCTTGCCAATCACAGATGTTGATGCTTAGACAATGTTCCTCCCACCGATGGAGTGGTCACTGACTGATCATGCCTCGCTTGCTCGTTTCACAGCCTCCGCGATCAGATCAACCCTCTTGCATTCTCCTTGCTTCCTCGATTGGCAACTGCTGAAAGTCTTCACAACGTATTTCACTTGCTGACCAGCGGGCTGGCGCTGGAGGATCAACCCACATCTCTACCAGCACTACCAAACGAGATTGCCGAGCTCATTATGGACGAAGCGCACTACTGGCAAGGCGTGCAGCAAACCAAGCGATCGGAGTTTGATGATGAGTTCCCCGCGTATCTTATTCTGAAAGTCACACTGCCTCAATGCGTCAATGGGAATTCAATCCGTATAAAAGCAATTCAAGTGCTTCGTGACACGAGAAACCGTTCCGACAGTATCGATGGCAGCGGCTTTGATTTGATTGTTCGCGATGAACAAGCTGCTGTTCGATTTGAATTCTCAGCAAAACCGACTTTTGTCGATTCGAGCCTCGACCTTGTGACAATCCTGCCAGCCAATCATCCTGTCATCCGACAAATGCGCGCGGGTTGGCAGGTTCAAGTTCGAGCCAGCAAGTCTTCTCGAGATGTGGTGTTGGAATCTCTTTATGTTGGTTATGTCTAACAATCAATGCATGTCCATTTCACCACCCTTCGCTTTCACTCACCCACGATGAGACGCGAAAATACCGAGCATGGATCTGCAAAATAAAACAGCGAGTTGCTTTTGGATTGACAGGCAGTCTTTTGTTTGTTTAGCTGGGCTGAATTCGAAGATCTTGCAAAATGACGTTTGTTCTGAACATGAATCAGAGACAGCGCGCGTTGTATGATCAAGTCAAGAATGCGAGTGAAGGGCTCAAGTAAGCGAAAGCCCGAGTTGATTTGGAACACAGGGTTGACAGCGTGTGTATGCTGACGAGAATGGAGGGAGCAGTTTGGATAAGCAGCAGATTTTTGGCGACGCAGAAACACAGGCGGTTGCTGAGGCACTCAAAGTGAACACGAAGCTGACCTGGCTCTAGTAAGGCATGACTGGTGCATGTGAGTGGGTGATTTCAAGCAGATGGGCGTTCGGAGCGCTCACTGATGAAAGGAACGGACAGTCTGCGCCAGAATCAGATTGGCGATCCTGGAGCACAGGCGATTGCTGAAGCCCTCAGAGTGAACACAAGACTGACTGGGCTCGAGTAAGGCATCTCACTCTTGTTGGTGCATGTGAGTGGGTGATTCAGAAGAGTGCTCATTGATTGAGGGGCTGAACAGTCTGAGTGCGAACCAGATCGGCGATGTTGGAGCGAACGCGATCGCTCAGGCAATCAAAGTGAACAAGACGCTGACTTGGCTTCAGTAAATATTGATCGCTTTAAGATGCTCTGACAGCCGTTAGACTCATGCTCCAATCTGACGATGTAATTGACAACAACAACAGTTTGAGCAAGAATTTCCTGACCGACACTGGAATCACTACAATCAGGCAAACAGGCAATACCATTTGTAAATTGGAGTAAGACTGCTTGTTTATAGGATTTTTGCATGAGCAATAAGCCACTCACCTGCTTTGGCGAACGTGGGTTTCCGAATAGCAACCTTGACGAGCAGCGTGTTCCGTCGCCTGCCGAATGGGCTCAGATTGCAGCTCGTGTTGTTGCGAACGTGGCAGAGATTCAGCAATTGCGCTCCGAAATTGCTGCCAAAGAGCAAGTCCTCGCTGCCAAGGACCAAGAGCTCGCAACCAACGTGCAGGACCTGCAACAACTTCGCTCAAATCTCGTTGCCAAGGATCAGGGGCTTGCAACCAAGGATCTTAAACTGCAGTCAGCTCTTGATCGGATCGACGTACTTGAGCGCAGTCAGCCCGCCGGTGGATCCGCGTCAAGCTTTGATCAACCCATCCCACAGGTGCCTCTCGCCACTCTCGTCTCCGCCACGAACAACTTTGCTGATGATTCTCTGCTCGGCGAAGGAGCATTTGGTCGCGTGTATGGCGCCAGTTTGCCTGGACCTCCCGTTGCCGTCGCCATCAAAAAGCTGTCCGCCGAATCGATCCAACACTATGCAGCATTTCAGTCAGAGTTGAAATCTCTATCTAAATTCCGTCACCCCAACATCATTGTCATGCTGTCCTATGCCGAAGCTCAGGATGAATATTGCTTGGTGTACGAATTCATGCCAAACGGTTCTGTGCGCGATCGCTTGAATCGCAAAAACAACACTCCTCCACTGACTTGGTCCCAGCGGCATCGCATCGCGGCTGATGTTGCCCGTGGCATGCACTATGTCCAAACCGCCTTCGCAGGCCATGTTCTGTTCCACCTCGACCTCAAGACGGACAATGTTCTGCTGGACGCGCATTACAATGCAAAAGTGTCTGATTTTGGTCTTGTCCGTGCTGCCGAGCATCTTGATGAGAAACGCTACCTTCGTACTCAGAACGCTCAAGGCACAGTTGCTTACATGAGCCCCGAGTTCCTCGTTGATGGCAGAATGACCATCAAGACCGATGTGTACGCATTTGGCATGATTCTGCTCGAGCTGGTGACGGCAATGAAGGCAGCTGTGCAACTGAAAACGGATCTGCGCAAGGCTGTGAAAACCCAAAATGTCATTGGCATGCTGGACTCGGCGCTCAAACCAACCGAAGCGGAGCAGGAGAGCATCAACGAGATTGTCACTCTCGCGCTCAAGTGTCTTGATGAAGATGTCGATGAGCGTCCGTCTTTTGGCAGCATTCTCGTTCAGTTGGGTCCTTGATGCCAAGCGAAAGATGCTGTGCTGGTGTCTCAGTACTTTATCAAGAGATGAGCGAGCTACTCCCTCATTCTTCACTACTCTCTCTGTGTCCGTTTCCGTTTCGCCCTCTTGTGGCATGCTCCTCCTGCATGTTGTAACTGTTGCTTCCTCGCCTGTTCGTTTTTCAGTGCTCTTGCTTTTCACAACGATTGTTCGTTTCTTTATGTTGTTGCTTGTCACAAACATTGTTCTTGTATCAGCGCTCTTGCTTTTCACACAAAAATCCACAGTGTTCACTTCACCCCTTCACTTTGACTCACCGACGATGAAACACGAAAATGCTGAGCAATGAGTCGCTTTTGGATTGATTGACAGTCCTTTTGTTAGTTTAGCTGTGCACGCACACTTCAATGCCAAAGTATCTGATTTTGGTCTCGTCCGTGCTGCCCAACACCTCGATGACAAGAGCTACCTTCGCACACAGAACGTTCAAGGCACGGTCGCTTACATGTGTCCGGAGTTCCTCGAAGAAGGCCGCATGACTACAAGACGGATGTCTATGCCTTTGGAATGATTTTACTGGAATTGGTGACTGCAGCCAAACCGGCACTAGGCTGAAAACAGAAATGCGGAGAACTGTTAAAAACCAAAAGTTCATTGAGATGCTGGACTCGACACTCAACCCAATCGAAGCAGAGCGCCAGAGCATCAGCGAGTTTGTCGCTCTTGCGCTAGAGTGTCTTGATGAGGGTGCGGATGAACGGCCATCCTTTGGACGCCTCATTGCTACTTTGGATCCTTGATGACAATCGGAAAACATACTGTATTGCACGTTTCTAACGAGGGCGAGGTTGCACACTTTTTCATTCAGCGGATGTTTCGGCTTGGCGAACACTCGCATATGGGCGTGTTGGTCAATTTACCCCTTCTCTTCTCGAGCATTCTTTGAATATAAGCTATGGTTTTGTTCTCTCCACGCTGCAATAATGAACTTACATTGAATGATTGAATGGGGAATCAAGCTCACTTTACTTTGTGCTCAAAGAGTAAAGCAACCAAAAAAAAAAAAAAAAAAAATGGCGGCGAGCCAAGACCACGATTCATCACGAAATCTCGCCGCTTCTACTTCGACCGCTCCAACTGAAGTGGTCGACCCGCGTGCAGAGTGGGCGCGCGACCTCCGCCTGCGCTTTTGCGTGCGGCCACAGTTCCCCGAGACGGCGACCATGCTGCATGCGGACGGCAGTCTCAACCGCGGGTAAAGTTCAGGTTGGGATTTCCCGCCAAAAACACAAAATCCTTCGTGAATGCTTGCACCGAGGCTCATCCATTGCTGACGATGGCACGCTGTTTTGTACGTCTATGGGATGGCTGACATAGATACTTTCGCATTGAGCGAACGGCCACCAAGGAGCGGACGTGGACAGATCGCGAACGCGACCTCCTCATTGCTGGCATTGGCACGTACGGCGTTGGCAACTACTCTGCCATGACTGCCGACCTGCTGCCAGAATGGGTAGGTGCAGTCTAGTGTGTGGCACTTGCAAAGTTCACCAGGGACAGCGGGTGTGTGAAACATGGAACAGTCAAGCAACAAACGACAATTCTGACCTGATTCTTGCTTCTGTCGCTTGGCCAACTCTGCAGACAAGCAACGATTTGCGATTGAAAACAATGCGCTTGCTGGGCAGGCAAAACCTGACCAGATACAAGGGCTGGATGGGGGATGCAGCTGCAATTGAGCACGAGTACGAACGCAACCATGCACTCGGCATTGAACTCAACTGCTGGCGAAGCGGCATGCTCGTGGCAGACGACGATGGGGCATTAGAGCGAGCACTAGACGTGGCATCGTCTGGGAATGGTGCTGCTCTGTCGGCCAAATCCCCAGCAACTTCGTGAAGCGACTTTTCGCAAAGCCGGGCTCATCACCAATGACCTCGTTCATTCGCAAGCTGGCAGCGCTTGACAGCTTCAGAAACGATGCGCTTGAGCTGGAGCTTTTTATTTATTGTTACAAGGAAGTCATGCAGGTGGGTTGATTCCACTGCATTGCTAGTTTTTGCACAAACGGCCGTAGTTTTCCACGCACTCCATCCCCCAAGTCCAAGCCATACCGCCGCGCATGTGCACCAAGTGTCTCTTGTGTTGTATCAAAGTTTGAATACAAAACGAAAAGAGCGAAACAAAAACCTTCCTTGTTGTCGAAAACCATACCACATACAGACATACACACTGAAAACAACGACCACACGATCAACAAACAACAACACATACACATCCACTACGAATCCAGCAGCTGTTTTTTTTTTTTTTTTTTACACTCGGCGAATCAGAAGGTAGATGTTGTCGTCCAAATTCAGCTTGTCGAGGTTGCGCGCATCGCCCTTGATTCGCATCAGCAAGCCGCCGAAAGATACATAGACGGCGAGCTTGTCGCGGTCCTCCTCGTCGCACCGGTAGATCTTTCCGTGCATAACGTACTCAAAGTTGTCCGCACGCGTGTTCTTTGTGCTGCGAATAAAGTGGCCGTCGTCCGGCACGCCGTTCTCATTGAGTGTGGAAGCGAGCATGAGCGAGAACTTTTCGCTCAACTCCAACTGGTAAATCTGCGAGTTGATATCGAGGACGAGCGCCATGTCGTAGTTCTCAGACTGGCACTCCAACCGAGAGACTGAGAAGCAAAATGCATCAAAAAACCAAGCGGACGATCAAACAAAACAAAGTGATGAGCGATTCGACCGGATGGTAAGCATGATTGGAATAACGCATGCAAACAGGTTGACCCATGACACCAGATGCGAGACGACTGAGCAGAGTGAATGGTAGAGCATTGTATGGACCTTCCATTGCGTTTGCCCCAGGTTTCCTCTCGTCCCCGCCTGATCCCCTCGCGCTCCTTCTCTGGCGTTTCGTGGACATGTGTGTGCACTGATGTCTCCGACTCGAGTGGGCTGATGCTGGCCACGGATTCACGGATTGCCCGCTCATCGCCGCTCCATTGCCGCGTGGAGTTGAGCTCAGCTCTCAGCTCTCATCTGCCTTCGCTCGCTGCCTCCGCCCCCCCCCCAATCCCGCCACCACCACCGCTCTACGGATGCACGAGCAATGGATCATACTTTATCAGATCGCTGGCACGCCCCGGGCGGTCGGTCCTAAGTCGCGCGGCATCCGATCTTCAATCTCGCTCCACTCAAGCGACGACGCCTCCAACTCCACTCCACCTCCAGTCCACTCCGCCCTTCGCATTGCCTGCAACGTAATTTGTCGTAGTCCTTTTGTGCTTTACCGCGATCGAACTTTTTGCCATCGCGGTTGATGTCCTTGACTTCGAAAATGTCCTCAAACAGGACGCCAGAGTTGGACGACATTGGAAAACGCGACTGAGTGAGCAAAGAAAGACTGATGTAACCGTAACATTGATGATGGATGTTGATGACATGCTGCTACATTGGAGGATTTTCGTAGAGTAGGAGCAAAGTGAAATGCAAGCAAGGAACAGCAGCAGCAGCAGCAACAGCAGCAGGACAGTTCAAAAGCGATCGCAGCGAGAGATCAAGAACAAGCGGAGGAGAGAATACTCGCACCATCACACCTTGCATTGTGGAATAAAACTTTGAGCATCACGATGGGGGGTTTCTCGTGCTCAGTCTACGAATCTGAGATTTACTTGTTTTGTAGATTGCAGACCTGTCAAAATCAAGTGCCTTTCCACCGCACCGCCCCCACGACAAGACAACAGCCCGAAGCACAACAAGCGCACAGAAGCAGGTCCAAGCCAGTCCTGCCAGCCAGAGCGCTGCGAGAGAGCGGATGAAGCCGCGGCCGGCCTCGATGTCGGAGACAACAGAACTGGACAATCTGCCGCCAGCACGGTCTCGTGCCTCTGAGGCCGATGATGCTGATGCTGATGCTGATATCGATGCCCATGCAAGCAGTGTGGCTGCAAGACACGTGCCCATGCCACAGCAGGCCGGAGAAGCGTCCGTCAACATGGCACCTCCTGGCTCAGTGCCCATCGCCGAGCTCGTCGCTTCCAGCGAAGCTGCACACCCAACCGAAGCTCCGATTCAAACACAAGCTTCATTGTCCCTGCTTGATGTCGATACTGTGCTGGCAGTGTCAATTTTTGCCATTGTTGGTGTCCTGATCCGCATCGGGACCAACCATCTGACGCCGTACGACAGTCAACTGCTCTTTGGCTCGTTCTACGCTCAAGTCGTTGGGTGCATCATCATGGGATGCGTCTTTACATTGCAAAGCGTGTTTTCACCATGGTATAGCAAATGACGCGGCAATCGCACCATGCTCTGGTGGCATTTTTTTTTCTGGGCCACCAAACGACATTCTGACTAGCGGGTTGTTGAACTAGGTTGTACGTAGGCCTCACCACAGGACTATGTGGCACAATTACAACATTTTCGTCGTGGAATCAGCAAGCTAGCACTGTTTTGGTGGGTTGGCACGGAATGCCACCACCTTCCTACAATTCTGGCGCATTTCAGGTACCGGAATGCTGCTTCTCGCCTGTCTGTGTTGTCGGTGCTGTCGGGTGTTGGTCTTTGTGTGTCTAAAAGGGTGTATTATGATCTGTTTCGTCGCAAAGAGCAAAGCCAACTGATCTGCATGGACACGAGCTCACACTCTTTGCAAAATGTCGAAACTTTGATTGTGCTAGTTTGTGTCCTGGATGACCATTCTCGTCATCGGCCTCGCCGTGTCGCTTGTATCACTGGCGTTCGGAGTACATGTCGGACAGGCCATGCTGGTCTTGCTTGAACGACGACGGCGTCATCAGCAAGGAAATGAGCCGGCTCGTTCAACAACCAACAAGTCCCAGCGAGATGGAGATGCAACTGCTCAAACCAACCGCTTGACTCGTCAAACCATCATCCTTGCTGTAGTACTGTGCGTTTCTCTCGTGCTTGTGATCGTCCTTCCATATGAGCTGGACTGCAGAGACATCATGTTTTCGTGCATCTTAGCGGTGCCAGGTAAGAATCTCACTGGCCAGAGGAGGAGGGTGCGCTGAAGATTTGCTATTCAAATATTCGCGCGGTTGTTCTCTCGTGCAGGCGCCCTGAGTCGCATGTGGCTCAGTCTGTGGTTGAATCCCAAGCGACCGACCTTTCCGCTCGGCACCTTCACTGCCAACATTATTGGCTGCGTTCTGCTCGGGATATTCACTGTCGTTCAAAGCTCACAGCACTGTTTTGTGAACAACTCGATGTGCGTGCATGCGTGTGAGGCGATTTTGGAGAGAAGCGTTTCCACTTGGTTGGCTGATTTTGGTTTGTTGATTCTGCCAACGTTCTCGTTCTCGCTCTCCTCCCCAGAGTGAATGATTTATTTATTGGACTCGAAAACGGGTTTTGTGGTAAGTTGGTAGAGAAGCATCGTCAGAGCGCCTTTGCTTGATTGCGCCTGCATTGCCCTGGCTGATTTGGAATTCAAACTTTCTTGTTTGTTGTTGTTATCCGTTGAACGCTCTCTGCTGTTGTCCTCTATCAGGCGCCCTATCGACCGTATCGACGTTTGTTGTCGAATTGCACATCAAACTGAATTTCCCCTCCGCCTACACGTACGGATTGGCGGCTGTCGGCGCAGGCCAGGCCGCGCTTCTTGTCATCAATGGCGTCTATGTTTGGGGCTCGACGCCAGATCTGTGTGCATAGCGCCTGTTTACTGTTTTGGAAATGCACGATTTAGCCATCGAATGCATAGGATCGAAGAAACCCAATAGTAGATCTCGCTTTGCACTGTTGCTGCTTCCTTATTCGAGAGTAGATAGACGTTGTTATGCTTGATAGCTGCAACAGCCCTGGCGGAGGAATTTCAGGAACAACGCTGATTGTACCATTCATCAACGGTGAGGAGATCACCATGTGAACAAAGTCGCTCGGAATCTGCGGAAGACCTTGTTCGATGCGAATTCCTCATTCTTGTTGTATGAATCTGTGGCAGACATGATGCTATCGTATCGAGCGGCTGGCGCTGAAACGACTCACATCAAATATTGTGGAGTTTTCTCCCTCAAATGACTCACCCAAGGCTTCCATCCCATCAGACTGACACCAGATGCCGTTTTTCGCACATAAGTACACTGTATGGTGCTTGGCAGGGTCAGAGGGCGATACAGCCCAGTCCTGGAATTCGGGGCACCTGCTCGAAATCATCTGCCCGTTGTGCCTGCAGTCCGCGGCGCGCTAGAGATCCGCTGTATTTGTTTGATCTCGATCCAACTTACTAAGATTTTGTATTGTAGAGTGAAGGTGCCTCGGTTCGGTCGAACAACAGGCCATTTTTGGGCCTAGTTCCGGCAGTTTCGTCGGAGCGCCCTCGACCGTGTCGGTCTTCTTTCACCGCTTCTTTTTTGAAGCACTATTTGCCATTGGCTTGTCGGGGAGAGCGCGACGCGGACGCCGCCTCGAACGGACGAGATTCCTTATTTTGACTTTTCGTAATGCTGCGCCAGCCAAATCGAAGTCGGCTCAGAAGGCTCTGCCAGCCCCCCTCTGTGGCAAGTTACTCAAATGAGGACAACTACATGAAATTTGTGAGAACAGGGCAATGGCGTCCAGAGGACAGGCGTGAGATCGAAACGTTAGGCACCCTTCACATTAAATCGATTTGTCCTGATATTCAGTCAGTTTTGAAGGGTAACTTGTTTGTTTTTTGTCTTTTCTAAATGGCTAAGAAGGCCGTACCCTCGGCTGCTCCTGCTCCGACGCGCTACAAGAGCCACCAAGCCAAAGACTGGTGGCAGCCTCGGTAGCACCGACGCAGCGGAGGACGATCGTGTGGTCGCGCGAACGGAGGTCGATCCACCCAAACCCAAGCGAGCTGCTGCCCGTGCTGCTACTGCTGCTGCTGCCACTGCTGCCACATCAGCAGTACAAGTGGCTAGTACTACTATTGCTGCTCCCCGAGGCAGGACCAGCAAGGCAGCCGCACCTGTCCCTGCCATCTCAGAGCCGCTCAGCAAGGTGCCGCTTGTGCCCAAAAGTTGTGAGGCGTAATGCCAGTCCACTAGCTCGTCGCTGACATCTTGTTTGCTTCGTTTGTGATTCCTACTGTTTGATTTTTCACATAACGCCAGACCGCTCAGAAGAAGGCCACTGCACCAACCAACCAAGGATCTCAGACTGTGAGCTACCATCTTCGTGCTCGCAAACCCATTCAGGTTGCAATTGCGCGTACTGGCAAGACGAGTTCAGCTTCCAGTAGTGGCGTCCGCAGCAAGCGTGGCGCTGCTGAAATGGCCGGGGAGAACACCTCAACATCCAAGAAGAACAAGAAGAAGGCTCGTCAAACGAACGCTGACGATGCTGACGACGGCGACTACGAGGACTGCGAGGACGACACTGCTGGCGACGACGACGACAACCAGGACAGCAAGAAGCTCAGCAGGGAGGAAGCGATTGGTGAAGCTCTCCTGCAAAACACCACACTGACTACGCTCGAGTATGTACTTGTCGTCTTCTGCTAACTCCATGTTTGTTTGATGCCTTGACTCACCGTATGGTATCAGCTTGGGCGAGTGTGTGATTGACGATGCAAAAATGCAGCCGATTGCGGCCGCGTTAGTGCAGAACAAAACGCTGACGACACTCCGGTATGTAAAGCTGGATCCATTGCCTATGGTAATGGCAGCTGTACAAAGCTCACTCGCTCACTGCTTTGCTTTATGATAACAGGACTCGAAATTACATTGACGCAGTGATTGCCGATGCACTGACGCAAAGCACCACACTAACTGAACTCTCGTAAGTTGTTTTTTGCAATTTGCCCGTGTTGCTTTGTGCGAGGTAATTGGCTCACCATGTAACGACAGAGGTTACCTCGATGCCAATGGAGCGCGATCGATGGCAAAGGCACTGACGCAAAACGCCACGTTGACCACGCTCTAGTACGCACCGCTTTCGCATTTTGATTGCATTCGAGTTTGCCATTGCAAATGCTCCGGTTTGTTTCGATGGCGTCGCTCATTGTGTGGTAACAGTGTGGACTCGGGCAAATTCGGCCCGGCAGAAACAAACACGATTGCCGCCACCTGAAGCAAAACTCGACACTGACCACCCTAGAGTATGCTTCTTTCCTCTCATGCTGACCACTTCCGTGTCTGATTGCGAACATCAATCTAACCATGTCTGTCTGTTGGGTCAGGTTGTATGGTCCTCAGATTGGAGACTTTGGAGCTCAAGCGATTGGAGAAGCGCTGAAATCAAACACCACTTTGACTGCACTCCGGTAAGGATTCCACTCTCTTCCTCTTCTGCTAGTTGCTTGTTCGCTGATAAGTTGAATCGTATATTGGATTATTGATTCTCATGTCATGGTCACCAGCTTGATCGGCAACGATATTGGCAGCGCTGGAGCGCAAGCGATCGGAGCGGCACTCAAGAGCAACTCGGCATTGGCTACGCTTGTGTCAGTGCCATTCTCATGCTGAATCATTGCTTGAGGTCATGCGAGAAGCGCAGTGATGTGTGTTGCTCACTTCATTGTAATAGTTTGAATAACAACAAGATTGGCGAAGCTGGCGGACTTGCGATCGCTGATGCTCTGGTGTGCAACAAGACGCTGACCACGCTTTCGTACGTTCTGCCGGATGGATGTTGTGGCCTTGGGTTCCACTGCTGCGTTATTATGCCATCGCTGACATCAATTGCCACAGGCTGTATTGGTGTTCGATTGGAGATGCTGGAATTGAAGCGATTGTCCACGCGCTCGAGAAGAACACTACGTCGACTTCCCTCAAGTATGATCCTTGGCTCTCTTTGACTGAATCCATGTTTTTGCCACTGCAAGCGATGGTTCATTCGTCATATCGCTGACTGTAATGCTCGCAGCTTGAAAAACAATATCATTCTCGGTTGTGGCACGCAGGCGGCGCTACCACGGATGCTCCAAGAGAACACGACGCTGACTGAGCTTGAGTACGTGACAGCTCCTATCTTTATCCCCCTACCCCAAACGAAAAGCAGAAAGATGAAGAGAACGAAAATCGCGGCTGCCGAATACTGCATGCTCACACGTGGCTGTAGCCTGAGTGAAAATGGATTGAAAGGCGTTGGATTCCAAGCAATTGCAGAAGCGCTCGCGCGAAACACGTCGCTCACGACACTCTCGTACGAGTTTCCCTGTTCATGTTGATGAATGCTGTGCTTTATTGTGGTATTGGATGGTATGACTCACCGGTTTGGAATAGACTTGCGCGTGACGCCATGGAAGTAGCTGGAGCGCAGGCGATTGCTGCAGCACTCAAGAGCAACACCACACTGACCACACTCGAGTATGTTTGCAATCTGTCATGCCGGTTCGACGCTATCACTCTTGATTATCAGAGTACTTTGGAATTCTCACAATCGGATACAGTCTGGATCACAGTCGATTTGGTGATGCCGGTGCGCAGGCCATTGCGGATGCTCTTCGGCAGAACAAGACGCTTACCACTCTGCAGTATGTTTTTCAGCCGCATTGGCCCGTTTCTCGTCTGCAAAGGCCAAAGATTAACCTTGCTTGTATTGCTTGTCACGTGTCAAGTCTCAAGCACTGCAGGATTGGCACCGCTGGACTCCAAGCGATCAGTGGAGCACTCGCGCAGAACAACACGCTGACCACGCTCAAGTACGTTTGGGAACGATGTTGTAGAGAGCGAGGCTTTATTCTGGTGATACATTTTCTTCACACTTGAAAACACAGTCTTTCATGGAACCCGATTGACGATGCTGGTGCCAACAGCATTGCCGAAATGCTGAAGTCGAACACAAGTTTGACCACTCTCGAGTACGTTCTATGCTCCTGTTGTTGTGGAACTGGTTGTTGCTGCATTTACTCACGATCAGCCAACAGTCTGAGTTGGAGCCCGCTTTGTTTTAAAGTGCACTTGATTGCGGAAGCACTCAAACAGAACACCACGCTTACGACACTCGAGTAAGGGTTTCCACCATCTCTCTCGCTCCTGTCGCTCATACACAATTGCTGTTCCTTGATCCTTCAATTACTCACGGCTTTGCGCATTCAGTTTATCTCGCAATAATATTGGCGCTGTTGGAGCGCAGGTCATTGCCGAGGCTCTGAAGCAGAACAGGACTCTGACGACGCTGTGGTACGTGCCTTGCTCGTTGCTCAATGTCAAACCTTCAGGTGGAAGTGGTATTCTTGCTCACCATGTGGTCGCAGTCTGAATCATGCTGAGATTGGCGCTCCTGGGATGAAAGCTCTCGCCGAGGCCCTCAAAATGAACACCGCGCTGACCACTCTCGAGTATGTTCAACCATTCGTGCTGATTGATGTTGTCATGCCTCATTTCAGTGCCTTACTTGTTATGTGGGAGCAGGCTGGAGGCCGAATCCATTTATGATGCTGAAGCGCAGGCGATTGCACCTGGCCTTGTTCAGAACACGACTCTGACCTCGCTCAAGTATGTACCGACTTTCATGCGGCTTTGTCTCGATGCTTGATTCACTGAAACTGACACTTTTGGTTGGGTTTAGGCTGGGAGGAAGCCTGCTTGGCGAGACTGGAGCGCGCGCGATTGCCAAAGCTCTGAACAAAACTCTACACTAACCACGTTCCAGTACGGCCATTTACCTTGTCGCCCCGATGTGACAGCAACTGTTAAATTCTAATTTTGGTGTTTGATTGTTTGATTGTTGATTTGTTTGATTGATTGATATTGATTGTTTGCGTTCTTCACCGTGATGGCATCACAGGTTGATGGCTAGCTTTGTTGACTCAGGAGTGCAAACAATTGCAGCCGCACTCAAACAGAACACTGCGCTGACCACGCTCGAGTAGGTTCCACTCCCTCGTGTTGATCCATGTCCCATTTGTGCGTATCACACCATTCTTTCTGATGCGCTTACTCACGGCATGGTTCCAGGTTGTGTGACATGAACAACCGGTACTCTCATATAGAGCGGGATATTTCAGAGCCATTGACCACAGCCAGGTATGTTGGCCATTCTCCTGCGGCTGAGGTTATTTCTGAAGTGGCCAGCGCTTCTTGCACACGTAACTTGTCACTTATCGCCTTTTTGCAACAGTCTGCTATCGCGGTTGCGTAATCCACGTGCTTTTGGACTCGAAAACGCCTTCTTGCAGGTTTGCAGGCTCTAGTACGTTCCTTCACCCTTCTCCTGTCGTTCCCCTTCTATGACGACGACGCATGTGATGCTTCTTTCGATGGATATAAGTAACTCAGTTTATGCGGACAGCTTGCGTGAGAACATTGTTGACTCTGCTGGAGTGCAAGTGATTCAAGAGGTTCTGAGTTTGACCAAGCCAAGCAAGCTTGAGTAGGTTCTCGTGCTCGTTGGTGTTGTGACTTTCATTGCAACTCACATTGATTGTTGTTCACGACACTGTTTAGGATTCGCTTTGGCCTTGACGACTTTGGAGCTCAAGTGCTTGCAACATCACTCAAGCAGAACTCTTGGATGACCGAGCTCGAGTATGTTTACTTCTCTCGCGCTGTTGTTTGTATCCGGGTGGGTTTGCTGGATGGCGTCCGTGATCGACCAGATTGATTTTTGATGCGAGCCCATCCTTACTCACCGCGTGACAACAAACAGTCTGGATTCCAATGCGATTGGCCCGATTGGAGCCCAAGCGATTGCAGAAGCGCTGACGCAGAACACCAAGCTCACTATACTCACGTATGTTGTCTCTCCGTCGCGCTGTCTTGCTGATTGTTGTCGTTCTTGGCGTTGTCAGCTAATCGCTGCTCGACCATGTCGGGGGTTTGTTCAATCACGACACGATTCTAGTCTGAGTTCCACTCTGCTCGGAGATGCAGGAGCGGAAGCGATTTCCAAGGCACTCAGGGTAAACACGACACTGACCACGCTAAAGTACGACTTGGCTATTTCTGCCCTTGCCTTGTTGCGCCCTTGCCTTGTTGCGCTGCGCTGATGATACTCACACTTTGAGCAGCCTGCGCGAATGTTGGATTGGCAGTGCAGGAGCGCAGGCGCTGGCGGAGGAGCTGAAGCACAACGTGGGATTGACTTCGTTCGAGTACGTTTCCGTTCGCTTGCTATCTTGCATGCTGAGCATGTCGTTTAATGAACAGTGATAGCGGTACTTACCTTTTGAGAGCAGTCTGTCCCGCAATTCTATTCGCGATAGTGGTGCAAATGCGATGGCGGCAGTGATTTCGCAGAACACAACACTGACTACTCTCGAGTATGTTCCTCTCGCTTTTCTGCTGCTTCGTGTCGCACTGGTAATTGAACAAGCTGCATGTTACTCACTGCATTGTACACAGTCTCGGGATGAATCATATTGGCGATGCTGGCGCCGAAAGGTTGGCAGAAGCGCTCCTGCGAAACACCACGCTCAAAGTACTCGAGTATGTGACCATTATTTTGCAGATTGAGATCAACAATGAATGTGTGTACGTCCTGATCTGCAGTGCTTTTGCTCACTCCTATGCAAACAGTCTGTGGTATAACGAAATCGGGGAAGCCGGAGAGCTTGCGTTGGACAACGCACTCAACCAGAATTCTGCACTTGACTGGCTCAAGTATGGTCCCTTTATCTGATGCTGATTCTGTCGTGTTTGTGTGTGGTACTTACTGTTTGACGGTATGGCTTTCTCACTTCAAACAGCTTGAGCGAGAATCAACCGCCGAATTAACCAAAGAGCGCTCGCTTCCTTTTCTCTGGTGGTGTGATGATGCTGTGTTTTCTTCTGATGATGACTTTTGCTCACTTCGAGGTAGCAGATTGTGTTTGAGTTCGGGTAGTTTTGTAGACGTAGTTTGGTAGTTTGTTTGTTTGTTTGTTTTTTTGGTTTTTCTTTCGTTTGTTTGTTTGGTTGTTTGTTTGTTTGTTTGTTTGTGTGTGTGTTTTTACCTTGCATGGCTTGACAAATACATGTACTTCGTTGAGTGTCGACCTTTCCATCATGAAACCGTGCAAGCATGAATTAAGGTGCTGTGATCAACCTGTGGATTACCCCGAAGCGTGGACCAAAGCCGGAATGGTTACCAGTTTGAGCTTGTACAAGTTTTGTAGAGCTAAACCTGAAGAACTCAAAATGAGTGCCACCATCCTTCGAACGAACAGGTAGTTTTGCAAACGCTTCCAGAACGCCGATTTGTTCTTAACCATCAATACGATAGTATAGTACTGCTGAGAGCAAAGCGGGGTCTGCCAATGTCAAATCTTAGAACTTACATAGTTCGTCAAAGCACAAATTTATTGGAAAACCAAAAGGCCAACGCTCGCACGAAGGTTTGAGAATAAGTATCAAAAAACAACAACAAGCGCGTCCAAAGCTCAGGGCTAGCCCTCTTGTGGATAGCACAGCGGAATGTACTCCAAACTGGGATACAGCGCAGGGACTGCACAAAAGCTGTTTGTGCGATCTATCTGCGTGTACATCAATGTGGTGTTGCCAGCTTCAAGGGGAGAATCCGCTCCATGATCGGTTCGAATTGCCAGTTGCTCAAAGCTGCCCTCTCCGTCTGGGAAACGACCAACTCGACCTCAGAGATATCCAACGTGTGGAAGGAGGCTTTGGCCGAGCTGAAAGAATTTGCAGTATTGATGCTGAGAATCTCGTGTCATGATCGCCCAATAGTGTTGGGCGGGGGTTTTGTTCATTCGAGTTGCGCGGAGCATTTGTGTGACTCGATTTTTGTTGGGCTAACTCTTTCTCTCGCCGTGCGTGGGCAGGAGTGAAAGGCGATTTACTTCATTTGCTACCAGTGTACATCTAGTCCACTGGGAATAAGGCGGCCCAAGTTTGCAGGATGACGCGACTGTTTGGCGGTCGAGCGTGAGTCACGTCGCGTCTTTCCTTTTGTGCCATACCATCTTTCGGGGCTTTTCACATCCTTCTTCTCTATTGAGTAGGCTGCAATGAACCTTCCAACCTTCGGTGTGGAGCATTCCAATTCTCCATTCCCACGATCATGACAGATATGTCTGCGGAGCTTTTGAAGTTGCTGTTTATGTTTTGCTTTTGTTTGGTGGGGGGTTTTTTGAAATATTTGTGGATATGTTTTCAGTTTTATTTGGTTGCTATTCCGACCCACCGCCCCAAACAACGCGCTGCCCAACGCTTCATTTGCGTTGCACCGGTGATGTGCGCTGCTGTTCTGGGAGCATCTCGTGTCTGTGTGGCTTGGAAGCAAGAGAAGATCGTTTCGACAAAATAAACACGTTCAGTTCTGTTTTTGTGGGTTTTTGTTTTGTTTTTTCTTTCGGTTTGTTGCTTTTTTCGTTGAACGGTGAGACATGTCCATTCACCCGCCCCCCCCCACACACACACATGCACCCATCTGCCCTCCAAAGCCCCCTCTTGCATTTCTTGATCGCGCGATCCGAAAGACCTTCCACTCCGATGACGGTGATGCTTTTCAGCTGAAAGAGAAAAAACTGTTCGTGACACTGAAAATCCTCCAAAACCAAGCCCAAACGTCGAGTGTGGGTTGCCCCGAACAGCACCAAAGCAGAGTCTGGTTGTCTCGTTGCGAGCGACATGCACAATGCTCGCAGCTCTCTTGTGGCCAGCGACAACCTCAACCCTCGCGGGACTCTCGCCTGGAGCAACATGGTAGTGCATAGAGAATCTCGGCTCTATTTGTTGAAAAAAAGTAACAAACAAAACAAAAAAAACACGTTGTTGTTTTGTTTTTTGGTGGAGATTTTGTGTGTGGGTTAGTCATTCTTTTCCTTTGTTGGTTTCTCTTTGTTTGTCGTGTCTTGCTTTGCTGCTGCTTGTTGTGGTTGATCACTGATTGTAAATGGTTCCCCTCGACTTCAAACTGCAGCTCATTCACCAAGCAGCAGTCAACAAACAATGCGGCCTGGTTGGTCTTGTGTTGCCGCCCTGTTGCTGCTAGCAGCAATGACTGGTATTGCCCCACTCGGCGTCATGGCGCAGACCAACGACGCGTGCTCGGTTTGCAACTGCAGCCCAGGCTATGTGGGTTTCTGCCAGCCCTGGCTCATGGTCGACCCGACTCAAGTTCCATACAACATCCCGCCCGAGACGACAGACTTGTGAGGGAAAAACAAAACAAAAGAGTTCGGTTTTGTTTTGAAAATTAAAACCAAAAAAAAAAAACCACCAAGGACCTTACCTTTGATGACCATTCTGATTGCGACTCGGGCGTCTTGAATGTGCAGGGATCTAACAACGCTTCAACTCTCGTACATTCCTTATTATGCGCTGATGGGACTGTCTTCACTGAACTCATTGTAAGACCATTTGCGAGCGTTTTGGGACCTGTTTGCGTGGTTTGTCGCTGTTTAATTTCAAGATTGTCATTGGATTTTTTGCTGACTTGTTTCAACAGGTCGTTGAGTGGCGTCTCGTACATTGAAAATGGTGCTTTCGCGGACCTCGCGCTGATGACGACCTTGTACGCGGAGTCGGATTGTGCCTTGAATTGTTGGAAAGTTGACTCACAAACGTTTTGACGAGCAGGACTATTTCATTTGATTCGTCTGTCACCACCTTGGCGGTTGATTGGTCGGGCGTGTCCTCGTTATACTCGCTGAAGTAAGGGATGAGAGATCTGCATGACGCTTCCAGTTGGTTTTGCTTGCGCTAACGACTGCTGCGTTCTTGAAAACAGTTTGAATGGCCCTAACCTTTCTGAACTCCCGGATTCTTCATTCAGTGGTCTGGGCTCTTTGATCGAGCTGTAAGTTCACTACGCCCTTCGTCAACTGTAGATTGATGCTAATTTTATTCTACTGTGAATGCTTTTGTTGTCAGGAGCGTGAGCGGCCCATTGACAACACTTGGAAACTGGCTGTTTCTCAGTACCCCTATGCTGAACCGTTTGTACGTTGGATGATGCTCTCTTACCAATTGGATGATGCTCTTTTACCTGTTTTTGGCATTGCTGGCTTTCGCTCGTTCGCTCACTGTCTTGCTAACTCTTCAGATCATTGTACTCCAATCAACTGCCCGTCTTCCCTAAGCTTGCCCTGAGCCCCCTCTCATCCCTCATGGGCCTGTATGGTAGTTTTTTTGCGAATTCGATGGGCTGATGGAAATTGAGTGCTCAATTTGTCACGCCGATTGGACTCGACAGCAACCTGCAGGGTTCCCGATTTACGTCCCTTCCTTCCGACGCCTTCGCGACTCTGACCAGTCTTTCGTTCTTGTAAGTTTGTGTGGCAAAGTGCGCTCACGCCATTCAAAACCACAGCGAGCTCACCTCCTATCATGTCGCGTAGAGATCTATCCAACACGCTGCTCACCGCCATTCCCGACGATGTGTTTGCTTCAGTTCCGCTCGGGAATTTGTGTGCATGCTCTTACAATGATTTGCGCCAACATGTTAGAATTTATGGCTCACAAACCAGACAATCTTGCAGGTATCTTGGTCAAAACACAAACCTTGGCCCCCTTTCCGGTGGGGCCTTCCGCGGACTGGGTTCGACGCTGGTGGAGCTGTAAGCCAGTGTCGAGCAACTCCTTTCGTCTTTCAGCGTAGATTTGGGAAGATGTCGCGGCACTCAATGACTCGGATTTGCTCGACAGGGACCTGGACGGTTGTAGTTTTACGTCTATCACGGCCAGCGTTTTGAATCTTCCCCAGCTTCAGCGACTGTACGACTTTCAGATCTTCTTTGTAGACTTTCTATCCCAGCTCGTTTCTGTTCTGATCAACACGATTGTTCGATGCTAGTGACCTTTCGTCCAACCAGTTGACCTCGCTTCCGGACGGTCTGTTTTCAAACTGCCCGCAGTTGACTTCACTGTAAAGATTCCGCGTCCAGAAGCGCCAAAGGTTCATATGTCCAGCTCCACTAATGATTTGCTTTTCCTCTGCTGCAGTTCCCTCCACAGCAATTCGATAGCCTACGTGGGCCCCGCCGCGTTTTCAGGGCTCGTGAATCTCCTAGATGTGTAAGTGCCAACAAGAAGGACAGGATGAAACGGGAGTACTCACAGTCCTCAATTCGGCTGTGTAGGAACTTGCATGGTCTTCATGTGACGACCCTCTCTGCGAGCACTTTTGCAGGGCTGACCTCATTGACCAGCATGTAAGCAATCCTGCCTCTAAAGTCATGCACGACAGGACACCTGACCTTTTGCTTTTTTTATTTTTTTGGTTTAGTTCGCTGCATGTCGGTATGCTCGAGACCATCCCGCCCCACCTGTTTGATGGTCTTCAGTCTCTTCAAACCATGTAGGAAGCATTCGCTGTTGAGTGTAGTGCATTGATTCGATTCTCGGAAGCGCTGACTTTTTCTATCACAATGATTCAAGATTGTTGCAGCATAACCACCTCCAAACGCTGCCTCCTGGATTGTTTCAAGGATTGAATGCGCTTAGCTTTGTGCTAATGTCCGACAACAACTTTGGCTCAGTAGCACCTCCGAGTACTTACGGCGCTGCATCGAATCCGAGCAGTAAGAGTGATCTTGGTGAAAGGGGGCACAGGCGTTAGCCTGCCACTCAACGACGTCTTGGTTTCGCGGCTTGGTTGACAGGTTGTAACGCGAACTGTGCTACTTGCTATGGCGGATCTTCCAGCCAATGCTGCGGGCTGAATTGCCTCACTTGCAATAGTGGAAATCTCTGCCTAACTTGCTATGCCGGCTATGACATGATGAGCGGCTACTGCCAGCCTTCCGCGGCCATGATTGCCAGAGCTTCGGCTTCTTCCGCCTCGGTCGCCTCTGCCGCATCAGCCTCTTCTGCTACAATTGCTTCTGCTGCATCTGCTTCCTCTGCTACAATTGCGTCTGCTGCATCTGCGTCCTCGGCTTCTGTAGCTTCTGCTCTGGCAGCCACTGCTTCATCGGCATCGGCTGCTTCTGCTGCCTCTGCCTCTGCCGCTTCCGCTTCCTCGGCAACAGTCGCATCCGCCGCATCCGCTGCATCTGCCTCATCTGCCTCGGCCGCTTCTGCTGCTTCCGCTCTGGCTGCCACTGCCTCGTCTGCCTCGGTTGCATCTGCTTCCTCTGCCTCTGTCGCTTCCGCTTCCTCGGCAACAGTCGCATCCGCCGCATCCGCTGCATCTGCCTCATCTGCCTCGGCCGCTTCTGCTGCTTCCGCTCTGGCTGCCACTGCCTCGTCTGCCTCGGTTGCTTCTGCTTCATCGGCAACAGTTGCGTCCGCTGCATCTGCCTCGTCTGCGTCGGTTGCATCTGCTGCTTCGGCCGCATCTGCTTCATCTGCCTCGGCCGCTTCTGTTGCGTCCGCTCTGGCTGCTACTGCCTCTTCTGCTTCGGTAGCATCTGCTGCGTCCGATGCTTCTGCTCTGGCTGCCACTGCCTCGTCTGCTTCGGCGGCATCTGCCTCATCTGCGTCGGTTGCATCTGCTGCTTCTGCCGCGTCTGCTTCATCTGCCTCGGCCGCTTCTGCTGCGTCCGCTCTGGCTGCTACTGCCTCTTCTGCTTCGGTAGCATCTGCTGCGTCCGATGCTTCTGCTCTGGCTGCTACTGCTTCGTCTGCCTCGGTTGCATCTGCGTCATCTGCATCGGTTGCATCTGCTGCGTCCGATGCTTCTGCTGCTTCCGCTCTGGCTGCTACTGCTTCTGCTCTGGCTGCATCTGCCTCTTCTGCTTCTGTAGCATCTGCTGCGTCCGATGCTTCTGCTGCTTCGGCGGCATCTGCCTCCTCTGCATCGGTTGAGTCTGCTTTGGTTGCCACGGCTTCATCTGCTTCAGTCGCATCTGCTGCATCTGCATCCGCTTCAGTCGCATCTGCTGCATCTGCATCCGCTGCGTCCGATGCTTCGGCTGCTTCGGCGTCATCGGCATCAGCAGCTTTTGCTGCTTCGGCTTTGGCCGAATCCGTTGCGTCTATGCTTACTGACGCAGCTCAACGTGCCTCAGCAGCCTCGGCTTCCTCGGATACAATTGCATCTGCCTCTTCTGCTTCCGTTGCATCTGCTGCTTCCGCCGCGTCTGCGTCATCTGCTTTCGATGCTTCAGTCGCTTCTGCCGCTACTGCCTCATCTGCATCTGTTGCCTCGGCTTTGGCAGCGAGTGCCTCCTCTGCTTCCGTGGCGTCGGCCTCTTCCGCCTCTGTTTCAGCATCGTCGGTCTCTGCCGTGGCTGTGTCTGTTGCCTCGGCCTCTGTCGCGTCGATTGTCTCCGCCTCCGCTGCATCTGTTGCGGCGGTGGCTGCTGCGTCCGCTCTGTCCCAGCTGGGATCTGCGGCCGTGGCTGCATCAGCGGCATCTGCGGCATCTGCTTCGTCGGCTTCTGTTGCTTCTGCTGCATCAGCAGCATCTGCTTCGTCCGCTTCCGTTGCCTCAGCTGCGGCATCTGCTTCCTCTACGTCAATTGCGTTTGGTGCAACTCCCAATTTGGTCAATCCCGTGTCCAATAACGCCACCAGCTCTTCGTCCATGCCAATCATTGTGGGCGTGATCCTGGGCATGCTTGCATTGCTCATCGTGATTGTTGCTCTGCTCATCTGGCGTCGCCGTCACCGTGCCATTTCCCAACCCATCGCCGCCGAAACCGGAGCGACCCAGCGCGCGAAAGTCAAATCTGGCGAAAAGGCCATCGCCGAGATGACCACCAATCCCCTGTACGACGTTGTGGTTCCTCCTCCGGTCGCATACGATGTACTGAAGCCAACCGCGGCCAAGACTGCAGCCAATTACGATGTCCTGAACCCAGCAACTGCAGCCAACTACGATGTCCTGAACCCGGCAACGGCCGAGGCTTCAGCCAACTACGACGCTCTGACCCCGCAGGCGGGATCTTCGGCGACCAACAAGGAGGAACCGATCTATCAGAGCACCGATATCAGCCCTTCTCCAGCAATTCAAGTCGAAACGAGCGGCACATACGTCAGCGTGGCGCCGTCGGCAGACTGCACTTACGCTGATGTCGGCAGCTCCCTTGCAATTGCAACGAACTCTTCCGTGCAGCATGCAGACTCTGGCACCTCATATGCCGCCATAGCCGCAGTGCCCCCGTCTTCCGCAGACAACTATGCAAAGATTGTGAGCGGTTCGGAAACCGACCATGTCTCCACGCTCTGAGTCGTTTCTATCAAGCTCGACCCCCTTTGACTTGCTAATTTTGAAAATTGAGCTGTTTTCTTTCGTGTAGTCGTTGTGTCAGGATCTGTGGCCAGTCGTTCGACTTGTATGACATGTTGTTCCACGAAAATTACATGTTGTTCCACGAAAAAAAAAAAGGTACAAGGAAAAAAGAATGATGGTTCGCCAACAGCAACCATTCACAAACAACACTCGACTCTTCAACTCAAGACAGAACTTTTTATGACGGAAAGGGGTTACAGCGCAACATGTTTGATCACCAGTTGGTGGCACACAGGGCAGCGGTTGTCCAGCTGCGTGCTGGCGATCGTGGCACAAGAGCTGCAGAGCGCAGAATGGCCACAAGGCTGGGCAACTGTCGCAACTGGGCGCTCGTAGCAATGCATGCAACGGTCAAAACTGGGTGCCGCGTTCGCGGGCGCCATGTATGGTTCGCTGGACGACGGAGGATTCGTGAGGGGCTCGTCGAGTATGGGCGCTGTGCTGCACGGTGTCGATTTGTCCAGAATGGGAGCGGACGGCAATAACAGTGCCGACGAGGCTTCAACAGCGGTGGCCATGGAGGCACTTCCCATAGCAACAGCGTCAGTGTATGCCGGAGGTGGCGAGGGGCTCCGAAGTTGACTCTGAGGCAGAGATTGCGACGGCGCTGCAGAAGGGGCTGCTGGCGTCGTGCCATAGTGCGCAAAGGTGCCCTGCTCGGAATTCGCCACAATCAGAATCTGCTGGAGCAATTCGTCGTCTTCCACGGCTGCGCGGACCAGGGACGGCAAACGGAACAAATCGACCAGCCAGAAGCATCCAAAGCCGCCAAACGTGAGCAAGTACACGAGACCCCAGCAGTGACGGCGCAGGTAGAAGTGATGCAGGCCAAGGAAGCCCATGGGGAACCACAGCATGTACGCTTCGTGGAGCCAGATGCGCTGCCGGCGAGCGGCTCCAGAGTTGGCGTTGCGCACAAGCCAAACGATGCGGAACCAATCGACCAGCCAGCCGACACCAAGCAGACCAAAGGTGAAAAGGTACAAGAAGAACCAGCCGACACGTCCCAGATACAGGTGGTGCAGGCCGAGCATGCCCAGGGGCGAGAGGGTCAACTTGGCAGTCTCCCAAACGGTCTTTTCCGAGGACGACTCGAGCGCCATGGAGATGGCAAAGGAGGATTCTTTGGGGAAAGCCCAGGTCGCGTCCATCATTGCCTTGTATTGTTCCTTGCGCCGCTCCGAGTTGGCCTCGCGCACCAAGTGGGGCAGCATGAACAGGTCGGTCAGCCAGCCGACGCCCAGCAGGCCAAAGGTGAAAAAGTAGATAAACCCCCAGAGCGGCTTGCCAACGTAGAACATGTGGGCGCCTGTTTTGACCACAAATGACATATTCAGGCATATTGCAAATGAGAGAGAGGGGGGGGTTGCAGTTTGATTGCGCGCCCAAAAAAAAAAAAGTCTAGGATGCTCAGACTCACCGAGCACTCCAAGCGGATTGAGCCATAGAATGTAGGCAAACAGGAGGCTTGTCTGTGGCTCTGGGACAATTTCGCGCGCGACACGGTGCTCGTGCTCGATCTTGGCATCCTTGTAGAGCGACGGAAGGCGGAAGAGATCGACCACCCAGCCCACGCCCAGCAGGCCGAGCGTGAAAAAGTACACAAAGCCCCAGCGGATGCGACCCAGGTAGAAGTGGTGCGCGCCTGTCCCAACAGAGCAAAATTGATGATGATGATAATAATAATGATGATAATAATAACGATGATGATGATGATGATGAGTGCGAGTCGTGAGAATTCAAATGCAGGCAAACAGGACTTGTGTGGGAAGATTTGTTTACTTCGTTTTTGGAACTCTCAATCGTCCCATCCAGTCACACTCTCACCCCACCGCCGGACAGCATGGTTTATAAAACCAAGTCCAGACACACAAAGAGAAAGAGAGAGAAAGAGAGAGAAAGAGAGAGAGAGAGAGACTTACCGAGCCAGCCGAGAATCAGCCAGCACATAAACAGCTCGACGGGGCTCTTGCGAAACGGCAGCGTCGGAAGCGCCTGCTGCTGCTGCTGTTGCTGCTGCTGATGCTGCTGTTGGAGCTGCTGCTGGTGTTGCAGGTGCTGGTAGTACTGCCGGGGATGCACCTGCACCGCTGCAGACGGATGGTGGTGGTGGTGGTGGTGCTGCTGAGCGTACATCTTGTGCACGAGAAGCAGAAGGAGGAGGACTGATCCTGGAAAAAAAAAAGAGCGAACGAGCGACGATGACGCAAAACACGCGACAGACAGCACATCATCCGATCATTGCACAGCAGGATCGTCCATCCATTTCAAAGATCTTCAACAATTGACAAGCATAACAAAGTCAGGATGATTGTTGTGATGGAGAGAGCGAGGAGGAAGAAGACGAAGGCCTCAGACAATGGCGCAAACGCTGAGCTTTGATCCTTTGCATTGTTGTTGCCGTTAAATCTCCCCGTCATTCGCGTAAAAATGACGAGAAGGATTGTTTACAAGATTGTCGACTTGCAAACTCGTGGCTGGTTGGAATGCGACCACATCATTGCCAACAAAATCTGCCTGAAACGTCAAACAACTGAAACGTTTGCTGTTTCAAAGTACTGCATGCAAAGTTCTATCCAACGATGCGTGCAAAGTTGTACACAATGAAACGCACTCGACTGCGTAGAGCTGCTACTCGTGCGACACACCATCAGATGCAGAGTAGAGATCACTCGGTTGGCTCTCTCTCTCTCTCTCTCTCTCTCACTCTCTCTCTCTCTCTCTCTCTCTCTCTCTCTCTCTCTCTCTCTCTCTCTCTCTCTCTCTCTCTCACTTCTTCCCCAAATCTCCAAATCTCCAAATCCCGCAAATCCCCTCGCAGCCTTTCTTGTTTCGCAGCTGCCCACTCAAAAGCGACTTGTTCAACTTTATCATCCACCTTTCCACTTTCTACAACCTTGTCGATCTGAGCTTCTTAGTCTTTTTTTTTTTCGGCTTTTTTGCTTGATCTTTGACTATCTGCTCTCCCAAGTCCTCTCTCTCTCTCTCTCTCTCTCTCTCTCTCTCTCTTCTTGCGTTTGCCTTCTTTTGTTTAGCAACATGTCTGGGCTGACTGCTGCGTTCGAGAGCGAGGAAGGCGCTGCACTGGGGCTCTCGTACGACCACGACGAGCACCAGCAGCCGACGTCACAGCAGCAGAGCAACAGCCCTCGCCCAGCAGCCGCCTCGCCACCACCACCATCATCATCATCATCGTCATCATCGTCACCAGTATCAGCATCAGCATCCGTCCTCGGTGCGTCTCTTCACTCACTCTGCTTTGCAATGCACTCCATTTCACTTTTTCTTCGCTTTCACGTTGCTCATCCGCCATTGCAGCAGGGGCTTCCGACTGAGCAAAGCGGGGGGGTTGGGTGCAATGTTGAGGCTTCTTTCTTTGTCTTTGGTTCTTTTTGTAATCCATTCCATGCGTCTCTCTGGCTGTCTGTATGTTGGGAGGGGGGGAACATACAGCGAGGGGGAGACAAGTGACTGCCTGCTGCTATGCTGCTAGTCCAGTGTCCCACTGCCTGTGCTTGTGCCTGTGATGAGATGTCACTTTACCAAGCACTTTTAGCAACTACAGATGGAAACGAGGGCAAAACAAACAGACCACTCCGAACGAGTGAAGATGCGACGCGCTACAGCGAGTGATGCTGTTGGGTCGAGTTTTCAAGTTTCCCCCCACAACTCACACATACACTCATTCATACGCACATCGCTGTCAATGTCCATATGGAACACCCTTATCAGATACACAATGGGTCATGATGATGATGATCCAGTCTCTCTCCAAAAGTCATCCCTTCATCACGTCGTCCTGCAGATTTGGCACCCAACCACCACCCCTTCAACCACCCCTGCAACCACCACCCCCAAACAGACGCATTTTCGCGTGACTTTGCACACACCTGCGTTTGGAGTGCGTTCATGTGCAGATCATCAGCTCACCCCACTGCTTGTATTCTGTCCTTGAATCTCAGGACAAGCTCCGAAACCAACGCTGGCCGCAGCTGCTGCAGCAGCAAACCAGGACATTGCCAACTCAAGACCAAGCTCACCAAAAGCTCCCCCAAAGTACACTGTCGCGGGCTCAGACACGCTCGCAAGCATTGCTGTGCGCTTTGGAGTCACCTCGTCCGAGATTGTCGCCGTCAACCGACTCGTGTCAAGGACACTGTTTCCTGGCCAGGTAAGCCTCCCTGAAATTGTGACAAGTCGCTGTTGCTTGTCCGCCCATGTACATAACGCTTTTAATGCCGTTTCTCACCTCGTATGGTGTGGAATTCACAGGTCATTTCGTTGCCAGCATCCGCCGTCGTTTTGCCGCCTTCGTCATCCTCGCCATCCTCCTCCACCGCGACCTCTACCACATCCCCCTCTAACTCATCTACCGCAGCTACCACCCCCGCCTTGAAAGAATTGGATGCGGCACCACTAGCGCCGTCCGCCAGCGAATCCATCCTCGCAGCGTCCGCCCAAGCACTCGTGACGGCCCAGGCAGCCCTGAAGGCGTCTCGCTATGCGGGAAGCAGCAGCAACCTGCTCGGAGACACCACCAAGCAGCGAGCGGCGACGTCCGCTCCCATTGGCATCTCACGATCAAACTCCTCCCTCGGAACCAAAGAGCCACACGGCAGTCCGTCGTCATCCAGCCTGATGTTTTTGCACCAAAAGTTCTCACCTACCGCCGTCTCACCTATCGATGTTTCGCCAGCCAGCTCGCCTTTGCCGGTTGCGGAACCAAAACTGCTCTCCAGCAGCTTGAAGCGCGCAACTGGAGGCTTTGCCAACACGCTTGCGTCCGTGTTGACGTTGGGCTGGGCAGACGACAGGTCATCTCCGCCACAGCAGCAGCAACAACAACAACCACAGACGCAGCCACAGTCGCTGACGCAGGAGGTGCCACGTGAAAATCCCGTGTACGATAGCGACATCCCGCTCAATTTGGAACGCTTCTTCCAAATATCCGACAACCAGTGCTCAATTTCGTGCTACCTGTTGACTGCCAATCGAGGCACGGTGTACGGCATCTTGAGCATCTCTCCTGCCGAAATTGTCTTCCACCCTGACGACGACGACCCAATAGTGGTGAATCGAGGGGTCGATCCTTACTCTTTCCATTGCTCCTTGACGCGACTGATTGCGTATGAGGTGGTTGAAGCCTTCCCCGCGCAGAGCATTTCAGCGGTACGAAGTTATTGAATTTGTGGTTTTTTGGGGGTTTGGCTTTGTTGTGGCTTTGTTTTGTTCTGGAAGTCCTCAACTAACCCGCCTCCGCCATGACAGACTGCGCTAAATGTCGATCCACAAGAAGTGCGGTATCTCGCCATCACCATTGAGGGCAGTGCGGCTGCTATTCCGATTGACCAGGACGATGACTATAAGGCCCGCTATTGGCTTGCCATCAGCGTCAAATAGTAAGTTAGGAGGCGGGGCAAAGTGCCTCGTTGCCTGGTGGACTGTTTCTGAACTTGCCTCTCTATCTGCTTGGCATCAGTGTCGACTCGGTTTTGGTCCATCTCTTCCAATGCGCGGATCACATTGAGCCCGATTCGGTCCTCAATCTGTCTGGCATTACAGAAGCGTTGCGCGAGACCACGCCCCGATATCAGCCACAACAGTGCGTTGCCTTTTGTTCCAGCTTGACATTTGAAACCTTGACATTTGAAACGAAAGTCTGGTTTCTTGTCGTCAACTCATCTCTATTTGGCTTCTTTTTGTCTCAGAATGGCTCATCCTGTCGAAGTGAGCCTTGATTTTGTTTCACAATCCTCAATCTTGACTCGTGAAATGGCTGTTGAGGTGAGTTTCACGAAGCCAAAGATGGATTTTGTGATCAAACTCTTTTTCGGATTTTGTGATGAAACTCTTTTTTGTGTTAACCGGCCATGACTTGAATTCTGCTAGATTATCAACGCACTGCCACTGCGAGTGCGTGATAGTCCGTGGCACATCAACTACAGCACTTTTGCGCATGGAATCAGCTTGAAGACATTTTATCGCAACCAACTTCATATTCGAGAACATGCTGTTGTATTACTCATCACTGACATGGATGGCAACGTAAGTGGATTGGTGCAACTCGACTGTACTCGTGATGAATCGTCAAACTGCGATGGTCTCTCACTATGAACCGGCTTTCTTCAGAAATTTGGCGCATATGCGTCGGAGCCGTTCCGAGTGACCGAAGGCTACATTGGGTCTGGCGAATGCTTCCTTTTCCGCCTCACTCCGACCTTTGAGGTCTTTCGTTGGACTTTTGCCAATCATTACTTTATGCATGGGACTATTGACGGCATCGCTATGGGTGGTGGCGAGTACGTATTGTTGTGTTTCGTTCGGATTCAGGTTGTTTGGCTTGGGCCTCCGTACTCACTTGGCCTTGTGTGCTCCTCTCTTTCAGCGGCGGGTTTGGCCTTTGGTTTGACAACGCGCTGCACCACGGAGCCACCAAGCCGTGCCTGACGTTCGACAACCGACCTTTGACGGACAAGACAGATTTCTTCATCGCTGGTCTCGAGGCGTGGGCATTGCTTCCATCCCCTTAAGAGACCCTGAATATTGTTATCCAATTCATAGAAACAAAATGTACTAGCCCAACATTAAAGATGAAAAATAAATGTATTTCGAATTTTGCGATAACTTTTTTTTTTTGTTTCCATGAGATGGATCCGCACGAGTTCAACAAGACAACAGATGAACAAGCTGCATAAGGGACGCTATCCATTAAAGCTGCGAACGTCCTCAGCTCGCACGCCAAGTTCATTGCGCAGCATCGAAGTGACGTCGCGCATGAAAGTGGGTCGGCCGCAGATAAAAATGGACGGTCGACCTTCAGGCCCACTGCCTACATTGGTGGCCAGTGTTGGTACTTCGTCTTCATCGACCCTCATTGAGCAGGAGCTGGACGAGTCCGCCACAGAGGACTCTGGCGTGCAACCAAGAACTTGCAGCAGGTGCTCGCAAAGGATGGTTGGATTGACAATGCCATACGAGCAGGTGGCTGGATCCGGTGCATTCAATGCTTGATCGCTCGGTGGCAGCGCAGGCGCCACGTCCATGCGCTGAGCATTGGAGAACGACGATGCCTGCGAGAAGGCGACCGGTTGGAAGAAGCTCTTGATCGAGCTCTGCTCGCCCTCGGTGCCAGGCGCATAATGTACAACGTGGTGCACGTGGAACCACGAATTCATCTCTGCCAGCGCTTGAAGCTCGCTGTACGCAAGAATATCTTGCACAGTTTGATTGCAAAAGACCAGCGCTACAACAAGCGGAGATTGCCCGACCATGTGGCGTCGCTTGTTTTCACCAACGCAATTGCGAATGATGCGCAGCATTGGCGTGATGCCAGTGCCTCCGGCGACCATTCCAATGCGATGCAGAGAGCCCAGGCTTACTGGCACGCCCAGCGTCCCGCTAACGTCAATCATGTCGCCGATGCGCAAGCGTGTGAGGCTTGGCGTAAACAAGCCGTCGTTGTACCGCTTGACAAGGAACTCGAGCTCGGCAGCTGTGCCGCTGGGCAGTGCTCGCACGCGCACAGGCGTGTAAGGACGTGAAATGTTCATAAACTCGACTTGCAGTGCCAAATCGACGTGCTGCGCAATGCCAACAATGCCCACGGCATCGCCGGATTCCTCCGGAAGCAGAACGCTGGAGGAACCGTCAATGGCATCCGGCAAGCTGGAAGCGCTCAATGACTGTGATGTGGATATGCGCGGCAATGGCAGGGGAACAACCACCCGCAGCCAAACAGTGTTGTGATTGGCGGTGCTGATGGCAGTGACTCGGCCTGCGTTGAATCGCGTCGAGACTGAATCGGAAGAACATAAACCAAAAGCAAAACAACAAAAAATGAGCTCAGCAACAATCAGGACACGACGCTCACGGCACGTCAGCAAACTACTCACCTGGAGAGCTGATGCCGCCGGAGAGGTGAACGGGTTGAGTGACCATCGGCTGAGCGACATTGGCAAGAACAGGAGAAGCTGTGCCACCAATGTCAGGAGTGGAAGTCCACGGCATCCACTCTTGACTGACCGCGCCAAGTTTGCGAACCATTGTGCCGGGTTGGGCCTTGGGCAAGGACACGCCAAGCTTTGCAGCAGCCACGTTGGTGACACACAACTCGGATTGGATGGTGGTACCAAGATCAGCGCGGAAAAAGAGCCGCCGCTTGGCCTGGGTGGCTGGCGACGCAGCATGGCTGTTGATGGCGGGGAGCTTGTCGACACTCCCGCTTGGAGAAGGACCCGCAGAAACTACTGGAGGAACAACGAGCAGCTCCAGGGCAATGGAGTCTCGACCAAAGCGCTCTTGCACAATGTCGGACTTGGTGACGCCCTTCACGTAAAGAATAACAACAATGTGGGTGGATGTTTCATACCAGTCGTAGCGGACGCCAGGCTCGCCGGAAGTCGTCAATGGCGCCACGACAGATGGCATTGGCGGCTGTTGGACGACGGACTGCTTGGAAAGTCGGGCCATCTCGCTCGCCGAGAAGAGGTTGGATGCGCTGGAGGATGGGCCGAGGCGCTTGTTCGACGTCGTGATGGTGAGCGGCTGGGCAAACACGGACGACGCGCTCGCACGAGCCACCCGACCGCTGCTGCTGCTGCTGCTTGTGCTGCTGGAAAGACTGCTGGCACTGCCACCCGCGGACGGAACAATCATCTTGTTGTCGCGCGTCAATTGGCCTTCCATCTTGTCGCCGTTGTCATCGTCGTCCTCGTCCTCGTCCTCCGCGTACGGATTGTCCGGGACCAAGAAGCCAATCAAGCACTTTTCCAACATGGACTCGGCATTCACCCACGCATGGATGTCTTGGAACAGCTGGGTGCCATCGCGACCGGCCGCCTTCATTAACTCGGCTTCACCGCCTGGGTGATATGCCACATAACGCGTAATGTTGTACACCTTGCCTCGCAGCGCCATCCAACAGTCTGTGCGTGACGCATGCTTTTGCAAATCGCGGAGCGTCACGCGCAGCAAGTGTTGGCGGCCAACGCCGCCAGTCAGATCGATGCCCGTTTCGCGTGTGAGTCGCACCCAGTCGTTCAATCCATATCCAGGAGCGAGACGGACCTGAACGAATGGAGGCCAAAATTGTTTTTCGCAGTTCGATTTAGGAAAAGATCAAGTCAGCCGAGGTAAACAATAACAAACAAACAAACAAACAAACAAACAAGCTCACGCACTCGCTCAGACAAAACCACAACCACAACCACAGCCACAACCACCCACACAGCAACACGCCAGTCAAACCGAAAAAAAGGACCAAACATGCGCCCATGACCAACTTGTGCCAATGTTGTGATTGTTGATCGAAAATGCTCGTGTGACAGGCAACCTCGCACCCCCACTGTTGCTGCTTTGTCTGTCACAAGTCCTCTGTGTTTGTTCCTTCTCGTCATGTTTGCTGCTTGAATTTACGATTCGTCGGAGCTGGTCGTATTGCGTTCTGCATGCGTTGCGTTGAACCAGCATTGTGTGTCGCAGCGGTTGAGAATCGGCCGATGCTGTTCGGGTTCCTCGTCGTCTCGTCCTCTCGTTCTCATCCTCCTCCCTCATCGTCACTCAACTCACTTCATCTACAATTCCATGCCCTTACTGCTCACCGAATGAATGACGAGTGAGTTGGCTGCCGTGTATTGTATGGGCGTAATCTGCTGGACGACAGCGAGAACTTCCCACTTCCCCCGATGCCGCACTCCCAAGCAAAGAGTACAACCCCATTCACCACTCTCCCTCTCTCCCTCTCTCTCCCTCTACTCTGCTCTTTGGGTGGATGCAGCTCGTCACGCACCCTCGTTGCCCAATTGAAGAACCGAGGCAGAGAACCGGGGAACAACAGTCCCATCGTCTCACATATGCTCACAGTGTCGCACTTGTTTGAAACAGACGACCTTCCCTCCTCGCTTCCCCTCTTTCCCCATCATACACTCTCCGATGTCAACAACAAAGGCGTCGCAGCAAGCAATTGGTATGTCACTCGACAATGCACGCGAGCCACAGGCGCGCTTCTGGACCACACGGCAAATGGAAGAGCGACAAGTGCGAAAACGAGCTCGCGCTTCCGTCTGTGGCACACGGAGCTTTCTCTGCTGTCTCTGCCATCTCCATTCTGCACCAGAGGGGACACTTGGGAATGGACAAAGACAGAAAGCGAGGGGGGGGGGCCAGGGCTCACCTTGTTGCGCGAGGTCGGCCGTGTTCCTGCTGGCACAACCAGCGTCGGAGCAGTAGACGAGCCATTGCCATTGCCGTTGGTGGCTGAGGATGCACTACCGCCAGCACGCTGCGGAGAGTCGAACGCCGGGAACGACGGTCGTTGCAGCATCGGGTGTGAAATGAATGAGATGGGGTGGTTTTGGCGGGAAAAGAGAAAGGACAGGGGGAGGGGAAAGAGAAAGGGGAAAGAGAAAGCGGGAGGACGAAAAAGGCGGGAAGTTGAAAATGTAGAGTGGAAAAAAATGGGGCAACCTTGCTGTGTATCAATCGCACAGGAAAGACGTGGGAAGATGGAATATGGGGAGTATGGGTCAAGGAGGCAAGAACGAACGTTTCAATCAACAACAACAACAACAAAAAGACACACACGCACAACAATCGCAACAACACAAAGGGGAAAAATAGCTTCTTGTCGCAACAGCCCTTTATTGCTTGCCGCCAAGAACAAGCAAATCACGAAGCCGACGGACGATGGAGTGAGCAAACGTGAAAGATGTGCTCGGCTTGAACTCGAGCTGAGCCTGCACATGAAGGAGAGAGGAGAAAAAAAGGAGGAGGAAACAAAAATGGTGAGCACCAACAACGCAAAACCAAGGTATCATCAAAAACCAAAAAACCAAAAAGCAAAAATTCCGCTAACCTCGCTGATGCTGGAAATCTGAGTAAGAACATCTCGCAGCGCAGTGAGCGCATCTTGCTGCAGCTGCTCAATGTCGTGAGCAGTGAGATTTGCGACAGACGCCGACTGCAGTGCAAACCCAAGCGCGTCGCTGGACGCGTCCGCGCCGTTGCGAGCAGGAGATGACAGTGTGTTATCTGTAAATGCGCCTGGTCGCGTCACCACAGCAAGCTGACCCAGCGGCTTGAAATGCACCAAAAAGTATTCGAGGTGTTGCCACAGCAAGAACACGGTGTTTTCAATAATGTCTGTGCAGAAACCAGTCAAGAACGGACATGGTCAGTATTCCATACACTCAGATGCTGCAAATAGATGGCTCGCAACTGTCGACAAAAACTCACATAACAAAGAATTAATCATGTTGGCGTCCTCTGCGGCCGTCTGCATCAAGCGAACACGCGCCAAATCCTGGCGTTGGGAGGTGGAAATGTCGCTGGTGAATGGGATGCCAGAGTCTGCCGCAAGCTGCCAGATTTCGAGCGTCATCACACAAAGACCGAAAATGAATTGGTCAGTACAAGACAAACACTACACTGCCCAATTGCAAACTCGGCGGCGTACCTGAGAAACTTCCTCGCTACTGAGTTCGGAAACGTGGGAAGCGCGATACAGCATCCGCTTGTGGTGATCGGCGACTTGAAGCAGCGAAACGACGCACGATTGCAAAAAGTGGGTCATCAAGCCCAATGTCGGCTGGTGCGCACTGACGTTGCCTGTAGTGAACAGAACGAAAACAAAGCAAATAAAAAAACGAAAAATAAAAAGGGATTGAGATCGGGTGAGCGATGAAACAACAAGACATGAAACAAAACGACAAAGTTTTTGTTGGTAAAAGTCACACTACCTTCAAGTTGCGGGCTTTGGTCGAGAAAGTGGGCAGGAAAAGAACTCGGCGGTTGATTGCAGAACCTACACCCAAAACAATCTTGTGGTTTAGCTCATTCGATTTTTTTTTTCAAAGTCTTCAAACACACCACAATGCCCTGCCACCTCGTTGACACCAAAATACTCCTCACCTCGACTGTCAGACAGGGTCAAAGCATGACAGTAGCTGACAAGGTTGGCGCAGATCTGCTCGGCAGCCACACGCGCGGCACGCTGCTCGGCTTGCGAAAACTCGACGGCGCGAGTGGCCCACCATTCTCGTGCGCTGAGGCTGCTGTCGCCACTGGTAGCAATAAAGGTTGTTGGGGGGCCAACAGTCAACGATGCGGCGAGCGTGTTGGAGTGCGCCGAGCTGGTCGCAACCTTGCTGCCAGCCGCAACAATCAGGGCCGGCATGAATCGCGGCAGAAGGTCGATGATGAGCTGATGGAAGCGCGAAGCACGCGCCTGCAGAGAATCCTGAATCAGGCTGTCGTGCTCGGCAACCTGCGCAAAAATGGCCGTCACTAACGACAGCTCCTCGAGCGCAGCAAGCGTGAGGCGAGGCAGCCTGTCGCGAAGAATTGTGGTGAACGTCTCTGCGTGGCGGTTGATGAAGGCAAGCGCTTGACGCGCGGCATCGAGGTGGTGCGGGCAGGACGAGAGCACGCTAAGAACCACACGAAGCACGGGCAAGACCAATCGATGGTACCGCTCGAGGGAGGTCGGCACGAAAGCGCCATCCGCCTCCATGTCGTCCGCGAGCATGGCAGAAAGCACGCGCGTGCCGTTGCCGTTGCCCGAGCCGCTGGCCGTCGCACCACCATCAGGGCGAGCGTCAATGAATCCGCAGTCGCCCAGGATTGGCAGCAGACGGAACTGAAGCAGACGCTCGGCGCCATCGCGGCCTTGGCTGGCGATTCGCAGCAGGAAGGCCATCTTGGACTCGTAGACGAAGAGCGGGTTGAGCGATGCTGGGTTTTCCACCAGCATTTCTCGCAGCGGCACGTCCTCAAGCGCAAGGTCTGCCACAACTTGCTTCAAAAACCCGCGCTCAGTCACGTACATCATCCACTTGTTGTTGAAGCGGTCGCTGCCCACAAGCGTGTCAAGGATGGCAAACGCCATGGACTTCCAGACTTCTGGGCCATCGCGGGCATCGCTGCAAAGCGTGCGCACAAACACTTCGCCGTGGCTGGCAAAAATGTCGGCATTGCCCTGGATCAGTGCACGCTGCTGGGTGCCCAGACCGTCAGTGCCGACTGCGGCAGAGCCCAGCATGCCATCGCCGCGCTGCTGGCGCGGGAGCCACGACGAGAGTGCAATGCTGTTGGAGGCAGCCTGGAAGGGCGAGGTCACCATGCCTCCGGTAGGCTGCGCCAGCTGGATGTAATTCAACAGGGCGCCATACAGGTTGCCACGCATCGGCTTGGAGGACCCAGCCCGCAGAATACCCGCAAGCAGCCCGCGAAGAATGGCGTGCAGCTGGTCCACCGGCAAACGGGAGGTGGAGGCAGTCGAGACAATGCTCGACAGGTTGGACAAGAGCGCTTCGCTGTTGGAGGCAGAAGCGCCGCCCAGCGAGAGCGCGTCCAAGCCGAGGGCAATGCGGGCGGCACTGTGCTGACGCAATCGCGTGAGCAACGTGAGCGCAACGCCCGCCATCGACGAGGCAAGGGGAATGGCGCAGTCGGGAGCGCTAATCTTTGGAAGAAGCATGAGCACGAGCTCGTACAGGACGTCCGCCTTGGTCTCGAGCTCGAAAAAGAGCTCGAACGTGCTGGTCAGGGAAATTTCCACAACATGGCGCCACGCTTCCAGCAGACGCGCCTTGCCATGGAAGAGCTCGCGGGACTGATTGCGATGCAGGCACCAGAACAGGACATTGTGAATGTCGTGGGTCACGCTGTGGCTGACTTGGAACCCGTCGTCGGCGCCAGTAACCTGTCGGAGGAAGGTGTACAGGTGCTTGAGATCGATGACGCGGACATCCCGCTCGTTCAGCATCTCAAACTCCTCCAACTGAATCACGGCGGGCAGGCTCGGGAGGGCCGGCATTTCGGGCTCGGTAAAGGTGAGGTCGATGGTGTCCAGGATCTCGAGCATGCGGATGCGCGATTGCTCCATGCGCTGTTTCTTGGTAGCGCCGGTGCGTCGTCCGTTCGGTCGCGCTCGGCCGCGCCAGGCAGCCATGTCGTTTGCCGCAGCAAGCGAGTCATTGTCCACGCCGGATTGGTACAGGCTGTCGTCGGACTCAAAGTACGTGCTGCCGCCATTGCTGTGGTAGTCACCGTACACACGACTAGCATAGCCAAAGCCAATATCCGAACCACCTGCACCTGCAGAAAACTCGGATGCGTCGTCGTCATAGTCGCCGTCCATCCGATCGTCCTCGAGAGCATACTCGTCCGTTGCGTCATCCGTGTCGAGCCCGGAGGACGACCACGCATTCTCGCTAAACAGCAGCTGGAGGAGGCGCTGCGTGTGCGATCGCTGGCCACTCTGGGCGGTGATGTGGATTTCGATCGCCAGAGTGCGGAGCAACCACGAGCGCTGGTGCAAGGAGCACAGGTCAGAGTAGCTGCGCCCGAGAGGAGCAGAGGCGGGCACAACACCACGACGGATGGCCGAATCGGGTCGCCCACGCGCCGGCAGGTACTTGACGTGGCGGTAGAAAAAGTCATTGTGGTTGCGAAGGAAGCGCATCGTAGGGCCAGTGGTGAGGCGGTTGACGCAAAGCTCGTGGATGAGCTGGTAGCAAAGCTCTCCAAGACGAGGGTGGAATCGCATCACGTCCGATCCGTAACGTGACACCAGGCCAGCATCGAGAATGTCAATCACTGCGTGGAAGCAGGTCAGCATGGCGTGCGGCGTGTTGGGGTCTTGCAGCGTGGATGTAGGCACGGGGCGCGAGACCTCAAAGCCAAGCAGCAGGTGAGCAAGGTTTGGCGCAGGCTGCGTCTGAAGACAGTCCAGCAACAGGGCGAGAATGCCTTGGCGCGTCGCGTTGCTCATGCGCGCGTCATGCAAACGCTCGTCACGGTGAAGGGGCGAACGAGCTGCGCCCAGCAGGAGCGACTCGACAGGTGCCCATTCTCGGCGAATAAACTCAGAGCTCGCGGGCGACACGAGGGCGTTGGACGCAAGCTGGGCAATGGCATCGACGTGTGTGTCGACATCAGCGCTCGATGTGGCATCAAACCCATCCTTGGCCGAGAGCTGTTGGTCGGCCGACGCCATCACCAAGTCGCCTTGAGTCACGGGCAGCCAGCGCTCCAGCTCCTCTTCCTCGGATTCGTCTTCGGCCAGACGTTGGCGAAGGCCTTGCAAAATGTTGCCCAGTTCACCGGACTGTTGGATGAGGTGCACAAGCGTCACGCGTGCCGTGGCGACCTGACCGAGCCAGTGCAGCAGACGCGTCGCGCGATAGCAGATTTCGGGACGACGGTGGTAGCCCGTCAGTTTGGCGATTTGGATGGCGTGCGTGGTCGGCAGTCGCGAGGCGTCAGAATGCATCGTGAGGAGCAGGCGGTCGAGCGACGACACGGTGATGCTGGTATTCGAGAGGCGGATCTTCTCGATGAGGGAGCCCTGCGCTTGGAAAACTTGCTCGAGCAGCCGCAAAGACCAGAGCATTGCTTCTTCAAAAGCCCGGCTGGACTCTGCCAATTGCGGATCCGACGAGCTGGCAGAGCGATCAAAGTCCTCGTTCAAGGCAGACATGCCCTGGTCGACAATCCACACGACCTTGCGCGCCAGCTCGGAGCTGTTCAGCAGCGTGACGAGCAAATCGAGCCCTGGATTGACGACAGACAGGCTGGTGCCGTCGTTGGCTTGTCCGCGGCTGCTAATGGACAGATTGGACAAGCTCGGCGTCGGCATCTCGCCCGAGCTGCTCTCCAAATCTTGGACGGTCGGCGTGTACGCTTCGATGGCCAAGAGGAAGAGACGCAGACAAGCAGAAGCCATTTGCCACTTTTGCTTCGGGCAGAGGTACGCGCGTGTGTTGAATCGCAAAAACACGCGATCGCGAAGGAAGCCCACGTAGGGTCCGAGCAGCATGGGACTCGAATAGTCGACCAAACGGTTGAGCAAGTACAGGAAGGCAAGCGTGTACGTGTAAACGCGCTCGTTGGCCTCGATTTGCTCGAGTTCGTAGCGGATGCCACCTTCGACAAAGCCAGCCAATCGAATGGCGCTCGGTCCCGCGGCAGCACCACCAGCAACAAGAGCGCTCGCGCCAGAAGCGGACACACCACTGCCAGCGGCTGCATCCCCTGCAATATCCACGTTGCGATCACCGTTCGCCTGTCGGGAGCCGTTCAGAACGCTGTGTTTGCTCAACAGGAGCCACATGTCGTCGGCGGAAGAGGTGCTGTTGACGAATGCTGCCAGGGCGTACACAATCTCGGCCTTGAGTTTGGCCGGGACACGGGACCCGAGCAGGCCAAAGAGAGCGTCGGACACATACTCGGGTTTGTTGAGCGAGCTGAAGGCAGAAGGGCTGGCACTGACGACCTGGCGGATGAGACGCAGCGTCGACACGGTTGTATCGAGCTCGTACGGAGCCATCTCGCCAGTCGGGTTCGCGGCGAGCTCGTCCACGTACTTTTTCAAGTTGATAAAGAGGGACGACCAGGACAAGATGCGGCTGGCGCCCGAGGAGACGCCCAGTCCGTGGAGCTGGCTGTTGCTGGAGCCGCTCAAGAAGCTGAACGTGGCGTTCGCGGCCTGCATGCCAGACGAAAGTGCAACCAGCAGTTCGAGGAAGGCGGCCAGATACGACACGGGCGCCTCTGCAGTCACGTGGATGAAATGGGGGAGATTGAGCGAGCCAGAGACGGAGGCGATATCCCAGAACTTGAGGCACAGCTCGGGCTGGCCACGGTAGGTTGCGGCGACAAAACGCAGAAAATCGTCAAACGGTGTGTGACCCGCCTGATCGAGAGCGCGCTTGCGCTGTTCAATCACCGCATCGCGCCGTTCAATGTGCTCCTGCAGTTGCTGTTGCAAGTACTGAAGGTGTTGCTGCTCATTGTTTGCGCGCGCGCTCGAGCCGTAAAACGCCGTCGTCGCGTCAAAGTAACCGCCCGCGCCGGCACCAGTGCCCCAGTTGAAGAGGTTGCGATTGTCCGAATTGCCGCGGCCATAATTGGCTCCGCCGCGCCCAGAATTGAGCGTGAACGAGGCGCCAATGTCAGCCGAGAGCTCGGCTATTTGGTCTTGGAGCTGACGCACCTGTGCCTCGAGCAAGTCCTCCTCGGTGAAGCAGTTGCGCATCCGGGCAAAGTCGTCGTCACAGATGCTGCGCAGCTCTTCGATGCGCGGGCGCATGGACTCAAAGATGGAACAGATAAACTCGTCGAGCTTGGACACGAAAAACTCGCGATTCTCATCCCGCAGCGAAAAGCTGTGGGACGCCATGAGCTTGGAATGCAGGTAAAAGAAGGCGCCTTGCTCCAACGCTGCGCCAAAGTACCGCGAAATTTGGGTGTCGACATCGTTGTCCGCGTTTGTGAAGGCTGTGGCAGCCGCGGGCGCATTGTGCAAAAAGAGGGACCACGCGAGATACAGCACAGAGTTCAACGCAGGGCCTGTTGCGGGAAGCGGGGCATCGAGCGTAGCTGGAGTGCTCAGGACGATGGCCGCAGAGCTCGAGCTGGATGCCGCAGAAGAAGCCTGGCTGCGTGACAGCTCTTGGTCGAATTGACGGATAAAGTCAGAGTTGTTGGCCAGGCCGACGGCGCCGCCAGCAATCACAGCAGATGCGACGCGCGGGGCCGGGCTGGTGACTGCACCACTGTCCCACTCACCGGCGTCCGTGCGAAGGACGTCGAGAACCGCCAGGGCGGTCATGAGCAGCGTGGCAGTGACTTGGTTTGGAACGTCACGAAGTTCGCTGCGATCGGACTTGTTGATCGAAGAAGCACCACTACTGGCGCTGGCAGCGCTGGCGCTCGAGTCTTGTTGGAGCTGCAACAACTGTTGCTGCTGCTGTTGCTGTTGCTGTTGGTGATGCAGCTCTTGGTTTGACGCGGAGGTGCGAAGCAAGGCAAGAAGCTTGAGCGATTCGCTCGCGTTGAACGAGGACTGATAGGCCATGTAAAACAGACACTCTGCCAGCGTTTTGCGCTCCTCGCGCATGTAGGATGTTTGGATGGCGGGGTAGGGCAGCGCACTCATGGTCGATTCCAGCGAGCCGATCAGAGTAATGATGGTGATGCGCACGCTGTCCGTCTCAACCAGCGTGTCCACGAAACGGCGAACGACGGCGATGAGCTGCTCGCTCACCTCGGAGGCCATGCGGGCCTTGATCAACTGGAGAAGCGAGCCAAGCAAAAAGCGACGCTCAAGGTGGTACAAGTGCACCGCTGCAACAACTGGATCGTGGCCAAACTGGTCCTGCTGCTCGACGCCGTCCTGCAGAAACTCGGCGCAGACGATTTCGTTCAACAGCAGGAGGTCGCTCAGCTTGAGCGCCTGCTTGACAAAGTCTGGCGAGAGACGGCGGCTTTCGCCTCGCAACACTGCCTCGCCCTTCTCGACGCGTTGCCGATCGGCGGGGTTTTTGGCAGGGTTCTTGAGCAGGTTGATGAAGGACGGGCGGTGCTGCATGAGCAATGCTTCGAGCTTGCGTGCAGCTGCCGGGGTGCCCTGCAGTACGCACTCGTCGACAGTGGCAGCCAGCTGTCGGAATGAGGATGCGAGGGCGGCGGCCGCCGCTGCACCTGACGCAGAATAGGAAGCGTTCGTCAAGGTGGAGGTGATCACAAGCGGCGGGGGCAGAGGAGGTGCTGCGGGCGCCACTGCCGCTGCAGCAGGCGCAGCTCCCAGGCCTCCCAACATGGCGCTCTGTTGACCGAGGCCGAGGCCGCCGCCGAGTGGTTGCGCACCCAAGCCTCCCAAGCCTCCCAAGCCGCCCAGCCCGCCGACACCAGCACCAGCAACAGCAGGTCGAGGTGCTCCAAGGCCTCCAAGGCCTCCAGCGGGTGCCAGACCACCGATCGGTGCAAGTCCACCAAGACCCCCACCAATCGGAGCAGCAGCGCCGGGCAGGGCACCGAGTCGGGGAAGTCCAGCAGCTCCACCGCCGAGCGCGGGAGCCGCGGCTCCAAGACCGCCCATACCGCCAAGGCCCGTGCCACCGAGGCCAGCGCCAAGGGTCGGACGAACTGCTCCCGGCAACAACGCCATTGGTTTTGCTTTGTTACCAGAACCTCACCGAGATGACTTGATGTGTGTGTTTTCGAGTTCGAGAGTTGGGCGGAAAGAGAGAGAGAGAGCTTTGGTTTTGGACAAAGACAGGGTTTCTCTCGTTCTTGCTCGAGACCTGCGAATGGATCCAACCCAAAACACGCATAGCGTTCAAACGGGAGCACGCAACAGTGAGCATGTGAGATGAGTGGATGCAGATTCGATGCAGAGCGGGGGAAGGGCGAGCGAAGACGAGGAAGAGACGACGACGCGCGGGCAACAGCTTTCCCCCAAACCCTTCTTTCCCGCCCTCCCAGAAGCGGCATCCACGATGCGCAATGCGACAATCTGCGACTGATGAGCTCGTCTGTGAGTGCAAACGAGCGGTCGTGGCTCTTGGCTGTGGATCCAAAAGGGCGCGCAATGCTTTCCCCAAACACGAGGTCCTTTGCGCTTCCATCGCAACCCGCACGCCGTCACACTCGCCGACTGCAACGCAGATGGCTGATGGCAGGAAGTGTCCCAGTGCTGTGATGCAAAGTGCCACGCTTCGGCTCCAAGTGGGGGAAACGGGGACGACGGAGCGAGGACAAGCCGCTCGCATGGGCTTTTTCAATGCAACGATCTCACAAAAGTGAAAAATCAAAAAAATCCAATCCTTCTTCAATCCTTCAATCATCAAAAGGTCAGTCCCAGACGCTCAAGGGGGGGGAGGGGACGTTTGACTCGGAGTTCAACTTGGGGATGGGGATGGAAATAAATGGATGGGGGAGGACAAGACAGAGAGCGAGAAACTGTCAAAACCAACCAAAAAAAAAGTGAAAGAAAAAAACTCAGACTGCAGACTCAGACTCGCACGAGAGTGACAAAGGGGAAAACAATGGCAAAGTATACCTATAAGCAATACACAAAGTACGATCGAGGTGGACGTTGGATTCAGTGCTTTGAGGAAGAGAAATCGAATCGAGGAAGGAAGGTTGTCGGAACCTGGCCTGAATCACCCCACTGCAGCATGCTAGAATGGCCGCAGGGGGGGGGTACAATAGCGTGTACTTGAGAGTACATGTATTGTGAAAAATGAGGGGGAAAGATTGAACGGGACAGAGAATCCAATGCACAAGAATGGAGTTTTTCTCCAATGTTTTGACCGTCTGAACAGGAACATGGCCTACAACACCCGCTGAGGCATGCTAGGATTGAATGTGACAATGTCGTGTATTTAAGAGTGTCGCCAAGAAGCAGGCGAGAGTGTCGACCAGGAGGCTAAGCGAGCAGCACAAGGATTCAATCTTTTGTTTTTTGTGCTTTTTCCCCCATACATTATTTCGCTGCTTGCATTTTCATTTCAGAACATTCATCCAATCTTATCATCTGCTCAATTTTCGCATCGACTCAACGACGAATACCACTCAACAACAACCATTTTCGGGGGAATCCCCGCTCTTCCACAACAAAAATCGCTTTCAATTGCAATTTGTTCGCAATGATGATTTTTCCTCCTTTTCGTTCTTCCTTTTCCTTTCCCTTTGCGTTCCCACTCACTCACTCACTCTCTTACAGCCATTGTGTGTGTTTTCAAGTCTTTGTCGTCACACTGCCCATGCACCAACTCTTGCAACCCATCTCAACAGCCCGTTCTCCCTTTGCTTTTTTTTCCCACCCCGCTTCCCTCTTTTGTAAAACCACTCTTTCTTATTTTTATTTTATTTTTTTTTTTATTATTGTTCAGATGCGCTCTTCCGTCATCTTCACCGTCGCCATCCTCGCCGCGCTCGTTGTGGCCTCTGGCTCTGTCGCCCACGGCCAGAAGCTCGTCCCCAAGTACTTCACCCTCCTCTTCCGCGGCAGCATCCAGAACGCTACCACCGACCCCGTAAGCTCCCAACGCGAATGCGAATCCAAATTGATTCCTTCCCCCGTGATCTTCCTTCCGTTCCTCTGCTGCTTGCATTGCGCGTTCCGCTGTCAAACCGACCTTCTTGTCAACTCACTGTGAACTCCCCGCCTTTTTTTGTGTGATTGGAATGGTGCTGCAACGCAGATCCACGCTGCGGCCACGACCACCAAGTTCCAGACCAGCATTGACCCCAACCTTGGCTTTGTGACCACCGTCCAGTCGCTCCCCGGCCCCCTTGGTATGTCATGGTGCCTACCTTTTGTTCCAAGAGGGAAGTTGGGGGACAACCGCTTTGTTCCTTCGGTCACGGGAGCGGAAGACGCGGTTTCTCTCATCTCAGAGCCTCACCCTCTCCTCTTTATTCTCAGTCACACTCCATTCGCTTCTTGCTTTTGGTTGAACTTTGACTAACACCGTCCTGTTGATTTTTGGTTGGCTTTCTGCTTGAACTGCAGCTGTCTGGGACGCCACCATCTTCGACTACAAGCAAAACCCCGACTTCTCTGCCACCTTCAGGGAGAACGGCACCATCTCGTTCGGCCTTCACGACGCCAAGCCGCACGTTCTTCACGTTGAGGGCGAGGGTGCTTTCCGCCCCGTCACCAGCACCTCGTTCGTTGGCACTGTACGGCAACAACTTTGATTCTTGTTTGTTATGGTGCCTTTGAGCGCTTGCTCACTCCCAGTGGTCTTTTCTTTCCAGGGTGCTTGGCGCATTGTGTCTGGTGAGGGTCAGTTCGCTGGCGCTACTGGCTTCCTCTCTGCCACCTGGTTTGGCGAGATCGACCCCAAGGATCCCACCCGCCTCGACACTGAGAACACTGTCACTGGCAACTTCTTTGTCAACGCCTAAGCAGCGTGGCCCCTTGGCCCCTGCCTCCTCTGCGTCTGCCCGCTTGTTGTGCATTTAAGTGCGAGGATGTGTGCCTCTATGATGAATGTGTTCCATCAACAAAAGACTTGGAAGGAAGTGTAAAATGAGCATCAAACATTATTGTCATCAAAGAACCAGGAAAAAAAAAAAGAAAGCGATAAACCACCCTTGTCACGACTCGCACAAAGGAGGCTGCGAAAGCAAGAGTCAAAACAACAGAACGAACGAAATCCAGTCATCGAGCAGATTCGCCAACGACCGGGGAGTTGGCAGAAGTTCCAGTCGTAGAATTACTAAACCGATTCGTTGGGATAAGCGGAGTGGACGAGACCTGCACGGGGGTCGCAGGTCGGGAGCGCGAGCGACTGGGAGAACTGGGTCGAGCAGAAACGCTCAGCACTGTTTCGAGCAGGCGCGGCAGCGCTCGGCTGCGGTTGATCACCTCGAAATCTTCATCGTCACTGAGCTCTTCGTCGGACTCGTTGTCGGATCGATCGTCAAACTGCTCGTCATAGTAATGATCGGCCACCTCACCAGCGGCGGACATGCGCGAGAGAAGGAAGAGCACCGGGGTGACAAAGAAGGCCATCTGCAAGCCAATGTACCCAATCGTGTAGCTCGCAAACGAGCCCAAGAAGGCAATGCTGCAAATCAGCGGAATAATCACCACCTTGAGGGAAACGTAAAACCGAATGTCAACGCTCAGCTCGGCCTCTTCGCTCAGGATGCGCATCTTGGTGTGAGCGGTTCGCGGACGCAGCAGCACGTACACCCAAATGCCTGCTTGGAACATGGCGGCAATAAAGATGGTTCCCGCCGCAAGCTGGACGACAATAATTTCACCAAAGCTCGCAGTTGTCGCAAAGTCCGTAATCAGCGAAGAGCAGAACGGAATGAAGCCCACGAACGCGAGCGAAATGTTGTTAAAGACCACCATCAGCGTGGTGCACCGCTCGACGTTGAAGTGGATGACATGGTGGACGTGCCAAAGAATAGCCACCAACATGAACGATCCCACGAACGACAGATAGGACGGCCACAGGTTCTCGAGCACGCCAACCAGCCCTGCGTTGTCAGTGTCCTGAGTGCTTGGAACCTCCACGGTAAGGACGAGCAGGGTGGCGGCCAAGCTAAACACGCCGTCAGCAAAACCCTGCAGACGCGCCAGATCGAGGGCTCCGTCGCGGAAGGGCGAGTCGTTGACCAGCAGCAGCACCGTGTTGTAGCGGCGGCGAATGTAGCGATTTCCCGAATAGTTGATTGCCGGCGTCATGAGCAGCAAGATCAGGAACGCCCAGCCAGCATAGACAGAAATGAAGGCGCTGATCAGAGCGAGGCTGCAGAGCGTCGGAATCACCAAAAGCGGCAAGCACTGGATCCACACGCCGCGCGGACTGCTGTTAAACGCTTTGCGAGCGAGGAATGAAAGCAAATGCGGCCGTGAAGACACGTACCGCACCATCAGCAGCTGCGACCCACCGACAATCAGCAGGTTCAACGAGGCAATCACGACTGCTATTGTGGAAGAGCTGTAGCGGCCCAGCAGTGTGCACGAGAACGGGATAAAGGAAGTAAACAGCAAGACGAACAGGTTGATCCAAGTCACAATGTCGTCCACATGCTTGATCAAGCGGAACAAGCGCACATGAGAAGCCCACATGTTTGCAATGATTGTAAAGGATGAGAGGTCTGTTTGTTGGATGTTGTTTCGATGTGGAGATGTGAGTTGCAAATGCAAACGGGGGGGGATTTCCAGCCGTCGAGAATGAAACGTACAAATGAGAAATTGCGGGAGCATGCTGTACAAAAAGTGCTCCAAGTCTGTATCATCAGGAAGCGGCTTGGTGACTTGCAATGGCAGGACCTGTGATACATGCCCAAACATGTTTTCGAATGATGATCAGGTGGTTTGAGCAAAGGGAAAGCGCCGCAAAAATGACAAACGAGGTAGCACCAACCCGCTGCAGTGCGCGCCAACGTACCATCAATGTAGCGGCGACACCAAAAATCGAGTCGCTATATGCCTCGAGACGACTCGTCATGTACACGTCGTGCAGCTTTGCTTTGGAGAGCCGCTTCACCAGCGACGTCTGGCTGTTACCATCGACAGGAAGCAGCGGTTTACTGCCACTGTTGCTATTGCTATTGGTGTTGCTACTGCTATTGCTATTGGTGTTGCTGGTGCCGCTGGGGCGGATTTCGACGACCGAGTCTGACACGGACACTTGCTTCAAGGACCCGCTCCGTGGGCTGGACGCCGACGACGAGCTTGCTGCCTGCTGGTGCTGCTGATGCTGGTGCTGCGGATGCGACATCATGGCCGATCTCAAGGACGACGACGACTCGCTCCGCCGCACAAAAACCTCGTCCAAGCGTCGTGAAGCGGCTGTGGTTGGCGTTGTGGGTGTGGATGTGGACGTGTCTGGCTCGAACAGCCCTGGCGAGTCGCTGCCTGGTCGGATGTACGGTGGGAACGGATCGGTCATTTGACGCGAAAAATAAAAATAACAACTCTAAATAATAGCGAAGGTCTATGGAAATGGTCGATGAAAGTGCAATGGATGGAATAGAGGAATAAAGAGAGAACGAGTGAGCTTTGTTATGGTGGACTGGGTGACTGAGGCAAAAGGCAAAACGCCAAGACCCGAGATCGAAAACATGGTGAGGTTGTATTTGCACCATCAGCAGCAGCATCACCCTGTCATCTTACTTGCGTTTTTATTCTACGAACGATTTGTTTGTGCGTTCGTTCAAATGCATGACGGCAGTCAACTATTTCTGATTTCTCGATGCAACTCTCAGCCAAGTTGATCGTTGTGGTTGGTGTGCTCTGCGCTGCCATGCTCGCGATGGGCGGCCTGCCACTCGTCACTGCCCACGTCCACGCCTCCAAGGCCAGCATTGGTAAGTCCCAGCACCGAACGCACCCCAGAGCCCACGATCGGTCGCTCCTCTTCCCTCCTCCTCAACTCGAGAAACAAAGAAGAAAAAAAAAAACGAGAGAAAACGTCTCCTCTCTGCCAGTACCATTCAGTTTCACTCGAGATCATCATAGCTCGCGCACCTGCATGACGTTTGTGTCGAGTCTAACTGGTTCAACTTGTGGGGCGCCACAGGGTACGAGCACGTCACTTGCGGAAGCGTCGTCAAACTCACGCACGCACCGACGGGCGCCAAGCTCCACTCGCATGAGGTCAAGTACGGCACGGGCTCGACGCAGCAGTCCGTCACGGGCTTCCCACAAGCAGATGACACCAACAGCTACTGGACTGTGCGCGGCCCCCACGACGAGTACTGCGAGCGCGGGTAAGGCTTTTGTTTTGTTTTGGCGCTGCCAAGCTTGTGCCAGCTCAGCTCCGTTCAGCTCGCGCTGCGCTGTGCAGTTCTCGATCGCTCAGATCATCCGATCGTCGTCGTGCTGTTTTATTTGGCGTGCCGGTTTGACTATCGACAAGCTCCTTTCTCACCCTTCGGTCCGTTCTATTCCACAAATCTTAGACATCCGATCAAGTGCGGCGACGTCGTCCGTCTCACTCACCTGAATACCCGCCGAAACCTGCACTCCCACCAATTCCAATCCCCGCTTTCGGGTCTTGTTGAAGTGAGCGCTTTTGGCGAGGGCGGCAACGGCGATGCTGGTAGGTAGTTTGTGTGGTTGATTTTGCTCCTGTTTGTTTTGCTCCAGGCTCTGTACGACGAGGAAAGACTATGAAGACTATGCTGCATCTCATCCATTTCTGCTTGTTTGATTGCGACTAGGCGACAACTGGAAGGCAGAGTGCACTGGCTCTCACTGGATGCGCAACGCTGACGTTCGCTTGCGACACGTTACCACTGGTCAGGTAAGACAGCCATCCTTTTTCTTGATGGCAATTCTGCCCCACTAGCTGTCACATCAAGAGTGATTTCTGGTGTCAACGACCGCAAATCTGATTCGTTTGTTGTTGTTTCTTTGTTTTTGTTCTTCTCGTTCTTCTTCTTCACTTCAACAGTACTTGCACATCACTGGTCGCCATCAATTCGGCAGGCCCATCCAAGGACAGCATGAAGTTGCTGCCTACGCACGTCCCAGCAACGAGAACGTGTGGCGAGCAGAGGTAAACCCATAACACCAAAATAACAAAAATTGCAGACTTTGACAAACGGACCCCTCATCCATGCGTGTTTTCATATTTTTGTAGGAGGGCATTTACATCAAGTACGAACGACCTGAAACCGACGAAGATGACGAGTAGTCTCATTCTGAAACGCGCGTTTCACCTCAAATATACTTCTTCTGTTTGCTGGTCTTCTTTTTTCTCCCTCACCCTCGCTCACTGAACTGACGCTGCTCCTCCATCTCAACCAGTCCATGTTCTACCCTTTCATCACAACCACGCATGAAAAATGAACAACAACTTGAAAGAATTGGACCGAGGGATGTTGATTTTCAAAATTTTGCCATGTAGTTGAGGAATCAGGGACAGTTTGGTGTAAAACAAAACAAAGGACAAAGTAGCAGCAACAGCCAACACAACCAACAACCGTAGATAGATGACGTGAGAGATGCTGTGCAACTTTGACCGGCTGAATTGGTTGACTTTTACACCTTGTAGCCGCGAGAAGCACGGCGACCACGGGCCTTCTCGAACTTGCGGCCCTTGGAGCGGACGTAGGGCTTGGTGGTGCTCTTGGGGACACCGGGTGCGGCACCGAAGTGCTTGACCGCCTCGCGGGACTTGACGGGGCCGCGGAGGAGGAGGGTGTTCTTGCCAGTGGGCGAGCGAAGAGCAAGCTGATCGAAGGTGATGGTCTCACCGCCAGCCTTAAGAATGCGAGCGCGGGCAGCAGCCGTGAAGCGGAGGGCGCAGACGGTCAGCTTGGGGACAACGTGCAGACGCTCATCGTCAGTGACAGTGCCGACAACGACGGCAGTCAGCTTCTCGCTGCCCTTGGTCAGGCGGACGAGCTTGGAGAGGGAGAGCGGGGGACGGTGAATGCGGCTCTGGAACAGGCGCTTGAGCACGACCTTGTTGAAGGGCGAGTCAGTGCGGCGAGCGAGGAAGCGGTAGAGCTTGACGAGCAGGCGGATGTAAAGATCCTCCGACTTGGGCTCCGTTCGGACCTTCTTCTTAAGGTGCTTGTACTTGATGTCAATGCCCTGGAAAGTGGAGATGGATGCGAGTGGCGGGTGAGCATTCGGCAAGAAAAAAAGTGCACTCAACGTGGGACGACAAAAAGTTGAGGGTGATCGTTTTGCTCTGGTTCGAAGCCTTCCCCCGTGCTCCCCGGAAAACCCCTCAACCCCAAACAACCAGTCGTCGTTCTCTGGCAACGGCTGATGAAATTTCAAGGCGGGCCAACCGTGCTTGCTGGAGGGGGCTGGAATCAAAAAAAAAATCAAAAGAGCAAAATAAAAAAAATCGGCCTTCTCGCGCCTCTCCTCCAAGCTGCTGCAAGCCTCCAGTCGATCGCCGCGTCCCCAAGCTGGATCCTTCAGGTCACTGCAATGCAATGCCAACGAACGGGCCGTAGCTGAGGCCGAAAAAAAGCGCACGAGAAGCCGGAAAACAAAGCGACAATGGCCGAAAACCAACTTGCAGCGAAAACTCTCGTCCGCCTCTCCCCAGGCCGCTTTCCCCGACTCGGTCCATTGCTCGCCCCGTCCAATCCGGCCCCAATGGTGTCGTGATAGGTCTCTCTAACGGATTCAGTCGACGGGGGGCGCGTGCGGGCCGCAGATGTGAGAGATGGGCGGTCGTCGTACCATGGCGAAATAAGAGAAGAGAGAGCGATCACTCAAGAAAGCCAAACCAAGGATTAGCAAAATTCGTCCCATTCTGTATTTCGGTAAATTCGCTCCCTACTCTTCGACCCCGGTGGATTGACAACCAAAATATGAATAGGTGCAAGTATTTGAAGATTTCGGAGAAGGTGAAAGGGGGCGGAGGAGCAGAAGAAGAAGAAGCCTTTGAGCTGTCATTGTTGTTCGGAAACCGAGCCGATGTGTCAAAAGAGCGTTGCGTTCATCTACTCTGAAGGGCTCAATAGTATCATTGGATGGGGGGGGGGGGAAGGTGTTGCCTGAAATGGAAATCCTGAAGTGGTCAGAGCGTTCTCTTTGCGCCAAAAACCCTTTTTGCTCAGACAAAGACTTTTCTCTGGTACACGCGCACCCAATTCCCCCCCCCCATCTGCTTCATCCAGGCTCACATCAACTCATCCAAGCGATCATTGTCAATTGTCAGCAGAGCATTGGAGCCCCGACGACCATTCTATTATTTTTGACTGAATCCAGCCATGATGCTCGCTCAGCTCCGACAGCTGCTCCAGCCAGTGTCGCGCAGCCAGATCGCCGCTTCAAACACCTCGAAACAACAGCGTGCCAGTGCATCCTCTGCAGACTCCACAACCGCAACCGCCGCTGGTCGGATCGCCCTGGCATGGCAGATTCTGAACGCCAATCCCAACGAGGTCGCAATGCCGCGCAGAGAGCTTGCCTTGCTCGACTGGGTCACACGCGAGCTCACCGTCCCACTGCACGCCACGGGGCACCACGCCACACCCGTCGTCGTTGTCGATGACGGCAGCAGCGACAGCAGGTGAGTTCCGACCATTTGTTCATGCATGTTTCCACGCGCGCTGCAGTACCATGTGGATGCACTGTCAGCACCAGCGAAATGCCACCAACCAGCTCAACCATCGCCAGCCCCACTCATCAGAAGAAGCATGTGCACTGAAACTCGACGAGAGATGGGCAGCGAGAACTCACTTGGATGCTTGTTGTGTTTCCAAATCCCAACACAGACAAACCGCCAATGCTGCTGCTGCTGCTGCTGCTGCGGGTGCATCAAGTTCCGCGACGACCGTCATGCCATACCACAGCGCAGAGTATTGGACATTCCTTGTCAGCGTCATTGATGCGATCGCGTCGGCGGGACTGTCTTCGACCAGTAGCAGCGCTCCTGCCGCTCCAAGCCTCGCTGGCGCCAATCGTGCCGCTGCCAGCTCCATCGTGATCAAGCCTCACTTGATGCAGTCGCTGCAAGGCGCAATCGACTTTATTCATGCCCGCGAGACGGTTGATGAAGCGTTGCTCGAGTCCGTCATGGTGGCATTCGACCGCCTCTTCGACCCTACTTCTGCAGTCGCGTTTCTGCCCAAGTTTGAGGTGTACTGCACATTCTTGGAGCGAGTGGCTTCTCTGGCTGTGGCCGAGTCGGCAGCGGTTCCATCTCGGCTCTTGCTCGCCGCCCTGAACGTTTTCGCGTCCATGCACCGACACCACGCAAACCAACGCAAACTATTCAGCACATTCATCCAAACGCTGCTGCCCAAACTAACTCTCCTATGGCATCGCTACGCGCTCTCCAGCTCGGCAGCAGACCTGGTCGACTCGACAGACAGCCTTGCTGCTGCCACCATCATCTCGATTATTTGCAGCGTGGTCTTCCACAAGGAGCACATCCCCTTGTTCCAGAACGGCCTGGTCTCGCGCTCCGTTGCCTCGTATACCTCCTCTCTGTTTGAGTTTGTTGCGACGCACATGCGCTCAGATGCCAATCCCAACTTGCACCAGGCAGTCAGCTTGCTCGTTCCCGAACTTCTCGCTGGCTTTGTCGATGCCGTCGTTGGTCGTCCCGGAGCCACAGCCGTCGCTCTGAGCGATGCCAAGGAGCGAAGATCCCTGTTCTTGTTCTTCCTCGAGCTGTATCAATGCTGCTGCGCTGATGCAAGCGCTGCCCAGGTCACGTCCGCTGCTGCTGCTGCTGAAAAGCCTTCGGCGGCTGGACGGCAAGGTCGGAACAATCGCAACCCAAAGCAAAAAGACCAGTCAGGGGCTGATACACCAATGCAGGTGGACTCTCTTCCTGACGCTGCTGCGGCTACTACCCGAACGCCAACGTTTGGACCACCCGCGTCGTGGGGCGAACATTTGAAGCTTGCTCACTCCCTACTCCTTGTCCTCGCTGCACGCGACGTGTATCAGATTGTTGCGGACAGCCATGTCGACGCCGAGCAGTTCACCTGGCTCAGCTCGCTTGCGAGCAGCGTTGGGTCACAGGCCATCAACAGCACCGCGGTCTACGACCGAACAGCCGAGGAACTTGCCAACATCATCTTGGTTTTCGACACTCTGCTTGGTCTCAACCACGCTATTGTTGAGCCTCACCTCGCGCACTTGTGGCACGCGCTGTCGCTTCAGCTCGAGCTGCATCGCAGCGACAACAACAACAACAACAACAACAACAACAACAACAGCGGCAGCGACGCGGATGCGGCGACCTCGCGCCCGGCCTCGTATTCTGCGTTTATTGCAAACTTGTTTGCGACATATACCAAGCTCCGCCAGCTGGACGTGCTTGTCGGCACCGTGCTGGCTGCTATCAATCTGCTCGCGGAAGCGCCGAGCTCTGCAACCACGCCCCTTCGGTTGAGGTGGCTTGGCGAGCACTTTCACTCCCACTTTGCCACCGCCATCCGCAGCTATCCCGCAGCTCGCTTTCCGCCGCTGTGGGAAATGGTTGTTGACTGGCTCCTTGAACGTGGATCGCTCCTTTTCGAGCTTCCAGAATCCTCGTCGTACACTTCCATTCCGCGTTCGGCGACAGTCGCATTCACGCTGTGCGCCTCCGCGCTCGAGACGATGATTGCGCACGTGCCAATCACGGATTTGACTGCCGATATCACGCTCGAGTGCGTGTCGACGTTGCGCTCCAAGATTCTTCGTCCGTTGTGCGCCACTCTGCGGGCGCTTCGACAATCACACCAAACTCTGCGCACCCCTTCTCGCGGTGGCGCGCAGCTCAAGCGCAGCGCCGATTCCGCTCTCGAGCCCGCCTCTACAAAGCGAGTCCGGGCGGCAGACCATTCCTCTCAGAGCGCCAATCCGCTCGCCAATGAGCTTGAGCAACGACTCTTGTGTGTTTACTTTTCGCTGCTCGACCGTCTAGCTCGCTGTGAGTATGCTTGTCATGTAGCACTGCTCCAAGGTGGCCAGTCATCCTTGATTGTGCTGCAAGGCTTTTACGAAACGGAAGAGGGCCGTCTCACCGCTCACGAGGTCGCCGCCGCGTGTGCTGATGCCAGTTGGATTCAAGTTTCTGTCTTTGGTGTAAGCTGTGGTGTTGATGCACGCCCTAGTGTAGTTGGGCCGAATCCGTCTCATTTTCTGATCTTTTTGTATTTCTCGTCCGTTGTTCTGCAGCAACAATTTGCTGCCGGTTGGATTCGATTGATCGATCTCGCCTCCACAGAGACCACCTGGGACCCGTCATTGGTCTCGGCCTTCCCAGTGATTAGCACCCTTCAAGACGAATTGGCTGCCTGGTCTCAATTCCTGATCGACAGCCTCCCGCAGGTTGCCGAGAACGCTGGCAACGCTCGCCGATGGGACGGACATCCCTCATCTGTGGACGCAAGCAACCGCCCGATGGCCACCATTGGCGCTATTGCCTCGGTTTTGCCAGTGTTCTCGTCGCGAAAACTGCTGTCCCAGATCGATAGTGTGGCACGCTTCATCAACAAACTGACGAGCTCGGCCAGCTTGTCGCCAACGAGCGCAGAAGGGTCGTCCGGTCAACTCGCCATGCGGCTGCTCAACGATCCAGCCTTCTCCGAGTTGACATTGTTGCATCACTCGCTCGTTGTTGCGTCGTGCACTCTGGCGTCCGAGCATCTGCTTGCCTTCGTCGCAAAGTGCGGTCGCTCGCCGGCCTCATCTGCCGCCCAGACAGCTGTTCGCAGCTTTGGCCTTGACACGCTCGACGACACTGCCGTGTCCCATTTTGTGGACGCACTCTATCCCTCTCGCCCAGCCGTCAATGTGCCTAGTGGTCGCAATGCAGGAATTGCAAAGGACATTGCCGCAGCCTGTGCCTCGTTGCAAGTACTCCGCCACCTGCCACTGGCTGCAACACAAGGAGAGCTGCAACAGCGTGTGCTTGCAGTGTTGCTTCCGCTCGACTGGCTGGCTGGTGCACTCGAGCTGGCAATTCCCACCGAAACCCGTGCATTTGTTCGAACTTTGACGGTGGAACTCTTCAATCTGATTGCCTGCCAGGGCCGTTGGGTGGAAGCCAGTGTCAAGTGGGCCACTTCTGCTGCTGCTGCACTGAGTGCGTCCGAGCCACTTCAGCTGCTCGAGCCGACCACACGCATCGTTGCCAACTCTGTCTCTCATCTGCTGTCGCAAACTTCGGCGGAAATGCAAGCCATCATGCGCACGCTGCTCGGCGTGGTGACTCTGGGCTGTGAACAAGACGCTGCCCGAATCGGCAAGGCAACAACTGCATCGCCGCGCTCGCTTCTTGTCGGGTTTGCCCTCGCGGATGTCGTCATCCGAGCCGTCACAGACCAGAAAGCCAGTGCGTCACACCAAAACGTCACATCGAGTGACACGCTGTCCAAGCACTTATTGCAACCCGTGGCGCACGTGCTAGTCTCTTCCATCAACGGCCTGCTGGCACGCACCACCTTGGCCAACGAGCGTGCTTATGAAGTCATTTACGTGTTGGAAGTGGCGGCCAGCTGGCTCAACAAGCGCATGTCCAGCGTCACCCCTGCTGCCGATTCGTCCTCGGCAAAGACCGTTCAAGTGGAAACGCTGATTACCATGTGCATTCAACTTGTCTGTCATCGTGTTTTGCACGCCGACGCTGCGTGGCTTGATCGGGCCGCTGAGCAAACCGAAACAATGGCGCAGCTCTCCGCTGCCTGCGATGCCATCTTTGCCTGCGCGCTCGCCTACAGCTCCAGCCTGCGTTCGAACGCTGGCCAGAGTGCAGCCTCGCTCGCGTTCGGACCGCTGCTGGCGTCTATTTTTGCTGTTGAGCTTCGTTGCGCCCCGGGCTTGCTGCGCGCCAATGTGTCGCCTGTTGGCGCCAACGTTGTTGCGCTCGGTTTGACGTGGGAGTATCTTGCCACTTCGGTTGATCAGGCTGATTTCTCTCTGGTTGTTAGTCTGTTTGTCGGCGAGCTGCAACGTCTGCCAGTGACCGTCGCTGAGTGGGAGGCGCCGCGCGTCGATCGAGTGCGTCGCGCCCTCGAATGTCTGCTCCGTGTGCTATCCACCAAGCTGCCGGAATCGTCGCGGCGCTATCTTCGCCGAAATTTGGAGACTCTGCTGGTTGAACTGTCGACCACAGCCAACCGCGTGCTCCAAGCGTTGCATCTGCCCGTTGGGCATGTTGCCAGCATTGTTGCGCCCCTTGTGTCGTTGCTGTGCACCGTGTTGAGTTGCGCGTCCCATCTTTCTGGCCTCGATGGTGTGCAGCTGAGCGCTCGCGATGGCTCGCTCTTCCTCGCTCTGGCGCAAGGCATTTCTCTGCAACGGCTTGCGCCCACATTCGCGCTCAGCATTCCCCTCAAGGCCAACCTCTCGACCTTGCCTTTGAGCTCTTCCACTGGGGTAACTGATGCAGCAGCCTCGTCGGTTCACTACGGGCTCGGCGCGTTCGCCGCCCTGCTTCACGCCAAGTACATGATTCTCTTCAACTTGCTCCGTCGCCACGCCTCCTCCATCTACGGAAATGTGCACATTCTTGTGCAGATTGTGCAGAGCTTTATTGACGATCTTTTGCGACGACTCGCAATGCACGGGCGAAATGTCCAGCTTTCCCTCGTGGATCACGATCGCCCGCACGTGTTTCAAGCGCAAGGCGATGGCCCGATTGAGCAACAGCCGTCAATCCTGCAAGCCGCGTTGCTGTCGGCCTTGGCCGAACAACCAGCAACGCTCATCTTCCGCGCTAGCATCGACGACGCTGCGCGTCTCATGGAAGAAGTTTCGGCCCACAAGGTGGCCATGTCCAAGTACGCGCCGTACCTGATCGCAAACTATCTGCAATCCGTGCGGCGCCATGGTCTTGATCACGAGTGTGCGCAACTTTTGGCTCGAGGAGTGTACAGCGTGATTGATCTCTGTGGCAAACACGAGCTTGCGTTGCTCCAAGCTGCCCTCGACGCTCCATCCCGCGCTCTGTTCAAGGGTATCTATGCCGACTATGGCACGTACCACAAGTACAGTGGCAAATATTAATTGCCATTTTGGTTGAGTTCGACTGCTTTGGGCTTTTTGGTGGAAGATGATTTCTGTAAAATAGAAGTTGTGTTTTTATTCTTTTTAAGTTTTTGTGTTGTTTTGCTTGATTTTTTTTGTTTTTGTGAGTGAATCACACATGGTTCTGATGTCGTTCAAAAATCAAAAAGACATAACATAACGCAGGAGATAGGGTACAGAACCAGGCCATAGCACCAAAAAAAAAAAAAAAAAGAGGATGCTAAAAAACCAAATTTTACAACCGCTGAATCTCGCGCCGATCCCAGTTGTCGTACTGTGTGCGGATCCAGCCAGCAAGTGACTTTCCAATGTCATACAGAATCGAGTTAAGGGTAGCGCCGGGAATGACATTGAAGGTCTTGTTGGAGACGCGCGCGCTGGTCGACACAAACTCTTGCAGCAGAGACGGAACAAGGACCTCGTCTTGGGAACCAACCCACATGGAGAAGGGCTTGTCCACATTCGCCAGGGCTTTGCGACCATCGTGCATGACAGCAGACTGAACGGCGTTGGAAGTGAGGGAAGTCACCAACGCAGACGGGTTGAGAGCATCTTGGAAGAAGGCTCGCGAGACCACGTCGGCAACGTCGTCATTCGACGACGAGTAGCCAGAGTCTTGGCTCGACCGCTTCATGCGCTGCCGTTCGATGGACTCGTCGGTCACTGACGTCGTCGACTCTGGCAGGGTCATGTCGCTCGTGTCCAACTTGCTCAGCTTGTGTGCCTGGAACGAGACGCGATGGCCGAGCGGCTGAATCATGGAACTGAAGGCACGCGCTGACATTCGGCCCGAAAACACATTGAGATACTTTTGGGCGTTCGGTGTCATGGCCTTGACAAGGAAGGGCGACACAAAAGCGTAGCCATCCACACGCTCGCGCTTGTCCCAGTTGGCGTAGTTGAGCACAATATTGCCACCAATACCATGGCCGACCAGGATCAGCGGGAGAGTCGCAGTCGCGTTCCAGCGAATCATGCGGACAAGGGTGCGGATGTCCTTCCAGATGGCGGTGGACGAGGGCGCGTCACCTCGCGGACCGCCGCTCATGCCGTTACCGCGACTGTCCATCAAGTAGGTGTTGACTCCGGCTTTGCTCAGCTGCTCGGCAACGACCATACGGTGGTAGCTGTTGAATCCCAAGCCGACGACAAAAAGCACAGTGGCTGTTTGCCGCGACGTTGGGGCGGCGGGGAAATACCGATAGGCAAGACGGATGCCATCGAACGCCTCGACGTAGTTGGCCGGGTGCGTGGCTTGCAGGCGTTGGGCGGCCTCGACGATCGGGTAGAAGGATGCCAGCGTGAGGTCGGGGAAGAGGGGACAGCTGTCGTTGACAACAGGAAGCGGAGTGGTCTCTGCGCTGGAGGACGAGCGAGTCGAGTCCATGGACGAGCCATGCGACGAGCCCATCGACGAGGATCGCGACGACCCGTTGCGCCAGCTGCTGGCCCGAGAATTCTTACCACCGTTGGACGACTTCCATGAAGCACCGCTGCCGGTGCGAGCAGCAGATGGGTGGGAGGGCGCAAAGTCGCTGCTCTGCGCCTCTGGCGAGTGGACGGAGAAGGAAAGGCGACGAGCTTCGTCGTCGTATGTCACGTCGTCGAAAAGCGTGGCAGTGTCTGCGCGGTCGTCCTCCTCATCACTGTCAGTGTCAACATCAGCCAAAGCGCCGCTTAGCATCTGGTGGATGGCATCCTCGTTGTCGAACGAATCAAACGTCCGGAGATCCCGGGGAGAATCGGTCGGGCTCTGCGGATCGGCTGCCGTGCCGTTGTTCGCGTGAAGACGGATTGCTCGGCGCAACATTGCCGCGCCGGCAGCACCCTTGCCCTCCTGAGCCACTCGTGAAAGTAGGGCGTTGCCATGGCGAGTAACAAGAAGTTGGCGGGTGCGCTCAAGCAGACGCTGCTGCGAGTTGACCAGCGACGCAAAAAAGGTCATTTGAACGAGATTGCGCTGCGCGACTTGGCCAGCGAGATGAGCCTTCCAAGGCTCCACGGTTGACGAATTGGCGATCGCCTCGAGCGCTTCAACTTGGGAACTCAGAGTCAGCGAGCGGCGAGACTCGGTTTCTGAGGAAGCGAGGCTCAGCGACGAGCCAGATGCGGACGAGGGCATGGACGAGGAAGAAGAAGAGGCAGTGCGGCTTGTAGTAGTAGTGGTAGTGGTGGTGGTGGTGGTGGTGGTGGTGGTACTCGGGGTCGTCGGCGTGGAGGAGGACGACTTTTTGCCGGCGGGGTTGGTGGGCGCCGGCGACAACGACACGTGCTCTGATTGCGCCGCTTTGAGGTAGAGGTCGCGACGAGCCTTTGCCGCTGCACACATGGCTGGACGCCGCAAAATGGATGTCACGCAAGGGGCTGACACCTTCTCTTGGACAACAGCAGGAGCTCCAGCCTTTGGGCGCGTTCCAATACCGAGACAAATGCGCAGCTTGCCCAGGACGATGCCTGTGGACTCTTCGACAAAGTAGAGAGTACGCTGGATTTGCAGCAGGTGCGTCTTTTGGTACTCACGCAGGAGCTTGGGTGGCAACAGCATGGAAATGTTGCACATGACGGGTTCGAGCTCGCCATGCTCGTTTCGCTCCAATTCAACAACGTTGCTGTCGGACTCGGTTTCGTTCTGGTCAAAGGACAAGGATGACGAGCTGGAGCCGTTGGACATGAAGGAGGCGTGGCGCTTGGAGGTGTCGCCCGTCACAGCGTCGACAGAGCCGTTGGTCATCGTCACCGCTGCAGCTGCGGCATGGTTTGCTGCGGCAACAAACGACGTTTGGACGGGAAAGGATGCGGGAGCGGAGCTGGACGAAGCGTCAACGCGCTGAATCGATGCCACGGAACACTTGTTGCGCATCTCCACCACATACGGCGCAGTCCGGCCCTCCAAATCGCCCAGGTTGATGAAACGAGCGAGAGCATCTTCCTTGCCCTGGGCGGCGCTCTTGATCAAGCCCGCAATATGGCTCTTCTTATCGGCAGTCACAATGCAAAACCCGTGAATGGTGCGGTGCGGAATGCGAAAGGACAGCTGCAGCGATGTCGGGCTGCCTTCGAAAATGGACGGCACGCCGTCTGGTTGTGTCATGTTGTGCAGTTTCAATTGCTGCGGATCGTAGATGAATGTCGATGCGGATTCGTCCTCCCACTTGGTGAATGCGACTTGGTGCAGCAAGAAGGACGTTGGTTCGTTGTTTTTGACCTGCAAAACATCAAAAACATTTGCAGCAACAACAACAAACAAACAAAAAGCAGAAAATAAGTGAGAATTGTAGTTGGCTCAAAATGTCGACAAATCTGAGAATGGCGGGGTTTTTTTTTCCTCTTTTTTTTTTTTTTTTTTTTTTTTTTTTTTTTTGAAGCCAAGAAACATTAAAAGCGCCGACATTTGAGTTTGTTGGCCCCATACGACCAAATGCCGCTCGTTTTTTCGCCCCCTTCGCGTGACTCTGAGCAATGCGTCCACAGCGCCATGGAGACTCATCCGTCCTGTCGAGAGGACAGCCGCGGGGGCCCGAGTCGTAACGCAAACGGAGCTTGGGGGGCTTGGACGAAGGTGGAGGAAAGGCCGAAAGCACGGAGACTTCAACGGGCAAAATGTACCCCCAGCGTTGTTGGCCCCTTCGTGTTGCCCCTCGCGCGTCATCGCGTCTCTGTGGCATTCGAAATAATCATCAACCCACTGGCCGGCCACCCTGGCAGCCGGCTTCGAAGGGCAGCACTCAGCTTCGAGCAGAGAAGCGGAAATGGAAAAGCGATGGGAAAACTCTATTTTCCGCACTCTCCACTCCAACTCTCTATGGGTCGTCCATTGAAGGAGCGGCACGAGCTGATATTCGTATGCTTGAGTTGTTCTGATGTGGCCGCCTGAGCCCAAGCAAAATTTACCATGAAGTTTGGCTTGAGCGACGTGACGGCCTGCAGCGTGATGCCTGGATGCGTCGATCCACTCGCGCGCAGAAACTCGAACGACAAGCGCACCATGTTGTTTGCACAAAGAAAAAAAAGACTGGATTTTTTTGCTTTTCGGCTGAGTCGCTTCGTTGAGTACGTGTGATGTAATAGCAATACTTTGTTGCAATGATGGCACAATATGGAACGACAAGTGTCTTTTGTCTCAATGTTTGGGCAGTCGCGCGGAAACAGTTCAAAAGCGGAGCAACGGAAGGTTTTCGACAAAAAGCCAGTCTTTTTTTTCTTATTTTTTGTATTTTTCAAAAACAAAAATCTCCGCGTTGCTTTTTCCGCTTCTGAGCAAAAGATGAACGTTGCATTGTATTCAACGCCGCGCTTTGGCGCTCTGAAGCACACGATACAAAGCGAGGAACAGCGCAACAGCAGTAGCGGCGATGATGTTGCACAGCCACCGTCATCACCCTCCAACAACAGCAGCCATCAGCATGAAGATGCGCAAGATTTGCTCTCGTTCGGCACCCACTGTGACGTCAAGGACTGCCGCCAGCTCGATTTCCTGCCATTCCGCTGCGACTCTTGCACACAAACATTCTGGTGAGTCTATGAGGAATTGTTGCTGAGTGATGGGACTTCAAAATGGAGCAACGAAAAGCCTCGATTCGAGAAACAAAAAAGGTTTCAAACTACAGAAGCGTTTTGGTCGTTCCAGCTCGTTCCATGTCGTAAACCTTTTCCATTCAATGCTCACCTTGCAACCCAAACATTTCGCATTTTGCTCAGCTTGGATCATCGAACGTACGAGTCTCACAAGTGCAGTGCCGCTCCCAATCAAGACGTCAGTAGTTGAATGTTCCAGAAATGGTTTTTGGGTTTTCGGGAAATGCTCGAGTCAGTCAAAGAAGCTAACACTGGATTTGCCCCCTGCCCCTACTGTCACTCGCAGATTCGAATTCCAGAATGTCCAAAGTGCCAGCAAAAGATTCAACGTCCGCGGGGATCCGATGCAGCCGCGCAGGTAAGGCGCCAAAAAAAATGCATGCGGTTCAACGCTGCTCAACGTTGACTCTTTCCTTTGCACGCACTAATCTTTCCCCCTGCACTCGAATACACCTCACGTAGATCCAAAAGCATATTGCAAGTGGGTGCCGAGACCTTGTACTCCTGGCCCCGCGACGCAAATGCAACCACAAGGGCTGCAAAAATACAGAAGCGCTATCGTTCAAGTGCAATCGATGCGAGCACCAGTTTTGTATCAAGTACGTATTGGGTGTATTTGCAATGGAAATGGACGTACAGTGCTCATTGCATGTTGACTGAACGATGCACAATTTGTATGGTGACCTGCTTGCAGACACATGCGAGTCCAGGACCACACCTGCTCAAGCCAAAGCATTCCTCCTTCTGGCAGCGACGCTCACCGACTTGCCAAGCCAGGACAGTCTGCCTTGAAACGAGCCATCACGGCGTACTGATTTTAATCGCTTGCTCATGTCTTGGTTTGTAGAATATACTGTATTATACTGTCTGCTCGCATTCTCCCACAAAGTTGAAGGAAATTCACGACTACTGCGATCGGGAAAGCTCTGAAAAGTACGACAAGAGGTCGGAAATGTTAAACTCGAGGGTAATTTGCGAGCCTGGATAGCACCGCCGAATCAGATCCTCGAACGACTTGTACTGTGCGAGGAATTGCTCTTGGACGGAACGCCACACGACCTGGAGCAGAGAGGCTTCCTCGGACAGGTGCTTTTGCACCTTTTGATAAATGTGCTCGAGACCTTTCTTGACCTGCGAACGTGAAATTCACAGCTTTGAGTTGGTTGAAGAACGTGTCGCATCGCACTCAATCTCGACACAACGGCCGTCGACAAACCTCTTTGCCAGGATATTCCTTGATAATCTTTTTCAACTCTTGCTTTGAGTACTTGACTTGGAAGCCAATTTCATCTTCTCGAATGCCTCCGTCAATTCCCTTTTGAACTCCTTCAAAGAATTTCTGTTCGTTCAAAGATTGAGCGGGCCACGAAAAAGCGCTGTTCCATCATCAAAGCGTTTTCAACATTGCAAAAAAAAGAGGCGCTTACACTCAGCTTCTCTAACGGCGAACCAAGAATGCTGGTGACATAGCCGTCAATGTTGTGCTTGTACTCTTGCTGCGCTTGCTTGCGGAAGGGCTCGATGCATGCAACCCGCTTCAGTGACATTTGCTGGAAGATTCCATGATAGTTTTCTGCCATTTCGGAAAGGACCAGCGAAATCAGTCAAGTTGTGTTGCTCAACGGTAAAGCGTGACAGAGCACTGTCGCGGCTTACCGAAGCGAACAACATCGCCGTGCTTGCAGTCAGAGGCAATGCGTTCAATGCCATCAAAGACAGCCTCGGCAATGGCGACAAACGCCGGATCGACTGACGACGCCTTTTTCCAGCCTTCAACCAGCAATTGCATTGTTGACACAAAGTCCTGATCCCCGTACAGCAATGACAGCTTCTTGATGAGTATATTCATTCATCCATATCAAGCAACCGTCACTTTCCAGTGCAATGCTCACCGTGAATTTGAGAACAAATGGCAAAACACCTGGTTTGGCCTTCTTGGTGGTCTTGGCATCTTCAATGTGTCGCTTTTGCTCGTCCTACAACCATGAAAGTGTGCATATGTGAGAATCAGATTTCCAAACGCGATCGGCCATCGCAGCAACAACACTGAGACTGCCACACGCACAATAAACTTGTCAAACTCGCGACGCGCCAGCTGGAAAATCCTCGTGAGCAATGCAGTCAAGAAATTACTCTTGCCGGCGTGCTCTTCAAGGCAACTGTCGACTTTGACCATCACAATCAACGTGTTGAAATGCTCGAGGCGGTTGCCCAAGTCCAGAAGCGACTGCAGCTCGCCTTCGAGCCACCCTTGCGTTTCGACGAGAATCGAGGTGATTCGCGGGTGCGTTTCGTGATGCGAGTCGACAACCATGCGGCTGTCAGAGTCCCCACATCAAAAAAAAAGGCATAGCCAAATAGAACGTGAGCTCTTTCCGAAAAAACACAAAGCAACACATACACCACCGCCCAAAAAACAATTCACCGTTACCTGGTCTCCTCGGCAGAACGCACGGAAGCGGTCGAACCAGTGCGCTTGTGTGACTTGCTTGGTGCACGGAGAGACGTGGCAGCAGGACTGCTGCCAGCGCTGCCAGTGCTGGTGCTGGAACTGTTGTCCGCGAGAGGCGAAGAAGCGTCGACATCAGAGATGCTGAGCCGCTTGTTGCCGCTCGAGTGACCCTCAGGAACACTCAGCAGACCGGCCATTGCGGATGACTGCGCAGGTTTGTCCTTGAGATCGAAAAACTCGAAAACGAACGCCTGCTCGGCCAAGACAAGGGGCACCACCAAGGCCAGCGCGCGATCGAAGGCTTGGTCAAAGCGAATGCGCTCCTTGGCACTTGATCCAGGCATCATTGGGATGAGCACCTCCTCGCCGTCGCGCGCATCTGCTGTAGAACTCGTGGTCGTCAACAGAGGTCCTCCGGAAGTCTGCACGTGTACTTTGAAGGAGAACTTTCCTGCTGCGCCCTTGGCACCGGCTTGCGCTGCGTGCCGGAGTTGCTCAAAGACCGCCTTGCCGTCATCCTTGTAAATGCGCCCGACCACTTGCATGTAGCTACGCGTCAGCGCCTCAAACTGTGCCGAATCTGTAGCCCGGAGCCACTTGAGCAGCGGAGTGTACATGAGCATGTTGCTGTGGCGATTCGAGTGGTTCCTTGCCATGGGAGCCGAGGCCGTTGGGGCAAATGGTGGAGCCGGTGCGCTGGCAGCCCCGGTGCTACTCACGATACTGGGTGCTGCCACGGGAAGCTGGAGCTGGTTGACCTGGTACTGCTGCAATGTCCGGGATGCCTCGATCCCAAGTGCTGCCACCATACTCGGGAGGACTGGCTCGAACGACTTTTGGGCATACATGCGCTCCATGAACTGAGCCAGTCGCTCGACAAACTTTTGCCTCAGCACGGCAAAGTACTTTCGCCGCTGCTTGACTGCGGTCATATTGGTGAGACCATTCAGGGCGCCCTCCTGATCAAAGATTCGGCGCAATCGGGCAGACGCAGTGATGGCCTTGCGCAAGTCACCAGCCATGGCCAAGTCGCCCGTTTCGAGCACGCTCAGCACGGACGGGTCGACGTCCAGTTCGTCGACGATGCCTTCAACGCGCGACTGGATGCTGCGGTAGTTTTCAGTCTGCACGCGGACAAAGCCATGTTTGGCCTCCATGGCTTCGACATTTTGGCGCAGCTTGTCGACCACGCCGTCATACTTGTCAATGAATGACTCGAGCCGGTCGAGCTCGGTCTGCGCGCGGTCAAAGTGGCCCACGAGCAGGTCGATTTGCATTTCGGAGGAGAGCAGCGCATGAATGTTGGCCGAGTCCAAGCCGTGGAGCTCGTGCTGGAGCTTGTCCATGAAGCCCTCGGCATCTGCCACAGCCGTCTCGTACGCTGACAAGAACGACTCCATGTCACGTTCCTCCTGCTCGTTGAGTTCGCGATCGTCCGCATTCGCTCCAGCCGACTCAAACATCAGATCGTCGTTGAGCAAGTCAAGCGCGACCGCAGCCGCATCATCCCCTTCGGCGTCCCCTGCCCCTTCCTCACTGGCGGACGGGCCGTTGCGCTTGCGGGAGCCAGGCGCACCGATACCGCGCCGCGCCATCGCACCGGCGGCTTGGTCGGGACTGAGCGCCAGGAAACTGATGGTGGACGGGTTGTCGAGGCCAATGTGGTCCCAGCCAGCCGTGCTCGAGACCTGCTGCTTGGTGACGTTCTTGAGCTGTGGCTTGGCAGCCAGGTAGCTCTTGCACAAGCGCCAGACGACGCCAATGAAGGCGTTGCGCTCGTCCGCCGTTTCGGCAGTGTACTTGAGCACAGTCTTGCTGCCCGAGCTCGTCATGACGATCGTGCTCGAATTCGGCGTGCCGCTCGAGCCGGTGCTTCCAACACTGGCAGCCGAGTGCATTGCACCGAGTCCTGCAGCAGCAGCATCGTCGTCGCGGTCCTTGTCCTTCAAACGACCAGTGCCGTCAAACTGGAGCGAGAATTCCCGCGCATCGATGCCCTCCGCCCTGCCGTCGATGATTCGGAGATCGCGCAGCATGAACTCCTTTGACTTCTTGAGCCTTGTGGCGTTCGCAGCCGAGCCGGCAGTCCCAGCAGCGGAGCCCGTTGCAGCCAACGCTGCGTTGTTGTTCGCCTCGTCCTCGTCCGCGTCGCCGCCGTCGTCGTCCGTTCCCGCGCCCAGTGTGGACGTATGTGCAGCCGCAGCCGCAGCAGCCTGCATCGCAGCCGCGCGCTTGCTCTTGTTGCCCTTGATGCGCGAGAAGACCTTTCCGCTCTCAGGACCGCCACCACTGCCGCCACTGCCGCCACTGCCACTGCCACTGCCACTGCCGCTGCCATCCTTGAGCGTCTTCTGCTTGACGACGACGAGCACTGGGACTGAGTCGTCGCGCATCGCAATCGCAGCAATCCGCGCCTTGTGCAGCCGTCCGCCCTTGCCAGACAGGCCCACTGACAGCCGGTCGAGCCGCTTGGCCGGCTTCATGACGCGCAGCCATGCAATCAGGCGCTCGTTGGGAGCAAACACCTCCCGTCTCAATCGTGCGCCAATGTCCATCAGAATACAGAGTGAAGGAGTGAAGGAGTAAGGAGTGAGAGCGTTGGATTGGGGATTTGTTGTTTGATCTCTGAGAAAACGAGCGAAAAAAAAAGCGACAAAAGAAAAAAGGGGAGTGGCGGATGTTGATCTCAGAATTTTATTCATCCACTTCCCAAAAAAGAGTTAGTTGCTTGATCGCCTTTCATCCAAATCAGAAGTTTCGCTCAGTTTCAACGATTCAGGTGTATGAACGAGTATCAGCGCTTTTCCTTCTCTTTGGATCACTAGTAGTACTGACGCTTACTTGTTTGTACATTTCATCTGAATCGAATCTAATATAAATCTCGCTCTTCTTTATTTGTTTGTTGTGCAGTCCTCTCTATTCTGAGTTTTCGCCAAATGCTTTCTTGTCCCAATTGCTCTCTGCAGTAAGAACTCGACAGCGACACTCTGCAGCTGCGCACACTTTTTCAATACCATGGACTTTTTTTTTCTAATGATTGATTCTGACTCTCTTGCATCCGATGGTTAGGCTGAGTGAGCCACCCGCGGGTCGCATTGCTGCGTCTGGCGGCGTCTATACTGGACGTTGCGCCGGCTGCAACGCAAAGTTCACCTTCCAAGCCATTCCCAGCGCCGCCATCCCATCATCATCATCATCATCATCTTCTTCTTCAACAACAACAACAACAACAACAGCAGTAGCAGCAACGAGAGTCGTCGCTGCGCCACTCGCGCAGATTAGCTTCCGCGTCAATGGCACGGCTTACATTGTCACGCAGCCCGACCCGACCGTCACCCTCAACGAGTTCATCCGCAGTCGCCCTGGCCTCAAGGGCACCAAGAAGACGTGCGGCGAAGGTACGCTTCTCATGAGAAGAAGTGCTCAAGGGGGTCAGGGGGGGTCACGGGGTGGGGGGTCATCAGTCAATTGGAGTTTGAAGCGCAATTATAGGAGCACGTCCAATGCAATGTGTATGGCATGACGGGGGGGGTGGAAAATGGCAGTATGTGCTCAAGAGTGATGAACACATGCCATCCGTGATCAACAAACGAGGCCGACGAAACGGGGGGACGAATGAAGGAAGGAAGGAAGGAGTATACTGGCTGAACTATCACAAGGCGGCATTGAAGCACTCATCATAATGCTCACCCCCACTTTAATGCATCAATCACAGGTGGCTGCGGCGCGTGCGTCGTCACAATGACAATCCCAGCTACCCAGTCATCTCCAGTCCAGCAGATCGCAGTCAACTCGGTGAGGAAAAAAAAAAAAAAGCAATATAAGTTGCTTTCTGTTCGGAGAAAAAGTGACAATCGTGGTCCACTCAACCGTTTTGTCCGCATTGGTAGTGCCTGCGTCCACTGTGCTCGGTCGACGGATACGACATTACGACCACGGAAGGTCTTGGAAAGTACGCCGTGCTTATGGTGGCATGCGAGACTTGCTTGTTTGCTCGAGTGTTTGACGTTTGTTTGTTTTGGTTGTTTGTTTGTTTGTTTTCGTCAATGTTTCCTATTCCAGCCGCCAGGATGGCCTGCATCCCATCCAAGATCGAATTGCTGCGTTTGGTGGCACGCAATGCGGCTACTGCACGCCTGGCATGGTGATGAACATGTACTCGCTGCTCGCAGCCAACCCGCGCCCGACCAAGCAGCAGGTGGAGGATGCCTTTGCCGGCCATGTTTGCCGCTGCACCGGCTATGCTCCGATTCTCAGCGCAATGCGCTCGTTTGCGGTCGATGCCACGGCTGAAGAGCGACTGGGCTTCCCGGATATTGAAGATCTGGGATCGCGAGTGAAAAGCATGCTCAACTCGCACCCCACGGCCGGCGCGACCAACCCAGCCATTCCAGGATGCACTGGCTCGTGCTCTACCTGCGCTGCTGATTGCAACAAGGCCGGCAAGCGTGCTCCTGGTGGTGCGATTGCATGTGCAACCTCCACCTCCTCCTCCTCCTCCTCTTGCGCCTCATCCGCCGCTTGCTGTGGCAAAACCCCTGCTGTTGGTGCTGCTGATGGTGCTGCTGCTGCTGCCAAACCCATCAAACTGCATGGCAACCCGGCAGCACCTACCGCGGTTGCCGCGACAGAGCCCCTGTGGTTCCGCCCTGCCAGCCTTGCGGAAACTACGCAGCTCATGCAGCAGTACGGAAAGGATTGCAAAGTCGTTGCAGGCCATACTTCCAGCGGCGTCTTTAAGACCGAGTTTACAAGCGCTGCCGTGCTGATTGACATTTCCCGGGTGCCTGAACTCAACTATGTGACAATCGGCACTTCCAGCGTCGTGTTTGGTGCGGCCACCACCCTCCATACCGTCATTGATACTCTGTCGAGCCTTGCATACGAGTTCCCGCAGTTTGCCGTGTATGTCGCCCACCTTTCACTGATTGCCAATGTGTCTGTGCGCAATGTTGGCACTTGGGCCGGCAATCTCATGATGACCCACGACCACGATGACTTTCCCTCTGACTGCTTCACCGTCATGGAGTCGGCTGGAGCAACACTGTCGGTCGGCAGCAGCAATGGCTCGGTCACATACTCGTTCCGTGACTTTTTGTCCTTGACCTTTGGTTCGACGCAAATGCTTCTCGCACTCACAGTGCCCTTCCCTCCCGCAGCCGCAAGCGTTCAAACGTTCAAAGTCATGCCACGCCATCAGAATGCGCATGCCTACGTCAACGCAGGCTTTTACGGCCAAATCGATGTGAACAACAATTTGGTCTTCACAACGGCACCCCGCCTCGTTTTTGGAGGCATTGGCCCAAAGGCCATTCGCGCCTCCAACACGGAGGCCTACCTGGCTGGAAAATCGCTCAGAACGGGTGGCGTGTTTGCGACCTCGCTGTCCATCCTCGCCAACGAACTCGTCCCTGACGCGCCTCCGGCGTTTCCCACACCAGCCTACCGCAAGTCGGCTGCACTCGGCCTGTACTACAAGTACGTGCTCTACATTCTGCGCAGCCTGATCTCGCCGCGCAACATGTCCGCGGCCATTCCCTATGTTCGGCCCGTGTCCTCCAGTGTCGAGACCTACGACTCCTCGCCCGCCGAATATCCAGTTTCGCAGCCAATCCAGAAACTCGAGGCTGGCATTCAGGCGAGCGGTGAGGCGCAGTACGTCGGCGACATTCCAACCGCGGAGGGTGGTTTGTTTGGAGCGTTCGTGCTCTCGACCCAAGGCAACGCCGACATTGCCAGCGTCGATGCGTCGCTTGCGCTTCAGAGCCCCGGTGTTGTCCGTTTCTTCACAGCCGCGGATATTCCCGGAGCCAACAACTTTGGCGTGGGAGGCGGCGAACCCATTTTTGCGACAAAGTCGGTGGTCTATGCGGGCCAGTCGATTGGCCTCATTGTTGCCGATACCCAGGCGCACGCTGATGCCGCCGTGCCGCTCGTTCGCGTCACCTACAGCAACATTAAAACGCCCATCCTCACCATCAGCGACGCGATCGCTGCCGGGCAGGTCCAGTCTGCCGGCGTTCCGGCATTGGTCATGGGGGATGTGAACGCCGCGTTTGCCTCGTCGTACAGGGTTTTGCAGGGCCAGGTGGAGTGCGGCACGCAGGCTCACTTCCACATGGAGCAGCAGGCCTGTCTGATCGTCCCGAATGACGATGGCGGATTCCACGTGACAGCCGCCACCCAGTGGATTGACAACATCCAGACGACGCTTGCGCAAGCAACCAATGTCCCAGCCCACAAGATCACTGTGGAGGTGAAGCGCTTGGGTGGCGCATATGGTGGCAAGATCACGCGTCCCGCGCTGCCTGCGGCGGCCGCAGCGATTGCAGCTGCAGCCCTGCGAACCCCAGTCCGCATCAATCTGAGCCTTGCCAACAACCTTGAAATGATTGGCAAGCGCAATCCGTTCATGGCCAACTACAAGGTTGGCTTTTCGGCCACCGGTGTGCTCCAAGCGGTGCAGATTGATTACTACGCGGATGCTGGCTGCTTTGTGAACGACACGCCCGGCACCGTGTCCATGGCCATGACGACATGTGACAATGCGTACTATGCGCCGAATTGGCTCGTCAATGGGTACATGGTGACGACCAACTCGCCGTCCCACACAGCCGCTCGCGCTCCTGGCTGCTTGCCTGCGATCTATTTCATGGAGTCGATTATTGATCACGTTGCGCGCTCACTCGGCGTGCCCGTGTTCAATGTTCGCAGCGCCAATCTGAATCAGCAAGGCCAGATGACGCCGTACGCAACACCGCTGACGTACTGCAGCCTGCCCACGGTCTGGTCGTCCCTGATTGCCTCCTCCGACTACGACAACCGCGCTGCCGCTGTCGCTTCGTTCAACGCTGCAAACCGCTGGGTCAAGCGTGGAATCACGCTCATGCCGCTCAAGTACGGCATTTCGTGGAACTCGTACGGATGTGGAGCGACTGTCAACGTCTATGCTGATGGAACGATTGCCGTGACGCATTCCGGTATCGAGGTTGGTCAGGGCATCAACACTAAGGTAAGCGCGAGTGCTTTGGCGTCGTTGCTGACGGGAGAGACAGCGAGAAAGACAAAAAGCGTCGCAGAACTTTGTTGTTTTCGGTGAATGGATGCTCACCACTTTTGGCCCTCGGTGATGATAGATTGCGCAAATTGCTGCGTATACGCTTGGAGTAGACATGTCCATGATTAGCGTTCGTCAGTCGAGCAGCGAAAAGGTGTCGTTGCTTCTTTTCTTTTTTTTTTCTTTTTTTTTCGCCTCTTGTTCCTCTGTCAGTCCACTCACATTTCCGGGGTTGCTTGTGCGTGTATGTATTGCTGTTGTTGTAGCGCAAGCAACTGGTGGAAGCATCACGTCCGAGCTGAACGGTCAGGCCGTCGTCCTTGCTTGCCAAACCCTTTTGGCACGAATGGCTCCTGTCCGTCAGCAGATGGGCAACCCAACGTGGACCCAGCTTGTGACCCAGTGCAACACCCAAGGTGTAGAGCTGGCCACGCGCGGATGGCTCTTCCCCACCACTCAGTACACATTCCAGTACTTTTCGTTCGGCGCCGTTTGCGCAGAAGTTCAGGTCGATGTGCTGACTGGCGATACTCAAATCTTGCGCTGCGACATCCTGCTGGATTGCGGTGTTAGTCTCAACCCTCTGGTTGATCTTGGCCAGTGCCAAGGCGGCTTTGTCATGGGTCTAGGCTACTTTATGACTGAGAAGGCCATTTACGACACGACGTCTGGCGCGCTCTTGACGAACGGCACTTGGGTACGTTTAGCATTCTTGTAGCACTGTCGTTGGTTGTCATGCAAGGTTACTTTTATTCTGTGTGCCACCTCCGTCAAACTTTTTGGCGGTCGATGAGTCGGGGGTTGGGTGTCTCTCCGTGAACTCAATTTGCCATCGCGATCCCTTGTAGGAGTACCATGTTCCCCACTCCAAGGACATTCCGATCGACTTCCGCGCTTCGCTCCTTCCCAGTGCACCCAATCCACTGGGTATCCTGCGATCCAAGGCCTCAGGCGAGCCTCCTTCGTGCATGTCGTGCTCGGTTTTGTTCGCCATGAAAGAGGCCATCATTGCTGCCCGCCAAGAGATTGGCAATACCGCGTTCTTTACTGCCAGTAAGCTGCTGTGCTTTCGTTACTCTCCTTGCTCTCTTTGACATGTGCTAACATGCTGAGTTTCTTTCTGATTCTTGTTTGTAGACGCCCCATTGACAATCGATCAAACTCAACAGCTCTGTCTGGTGGATCCCTCTCAGTTCTCCCTTTAGAATGTTTACTGTGTGCTTTGTTTTTTTTTTTTTTTTTTTTTTTTTTTGTCTTTCTTTCTTTCTTTTTTTTTTTTCTTTTTTCCCCGCCTTTAGTGCCTTCTGGGGCGTTTTAGTGGTGCGCATGAGTAGACGACCCCGGTTGTACAGCAATACATCTGATGCATGTGCATGACGAATGCTTCCATTGAACTCGCACCCTGTCCTGTATACTTTCTCGCCTTTCAACTCAAATTAGTGCCTTCCCCGATAGATGCTCGCCGTTTCATGATGTCAAGAATGAACTTCAAACTTCTGAAACATATTCAAACAACAGCACTAAGCAAACGATACAACTCAAAAAACACAGCATCACCAAGAAAATCGACAAGCATGCAAAACTTAGACTGACAACTCAAAATCGACAAAGATACAAAAAAAATCCCTCCATTCACGGCCGACATTCAAATGTTGCGACCGGAAATGTATCCAGGACAGCCTTAAACGGCGTTTCCATTGTGAGGGTTGTGCATGCGCAGCAGCTGTGTGCGCATGGCCTCGACTTCCTTGAGCAGGCGAGTGTTTTCGTTGCGAAGGGAGCGGATTTCTTGAACAGCAGCCTTGCCACTAAGTTGCGCGGTGCGGCCATTCTCGCTCTCGTTGCCGGACGACATTTCCATGTCACCAGACTTCTGGTTGCTGCCACTTCCGCCGGCATTGGCGGACGGGGTCTTGGGGTGGCTGCCGTTGGGATTGGAGCCGCGGTAACTGCTGGTAGCAACGTCGTTGCCCTTGCCGCGCAAGATCAGGTAGAATTTCGGCGCCATCAAAATCATCACGGCAATCGGAACGGGCACGAGAACCTCGAGCGATTGAATGGCAAAGAAAAAGTCGGCAGTGCCAGTCGTCGAGTTCAGGATGATTTGCAAAATAATGCCCATCACAATCCAGTTGTACACCGCAAGGCCGATGTGCTTGGACTCGTTGAAGGCAGACGGCGCCTTTCGAACGCGGTAGCAGAGCAAGCCAAGAGCCACCATGGCGACAAGCTCTTCAATGTAGATGGCGTTGTCCCACCAAGTGACCTCGCAGACAAGGTAACTCTCATTGTTGGAGACGACGGTGCCAGTTGTTGGAGGGGTGGAGACAGACCACGCGACCAGGTTGACGGTGGCGTAACCCACGATGAGCAAAAAGCGGTACAGCAAGACGCGATCGGTCAACTGGCCACCCTTGCTGGACTTGATGTTGAACACGCTGGCAATGCGCCAAGTCTTCAGGAAGATGGCGGCAAAGATGATGGCAAACCCAAGGTGGCGAGCCCACACGCGAGCAATGCACAGATTCGGGGTGACTTCCTCCTGATAGTTCAAGATGACCCAAAACATTGACCAAGAGGCGCCGATGAGCATGAGGAAGAGGAACTTGGGGCTGCCAGAGAGCACGGCACGAACTCGACGGTAGTGGATGACACCGAAGATAAAGAGGACGAAGAGCGCCAATTCAGCCGCGGCAACGACGATAAATGCAATGCGGAGCGCCGGGGAAACCTTGGTGGGCGTGACAAGGCGCGAAGGATCGGGAAGGTTGGGCTCCATGGCAGCAAAGTTGGCAATCACCCATTCGCAGGTTGCTTCTTCAAGGCTCTTGCCATTGAAGACCATCTGGCCAAGAATGTTCGACTGATCCTGGGAGGTGTAGCTAAAGTGATCGACAAAGTCGGCGGCGACAGAGTTTTTGCTCGGCAGCTTCGACGACATCATCTTCACCACACGCTGGTCCTCGTATCCGCAACGGTAGGCTGAGCTTGCTGTTAATTCAGATGGGGAGCGGGCGGGCGGGCAGTGAGCAAAGCATCCACAACCTCAACCAGCTCCCACATGGTGAACTTACAGGCGTTGCAGGTCGAGTCGAACTCGGGCAGCTGCACGCGATGAAGACGAGCAGGAGAGACGTCCGCAAAGACGTAGTGCGGCTTGGTCCAGTACTGAATGAACGGCTTGCGAGCAATGTAGGACTGCTTGGTCACTTCAACCATTGCATCCATTGTTTCATCAACGCCAAGCGTTTGGGAGACGGGGCAGGTGACGTTGAAGTTCAAGCTCAGGTTTTGCACAATGACGCGGTCAAGCGTGCCCCACGCATCAGGCATGGTCCAAAAGGTGATTGGTTCGCCCTCGTCCTTCAAGTTGGCACGCTCACGAAGCAATTCCAAGAACGCCTCAACGGTGGCAGTGCAGTCCGCCGCCACGAGCGACGCGTTGAGTGCAGCATTGCATGCAGGGCTCTCAAGAATGAGATCGATGTCGTCCACAGCACTGCGAAGAGTAGTGTTGTCAAGCTGAAAGCCTACGGGAATCGTATTCAGTCGGAACATTGCTTGGATGCGCTCATCGCTATTGTTTGCGGCGACAAAGAGAGCACAGTATGAGAATGACTGCTCCGACCGACTCGGCACAAGCAAGAAATACTCACTAGTATGCAATGTAGCTGTCAGTGATTGTGCTAACATCCCAGACATACTCGGGGATGTACCAACCTGTCTCGCCAATGATGCCTGACGGGCCGACTGGAAGATGGAACAAAAAAAAACAGAAAGAGTGAGATGACTTCAAAGTGCGCGCATTTCGCGCTGTAGATGAATCCGTACCATACACCACGGTGCGACGCTCGGTCACGTATTCGTCAATCAGGTACTGGGTGTACTTGGGATACGCCTCCATAAGCAAGTCGCCGGCGCCGCTGGATAAAGCGGCGAATGACTCATCGTAAGTGCCGTACATTCCATACAATTGCGCCGGCAGACCGAGTTTCTCCTGCGTGATTGGAAAGGTGTTTGTAAAGGTGTTTGTAAAGGTGTTTGTCAAGGTGTGTGTAAGGGGTGGTGCGTCAGGGGCGGTGTGTGTTAGGGGGTTTGTAAAAGGGCGGGGCGCAAGGTGAGAACCAGATCAACCTCACGCGACGATTCGACTCGGTCACTCACCTCAAGAACGATGCGAGCAATGGTAGCGCTGATCATTGAGGAATTCCAGGCGTTGGCGACGATCTGAATGGGGGCCAAGTCCGTGCGGAGCGCGCCTGAAAGATAAAAGAACCAAAACAAATCACAAACACGAAAAAAGCAGCGCTTTGAGTTAATTTCCAAAGACTCATTTCCAGTCAAATAACAGAAACATTCACGATCAAGCATCAAAACATAAACACAAAGAACACTGCTATTTCGGTATTGCGCTGCCTAATTCCGCTGCCTGCCCAAAACAGGGAGGTCACAGCCAGCTAATGCTGCGGTTTGGGATCCGGTTGTTTACACATGTTCGGTTATTTACATGTTTTTCGGCTGTTTGGAATCAATCGTATTCTTCACACTCGCTCTCTCGCTCTCTCTCCACTTTACACGCCACCCTCCCCCCTTTCCCCGCCACCCGGCTCTCTCATGCTCATGGCTTGCAACCACTCGCTAGTGCCAAGACAAGACAAACAGCGACAAATGGTTCCGGCAAAAAGAAACAGCAACTTGATCATGATTCCGCCGCCACACGCCCAAACCGCATGATCACAAGTCGTTGTTAGGGCAGTGGAGCATTTCGTGAGTCACACCCCGCTCGCCTTGTGTCTCCAAACGCGCAGTGCAACCGTAACATGCTCGAGTCGATGAGCAATGTGTGCAATGGTTTGGTTTTTCACGCGAAATGGCGCGCTGGGACTCGATGCACTTCGCTGCCAATTTTTGACAGACGTAAAACGGAACAAGTGTAAAAATTTGGTATTGACTCAGCGTTCGCTGCCGAGCTCACCCCTTCGCACTCTCCAGGCCACACATACAGATGATCACACACACACACAAAAAGGCATCATGTTGTGTACATACGGCGTTCGTTCGGCGGGAAGCAGGCAGCGGAGGCAGTGCCTGCGAGCGTGATTGCTACCAGCAACGAGAAAACGGTCAGTTGATGCATGTGCAATGCGCGGGGGAAAATGAAAGAAAAAAAAAAAAAGAAGACTGATCTTGGATAGATCTACCGCTGATCGAATACAGAAACGCAAAATCTCACACTTCGAACAGACCCACCGCGATCGCCACGCAAAAGATACACCAGCCATCACCCTGCAGCGGTCGTCGGATTCCCTTGCCCAACTCGCCACTCGCTGCCAAGTTTGCCTCTTTTTGCATGCGTCTTCACGCCAAGTGAGCGGGGATTCTGCTTGTGACACCGGAATTTGCCGGCCGCCGGCTAAACAAAAGCCCAAACGAAACCGAAAATTGTCGAGTTTCCTGGCAACATTATTTTTTATTTTTTATGTTTGTTTTACAGTTTTTGGTGTGCCATTCCTTGATCAGAAGACCATTGCTGCTTTTGAAGCAGTCCCACATCCAGTGGGATTGTCAGACGTTGTAACGCAAGTGAAGATGATGTGGCGACGGTGAAGATGTGCATTGCTCGTGATCAGGGCAGTATGAAGGTGAATCTACTCTCGAGACAACTCTGCTGGAATGGATCTACCAGGTGGCAGCAGGCAGCAGCGGGTCTGCGTGTCACTGTGACCACGGTGTAGTACCGATGGATGGAACCGCTGCTTGCGGATTGGTCGAGTCGAAGGGATTTAAACCCAGTCTGAGATGGGTTTCGAGGTCACTCTTAGTTTTTGTCGCTTGCGCTTCTCCGACAATGAAATTGCTTGGAGCAACTCTTCTGCTTCTACTCGCGCTGGCGAGCCATGCAGCAGGCTACTGCTTCCCCGCATCTGAACGCCGTAAGATGACACGCTCTAACTCACATAGGGTGTTTGCAGGCACGGGGGTTTGGACGCGGCAGGTTTCGGGGGAGACGTAAAATGAAGGCGGATTGTTTATTTTAGTTTGGTCGCCTGCTTTCGGCAGTCACCTGCTCAAATCGGCCTCTCAGCTCGCAACAGCTCCCAAAGCCCCCATCTCTCCTCAACCACATATGACGTTCATACAGGAACACTATTCGCTTCCACCATTACACCCTCATATGACTGTCGGGGCGGGTCGGGGGAGTGCGAGCCGTAATTTTAGCAGTCGGGAAATAAGCAGCAGCGGGGAGCACAAGCGGCCGAGCCGGTAGCGTGACCACACCCCCTCGGCCCCTTGCCGATAATTATATCGGCTCATCACCTTCGTGGATGAGTGTGTTGCTGGTGGTTATGCACGATGATGGTGATCGTTGACAAAAGTGATTGACGAAATGATTGGGATACTAACAACAACCACAGCCCAAAAAAACAAAAAAAAAAACAAAAAAACTAAAACAAGAAAATTTCTGCCCCATGCTCACCCCAGGCTTTCCTGCTTTGTTTCCTTGACCATGGAACTTGCTTTCTTTCTTCGCTTCTTCGTACCAGGTGCCCTTCGGACGGACATCGAACCCATCAACGTGGTGGCAAACAACTGGGACTCGTCTGCAACAAGCGCCCTCATTGCGAAAATTCTGCTCGAGGTACAAAAGTCGAACGCGGAATGCACAACAATGCGATCTGTCGTGTCAGTTGTCAATACTGCAATGTCTCGTGTGATAACTGACACATGTCATGCATTTGTCGCGTGCAGGAAAAACTAGGTCTCCCGACGAATACGTTCACGTATGACAGTTACGACGACGCGTTCGAAGCTCTGAGCTCGGGCACAGGTGACCTGCTCATGGAAGCGTATCCGTTGCGAGTGAAGGAACTGGTGGATGTCTACGTCAAGCAACGTCGAACGGTCGAGAACGGTACGAACGTCAAAGCCCGAAAAGAGCGCTTGTTGATGTTGGTTGTCCATCAAAAGCTCATTTGCATTTTTGGTCGCTTGTTTAGCTGGCCCGTCGGGCATGACGGGAGAGACTGGCTGGTACATTCCAAACTACGTCTGGGAAATCAATCCAGTCATGGAGAGCTACATTGCATTTTAGTAAGGCTTCAGGCTAGAATTCGTGGCACCCTGTACAAGTTTAGTGGCTCATCGAAGTATGCATTGCCACAGTGATGAACGCATCCAATCCATTTTCCACCTGGATGTGATTCCTGAAGGATACCAAATTGACAACACGACTCTTCGTAGTGCTGTGGACGAGATCGATAGCATTCTTGAAGGCCCCGCATGCAATGCCGCACTCAACGCGTCGCTCGTCGCAGCCGATTGCACCCTTGCTGTGGAAGCCCACGTGCATTACCTTCGTGAGCGTGCCAACTTGAAGGATGAGGGCGAACCAATCACCTTTTGGACCATGCCTGACGCGTGGGGCACGCTTGACCGCATCATTGTGCAAAACTTGAGCTTGAACTTTAACGTGACCTGCCCAATTCCGCAGAATCTTGGTGCCACAGACACGATGAATGCAATGGTTGAAGTTACAAAGAACGCCTTCCTTGCTCGTCAACCATTCATTCAGTACTGGACCAAGCCGCACTTTGTCTTTGCGGACATCTCTCCGGCGCTTCTTCGTCGAGTGCAGCTGCCCGAGTACGACTCGACCTGCAACGTCTGTAAGTCCAGAATGCCTTGTAATGTCGGAACTGTTGAATTTTCAAATCCTTTGCTCACCGCCCATCGGACTTGGCAGCCAATGCATCGTACCGTTGCGGATACCAGGACGAGCAAGTGCTGAAATTTGTTTCTGCAGAGCTGGCTGACAAAAACTCTGTCGCAGACGACTTTGTCCACCACTTTACTTACACCTCACAAGATCAGTCGAACATTCTTGGCCAGGTGTTCTTCAGTGGCAAAACCCTCGAAGAAGCAACATGCGAGTGGGTGATTGCCAACTTCGATGCCATGTCAGCCAACATGCCCGATCCTTCGACCCTTGTCACGCCGACCAAGGTTTCCCCGGCGCTCCGCATTGCATTTATCGTCGTTGCCGCGGCTGAATTGGCGCTCTTCGTCCTATTTGCGTTTGGTGTCATCCGCTACCGTCGGATTCGTGCCGTGCTCTCTGGTAGCCCCAAGTTCCTCTTCCTCATGCTCGTCGGCGCCGCGCTGTCAATGTTTTGGGTCATCTTGAGCTATCAGGAGGAAGTCACCTCGAATCTGTGCGTTGCTCGTGTGTGGGCTCGCCACCTTGGATTTGCCATCATCTTTGCCGCCATCTTCCTGAAGACTTGGCGCATTGCCAGCGTGTTCAACATCAAGTCCAGCAAGGGTGGCCAGTTGACCGATCGCGTCTTGCTCTATCGCTTTTTGCTCATCGTGGGTTACGCCACCGTCAACCTGGTCGCGTGGACAGTCTCCACCCCTCCAACAACTGGCACCGTCGTCTCCAACAATGAGAGTTACCTTGTCTGCGAGGTCACTTGGTGGGACAACGCCATCTACATTGAAGAGCTTGTCGCCATGGTGGCTCTTGGCTTGCTCTGCTACCGTGTTCGAAAGGCGCCGTCTGCCTTCAACGAGTCCAAGCACATTGGCCTTGCAGTGTACAACTGGATTGTGATGGGTATCATTTTGCAAATCATCTTGAACTCGACGACTGGCACTGCCGACTTTTTCTTTGCCATTCAATCGCTCGAGGTTCTCGTGCCCGTTCCGATTGCCGTGATGATTTTGATGGCGCCGAAATTCTACCTGATCTTGCGCGGCAAGGGCAACGACGTTGCTACCAGCAGCTACCGCGGCTCCAATCCCAACGGCAGCCACCCCAAGACCCCGTCCGCCAATGCCGGCGGAAGTGGCAGCAACCAGAAGTCTGGTGACATGGAAATGTCGTCTGGCAACGAGAGCGAGAATGGACGTACCGCGCAACTTAGTGGCAAGGCTGCTGTCCAAGAAATCCGCTCCCTTCGCAACGAAAACACTCGCCTGCTCAAGGAAGTCGAGGCCATGCGCACACAGCTGCTGCGCATGCACAACCCTCACAGTGGAAATGCCGTTTAGTTTTTGAGTTGGAGGTTTGTTTTGTTTTGGTGTGTTATTTTGTTTCGGTTGCATGACGCAGAGCTGAGTTTCTCGGCTCGCTTTGAATGAGTACTTTCGTCTACCTTACGGCTTAGATACTTTTGGTGGCTGTGTACTGTTTTTTAGTATAAAAGTAGTTTCCCGCCAAAGTGCGAAGTGTTTCGCGAACGTTTCGTCCAATCCGCTGAATCAAACAATTTCAAACTTCACATCAAATCAATCCAACTCATCTACCGCCCGGGTTTTGTTTTGTTCTACCTCGTTTTTTTGTCATGTAATCTACCACCATTCAGTCTTGTTCTTATTACGAGTCTTTCGTGGGGAGCCAAATTCATCGTGCGTGTTTGTGAATGGTAGACGCGATCGCTGGAGCAGCAGCAGTCGCTGGAGCAGCAGCGCCTGCCCCATCGCCATCATCCCGGCCACCCTCCTCTACCAGCAAGCCCGGTTTCGTGTCATTGAATCATGCATCCGCTGGCTCGGTCGGGGCATCCGTCGCTCAGGCAGGGCTACTCGTCGAGTCCACGTCGCGGTCACCAGCAAGCTCGTCCGCCTCCTCCTCCTCCGAGCAGCAGCCACAGCAACCGACGCGCCCTCTGCTGCACATCTTTGTCGCGGGTGGCGTCGGTGGTGCCACGGGTGACTTTCTGATGCACAGCATTGACACAGTCAAGGTATTGATCAACGTCGCCCTGTTCATTGCATGTTGGTTTCGCTCTCGCCAAGACAGAGACACTTTTTGTCGGGGGGAAACCTCAAACAGGACCCTCTACCCAAGACTTTTGTTTGTTTGTTTGAGCTGATCGCAAGTTTCATGAGCTGATCGCAAGTTTCATGAGCTGATCACAAGTTTCATGGGTGGTGCTGGGGGGCCTTGGAGAAGCCTGCTCTCTCAAAATCTCACTCAGTGTCAGTTCTCAGTGTCGCTGCTTTTGTGGATCACTCACACATGTTTTCGTTTTCGTTGTTTCTTCTTGTCTCTGTGTCTGGAAATGTACATGTCCGACATGCGCAGATTCGCATACAGTCATCACATGGACAGTACGAAGGCACAGTGGACGCATTCCGGAAGATTGTTGCAGAAGAAGGTTTGATCAAGGGTCTTTACAGCGGAATTGGCGCTGCACTGGTCGGCTCGGTGCTCTCGTCATCACTATACTTTACAGCTTACAACGTCTCGAAGGAACACACGCTCAAGTACCTGCCAAGCACGATGGCGTACTTTACGTCGGGTGCATTTGGCGATTTTTGTGCGTCGACACTGTACGTCCCTCTGGAAGTCATCAAAACCCGAATGCAGCTGCAGGGCGCCATGCAACGCGTCGCGGGCCTCACTCCGAGAGTGGGTGCGCCTGTCGCGTACCAAAACGTCTTTCACGCCTTCTTTACAATCTACCGCCGCGAGGGCCTTCCTGGGCTGTACTCTGGGTACCGAGCCACTGTTTTCCGAGACATGCCGTTTTCAGCCATCCAATTTACCGTGTACGAACAGGTGAAGCGACTCGCGGCCTACCTCACGGAACCCGACCCGCTGCTTATTGAGGAACAGAAACAGCTACGGCGTGCGCAGCGCCAACGGCAACGACAAGAAAATCAGCATCAGCTAGTCGGTCTAACGTCGTCTTCCGTTCCCGGATTGTCGGCAAGCCAGCTTGCCATTCTTAGCAACAGTAGTAATGATGGCAGTGCTTCATCAAGGAGAGCTGCCAGTAGTGGTGACAGGCGGAACGATCCTGCTGCAGCCGACGGTGCACGACCGCCCGTTCAACTTATTCCAGATGCCGTCGAGCCCACCGACCCACTCGCTCATCCGGACAACCATTATCGAACGCGATTCAACACCCCTACAACCATCAATTCTCTCTCCGGCGTGATGGATGGGTGCATTTCGTACACAACAGACTGGATGGCGGGAGGCATCACCCCGTCCACATTCAACACGCCCGGACCCTCGCGAGTGCAGCAGCAGCGGTCCCTTCTTGCAACGCAAGATCGGGGACGGATGCCTGGAACCTCCTATTGCCTGGATGGCAACGCAGTCATGCTCGGTGATGACGATGAGGTTGGTTGGGGTCCCGGTCAACTTTTGGCGACCGTGCGCGAGGCCGGCAAGGAACTCTTGCTCGGAGGCTTTGCAGGAGGCGTTGCAGGTGCCATCACCACGCCCATGGACGTGGTCAAGACCACTCTGCAGAGCTCGCCCTCCGCTGGCGTTGGCGTGATTGATACGTTCAAGTCCATCTATCAACAGAGCGGAGTTCGAGGATTGACGCGAGGTATGGCAGCGCGTGTCATTTGGACTGTGCCGCAGTCTGCCACCATGTTCTTTGTCTTTGAGCAAGTGACGCAGTTTCTTGCGCGGTTTGACCCAGATCGTGTTCCAGCGGAGGAGTGATGAGCGATCAATCCTGTTTTGTATGTTTTGATAAGATCACTGGACTACTGTATCAAAGTAAACATTTGTAACTGTTGATGTTGTTGTCAGTTTCATCTACAGTTCAGTCCTTTTCTTGGAGTGTTGATTCGTCTCTGCGATTCTCAGATTTGTCGCGTGGAAGCTCGTGTGCTTTTTGTTTACGGTTTAGTTTTCCAATGTCGGCCGCCTTACCACGGCTCGTGCCATGGGCCACCCGTCGCGAGTGGGAGGCAGTCCGCCAGTGGTTGTTTGCCTCGGGGACGAGCGAGCGTGACCAGACGCGTGCCACGGCCAGGTACCGCGCTCCCTTTAGAGGAGTCGGTGTCATTGAGTTTTGTGCTCACCCTCCTCCGCTCTCTGTCGGCTGTACTCATCGACCTGTGTCAATTATTGCTTTAGGATTATGGCTTGGAAGAGTCGCGGGAAGGTCCCGACGGCGGTCGATGTGACTGCGACGTTGGTCGAGTGCCAGCTCAAGGACGCACACGCGGCTGCGACGCCAGCAGCAAGGAACACGCGCGTTGTCGACGCTGCGAATAGTGCTGCCGAGGCGTCCATCTTGAGATACGCCTATGCGAACTCGATTGTGCGGTTTGTCAACGGCATTGTCGACGCCGAGCAGAAGGGCGTCCACGCGCGATCCGTCAAGTAAGTGGAGAAACTTGCACAGCTCAATCAAGTACCTGAGATCTGAATCATGCTGGAAATGCTCACTTTTCCATCGTCGTTGTCTGGTTGGTGGTAGTGCGATCGCGGTCGAACTAGGCGTGCCAGAGTGGATTGTGGACATTCGCCATGATGTGACGCATACCGCGCTGCCAACGCTGGCTCTCCTGCGGACGGCAACATCGCGGGCATTGGAATGGCTGCGTGAACATTATTGGGACGCCCAGCAGGATCTTCTTGACGAGGACATTCGCAGCGTCAAGGCGATGCTGGCAGATTACCACAATGCCGTTGTGCGGAAACTCCAGGTGCGTTAACATCTGCATTGACTGCGCTGGTTATTGGAGATCTGTTGCTTTTGACTTCATTGCGGGGAGTCCTCTCACCATGCTTATTGTTGACTTTGCTTGCAGGCGCAAGAAGGCGCCGTTGCGACTGAAGCGGACTTCCTCGAAGCTTCACTTGCGCCGATTGTCCAACGCGTGCAGCCTACAGCTTTAACTGATGTTCTCATCCCCTGCCTGTTTTCCAAAGACGGCATTTATTCCTATACACCCATAACGACCAGCGCTGCACCTGCTACACCTGCGGACAGCACGAAATCCACAAACAACACTTTGAAGGGAAAGAAGGCTCGTGAATCTGCGGCTGCTCCGGCGGCTGCTTCGGCTTCGGCTTCTGCACAAGCAGCTCGGTCGGCCGCTCACAACTCGCCCGCTCTTGCTGCGATGGCAATGGCCTCTCAAGTGGCGCCGCACTGGATTGACGCCGTGGCATTCTTCTTGCGCCAGTGGCCGCAGCTGACCTCGCTCATTTTGCAACTTGGCGTTGCTGACGTTTGCTCTTCGCTGTCATCGGGCGATGAGACGGCAGATCCCAGCTCTCGCTTTGATGTGATGGAGGAGAGCGACGACAACGAGGCGGCGGCCGAAAGCACAACCAGCCCTTTCGCGGATCACGCCCGTCATTCTGGATTACGCATGTCCCACACTGCAGCCGAGCGAACCCTCCTGGTAGATCTGTTGAGCCTCATTCTGGGCAGTGCCATTCGCTCTGCCCCGTTGGTGCGTGCAGCGCTGCCAACAACCGCTTTGCGATCCACGTTAGACCGCGCTTCGTTGTCCTCGACCACTCCCTCCGCATCATCCAATAATGCTGCCCCAAGCAGCACAACAGCTGCTTCGTTCAGTGTCGTCGACCTTCCAATCGATTTACTGCTTCACGTCTGCTTCAAGGCCATGAGCTCCGGGGCGATTCAGCTGCTCCCCTTGCTCGCTTGCGCCAAGCAACGGCTTCTGGTACAAGAGTTGGATGAAGAGCTCCTTGCTTGCGCATCCAGTACGATCGGCAGCAGCAGTGGAGTGAGCCGAAGGCCGAAACAAAAGCAGGCCCTTCGAAAGAGTACTGAAGGCATTGTTGCTCGCTATGAGGCACGTTGGAGCTCATTCTACCGCCGACTGACAGCTCTGATGCAGCTTCAGCAGCAAGCGGATGCGCTGTTGGCTGCCGAGCAGCCCGTCCTCAGCGCCTTCCACAATTTCAATTCCAAAGCGACCTCCGTCGTCTCCTCCGCGCCAGCCCGTCCCCAATTCTCGAGTGATCAGAGGGACACGCAGTTGAAGGAGCTCGACAGACTGAATCAGGATGCTGGTCAGCGACTTGTCCCTGGCGCAGCAAGGGCTGACGGCGAGCGGAGTGTTCCGACCGAGGCTGCTGCTCTCGCTCTCGTCTCCAATCCGTGGAAGAAGGTCACGGCTGCCCACCAGATTCTCGCATGGCAGTTCTGCCCCATCGGAGCTCTGCCGACGTCTGCATGTCCGGATTTGTCTCTGCCGCTCGCATTGGACACCATTGCAGCAGTCAGCGCGCCTCGAGAACAGGACAGCGGCTTTTCCAACAGTGCTGCCGCTGCAGAGGATTGTCAGGTTGTAGGGCACCAGCCCCTGCTGCAGCGCGGGTTGAAACGTGAGTTTGCTTCAGCCGAGGACGATTCAACGCCGTGTGAAGAGACCAGCGCCAGTGAAGCCGAACCTCTGGAGGCTGCCAGCAAACGAGCGCGATTAGTCGAGCCTGTGTCGTTTGACCCTTTTCTGGTGCCAGGGGCTGCAAGTTTCGAAGTGGACTTGCTTTGAAGCTGAGGGAGTTTGTAATCAGGATCAAATACAGGTGCTTTTATTTCCGCGCGTCGCGTTTAGAAGGCAGTCATCTGCAAGAATTCGGTTTGGTGAGGTGGTGGCGTTGATGGCCGGATGGTTGCTGTAGGATGGAGATGGAGATCAGCCTGGCCAAGCTCGCTGTTCATGCTCTCCGAGTGGCAGTAGGAGCGCAGGTTGATTTTCTATCGTGCCAGAGGCTATTTATTGCCTTTTGTTCTTGATTTGAGGTTGACCTCAACAACAGCCAAAAAAAAAAAAAAAAAAAAAGTGAAAACGCCTTTCTTTCTTGCTGCCCTTCAACCCTCCACCACCCCGCGGCCAACCAGTCAATGGACACTACAGTGTGGCCTGAAATACAAAAGAATGTTTTTGAAAGGGTGCGAAGAAGCGACGCGAGGGAAAGTCGGACAAGGCAAAAAAAAAAAAAAAGTATAAAAAAAAAGCAACGCGTATGCCCCAACTGAGAATCGAACTCAGATTGCGGGGTTATGAATCCCGTTTCCTAACCATTAGAAGATTGGGGCTGGTGTTAAGCGACCGCGCTCTTGGGCTTTTGTCTCCTGGAAGCCATAGCACAGACAAGGCCAAAGAAAAAAAAAAAAAAAAAAAAAAAGACCAAAAAAGCAAAAAAGCAAGCCGAATGCCCCAACTGAGAATCGAACTCAGATTGCGGGGTTATGAATCCCGTTTCCTAACCATTAGAAGATTGGGGCTAGTTTCAGATGTTTGTTCTCGGGTGGGCAAAACCGATGTGATGTGCTGACAGATGGAGCCAATGCTGAAAATTGGGCGCGAAATCACAACGATGACTGCCCGGTCACCAACGTTGTAAACACCCGGGTTTGTTCAATTAAATATTCAATTAATATTGTGTAACATAAATCTGCGCCAAGAACCATGTTTTTGAGGCCAGAATCGAGGCGACTTCGTGGTCGATTTCATAAACCCAAGCAGAACAAATGCTTCTGCTCGTGTCTGAACATCCAAACTTTCCAGAAATTATGGTCGCAAGTGCTGCATTGTCGTTCCATGGTGTCGTGATGTTGGTGGGGAGATGCATGACAATCACGGTTTTTCATAGGTCAGCAAACCACCAATTCAAAGTTCGTTTGATTATTTGGAATTCCAGCGCAACATCATCCTGGACACCAGGCATTGATTACACACAGTCAACAAACACACAATACAGCACATGATTTTAATCTGAAGGTAACATGCGGACAGCTGCTGCTCTTGACCATTCTTACTCGCCTTTTGGCGCGAAACGGTTTCCGTCCAGCTTGAGGCAGTAGAGCCTCCATTCGAGAGCCGCTGTTATTTGTAGAATGTAGTAATTCATATTTTATAATAGAAAATCAAGCTTGTGGTGGTGGATGTTTGCCCAATACCTTTGCAGCAAGCGCATGAACTTAATGAACTGACGGACCTGAAAACCCCTTTCTTTTCCGTTTTCCAGCACCCCTGGTCGCCGTCCTCTCATATAGACTCATGGCGTGCTCAATGTCATAGTCGCTTCTATATCCCGTCCCCAATCACCACCATACGAACAACAACTGTACTGAACCGAATAATTCTACGCTGCATTGAAAATTCATTCGAGCGTTGCATTCTAGCACAATGCACTCACTCATTCAATCAACAGCAGCAACAGCAGCAGCGTTAGCAGTGGTACTCGCGCTTGGTGACAGGATTGGGAATCCAGCCCTCGCGAAGACCCATCAAAAAGTCCCATTGCGGCGCCGATTCCGTCTTGAGGGTCCAAAAGTACCAGCCGGAAGCAGCCTCGTAGGCATCCATCTGCATCTCGGTAAACTGGCGCAGGAAGGCGCGGTAGTCTGGCGTGAATTGGGTGACATCGGTGCCAAAGTTGCCGGTGCACTTGCCAAAGACCGGATCGCCAGGGCTGAGCGTTCCCTCCCAGCGATTTCCATTCAAAAATCCATTGGCCCACTGCGGGCAGTCGGTGGTGGCCAGGGACCATTCACCCATGAACGTGGGATGGTACTTGTTCGCCGTCACAATGGCTGGACGGGTGTTGTTGCAAGTATAGTTCAAATGGCCAGCGTAATCCATAGCCAGCAGACTGTTATCAAAGCAGTGGTACTGATGCGAGTCCTGGAACAGGTTGGTGTATGCCGGAGGCTCCATGATGCCACCCCAAGCATTCATGTTGAAGTTGTCGTGGAAGACAATGTTGAGCGTATTGGTGAACGAGGGGCTGCTCTGACGAATCGCAGAGTAAGCCTAGTTGATCCAGAAGAAAAAAAAATGACAACAAGTGAGATCAAATCTGGGTTTCTCTAGAATCAGTAGTGGCAAATCTCGAGCGGGTGCTGGTATCGCTTACATTCACATAAAAGTCTTGAACAATCTTCGGATCCACCGACCACCACGGCTCGTTCACGAGCTCAATGGCGTGAATGACGTCCGTAAAGCCGTGGTCGCGAATGTACAGAATGAACATTTTGAGTGTCTGGACGGTCAAATCCGTGTCCCAGTCGAGCGGCCCGCGGTGGCCAGAGTGATCTTGGCCATTTTGGCTCCCTGGGGCGCCGTGCAAATCAAGCAGCACGCGAATATTGTACTTGCGAGCCCACCCGAGGAATCGATCGAAAAAGCTTCCAAAAACCAAAGCAAACAGTGAGGAAAACAAGGATCTCCGGGCGCTGGTTTCTCCCAAACGACCAAAAATATCACAAAACGTTAAAAAGAGCCACCTACTATGTTTCACCAGGAACCCACGTCTCGTTGGGGAGCGGGTTGAGCATCCAGTACCCGACCGGAAGACGGACGTCGGTGATGCCTGCTTGGGCGACTTCGGCAATATCAGCCTCGGTAATCCAGGTGTCCCAGTGCTCGAGCATCATTGGAGTTGCGTCCTTCATGCCAATGTAGTTGACGAGCGAGTACTCGTCCCAGACCGAGTGGTTGTTGAAGGTGCCGTTGATGTGTGGGTTGAACAAGGACGGGACAATCCACGGCTCCAGCACAAACCAGCCACCCAGGCAGACGCCGCGGTACGGCACAGCGTTATCAGCATAAGCATCAGCACCACCAGCAGCAGCTCCGTTGAGGTCGATGTGCATGAAGCGCGTCGGCTGCTGGTCGGCCGGGGTGTAGGAAACCGCTGTAGTGGCGCGACAGCAGAGCAGAACAGCGGCAAGCACTGCCACGACGCTCGGCGCCAGGCGATTGCGTACCGAGCTGAGCATTCGAAACACAACTGAGTAGATCGTAGATAGGAGGAGTAGTTGTAGAAGCACGACAAGAAGAAACAAAGAAATGACTGAAGACCCTTCAAAAACACCACCTAATTCTGAAGTGCCTCAAACGATTCACAAGGAAGGAAGGAAGGGCGTCTGCCTCGCGAGAGATGCAAATCGCAACACGTTGATTGCATCCGTGCGCTTGAACAGGATTGCGAGTGTGGATCGGAGGTGTGTGTGTGTGGGGGAGACCAACGAAAAAGCATTTGAAAGGATTGGCATTGGTGGATGCAATCCGTCCTACTCTTTACAATCCCCACCCCCCTTCCACCCCCTCCCCATCAAAGAACTCGTGCGTATAACTCGTGAAAAAAACGCAGACGAACGCAAGCGCACAATCACACACAATCACGATCACGATCAGTCACCGCAGTCCTTGTTTTTCTTTTTTTTTTTCCCCGTTCTTTGGTTTGAATCTTCAGTGCCTTCCTCTTGTGCTGGACACTCCAAACAAGCCAAACCCAAAGAACTCGTCCTTCTTTCTTCAACAACAACAAACAAACAAAAAGAGTCATCATGACGATCAACCTGACGCCCGAGGAGGAGAAGAGCTACGTCGCACTGCTGAGCGAGCTGCCCGACAGCGTCGCGCCCGCCGCGGCTGCTGCCTTCTTCCGCCGCTCGGAACTGCCGATGCCGGTGCTGCAGAAAGTGTGGGAGCTGAGCGCCCCAAAGTCCGGCGCCGAGTACAACCGCCAGGCGCTGCTTGTTGCACTGCGGCTGATCGCGCTTGCCCAAGCGGGCATTGAGCTCACTCCGACGTCGCTCGGCAGCATGCGCCCGCCCGCGTTGCCGCGCCTCTCTGGCAGTGGCAGCGGCAGCAGCACCGGTACCCGATCGGCAGCGTCCGGGTCCGCGCCCGCAGCCGGCCCCGCCTGGGACGTCCCCCTGGCCAACAAGCACAGCTACGATTTGACCTTCCAGCGCGGCGCTCCCGTCAACGGCAAGCTCTCTGGCGAGAAGGCCCGCACGGTGAGTTTCAAACCGACCTCGTCGGGGGTCTTCTCTTTCTAAGCTTTGAATTGGGGGGGGGGGCGGGGTGAGCATCAACGACACACACGCAGCGAAAGAAGGGGGAGCATCGGTCCAAAAGCCAAAAAAAAAAAAAAAAAAAAAAAAAAAAAAAAAAAGATTTTTAAAATTCTTCTTCTTTGTCTTTGCAATCGATTCAAACAACCTTCTTGAGTTGGACTTTTGTTTTTTTGTGTCTCGTTTTCGAACAAAGTTGCATTCTTTTTTGTGTTGTGAGATTTTGAAGTGTGTCGTTTGGATTGCTGTCGAGGCGGTCGTGAAAAGCCAAGTGTTTGAACCAACAAGAAAACCCACAAAAAAAAAAAAAAATCCAACTTTATGATGATTTCTCACGATTTTTCTTCAATGTTGTTCTATGCTTTTTTTTTTTGTTGGTTTGTTTGTTTAGATTTTCGTGCAATCTGGCCTGCCCGCAGAAATCCTCAAGCAAATCTGGGACCTGGCCGACATTGATCGCGATGCACACCTCGATGCGGACGAGTTTGCCGTTGCCATGCACTTGGTGACAACCAAATTGCAGAACGCTGCGTTCACCATCCCGGCCACCCTGCCGGCTTCCCTCGTGCCTCCATCGAAGCGCGGAGGCGTCGCACACAGCTCGGCCACGCCCGCTGCTGGCTCGCCCGCCGCTGGCGCTTCCGACGTGAGTACCTAATTGTGGCTGTTGCTGCTGCGAAAAGTGTCCAGACGCAATGTTTGTTCTCACTTTGTCCCTTGCCGCTGTGGACAGTGGCCGCCGGCTGCCGACAAGGATCGCTTTGCCGTGTACTTCAAGGAGGCCGACAAGGACCTTGATGGGTTTGTCTCTGGTAACACAAAATTGCCTCGACCATTTTTTTGTGCACCGCTCGCTCTCTTGCACCCGCTCACCGCATCCTTTTTTTGTTTTATCCGATCTTTATTTCAGGTGTCGATGTCAAGGATATCTTCATGAAGTCTGGTCTTCCAAATCCTATTCTTGGTCAAGTTTGGTACGCAAACACTTGCATCCATCTTTTTGCTTGCATCGATCGTTGGCGGGGGGGGGGGGGTCGTGCTGCTCCTTGTTTCTAGTTCGTTCACTCACTCACTCACTGTGACTGCCAAATCCCTTCCCCACTCATCCCGCTTTTTCACTTACTTCTTTGCAAAACCATCAGGCAATTGGTCGACACGGACGGAACTGGTCGCATCAACTTGGAAGAGTTTGTTCTTGCCATGTATCTCATCGCCAAGCGCGTTCAGACTGGCGTCGACCTGCCTGCCGTCTTGCCCCCTCACTTTGTTCCGCCGTCCAAGCGACGTGGTGCCAGCGGCCCGTCGTCCGGCACCTCCACCCCGGCGCCCGTCCCCGCACCAATCGTGAACAACCCCAACATTCCCGAGGAAGTTTCTGCTTCCTTCAACAACACCATGAAGCGGGTGGTCGCGGACATGCCTCCCGTTCCGGACAGCGACTTTTCGGCCATTCAGATGCTCGACAATCTGAGCAAGGAGGTCGAGTCTGCCGCCGCCCAGAAGGAGACGCTCGAGAAGGAAGTTCGCGAGAAGCAGTCGGCGTTGGCTGCGGCCGAGGCCGAGGCTAGCTCGGTGGAGGCACAGCTCGCCAACTCGGAGCGTCAACTGGCTGCCCTGCGCGAGCAAAAGGCCGAGCTCTCCAGCCAGATTGAAACGCTCGAGTCGAGCCGTGCTGACATGGATGCCAAGCTCGAGATTGCCAAGGCCGAGCTGGCCCAAGAGACTGCCGAGTTGGACAAGCTGCGCTCGGCCGTTGACGAGCAAAAGATGACTTCCGTTCGCCAAGAGGAGGAGCTCCGCAAGCTGCGCAACGAAGTCGAGCAAGCGCAGCGCGAGCAAGCGCGCCTTCGCGAGCAGCTCGACACCGAAACCAAGACTGTGGCGCAGCTTGAGGCCAAGATTGAGGAGGCCAAGTCGAACGCCTCGTCTTCGCAACACGAGGTCGACGAGCTCACCACCTCCAACTCGGCCCTGCAAAAGCAAGTCTCCGAGCAAGAGAAGCGACAGGCGTCCGAGCCCGTCATCCCTGCCGCCGAACTCGCTGCTCTCTCAAAGCCTCTTCCTGCAGAGGATGTCTTTGGCGACGATCCTTTCGGAGGTAGCTCTAACCGCTCGACCAAGTCAACCTCAAGCAGCCACAAAGCTGGTGCTGGTGCTGGTGCTGCTGCTGCTGGCAGCGATCCCTTCGGCGCTGCCGATCCTTGGGGAGCAGGCGGCAAGGCCAGCACCGGTAGCGCGTTTGGCGATGATCCGTTTGCCAGCAGCAGCGATCCGTTCGGCTCGAGCGGCGCAACCAAGGAGTCTGCCGATCCCTTCAAGAACGACTTCTTTGGCAGCACCCCCAGCAAGGCAGCCGATCCGTTCGGCGGCCCTGCCGGCAGCGGCGCTGGATTTGATAACGATCCTTTCAGCTCGTCTACCGCGGCTGGCAAGTCTGACAACCAGTTTGGCAGCGACCCATTCAGCAGCAGCAGCCACGCCGATCCTTTCGGTGGCAGCGGCAAGTCGGACGATCCTTTCGCCGCCCCGTCCAAGAAGTCATCCGCCGCCTCTGCCGATCCCTTCGCAGCCGGCGACGCGTGGGGCTCTGACCCCTTCGGCGGATCCTCCACCTCCCGAAAAGGCCCCAACGCCTCCGAGGACGATCCTTTCGGCGGACCGATCTCTGCCCATGCGGGCGATGCTGCTGCCTCTGGCGATATCTTTGGTGATGATGCGTTCGGCGCCAAGCCTTCCATGACGATTGGCGATGCTGACACCGATTCGGTGAGTTGAGGGGGGGGGACTCAGAAGGGGTTCGCGGGGATGATGTTTGTTGTTTGAAGTGTTGTTGGTTGTTTGCGCTCATTTTTTTTGTTTGACCTTTTCACACAGGCCGTGTAATGTGTTTTCTGAATCTGGCTATTCTTCTCCAATCGTGTTCCTTTCGGTTGTTTTGCGACTGCACTCGCCTGTTCATTGTTTGTTGTCTTTGTGGTGTGTTTTCCGGGTGGAGTTCCAAAATTCTGTCCATCATGCTTTGCTGTTCCGTGCTTATCCCCCCCCCTTTCTCTGCTTTGGTTTTGTCAAAGAATCAACATTTTCCCTTCCTTGCATCCATTTCTGCATGACCGACAGAGACAAAGCAGCACAGAGCACTTTGCATTTGCATTGCACCATTTCCGCCAACTCATCCATCCGCATCACGATTGGCTGAAATTCGATACCCTTTTCTATTACTGATTTTCATTACTTTTTTTTTTTTTTTTTTAATATCCGCTCACTCTTTTATTCCTTCTTTTTTTTTACCTTACCAATGCGATTTGCTGCAACTCTCGCGTTGGTCGCCGCCGCGTCTGCGCTCGTGTGCGCTGCGCCTGCGCCTTACACTGCCGTCGGCGATGCCAGTGCAGACCACATCGCCTCGCTGCCCGGTCTGACCACGGCAATCAACTTTAAGCAGTACGGCGGTTACCTCAACGTCGATGCCCAGCGCGGCCGCAACCTCTACTACTGGTACACCACCCCCGACACGACCTCCGCCAACTTCCAGTCTGCCAACAACACGCTCATCCTCTGGCTCAACGGCGGTAAAGACAGACAGCACTCACTCAAACTCAATGAAAAACTAAAAAAAAAAAAAAAAAAAAAAAAAAAAAAAAGCGTGACTTTCGTTGACATGTGACTTTGGCTTCACACTTTGAGTGAATGTTCGACTTGAGATTCTGAGATTCTGAGACTTTGATTTTGATGATAATGTTGGAAAAATTCCGACCTTCTGACTTTTGTTTGTGGCTTTTTTTTGTTTGTTTGTTTGTGGCTTTTTTTTGTGGCTGAGCAGGTCCCGGTTGCTCGTCCGTTTCGGGCTTCTTCTCTGAGAACGGCCCGTTCCTCGTCCAGTCGGACGGCCTGACCATCCAGCTCAACCCCCACGCTTGGAACAACGCCGGCCACGTCTTCTGGCTCGAGAGCCCCGCCGGTGTCGGCTTCAGCTACTCGGACACCAAGGCCGATTACAACACTGTAGGTTTGAAACGGACGAAAAGCTTTCTGTAGATTTTCATCTGCATTGGTGCATTGGGTGCAATGGTCACTTCATGCTGCATGTAACCCCGAAATCATCATGACTCAACTCGTTACGAAAACAAACCCGTAGAACGACGACAAGACTGCCGTCGACTCGTACACTGCCCTCCAAGTCTTCTACACCCGCTTCCCCGAGCTGCGTTCCAAGGCACTCTACATTACTGGCGAGAGCTGTACGTTTGCATCCACGCCACTGAATGTTTTGTTTGCGTGCCATTCGGTGTGCACCGTTGATTTCGGCTCACTCGTCTTGCTCTCTTTTTGTGCCGTCTTTCTCTTTCTCGAAACCTCCACCTTGCCCTGATAGACGCCGGACGTAAGAATTCACTTCTATTCAACAACTTGCATAGGATGGCTGGGAGCTGCAATTGCTAAACTCACACCATTTTGTTCATTCACAACACACCTTCCCCTCCTTCAGACTACATTCCCCAGCTTGCCCAGCAAATCCTCGCCCACAACACTGCAGGCGACCAGCCGTTCATCAACCTTGTCGGCATTGCTGTTGGCAACGGCCTGACCAACGAGGACGACGACTTTGCCGCTCCCATCACTTTCTTCCGCCATCACTCGATTGTTTCGCCCCAGGCTTACGCCAAGGCCAACACTGCCTGCCAGGGCAACTTTGTCTCCAACGCTCCCGGCTGCCAGTCCGCCGTCAACTCTGCTCTGGCCGTCATTTCGGATCTGATTGACCAGTATGACGTTATTGAGGATGTAAGTTGGGTTTTTTTTTCCCGCCGTATTATTTTTGTATTTTTGTGTCTGTGCAGGTGAAAATATGCATTTTGCGCTGAATCGTCTCACCCTCCTGCGCGACACACGTAGGTCTGCCTCGACGACAGCCCCGAGAACCGCGCCAAGCTCCTCCCCACCCGCCGCGCTCGTCAGTCCACCATGCTGCTCAAGAACCACCCCCACTTTGGCGAGATGCCCATCACTCCTCCCTGCGTCGACAACTACATTACCACCTACCTGAACGTACGCTTCCAAAATGATTAGTTGGTCGGATTCCGTCCTGCGTTACGGCGTCTCACTTTTGTCTCTTTTGGTTGGCTTTTTGTTTAGCGCGCTGAGGTCAAGGATGCCATTCATGCCAAGGGCAGCATCTCCTGGGAGGAGTGCACCGATTCGATCAACTACACCTTCAACCACTCTTCCATTCTGCCCGTCTACGAGCAGTTCTTTAACAACTACAAGAACCTGTCGATTCTGATCTACTCTGGTGGTACGTTGCTGGCTGCGTTGCTAGGACCCTGCTGGCCTTTTGTCGTTGCTGATGACTTTTTCTTCTCAACATTGGACAGACGCTGATGGTGTCCTCCCCTTCATTGGCACTGAGGGCTGGCTCGCCCGCCTTCCCCTGACCATTACCGAGGCATGGCGCGAGTGGAAGGGCTCTGACTTGCAGAACGCTGGCTACACGATCAAGTACGACAAGCTGACCTACCTGAGTACGTATACAAACACAGCCGCATCTATTCTTGGGGTTTTGCACTTTGTTGATTCTGACAGTCGCGACATTTTGGCATGTTTGTTGCAGCCATCCGCGGTGCTGGCCACATGGTTCCCGAGTTCCGACCCATGCATGCACTCGACTTTATCACCCGATTCATCAACAAGCAGCCCTTCTAAAATGCACCGTGATTTCGTGTGTGTGCTTTTTGTTTTGCCAACAAGTTACAATTTAGAGCAAAACCTCCCCTTTCCACCGCCAAATTCAATGTTAGCATTGTTCATCTGAATCATTTCCATCTTGTTGAGCTGCCATGTTTCCGATCCGAGTGGAGTGGGAGACGGGGAGGTCAGTCGTGCATCATCATCGTCCTCTGCTCCAATGCTCTCAGAGGAGGAGATTGCACTTCTCGTTTCGCACCTGCATCCAAGCCCAAGCCCAAGCCCAAGCCCACGCCGAATCCACAATCCTCAGAGCACAGGCTCCACACCACCAAGCGCCCGGAATCCCCACCAGTCCGCGTGGTTGGCGCGACTCGTCGTTGCAAAGTGCCTGCTCGGTCGATTGGCGCCAAGCAAGCAGAGCCGTTCCAACGATGACGCCGCTGCTGCAGCCACTGAGCCAGCATGGACCACTGCTGATGCCAAAGGGACGTTCGAGCCGGACCCGGTTGGACTCGCTCTCGAAGCAATGCTCCAGTCGGCCGCTGTTGTCGTCGCTCCGTCACAGCTCTTGGCGGGCACGCGTCCGGACGCAGGATTGCTACCGTCTGCCGTTCGATCGATTCTAAGATTCCAAGTCATCAAGGGACCGTTTCTGGGGCTCGAGGAGTTTGCAACGCTGGTGGTTCGACTTGGAGTGGTCGCGCCAGTGCTTGCTGCGCTCGGTCCGGTTGGAGCGGGCAATGTCGCGAGCGTCCCTCCATCCGACAGTGTCGTTCAAGCAATCGACAAGGCTGTGAATGCGATTGAGCAGAGTGCACGGCCGTTCACACTGCCGGTTTCTCTGCACATCATTCGGCAATTGCTGAAGTCTGCCGTTTCAACCCACAGTGATCCCTCCATTCCTACTACACGCGCGGAAAACTCTGCACCAATTCCGCCGAATTACAAGGAACTGCTGCACAGTCTTACCTCTCGTCTGTCAAACGTTTCTGTCGTCTCATTGCCGCTCCAATCCGCACCGCGAGCGGGATTGTCGCTGCTGGCCGACGCGCAACTGCTGCAGCAAGCAACCCACAGCGGGCCAGGACTGGAAGCCGCAGTATCCGAGCTTGCTACTCGGCACATACAATACTCGTGCACTGAGAGTGATGCGTACAAGGCCGAGCTGCTCGTGTCGGCTCGGTGGGCAGCCGTTCAGTGCGAGAGTATTGCCGATGCTGCACCATTGACAGATCGACCTGCTTCCCTGGCCTCATTTGGCAACCTCACGAGTATCCTAAATAGGATGGTGGGTGGTGGTCACGACATGACTTCTGAAATCGACCGGCAGTTGGTCCTTCAGGTCATTCAGCACCCGTCGAACGCCTTGGACGCAGTCTTGCACTGTGCCATCCAGCATTCCGGACAGCGCCCAGCTCTTCAGTGGCTGATTGAACTCTGTGCAAGATTTTACGGTCAGAGTCGCGACCTCGCTTCGGGAACCAGCGTCGTGATCTTGGCAGTCGAGAAGCTTATTGCTCGTCTTGTCGAATCGGCAGGTCAACCAGCAGCATTTTTATCGGGACCACAGTTTGCCAATCTCGAAGGGCTTGTTTCCAGTGCTGTTTCACATTGGGTTCCAACGCGCTCCTCGTCTCTTCACGACACCACAGATCGTTTTGTCAAGTCTCTGTTCTCGCCCGACGAAGCTCTGCGGAAGCTCTGTCTACCGGCGATTGGCACGGCGATCGAGCAGCAATGTGTGACGTTCAACACACAACTGGCGCTTCGTCTCGCGCAGGCGATTGCGACCGGCTTGAGTCAGACCACGGCCAGAGGCGCTCTTTTGCTCACCATGGATTATTTACCGCTGTTTGAGCTTTGCTCGCAGATTTCACGACTCTTACCTCTGCTCCGACAGCAAACCTTTCGAACCGCGGGGGCGTTGGTCGACGATCCTCTCGAAGTTGCCAAGTCGACTGTTCAGCTTCTGTTATCAGTGCCCGCTCTTCATCCCTCGTCTCATCACGCGATGGAGAAGTGGGTGACTTTGATGCACTCGGAGCATGCCCAAAACACATCCACCCCAATCCTGCTAGCGGCTCTACCGCACTGCAAATTGGACGATCAGCTGCTTTGCGAGTGGGCGGCAACGCAGCTGCAAACCGGCTCATTGGTTCAGGTCGACCACTTTATTGCATGCTATCGATCTTCCACTGCTCTATCGGCTCCATCAACGACAGCCGCCGGCTTTGCTTCAGCAGCTCCCGACACATTGTCCCTGAAGTTGTTCACGCGGCAAATGCACGCTCTCGCTCGTGCCATGACTGCGAGTGCAAGCTGTGCTCTTGCTGTTATTGACAGCTTACAAGTTCACTCGGTGACTGCGGACGCATTCCGACAGGCCTTGCTCGTTGCGTGCACACAAGTTCTTTCAACGGGCTCGATGTCCGAGTGGCAGCTGTTGGTCGGCAGCGCAATGCCACAGTTGGTCCGACGCCATCAATTCCTGCGCGTGTCATGCGAAGCGATCACATCAGGTGAGTGGGTTTTGGACGCGCTGTGTGTTGATGATGGTCTGCATGCTCATTTTTGGGTTTGTGGCTTTTTTTTATTTTGCTTGGTAGATCCAGCCTTGATGCCGTTTATTTCCTCGATTCACTTTTTATTTCGGGTGCTTTCACTTGGATTTCAGCATGAGCTGTGGGCAACGGGCAAGTTTGCCATGACAGCTAGCATTGTGACCGTCAAGGTGAGCTCGTTGCCTTCGCAATACTTTGCATCCGTTTTCGTTGTGACTCACATGCGAGCTGTGTTGACGCACCCTTCAGACGCTTGTCGACCAATGCTGCGCGTTACCCATCCACACTGAGGATTCGGTGATTGATATCATCCGCCATTGCTGCTTGATTGCAAGCGTGTGGCCAACAGAGCAGCTCCAGCTCAGCGCCATCACGCTTGTCTGCGATGCCTTGCAAAGCGTGCCGCCTGTTTTGCTCGTCTCGTGTGCTGAGACGCTCGAGCGATCGGTGTTTGTCCACCTGAACTCGCACGCACTGCGATCCAAGGTTACCGAAGCGCTGAATCATGTATTGCAGTCGACAGGCCATCCTCCACGACCCAGTCCAGCTGTGTAACCGCCCGCTGCACTGTCAAGTGAGGAAGTGCCCCTGGCAGATCGAACACATGTGCAGAGGGAAAAAAAGGACGAGGTCACCAAATTTCGCTTTTGCGCAAAAAGCTGAGTTATTTATTGTTCGCAACGATCGCCCCTTGCAGTCAAACCATTGCCGTTCACAAAGCTGGAAATAAAACTCATTGATCGTGAAACAGCGTTGTATTGAAAATCAAATAGTGAGCCATTATTACGCCAAACGGCACTAAACCAATAAACAAAATTATCGACGACCGCCACGGCCACGGCTGCCCCGACCTCGGCTGCCGCCACGGCCAGGATCGCCACGGCTGCGACCGTATCCTTGCTTGCTGTTTTGCCATGCGCGCTCTTTGACGTTGACCGAGCCGGAGGACTCGAGCAGATGCGCAAAGTCTTCAGCGGACGCAAACACATTTCCGGCCTTGGACTTGATGCCGTTCTTGATGCTGGCAGGATCGAAGGCGATCTCGTCATCGTTGTCTTCATCAAACATGTCGTTGTCGTCGTCGTCATCATCCGCCTCCATTCGCGCCTTCTTGCGCTGTTGGCGCGTTTGCTTCTTGTCGGAAACCGCAAGCTCACCGTCCTCCTCGAGCGAGGCAAGCAGCATCTTTTCGAGTTGCTTTTCGGTGGGTTCGTGCACGTCTTCGTCGTCTTCGTCCTCGGCATCGCGAGTGGCAAGTGCGTCGTACAACTCGTCATCGTCGTCGTCGTCGTCTTCGTCATCTTCGTCATCATCGTCGACGTCCGCGTCCTCGTCGTCCTCATCGTCTTCATCGCTGTCAAGCGCGGCGTCTCGTGCAGATCGTTTGGACGAGCCTTTCGAAGCGAGATCCTCGAGTTGATCATCATCATCATCGTCGTCGTCGTCGTCGTCATCATCACCATCATCAGCACCGAGCAGTCCTTCGAGGTCTTCAGCATCGTCATCGTCCTCCTCGTCATCCTCAGACTTGGCTTTGGTCTTCTTGGCGAGCTTCTTCTGCTCAGACGCCTCAAACGCGGCCTTCTGCTTGAAGAAGCTGTAGAAGAATCGCTCATCATCAGCAACGGCGTCCTCCTTTTGCGAAAGGAAGGCAGTCGAGTTGACGGGCGCCTGACGTTCACGAGCCGCCTTTGAGATGTGCGGCTGCATGATGGAGATACCGTGCGACGACGGCTTGCTCTTGGGGTTTTTGAACGAGAAGCGATCCAAGAAGCGCATCAGCGTAAAGTCCTGCAGCGCGTCGCCCTTGTACTCGATGGGCTGCGCATCCAACAGTGCTGCAGCGAATGCAGCCACCGACGGGTGGTAGTGTTGGGAGAAGGATGTCAGCTCCCACAAGCACGAGTCAGATGCCCGTGCGTGCTGTGGGTCGCGCTTCAGAGGGTCATACCGGCCGAACAGCAGGTTCTGTAACAATCCGAAATCAACAGCAGCGCACATTGTGAGTCAAACGGTGAAACAAGCCAATGCGAAATTGCGAAATTGCGAAATTTTCCAGTATGTTCAAGCCGTACCAGTGGCTTGTCGTCCGAACCATTCTTCGCCTCGGCTGCCTCATCGCCGTTGTGGTCTTCAGCGGCCTTGTCGGCATCAACAAAACGCTCCTCCTCGTCTTCAGCCTCTGGCTGCATGATCAGAGTGATGAGCGCTGGCTTGGCCTTGGCAACCTCCGAAACGACAATGAGCGTGCCGCAGATAAAGTGGGGCTGGTGGAAGGCGCACACTTGCAAGAGACGCTTGACGAAAGCCTTGACGCGATGGATGTTCTCGTCGGCTTTGAGCGCTCGGAAGATGAGATTGAGGAAGAGGGCGTGCTTGCTCGAAGCCGCAAGGTTGGGATCAAGAATGCGGTCGTACAGGGCGCGGTAGAAACGGTCGGTCAGCTCGGATGACTCGCGGTGGTGCATGACTTGGAAGAGCAGCATTAGCGCCTGGATGGACGTGTTGAAGTTGGTCAGATGGGCCACACGGAAGAGGGTGTCCATGTGCTGGTCCATCTCAAGCGCAGCTCGCACGTTGGTGCTCAGGGAAGCGGCGATGGTGTACGGGGTGGGCGCGGGGACGCGGTTGCGGTGTCGCTGCTTCTTGCCAGTCTTGAGTATTTGGGCTTGCTGGCGCTCGTAGCTGAGAATCGCCTGCTGTGCCTGTGTCTGCTTGCTGCGCTCGCCGTCCAGCTCGGTTCGCTCGGCAGCCGACAAGACGGGCAGCGCGTACGGATAGGCGCGGTTGACACCCGTGAGCAGGGCGCTCAGCATCTTGCCGTCAATCTCCTTCAAGCCACGCTTGACAAAGAGCTTGAACAGGGTAAAGTACACGGCCACCAGCTTGGCGGCAATGTCGACTGTTCGTTGGTTGAGGACGATCTGGTTGAGGAAGCAGACGGCATAGTACTGAGCGCGCTCGGACATCTTGGGGCGGAGGATGAGTTGCTCGACTTCGCGAATGACCACCAACTTCATGTTGGGATGCTCGGTCAGCAGCGTGGAGAGCAGGAAGACGACCTTGGACGCGAGACGGCGGTCCATGTCACCGACCTTGTTGACAAGCACGGCAAGCAATTGCTTTTCGAGCTCGGGCTTGCTGCGAAGCATCTCGTAGGTCAGCTTGATCATCTTGGAGCGAATCTCAGGCAGAGGGTCTTTGAGGTTTTCCACCACAAGCTCGACGAGTTGAGCGTACCGCCGCTTGACGGCATCCTCAAAGTACCAGAGGACAAGATGGCGGTCGGTGATGGCCACCTTCTTGCCCTCGTGGCGCTGGGCCTCGAACGAAATCAGCTTGCGCTCGGGCAGCAACGAGGTGGAAAAGAGCTCAAACAACTGATCCATCGCAAGGAGGGCTTCGCGCTTGCCCTTCTTTGCAGCCATGTTGAGCAGGGTGTCAAGGGTGCTTAGCTTGTGAATCGGTGATTCCTGCACTTGGACCACAAGCGCAGCAAGCTTGTCGGTAAGGGTACCGGACTGCATGACGGTCGACAACCAGGCGTCGTCGGCGTCGGTCTTGCCGCGGTTGCGCTTGAGTTTCAATGCGGCAAAGGCTTCCGTGTCCTCAGCCACGAGTCTTTCTGCGGCAGCGTAGCGCTGCTTGATGCGCTGCATGCTCGCGGCCGAAAGCGAAGACAGGGTTGCTGCTGCCTCGGCATGCGGCGGTGCTGCGGGATTGGCAAAGCATTCGATCGTGTAATCCGCCTGCATGAAAGCAACACACAAGCGCAGTCATTGAGCGATGCAAAAGGACGAAGCCAACCAAACAAAAAAAAACAATCAAGGAACTATTCGGAGTTCGGCCATCGACACACACACCCAGCTGAACAAGACTCACCTCAAACCATGTACCATCCATACGAGGGCACAAAAGACCATCCTTGCCACGCTTGGCGGGAATGATGTCGAGGGGGATGTCTGCGCTGCCACCTGAGAGGTCGAGCTGGTGCGCCTTGGTGGTTGCCAAAACCGACTTGAACACGTCTTCGTCGTTTGCAGCATCGTGAGCGTTGGCAGCGTTAGCGACGTTCATGCCATCTGCCGCATCATCGTCCTCGCCGTCCTCGTTGTCGTCGTCGTCGCCACCAGCAGGCGCGTTGCCAGCATCGTCTTCAACGTCGTCCTCGTCGACGGCCATGGCGGCCGCGGCAAGTTTTGCCAAACCCAGACCGTTGATAAACTGAGCGAGCTCGCTCGCATCAATGGACGCCTCTTCGGCCTCATCAGACTCCTTTGCAAACTTGTTCTTCTTGCCCTTCTTGAGCGTCTTCTTGACCTCCTCGTGGCCGTCCGTGTCGACCTCCATGAGCCATGCGTGATCCTCGGCCTCGCCGCCCAGCGCCAGCACCTCCGACAACAAGAAGCTCTCATCATTCGCCTGCTTTGCGTTGTTGCTGGCTGGCTTTGACTCTTTGCTGGACGAGCGAGAATCCTGCTTGTGCTTGTTGGGTGCTGGCTTTGCCGCCGTCTGAGCCTGCGCTTGGGCCTGTGACTCGGCCTGGGCTTGCTTGCGGTCCTGCTTGCTCTGCTTGGTGCGAGTGGCGTCGGTCTTGATGGCCTTGTCCAGCTTGCTGATCCACTCTGCGTCTTCGCCTTGGTTGAGATTGAGCTCTTCGCCATTCTCGTCGTCGTCGTCAGCGAGTTCGTCCTCCTCGCGCTTCTGCTTCTTCTGCTTGCCGCTGCTGCCATGGGATGTGCTCGTCGTAGCAGTCTTTGCAGTAGTGGCGGTGGCGGTGGCAGTGGCTGCAGCGGGCGTCGTCTTTGCGGCCTTGTCGCTCGCCATGTGGCGACTACCATGTGTGCCATTGCTTCCGTTCTGTTCCTTGTGCTGCTTCTTGTGCTGCTTGCTGTCTGGTGTGGCACTCGATGATGACTGTCCATTGCCAGACTGCTGCTGCTGCTGCTTTGGTGTGCTGTGAGTGGTGGCGTCGGCGGGCTTGGAGCCTCGCTTCTCTGCTTTGGAGTCCGCTTTGGCCATCAAAGCAAAAGTGGAAAATCAGAAAATCAGAAATGAAATGAAAACGGTATGAAGACGATTGAACCAAACCAATGGTGATCAATCAATGTGCGAAAACACCACGGCCCTGCACCTTCAAAAATCAATCGAGTTTCAATCCAACAACGACATGCACACACACACAAACACAAACACAAACAACGAAATTGCAAACAAAAAACAACTCCTTGATGCATTACTCCATCATGTCCATCTACCAAAACACACAAACGCACAATCGCAAAGCCAGGTCGGTAAGCGCGGACACGACCACACACACACACACACGCAGAACTCTTGAAAAAACTAGCTCACTCACCAAGTCGTCCACATCTTGATCCTTCGGGGTGGCAACTGCAACTTGGGCCGAATCGTCAACGGCATCTTCAAGGAACTGCATTTTCAAACCCAACATCATGAGACAAGCTCATCAAGTCGCCAATTCCGCATTCTGCGTGCAGCACTTGCCTGCTGCGCCTGCTCTGGCGTAACCTCGCTGTCATAGGCTTCGTCAGAAGAAATCAGAGTAATCTTTGCCTTGACAATCAATTGCCAGAATTCGTAGTGCTGCGGGTTGTGGTGCTTGTTCGAGGTGGTTTGTTTCAGAAGACCCATGAAATCGTTGAATTGCGCAGACTCGTCCGACTAGTAGAAAATGGTGAGACGTGAGATGTGCGAATTTCCAAGCAGAACAAACAAACAAAAAAAAAAAAGACCCTTCAAGCAAAGCCACAACGTACCCGCACACACTCAATCCGAAGTACTTTCAAGCAGTCGAATGCCTTTTGAAAGAGATTCGAGCCAAAGGACTCGGTGATGAGCTGGATGATGCGCTTCTTCATCTGCGCAACGGCCGTGGACACGAGATCCCGAGTCTTGCTCGACACCATCGTCCTAAAGTCCTTGATCGGATCAATAGAGCCAACCTCCATCACCTGACCACTCGAGAGCGAGTCCAACGTGACAGGACCTGCGTTTCCGTCGGGATTTTCGAGCTTGACTTTCTTGGCTGCATGCGACGCACCGCCCAGCAAATCGACTGGATCAACATTCAGCACAGGAGCATCGGCTTCGTTCCACAGCTTGACGGCCTCGTCCTTTTCCTTGCGTTCTGTTGCGAGCAGGAGGATGAGGAATAAAGCAACACTCTCAAACCTCAATCAAGCGCCAATCAACCGCATTCTCACCAATGACTTGCAACGGGAAGGCCTGGCGAACACGGTCAAGCTCGGCCTGTGCTCGCGCAAAAATATCTTGGCTCGGATTGACGTACTTTTCAATCAAAGGGTCGAGCGGAGGAATGTCGTCGTCGGGATGCAGCGCGCGCTGCTTGACGCACTGGTAGACGCGTTGCAACACGGGGTTGAAGCTGAGCTTGGGATGCAGCGCATCCATGGCATTTCTGTGAAAGCCGCCAGTTCGTTTTTGAGCTGGTTAAACACGCACATTCCAAAAACAAAATACAGCACCCCCATACCCTTCCTGGTCGTGGTACGCCATGGTCAAGTCAAGCTTGTCAATGAGACCGTCAACCACCTTGAGTTGCTCCGCTGAGGGCATGTAGCGCTTCTGGTGCAGGGTTGTGAACGGATACTCGCGCATGTCTTCGGCGAAGGGCAGCGAGTTGTACAAGAGATAAAAGTGCTCAGCACTAATCACGGGGTGCAAGCAGCCCAAGCGCACATTGGCGTTTTCGCGAAACACGTAGCGCACAATCGCCACCGATTTCTGGAGCACCATCGCCTGGGCAAAGGCAGACAGGGCTTTGGATGCAACAGCGTCTCCTGGTTGCGGCACCACTGCGACTGCGCCACCCATGAGCAGCTGGCGCGGGATCTACCGAAAGTGAAGCAACAAATACAAATAAAACAAAGTAGCGAGCACAGGTGAGTTCCGGCACACCAAGAACCGCAGATTTCTAGCGTTTTAGGCATAAAACTCTCGTACATTGCTGGCAGCGGTAAAGCCCAACACACTGAGACACTTGTGGGACGAGAGCTTCATCGTAGACTCATCGACGGAGCTCCATGGGATGAAATCCTTGCCGTACTTGTAGGCACGAGTGATGTCTTCCTTTTGCACTTCGGTCTCCTCGTCTTCTTGCAAAAAGTACGACGTCTCTCTCCGCACCTCCATATCACCAGGTTCGGCGGCTTGTTGAGCGACTGCGGAAAGCTTTTTGAAGGTTGGGACTTTTGCCTCGGCGGTGCGCGTGTAGTTGTAAACCTTTGTGATGGAACCGACCGAAAGACAAGAGCAGCAAGGAATCAGCACACATGTATCGAGCAGAAGAGCAAAACAAGGCAAAAGATAAACAAAACTCTTACAGGAATATTGATGGAGCCAATGTTCAAATCTCCGCGGAAGGTGGTAACCTGCTTGACTTGGCGGGCACGAAAACGCGCAAGCATTTCAAGCGCTCGACGGAACGATGCCGTGAGACCATTGGTTTCTTCGGCGAGAGTCGACAGGAAGGCCTCTCCAGCACGCTTTCAACAAGCAGCAAACACACAAACCATAAAAAGGTGGTGAGAAACAAACGCAGATGTGGATGGAATTCGAACAAATTGGAATCGAATCACTGTCGGCACACCTGCTGCTTGGTTTTGGCGTGGAACACTTTGCGAGCAGGATCATCGAAATCGGCACTACTTGGCAATAGTCAGAAGCCAGCAGAAAGCGAAAATTATCAAACAACAACACCAACAGTCGCGGCCTTACATGACGCTAACAGCGCACTCCATCAGCTTCAGCTTGTCGACAATCTCAGACACGCCATCATCATTGTACGGTGAGCGTGCATCAGTAAAGAGCATGATGCGTTTGTCGAACTTTTTCGTTGCCACAGCTTTGATGATGAGATCGATGGCGACGACCAGGCCGTCGACAACTGCGTACAAGAGGAAAAGCAAAGAAGCAACATTCACAGGTGAGTGTGAATTGATCAGTGGAAGAGCAGCAGCAACACGGATAATGGCACCGAACGCTTTACAATCTGCGTGAACTTTGCCGGGTTTGATTTGATCTTGCAGATACCGGACAAGCTGAAGATCCGGGATTTCAGCAGGGCGTGCCACAGTAATGTTTTGGTACTGTCCACCCTGCGCCAGCTCGTTGTTGGTGTCTGAGAGTGAGGAGAGGAGGGAGATGTGGAGAGAGTGAGGCGATCGGGCTTTGCTGGCAATGTAGCAAGGGCAAGGCTTCTCTACCTTTCGTGCCAATAAGGACCAGACTGATCAAATCTTTGCGATTGGTAAACACCTATCATGAATACACAGCATTGAGAGATGTTTCGGTTCCAAGGTCAGCAGAAAATTCGCGCAAAGCGAGCAACAAACGTCAAAACCGCTTTCCACACAGACATGACATGCGAAGCATGCCCACCACTAGCGCGGCGCAGTTGGTCATCGCTCCAACCATGCTCGCGCGTCTCAGCTCATCGGCATGAGCCAGACAAGCGCACGAATGGGGAGTGGTGAGGCGATGACGAGGAAATCTGCTGCAGAGAACTGCGATCAGACCCTTCCCCACCTTCCCTTCCCCAACCTTTGCACACACTGCCCATCTCGCACGACGACGGGCATCGAGAACGATGATGTCTCCAGCCTTGCTTTGTCGACGACGAGCGACATCACAACGAAACAAAAAACAAACTTGCCTTCTGCTGAACGAGCATGTCAATGCCCTTCACTGCGTTCTCGAGGAAGGACGGCCCAGCACCGCCCGCTGTCGGCGCAGACATGGTCGGGCCGACGTCCAGCAGAATGACGGTGATTTCCTGGGGTTGGAAGGGGGAACGAAAAAAGGTGAGTTTCGCAACGCAAAAACGTTCAAATTGGATTTGTTTTGGCGCGCAAAAAACAAGAGCGTTTTGTGTTTCAATCGCGTCTTCTGTTACTTTGCTGGCCATGATTGTAGAGGACTGATTCAGCAACAGAAAATGGTCAAAAGTAGGAAGAATGATGGCAACGGTTCATAGCTGTCAAGCAGCGATGAAGAGTTTGCTCGTGAGCTGCTTGTCGGTGTCTTTGTTGAAACACAACTTTGGCTTGACTTGCTTTTTTGATTTCTGAGAGTCGTTAAGAATCGGCCAATCCACACGAGCTTGGTGCACAGGATCTCAACAACCACCGTATCGTCGAGTCTGCTTTGATGGCTGCCCTTTGAGAGATGCATGGAACACTACTGCAAAGTCATTTCCTTTCGTTCATTTCTTCTCTTTCTCTTTCTCTTTCTCTTTCTCTTTCCCTCTCTCTCTTTCTCTTTCCTTTCTTTCCTGAATTCATAACGATGGTGAATATCTGCTGATGATGCTGTTCCTGCAATTCGAATTTTCCAACAAACTCAATGCGTCCAAATGCAAACTCGAGCCATTCTCATCTTTTTTTTTTTCTTTTTTTCAATGGTGGTGAGTTTTGATTTTTTTTTTCAGTAATTTTTTTCAGTGCTTGTGCTTGCTTTCCCCGCTTCCCCACACCGCACCGTCGCCGCTCGCTCATGAGCTACAACTCAACAACAGCAATCAGCAGTCATCGTCATCAGCAGCAAACGCACAGGAAAAGAAGAGCGAAAGGAAAAGAAAAAAAAGGGGAAAAAAACCGAAAAGCAAAAGCATGTGGATCGCTCTTCTTCGCTCTTTCTCGCGGCTCTCGTCCGTCTTCCATCGCAGTGGGCGGCTCATCGGGCGCAGAGACAGCGTCCCCGTGTTCCTGCCTGCAGCACAACCCTCCTTTTGAACTCGGTGGATGGCACGATGCTCGCTTGCTCTTGCTGGCCAAGAGCGAGTAGCCATGTGGAGATTTCGATTTTTTTCTTTTTCTTTCCCCTTCAATCTCTCTCTCTCATGCATCTCCTTCAGCTCTTCGACAGCGGATTGCAGACTGTGCGTTCGCTTGATGCATTGACGCGCGAGTCAAATCGACTGCTGGAGGAACGGAGCTGGACAAGCAGATCCTAACCCCTTCACCAAACAAAAAAACCCAAAAAGAAAAAAAAAGAAAAAAAGGACGCAATGTGGGGTAGCAGAAATCCAGCTTCCAAACCAGTTCATTTTTGTAGCAGTTTTCTTTTCACTAGCTGTTTCTATTATACCATTTTGTTTGCTCTTGATTTTTTTTTTTTGCCTCGTGGTTTTTTTTTGTTCCTTATTTTAATGCTCACTCTGCCTTTCTGTGTTTTCCACTCCTGCAGCTTCTTGTCCTCTTCGAGTCCGCTTCGGGCTTTGCCTTGTTCGAGGCCGTCGAGAATGCCGAGATCGCCCTCACTGGCCCTGCGATCCAGCAGTCCGTGACGGACTTTGCTCGTTTCGGCAAGGTCGTCAAGGCTGTCGCTTTTGCTCCCTTCAAGTCGGCCCTGCACGCGCTTGAGAACATTAACGCCATCTCTGAAGGTATGTTTCTTGATCTTGTTGCGTTTGAATCGCCATCCATGTGTGTGTGATCCTCCCAAAAAAATGCCAAACGGCATGGCGACCACGTTGTCCCCTTTTTCCCACTTTTTTTTTGTGTTTGGTCTGATGTTTGATCTCACCCTCTCGACTCTTCTTTCTGCTTTGCGCAGGTATCCTCCACGATTACCTCAACAACTTCCTTGAGATGAACGTCGCCAAGGTTGGCGGCAAGAAGAGCAAGGTCCAATTGGGCGTTGCCGACGCTCGCATTGCCTCGTCCATCACCGACTCGCTCGGCCTGCAGTGCAAGACTGGCGATGTTGTCAACGAGCTGCTCCGTGGCGTTCGTCTGCACTTTACCAAGCTCACCAAGGAGCTGCGTGAGGGCGACGTCGAGAAGGCACAGCTCGGTCTTGGTCACAGCTACTCGCGTGCCAAGGTCAAGTTCAACGTCAACCGTGTCGACAACATGATCATCCAGGCCATCTCCCTGCTTGACCAGCTCGACAAGGATGTCAACACATTCTCGATGCGCATCCGCGAATGGTACTCGTACCACTTCCCCGAGCTTGTCCGCATCGTCAACGACAACACTCTCTTTGCCCGCCTCGCACGGTTTATTGGCTCGCGCAAGACCTTGAACGACCAAAGCCTCGAGGGCATTGAGGCCATTGTCATGGACACTGGCAAGGCCAAGCAAATTCTCGACGCTGCTCGCTCGTCGATGGGCATGGACATTGCTGACATTGATCTCGTCAACATTGAGCACTTTGCCGACCGTGTCATCTCGCTCAGCGACTACCGCAAGAACTTGCACGAATACTTGTCCACCAAGATGGGCCGCATTGCACCAAATCTCAGCGCGCTCGTTGGCGAGCAAGTCGGTGCTCGCCTCATCTCCCACGCTGGCTCCCTGACCAACCTTGCCAAATACCCCGCCTCCACTGTTCAGATTCTTGGTGCTGAGAAGGCTCTCTTCCGGTGAGTGGTGGCATTTTTTCGGTTTGTGTTTGATTTTGTTTTGCATTTTTATTCACTTGCGTCTCCTCTCTATTTTTCTCTCACAGAGCACTCAAGACCAAGGGCAACACACCCAAGTACGGTCTGATTTTCCACTCTACATTTATTGGCCGTGCTGGCGTCAAGAACAAGGGCCGCATTTCCCGATACCTCGCCAACAAGTGCTCGAAGGCTTCCCGTATCGACTGCTTCTCTGGTGAGTGTTTTCTTTGCCCCCCCCCCTTTTCGTTTTTTAAAAAAGTGCCTTTATTTTCTTTATTGGCTCCGCATGACGACCTTCCGACCTTTTTAAGGTCACCTCTTGAAAAAGAATTTGCTGAGCTGGTTTTCACCGGCCATGCAGACAATATTTTCATCACCCATTGAAGCTGACGGAACCAATCTTTTTTTATGATGATGATTTTTCCATGTTCTTTTCGATCGTGTTTTCCAAAAACAACACTCACTTTTTTCTTGTCTCTTTCGTTTCTTGTAGATCTTCCCACAAGCAAGTTTGGCTCCAAGTTCCGAGAACAAGTCGAGGAGCGCCTGGCATTCTACGAGACTGGCCAAGCACCCCGCAAGAACGCCGATGTCATGAAGGAGGCATTGCGAGAGGCTGGCAAGGAGCAGCGAAGCGCCGAGGACGAGTCTGAGGCGATGGACACCTCCTCGGACAAGAAGGACAAGAAGGATAAGAAGGAAAAGAAGGAAAAGAAAGAAAAGAAGGACAAGAAGGACAAGTCTGAGCCAGAGGCCATGGACACTTCTTCGGACAAGAAATCCAAGAAGGTCAAGTCCAAGTAAACTTGATTATTTTTTTCGCCTAATTTGTTATGATTCCCCCCCCCCCTCTTTGTTTTCCTTGCGTCTCTATGTGTTTCTGATTGTAGTATTGAACATTTTCCCCCCGCCCGTATTTTTTCTTTTTGCACGAGCTCAAACGAGCGTGAACATGTCCAAACAAAGCAGTTTTTATTTTTTTATTTTTTCCATTTTCCATTTTCTCTTCCATTTTTTGAGCTCGCTCCATCGCCATCGCTCCATTTCTAGCAACCAGCCATCGCTCACACTCCGACACACATATACACAAACACATACACACGCCACTCGAGCAACCGAGCACACACACTCAGCGAGATGGACACGCCGTCGATTATTCGCGTTGAGGTGCCACAGGCCAACTCGACCAAGATGATGCGCGTCGAGCTGGCGACCGAGACGGTTGGCTCGCTCCGTGGGCAGCTGCTCAAGAAGCTGATGCCGCAAATGTTCCCTGCATCGACCACGACAGCCATCGTCGCGACCTTCCCCAGCACGAACGACGCAACGCCCGTCTGGTCGCTCAACGATCTCAAGCTCTTCCTTCCGCGGTCGCCAAACAACACGGCCATCGGCGACTTTCTGACCAAAGACAGCCAGCTGCTCAGCAGTCTCGGGATTGACACCAACGTACGTACCTCTCTCTGTCTGTGTTTGTGTGTGAAATAGACGAAGTAACTCGAGCTCTGTTTGCTTGTGGTGTTATTTTTTTTTATTTTTATTTTATTTTTTGCCTTTATTGCTTTGTGCCCTCGTCCATTGCGGGAAATCGCTTGGGGTTGTTCTTCTTTCTCACCTTTGATGGTCCCAATCTGCATTCGCAACAGACTGTCCTGATCCTCAAGTCCGAGGGCGTGTACTCGGGTCCGTCCGGTGCGTTCGAAAAGGCGCTCGGTCCAATCTTTGGCGTGCCACTCGCAGCCGCCACAGAGCGCAGCGGAGGCACACTCGAGTATCCTGCTCTCGTTGAAAAGGTCATTCAGACTCTGACCGTCCGAGGTGAGCCGGGCAAATGGTTGTTGGAGAAGAAACGGAGACATCAGCAATCCGACCCGAGGTGTTCGACAATGCATCCCGCTTTTCGCTCACTGGAGTGGTGCAAACAACTAAAATTGGGGCCCTACAGGGTTGGACAAAGAAGGCATCTTCCGTTTGTCGGGGACGGCATCGCAGATCCAAGCGCTCAAAGTTCGATTCGATCAAGGTTTGTGGTGTTTGGCTCTTCAAGGATTTTTGTTCTTCTTTCGTGCCGCATTCTACTGACTCTTGTGATCGTTATGTTGTTTGCAGGCGAGAATGTCAATTTGGATGAGGTGCACGATCCGCACGTCGTTTCGGGCTTGCTCAAGCTCTTTTTGCGAGAAATGCCAGAGCCGCTCCTCACGTTTGCGCTATTCGACTCGTTTGTGGCTGCCCAAAGTAAGTGACCACTGCTTCTCCACAGTACGCTCAATGGTTTTGCTGTCGAGGCCCCACTCTGACATGTGGTTCGGTGTCATGAACAAACTTTCGTCTCTATCAGACGCCGTCAACGAAACTCAGCGTGCGTCGTACTTTCGCGCTTGCGTGGCGGCTCTGCCACCATGCAACTATGCTCTGCTCAAGCGGTTGCTCGGGTTTTTGCTCGAGGTTTCGCGCGGAGCAGCCGTCAACAAGATGGCACTCGAGAATCTCGCCACCGTGTTTGGTCCGAATATTCTGAAGCGCGAAGGAGAAACCCCGCTTGACATGGTCAAAAACACTGCCACCGTCAACTCGGTCTGCAACCAACTGATCAAGCTTTCACCCCAGATTTTTGAAGTGAGTTTGTTGGTCATTTCGTGTCTGCGGGTTCTAGAGACCGCTCTCGCCTGAGCCATATGGCCGATCGGCACTCACACCATGTTGTTGTTGTTGTTGTTGTTGTTGTTGCCATTGACAGAATCCAGAGCCGTCGCCGTTTGTTGCGATTGCATCCGCGCTCTACTCGTATACGCCAAACACACCCGCTGAGCTTCAGTTGACTGAGAGCGATATCATTTTCGTCGCCAAAGCCGAGGCTTCTGACGGTTGGTGGGAGGGCGAAGTGGCTGGCCGTGCCGGCTTGTTCCCCGAGAATTATGTCAAGGTGAAGCGAGGCACCTGCTTTTTTTTTTTTTTTTTTTTGTGTACTCTTTCGAGTCAAACACTGCTGACTGTTTTCCTCCCCCCCCCACTTCTCCTCACTTTAGGTCATGTGCAAGCTCAACATCAATGCCAACAAACAGGCCAAGGCACAGGCAGCCAACCCCGGTGATTCTCAGGCAACAAAGCGACTCCAGGATGAGCTTGCAGCCTTGCAGCTCCAACTGAAGCAGGAATCACAGCAGCGCAAGGACGCAGAGGCCATCCTCGCCTTGCTGTCCGACAATTTTGCCGAGCTGGGGCGGAAACTGCGCGCCCTGGAAAATGCCAACGAAGTCCTGCGGGCCGAAGTCACACGGCTCCAGCAAAGCACGCGCAGCTAGTAGCATTTATCATTTTTTTTTTTTTTTTTTTTGCAGCGAAGTTTGGTGTTTTCATGGACAGTGTTTTGTTGTACAAGTGGTTTTGTTTATGCGTGTATGTGTGTGTGTGCTTCGCTGCTGTTGTCATTATCACAATTGCTGTTTTTCCTTCAGTTCAACCGCTAAGCCGAAATTTGCAATCAACACACCCCAAAATAGTCCAGCAAAGCGGTTTGTCCAGCCAGCCACTCACACTCCCCCAGTCCATTCGCTCTCGTGCCACTCTGTTCGCAAAGGGTGTTCACATGCACAAGTCAAACGACAACCCGTCAACAAGCGGAGCAAGGCAACTGAGGAAAAAAAAAAAACAAACAAAAAAAAAAAAAAAAACAGTCTTATTTTTTGCGTATGTTTTTTTTGTTTTGATTCAAAATGTTTTTTTTTTTTTTTTTTTTTTCGTGTTTTGTGTTCTTCGGTTTTGGTCTCGATTTCATTGCGGCAACACGACGAGTCTCCGCCGCGGATTCGCCCTCTGCCGACACTATCAGTCCTTCCAGCACGATCGGAGTGTGCTGGGAATGCGATGGAGGGAGCGAAGACCCTCCATGTGAAGGAGGCGGATCAGCCGCTCCTTGCTCTTGCGGCCTGTTCTTTTTTGATCCTTTTTTTTTTTTTTTTTTTTTTGGTTTTGATTTTTTTTTTTGCATCAATCAGCGTCCTTTGCCGCTTGTCCTGCCTTCTCTCGCCGCTCGCCCCGCCGCGAGACGAACATCAGACGTCATGCAGGACCTGTGTGTTCGCAGCGATGGCTCCCGGGCAGCGAGACTGACTCCAGGAGTCGCTTTTATTTTTCAAGTTCCTTTTTTTTTCCTTCAAGTTTTTTTTTTCCTCATCTGCCCTTTGCCTTTTGTCGAATCCGCGACATCCACGGCTGCTGGCTGTGTGTGTCCTTGCGACATTTGCGAGCTCTGGCTGAGTGCGAGCTGCAGGCCACTGTGCTCCACGCCTCGACGAGGATCATCCGCCCAAAAAAAAGAAGAAAAAAAAAAAGAAAAAAAAAGAAGTCAACAACAACCACAAGAAAAAAAAAAAAAAGAGAAAAAAATCATTGGCTTTTTGGCGCCGTGGAACGTGGAGAGCGTGACACTGCAACTCTGCACTATGCTCGTGCATTGCAAGCAGCGTCGCTGCGGGGGCTCAGCCCTCAGAGACTCGCGATGCAGAGCCGCACATTGGTGCCCCCCCCAAAAACCAAAAAAACAAAAAACAAAAAACAAATGTTTTTTTTTTTTTTTTGGGTCAGGTCTGTCCTGCCCTTGTGTTGTGGTTTATTGTGGTTCATCTCCCATGCTCACACCCCCCTGAGCCCGCTTGCTTGCTGTGGCTCTATGGGCGCTGTGATGGCTGCAGCCGATTCCGTCTCTCCTTCCACACTACTCTGTGCTGCTGCTGCTGCTCTCTCTCTCCGTGTGTGTCGGTTTTGTCTATTTTGTCTATTTTTGCTTCTCTGTTCGCTTTGACTCCATTATCATTATTTTTATTATTTTCTGTTTTTTTTTTTTTCTGTTTTTTTTTTTTTTGTTTGCTTTCTCATTTGATTTTTTTTTTTTTTTTTTTTCCCCTTTGATTGCGATTTGTCGGTTTTTTTTTTGACTCACCCACTCGAAACTCTCCAAACTCGCGCGCGCGACTTTCACCCCTTTCATGTCTGCCCTTCATTTTGCCGTTGCGGTTGATTTTGATTCGCTTTATTTCACTGCTCTCACTCATCCTGTTTTTCATTTTTTTTGCTTACAGTTCCGTCCAGACTCTTTTACCTTCCTTTTTTTCTTCTTCTTCTTCTTCTTCCTTCTTCCGTTGCTTCCCGCTCTCTTGCTCAAGAAAAAAAACCCAACTCGATTCGTGTTTGTTGCCATGGGCTGCTCCAACTCTAAACCGCACGACCCGTCCGATTTCAAGGTTTCCCCTTCTGGCGTTGCGTCCAACAGCGGGACGTTGAACTCGCGCCCGACGCGCGAGGGCACCTCTGCCATCACGCAGCCGTCGACCACTTTCACGGCACCGACCCCGTCGACCAACTCACTCAAGTCCCCCCAGTCGGGAGGCTCGTTCACGTCGCAATCGTCGACCGCCCAAGCAACCGCAACCCGACCAATGACTCCCTCCGCAACCCCAACCGCCATGCCGCCCAAGCCCAACCTGGGTGCGCAGATCCAACAGCCCCAGGCCGTCTCGCCAAGAGCCCAGCCAGTACAGCAACGGCAGGCCTCGATGCCGCACATCCGAACCCCCCAGCCACCAACACCGCGCACGCCCGAGCCCCCGGCGGCCCCGAACATGTACGTCGCGCTGTACGACTACGACGCGCGCACGCGGGAGGATTTGAGCTTTGTCAAGGGTGACAAGCTCAAGATCATCAACAGCTCGGACGGTGACTGGTGGCAGGCACAGTCGCTCGTTTCTGGCAAGATTGGCTACATTCCCAGCAACTACATTGCTCCGATCCAGGGCCTTGCCAAGGAGGACTGGTTCCACGGCCGCATCAAGCGTCAGACTGCCGAAAAGCTGCTCACCACCATTGGCACTGTCGGCACCTTCTTGCTGCGCGAGTCCGAGTCCAAGCCTGGCGATTACTCGCTGTCGGTGAACGACGGCGAGCAAGTTAAGCACTACCGCATCCGCATCCTCGATAACGGCGGCTACTTTATCACTGGCCGCTCGACGTTCGCCACCCTCGATGAGCTCGTCGAGCACTACCGTCGCGAATCCGACGGTCTGTGCGTCAAGCTCACCGACCCTTGCCCGCCCGCCGAGAAGCCAACCATCCCAGATCTGGCGTACAACATGAAGGACCAATGGGAAATCCCCCGGTCTACGATTGTTCTCTCGCGCAAGCTCGGTGCTGGTCAGTTCGGCGAGGTCTGGGAAGGCACCTGGAACAATGTCACCAAGGTTGCCGTCAAGACGCTCAAGCCCGGCTCCATGGCTGCGGACGATTTCCTCAAGGAGGCGGCCGTTATGAAGACTCTGCGTCACCCCAAGCTTATTCAGCTGTACGCTGTCTGCACGGACGGCGAGCCGATTTACATTATTACCGAGCTCATGCGACATGGTAGTCTCCTCGATTATCTTCACGACAAGGTACAGACACTTTTGCGCTGTTTTGCTTTGATTCGTTGTTGGCTTTTGCTTGACCTTTCGTTGTTCCGTCCGTTTGAAACTCATTTTTTTTCTTGTCGTTTTTTCGATTCATCGATTTTATCGAATACAGGGCCGAGTTCTTAAGGTGCCACAACTGGTTGACATGTCAGCCCAAGTTGCCCAGGGCATGGCGTACCTCGAGTCACAAAACTTTATTCACCGCGATCTTGCTGCTCGTAACATTCTCGTTGGCGAGAACAATATTTGCAAGGTATGTGTTTTTGGTTGTGTTTTTTTTTGCGACCCACCATTTTCTCCGTCAGAGTTGAGGGTTGAGGCTGACTTGTTGTTTGTGCGCTCATCCCCAAAACCTCCAAAAATTCAGGTTGCCGATTTCGGTCTTGCTCGTTTCATTTCCGACACCGAGTACGAGGCTCGCGAAGGTGCCAAGTTCCCCATCAAGTGGACTGCACCCGAGGCTGCTCTTTACAACAGGTTTTCGATCAAGTCGGATGTTTGGTCATTCGGGTGAGTCTTGCAGTCTTGCGCGCGTGACTTTGGTTTCAGTTCTGTTCTTTGTAAGGTTGTGATTCACTGACACTTCTTTCACCTCTTCCTCTCTTCCAGCATTCTTTTGACCGAGCTCATCACCTACGGCCGTATCCCTTACCCCGCTATGACCAACGTCGATGTCTTGCACCAAGTCGAGCGAGGCTACCGCATGCCCGCACCACAAGGATGTCCCGAGCAATTGTATCAAGTAATGCTTGACTGCTGGAAGGCCAAGCCCGAAGATCGCCCAACGTTCGAATCGCTCGCATGGCGATTGGAGGACTTCTTCATGAACACGGAAGCAAGCTACGCAGAGGCCAGCACTGTCCAATAATTTGTTTAATTTTCTCGTCCTTTCGTCCACGTCTGCTTGTTGATCCTTGTGGACTCTTTGAGCTGCCCGCTCGTTTCGTTTGAGAACAACCAAACCTTTCCATTTTCAGTGGCTTAGGTTTGGTTTGTGCTTGTTTGCGTTGATCTCTTTGACTCGCTCGTTATTGGTTCTTCCCTTTGCCTTTTTGACTTTTTTTTTTTCCTTCTATAATCTTCCTTGTGTGCTTGTATGCGTGCTGTTGTGGTTGATTTGCTGTTTTCTCCCCTCTCTTCTTCATCTTTGTCACCTTTGCTGTTCATGTTTGATTTCCCCCCCCCCTTCTCCCTCCTCCTCTTGTTATTCGTGCGTGGTGTTTTGTTCTCTTCAAAACAATGAAAACAAACTGTAAAACACACTCGGCCACTTTCTGATTTCTCATTTCAGTTTTGAATTGAATCAAACTTCAAGCAAGCAGCAACACATCAATCTTCAAGCAAGCAGCTCAACAGCGTTAACACCGAGTAATGTACAGGCCAATAAGACAGTTGTCCGGGGCAACAGAGCAGACAGAGCAGAGGAAAGCGAAAACGGCCAGCGGGCCGCCTCCTCAACTCGGCAAGAAAAAAAAATAACCAGGATCAGGCGGGTCGTGCAGCAGTGCTCATAGCTTGTAGCACAGCCAGCCGACGAGGAGCAGGATAGGAAGCCCAAAGACGGCGAACAGGCCCAGGAATAACGTAAAGTAATAACGCGACACAAAGAAGCAGTTAATGTTTTGCGGCAGCGATACCATGTAGCTGTACGGGTATCGGATGCGTAGCAGCTCCTCGACGTGATTTGGCGCGGGCAACATGCGGCCGGCAAATTTCATTGGGACGAGAGGGTTGGTCATAAACTTTGGAAACCAAAACCGGAATGGGTCCGAAATCTCGCAGCGAGTTAGCCGCGTCGGGTCGGTTGGGTCGTCCTCGTACAGGAAGATGTCGACAAAGTTGTACCGTGTTTGTGTTTGGGGCTTGGACAGCCGGAGCTTGCACTCTTCGTCGTCCACATGAAAGCCGCGCCGGACGAGCTCGGCCTTGACCACTTCCTTTTCACTCACAAACCCCCCGAAATCCACATCGCGATCCCACGGAATTGGGCCTTCATGTCGATACGCGCCCAGTACTGTGCCAAAGTCCATCCAGCACGAGGCCTGCCAGGAACGAGGTGGTTGCGCGAGAAACATCAAAGCAAATCAGAACGAACACGAGTTAGCAAGAGTTCAAGCCGCAGCATTGTTTGTTACAAGGATGGTCGCTTTTTTTTGTTCCATATGGGCCGAGTGAGGTTGTCCGTGATGAAAATTTCCAAGGGCTGGTTTGATGTGTGGCAAATGGGATTCTCTTTTTATGTTTTTTTTTTTTTTTTTTTTTTTTTTTTTTTTGGTTTTGTTTGTTGTTGTTGTGGCTTTTGTTTCGAATGTGGCTGAAATTCACATCAGCCTCACAAGCGCCGCTCGGTTTCTCGGCGCATCCGACTGGCGACAGCAGGCGAGAATGAGAGATGCCAGTCTGCCTTGCTGCGGTGGCATGGCAGAAAAGCGAGGGCAGAAACGGGGCAAGGCGCAGTCATGCGGGTTCGAGCAGCACCAAAATTGGCGGTTCAAGATGGAACCTGTCGATTGCAGTCAGCCCCTTCCCCAGCCTCCGCCTTCTCCTGCTCACCATCCACACATCAGTGGAAGAGGGATGGATAGCTCGAGCGGAGCAAAAGCAGAGAGAGCGAAAAGGACAACCAAGAAGAACAAAGAAAGAAAAATTCAATGGGAAACAGAAACCGCTGTGAACCGAAAGGTGTGAAGGGTTCGCATTGCCCTGCACTTCGTCCCGCTGCTTGTTGCTGCTGCTTGGGGCTGGGGCTGGGGGCTGGGAGGGTTTTTGTGTTGCCTTACATTGACGGCAGTGCAGGCATCGGAGGCCTCGAATGCATTGGAAAGCATCTCTTGGCGCCACTTGTCGGGAACGGCGCACGTCCGATGCACGTAAAAGTACTCGGCGAGCGCATGAGGGACTTGGTGCAAATGAACTCCAGCGGACGCGATGATGAGAACGACCTCGGTCAGCAGGAGCACCCCGACCACCAGACCAACACGGCGGCATGCTGCAGACGCCAGTCGCTTTGTGCGGCGAGAAGACAGGGCGTCTGCGGGGCGGTAGTACAGGGGCGCCGAGTTTCCCATGCGAGTCCCACTCCAGCTCCGTCCCAGGGCGGTCGACTGCAGCGCTTTCGCCTGCATGCGTATGTGTAGTAATAATTAAGGGAGTGAGGTGGTTGTTGTAATCAAAGTAGTTCACCAAATGTTGCTGGTCTGTGATCCAAATGGATGGTTCAGCCACTTTGCCGCTATGGTGTTGTTTGCGACAAACGATTTGCACCGTTTTTGCTTTCACCTTACCTGCCTGCCTGCCTGCCTGCCAAACTTCACTTACTTTGACAGTGAAATCCACTCCAATCGAGAACTACAAAAGCTCAATGCTCAGACTCTCAGAACTACACCTCTTTCGCTCACTCTTTTTCTTCTTGCTTGCACAACCATGGCGTCCATCTCATCGCTGCTCGAAAAGGTCGGTCCGAACTCAGCAGTGCCCGCTCCTCTTCCGTTCACCGAGCTTCAACCAAGCACTGCTCTCTAGGGTTTTTGCGTTCGGCCCCCCCCCCTGCCTTTGTTGCGTTGGGCGCGGGGATGGGTGAACGGGCGGTTGATGAACGATGACGGAAGCGAGAACGCACAGCCTCGTTCCGAGATATTGTTCAGTCGCCAAGCGCGCTGGGCCACACGCCTTGCAGACAGGCTCTGTGGATGACAAGCGCGTTGTCTTGCTGGGCGTCAGTGGCGCACAGGCGAGCCTCGGCTTTGGTGGAGCGAGATCTCGACGCTTTTTTCGCTTTTGCTCCTCCTTGTCTGTTGCAGGCGTTGCTCCCCGTCGCTACCCGTCCCAAGCATTCACAAGCACGACCTGGCGTTTGATGTCGGAAGCACAAAGAGACGGGAGGGGGGGGGAGGTTGAACTCGGATCACTGAGCAAAGGCGCGCGGGAGCTGAGACGCTCGCTCTTCCGTTCTCAGTTGCCGAGACAAAATTTCATCGTCACTCACTTTCCTTGTCATTGTCCTTTGAATTGCACAGATGACGAGCAATGATAACGACTTTCGTTTCATGGCTTGCAACGATCTGATGACCGAGTTGAACAAGCCAGAGTTCAAGCTCGACGCTGATACGGAGGGCCGGATTGTCACGATGCTGCTCAAGCTCGTCGACGACAAGAACGGCGAGGTCCAGAACCTGGTCGTCAAATGGTACGCGGTCGTTTAGATATCGTGAAATCTAGCTAGATGATGAAACCTTTTGATGACTTTTCCGCTAACTTTGCAAACAACCTCTCCACAGCCTTGCTCCCCTCTCGCGCAAGATCCGTGACAACCGCATCGAAGAGATTTGCGATCGTCTGTGCTCGAACATTTTGTCGGAAAAGGAGCAGCTCCGCGACATTTCCAGCATTGGTAAGCCAAACCCTTCTTCTTGCTCTGTTTTCTCTCAAACTTTCACGCATCTCACCAGCCTCTGACATTGCACCGACTTAGGCCTCAAGAATGTTGTGAGCGAGATTGCGCCCGGTTGCCAGGTTGGACAGACCGTGTCTAAAAACCTCGTCACGCGGCTTTTGAAGGCCGTTTCCAAGGTTGGGCTTTTGGCTCCGACCGACTTTGCTATTTCACTTGCTTGTGACTTTGACATTCTTGTGCCTTTGACTCAACGTTTGATTGATTCGGTTCACTTGAATTCCCTCCGCCTTCGTAACTACAGGACGAGCTCGGTGTCCAACAACCCGCCCTGGAAATCCTCGCAGACATGCTCGATCGCTTCGGCTTGCAGCTGGCTCCCTTGCATTCGACCATTCATGAAGCACTCGTGCCGCTGCTCAGCAGCCCAAAGGTCGCCGTCCGCAAGCGCGCAATTGTCGCGATCGGCTTCCTGGTGCCTGTTGTCCCCGAGGCCCAGTTCACTGGCCTGATGCAAAACCTGACGACTCGCTTGGACACCCCCAAGCCCACTGCAGACACCAAGACCGTCATTCAATGTCTCGCCACCATCAGCCGTCACGCCGGCAGCCGTCTCGACAATCGCCTGGGCCAGATTGTGCCTCGCATTGTGAGCTTCTGCGCCGTCCAGGACGACGAGCTCCGTGAGTACTGCTTCCAGGCTCTCGAGTCCTTTGTCTTCCGCTGCCCAAAGGAAATTTCTGCAGACCTGTCCAAGGCGGTCGCGCTGTGCCTCAAGTTTATCGAGTACGACCCCAACTACAACTACGACGACGACGAAGACAGCATGGACACCCGTGGCGACGACGACGACGAGGGCGGCTCGGACGATGGCGGCGACGACGATGACGACGCGTTCAGCGATGACGAGGACATGAGCTGGAAGGTGCGCCGCAGCGCCGCCAAGTGTCTTGCAGCCATCGTCTCAACTCGCCCGGATCTCTTGGACGACTTTTACGCCACTGTCACACCAGCGCTCATTGCGCGTTTCAAGGAACGCGAGGCGACAGTCCAGATCGAGTTGTTCCAGGTCTACCTGGCCGTGTTGCGCAACACGCGCATCGCCGTCTCGGCTTCGACCTCGGCTGGCGCTTCCTTCGGCGGCGCTGCGCCCATGCACACTGGCGACGACTCGGCCGCCGACACTCCCATTGCCGCCACCTTCCGCCGTGAGGTGCCTTCTCTCGTCCGGGCTTTGCAAAAGCAGCTCAAGGGCAAGGACATTCGAGCCCGTCAAGGCTGCATGTCGATTTTGAAGGAGGCGGCGTCCGCCATCCTCTCGGCCTTCTCGTCCACCCTGCCCCAGCTCGTGCCTGGCATCAAGCTGGCTCTGACGGACAAGGCCTCGACCTCCAACCTCAAGATTGAAACGTTGCAGCTGCTGGCGCTCATCTTCTCGACTCACCAGCCAGAGTATGTCCAGCCAGTCGTGTCCACGCTCGCTCCGTTGCTCGTCACGGGGATCCAGGACTCGTTCTACAAGATTGTTGCCGAGTCTCTCGCTGCCGCTACCCAGCTTCTCCGCGTCCTTCGCGCATCCTCTGCCTCCACCTCCTCTTCTGGCGCCTCCACATCTGCCTCTGACATTTCCGCGCTGGCTGCCTCGCTCTTTCAGGTTGTGTTTGCTCGCCTTTCGTCGTCGGTTGCCGATCAAGAGGTCAAGGAGCGCTCCATCACCTGCATTGGCCACCTGATTGCCTCGTTTGGCGACGTTCTGGCGCAAGACACTGCTCGCGCGCTCCCCGTGCTCGCCGAGCGTCTGCGCAACGAGTCCACTCGCCTTGCTGCCGTTCGCTCGTTTGGCCGCATTGCCGAGTCGTCCCTCACGCTTCCTCTCAACGCCGTGCTTTCGGACGTGGTGCGTGAAATTGCCGGCTTTTTGCGCAAGAACAACCGCTCGTTGCGCGTCGCCTCCCTGGAGACCCTCAGCGCCATTGTGCGAGTCTATGCCGCCTCGGTCGATGCCTCAATCTACCCATCGGTGCTCGCAGAGCTGCGTCCTCTCATCAGCGATGCCGATCTGCACGTGGCGCAGCTCGCCGTCACCGTCGCGTCTGCCATTGTCACTGCCTTCCCAGGCTCGGTGGCTGCCGTGTCCGAGCAGGGCGTTTTGGAGGCTGTGCTCCAGTTGCTCCGCTCGTCCATGCTGCAAGGCGGCGCGCTCGACGCGACCTTGGTCTTCTTCCGCACGATTGTGGCCGGTGACTCTGGGCTCAACTACCGCACCATCATTGAGACGCTCATCCGACCCATCTACATGGAAAACGTGGCCACCGTGCCAACCGGCGCGCCTTCGACGCCGCACCAGGCCTTCTACTCAATCTCCAAGTGCGTCGGTGGCGTCTGCCTCGCGCGCCCTGCCGAGCACATTGCGATCGTCTCGCAGTTTGCCGCCGACGTGGAAAACCCCGGCACCGTGGATAACATCAAGCTGCTCGCGCTGCTCTGCATTGGTGAGATTGGCAAGTTCCTCGATCTGTCCTCCCTCCCGAGCTTGTCTGCGTTGATCATCACCCAGTTTGGCGCTTCCTCCGAGGAAGTCAAGACGGCTGCTTCGTACGCCCTCGGCTGCATGAGCGTCGGCAACTTGTCGCAGTACCTGCCTTTCATTCTGGCCCAGATTGATGCTCAGCCCAAGCGCCAATACTTGCTGCTTCATTCGCTCAAGGAGATTATCTCGTGCATCTCTCTCAACCCCGAGTCGGTGACGCTCATCACCCCGTTCGTCTCGCAGATCTGGTCGCTGTTGATGGCTCATTCCGCCAGGGTCGAAGAGGGCACCCGCAACGTTGTCGCAGAGTGCCTCGGCAAGCTGACGGTGATCGACCCTGCCACCTGCTTCCCCGAGCTCGAGGCTCGCATTGCCGACCCGTCAGCCTTCACCCGAGCCACTGTCGTTGCCGCCGTCAAGCACACGATCGCCGACACTACCCATTCGATTGATTCCTTCCTCCTGGCTCACGTCGCGCGTTTCCTGCAGATGATTCAAGATCCCGACAGCGTAAGAGAGGAGGTTTTTTTTTTGTTTTTTTTTGTTTTGTTTTGGGAGGGGGTGGTGCAATTTGTTTCATTGCAATGCTCATTTGTGCTCGTCCTCGTTTTACCATCTCAACTAGACTGTTCGTCGCGTCGCGCTTGTGGCGTTCAACTCGTCCGCCCACAACAAGCCATTCCTGGTCCGCGATTTGCTCGGCGCGTTGCTTCCAGCCCTGTACACTGAGACTCGTCCTCGGGTAATGCGAATCGCGGTTTTTTTTGTTGGTTTTTTTTTGTTTGGTCGTGGTGCACTTGGAAATCTAACCGATCTTTTGTTTGCACTGCAGCCTGAGCTGATTCGCATTGTTGAGATGGGTCCGTTCAAGCACACTGTGGATGATGGTCTTGACATCCGAAAGGTGAGTTTGCGTCGGACCTTTGAGCGCAGCCAAGCGTGCGTGTATCTCGATAGTCAGCTCACTGTCCGACTTCTTTTCATTGTCACGTTTAGGCTGCATACGAGTGCATGTACACGCTCTTGGACACTTGCTTGGATCGCATCGATCTGTATGAGTTCCTCGGCCATGTCATGGGAGGCCTCAAGGACCACACCGACATTAAGACTTTGTGCCACCTGATTCTCATGCGTCTCACTGTCTACTCGCCGACTGTGGTCTTGCAACGTGAGTTTAGTTGTGTGGATGATTGTGTTCGAGGGGAAGCATTACGAATGACTTGTTTTTGTTTACCGGGGACGCCGCCGTTGTTGACCTTTTATTTTTCGAAACCCAGGCCTTGACGAGCTGATTGAGCCTCTGCGTGCGACCATCACCACTCCTGTCAAGGTCAATGCAGTCAAGCAGGAGGTTGAAAAGAACGACGAGATTGTTCGCTCCGCGCTGCGTGCTGTTGCCGCTATTTTGCGCATCCCTGATGCTGGTATGTATTGTATCTATTGTTTACTGCAGAGAAAGTTGGGGAGGGAGGCGGAGGAGGGGTGGGAGGGAGAGAGCGAGCGAGAGAGGAAAAAGAGGTTGTGGCGTCGCTAACTCGGTTGATTTTGTGCATGCACTTCTTGGTAGCTGCAACCGGCAAGTTTGGCGCTTTCATCGCTGAGCTGAACGCTGATGCGGCCACACGTGCCAAGCTTGACGCCGTTGTCAAGGATGACCAAAAGTTGGGCCCTCTCGATGCGATGGACACCAGCGCATGAGCATCAGCCCTCAGTGTTTTTTTGGTCGTTGTTAGCTGTCTTGGCACTTCTCTCATAATGTCGTCTGTCGTCGTGGATGTTTTTTTTTTCTAATTGTGTTGAAATGCATCCTCCATTGACAGTCAGTCCTTTTTGTTTGATATTTTCTGAGCGATGCAGCAGCCTTCCTCTCACTCTGGAGGCGCGCCGTACTATCCGCCGCCACCGAATCAGCCAATGCATCCAGGACACTATCCTCAGCATCATGCGCATCCACAACATGCACAGCAGTATCCGCACCATGCTCAATACGCGCAGTATCCGCCACAACCCGGCTACGACTATCAGCACCACTCCCACCACTCCCACCAGCCACACCATCAACACCATCAACACCACCCCCAACACCACCAGTACCAAGCACACTATGGCGGTGGCAGCATTGGCGGTGGCAATCCAAGCGGCTCTTGGCCGCCAGCAGGCGATCCGAACGCGCGCCATCCACACCATGCTCACCCACACCCGCAGCAGCAGCAGCAGCAGCAGCAGCAGCAGTCATACAACATGGCAGATCAGAGCCAAATGGCGCATCCTGACCAGCATCACCACCAGCACCATTACCCGATGGCTCCTCCTCCTGCTCCTCCTCAATCTTGCACGTCGTCTCAGTACCATCCCACTCAACCAGTCGCAGCAGCACGTCCTCCTCCAGCGCCACCGCTGGACTTTTCAAAATTGTCAGAGTTCATCCGTGCGCTGCACCTGCAGATTACCGACACGATTATCGCGGTCAGTACTCAGTAGAACGAGGATGATTTCTGAGAAAACCAGACAGACAAAACAGACCCCAAATACGAGACAAGGTGCTCAGATTCATGCAGTTACTTACCGCCACAGACTGATTGGGTTTGCTTGCTGTTGGGGGGGGGTCGCTTTTGCAGGACGCGCGAGAATGGGTTTTGGCCAACGTACACAGTCCTTCTGAGATGGACGCAATCGCAACTTTCTTCGTGGCTGCCATCACGTCAAAGTCAGCGCCGTTGGAGCTCAAAATCAAGCTGCTCTATCTAGTGACGGATTTGTTTCACCATGCGTACGTAGTGTTTTTTTTTTTTTCTTTCGTTGTTGAGCTGCATTGAAATAGTGCTCTGACTTTGGGAAATCCATCTTTCGCTCCATACAACCAATACTCAGGTCTCAGCGAAGCATGTTTGGACTCATTGACGCATTCGACGCACACATGGGCTCTCTGTTCCGGCATATTGCAGATACCCCTCTCAAGCAGGAGGCGTACCAGCAACTGGTGACTCTTTTGGGGTTTTGGCGGCACAATCAATTCCTCTCGCCGCAGCGGTTTGCGGAGGTCGACACAATCATGCACACCATTTCCCCGGTGCGACTTTCCATCCATGATCTTGAGAACGCCTCAGCCTACCACCGGCTTCCAGCTGGCCTGATGGTGCCTTTGGTCAAGGTTTGTGTTTTTGGCTAATTTTCGTTGTTTCCTGCTTCCTCCCCCCCCGCTCCACCTTCTTTTTTCTTGCTTGAGTCTTTCTAACTGCTCTTTGATCCTTTTTTGTTTTCGGCAGCCGAGCGATCAAGATTACGCTTCAATTCAACCTCGCGACATTGTGCCACTTTCTGGCCTTGGAGAGCCTTCCGACGAGATGCAGGCCGCGCTGTCACGCTTTTACACACCCGATGAGCAGCGCTTGGATGATCAGGGATGGGAGCGCGGCGTGCTGTCCGCTTTTTACGACAAGAAGCGCGCCAATGCTCCTGCGCCGTCTTCTGCTTCTTCCACTTCCCGGTCTCGCCGGCGGTGACCCCCCCTTTTTTTTTGTGTTTTCATCATGTTCCTGTCTGCACAATTATTCAAGCGTCACATCACACTCCAACTCTCAGTCCTTTATTTCATCCTCCAATGTCGACGTCCAAAGGGCACAAGCGTTCCCACTCTGTTGCAACCGCACCGACTGACTGTAAAATCACAATCGCACCACTTTGGCCGACCGATCCACCATATCTTGACATTGTCACACACACACACACACACACACACACACACACACACACACACATATATTTGTATTGAAGCTGTTTGAGTGATGGAAGCTAGCTTGGACGATGGACGCTCGTCCCGTTGCACACTCACACTCTTGGCTGAGCTCCGCGTGGATCCATACGGTCGACCATTGGAAAGGGGCGTTTTCGTCAAACCGTCCACTTCCTCCACTTGTTGGCTCACTTTCTGAATCCCAAAAACCCAAACTTGTGTGTGTGTTATTACAGTTGGCGAGGTCGTCGATGCGAGCGAGCAGAAGGACGCCAACAAGCGTGTCCTGATCGAAGGCATTGACGGATCGTCCGTCGCCGTCGCCGCTACTACTGGCAAGACCAACGCTGATGATAACGACGACGACGACGACGATGCCAACGCCGACGATGGTGCTGGTGCCGGTGCTGGTGCTGGTGCTGCTGGTGGCAAGTCGGGCAAGCAGCTGCGCCAAGAGCGTCGCAACCAGCGCCGACTCACTGCAAAGGCCGTCCAAGCCGACGACGTGGTTGTTAGCACCATCAACCCACTCACGGGAACACCAGTCAAGCCAATCACGTACAATCCACTGCTATTGCTGTCGTCGCCGTCCGCGCTCATGGACCCGCAGTCCACGTACACGGCCGTTCATGGCGCCAATGTGTGTACCGATTTCGGGATTGCCATGCACACGGGCCCCCCCTCAGCCATGCAGAATAACTCAACCATATGTTTGTTATTGTCGGTGGATGCGTTGCTTTGACGTAGGCCAAGCCCGAGCTCGAGTTGCGTCTGGAGCAGTTTTTCAAGCAAAGCGGCAGCTCCCACCTCCGCCTCAAGGATTTGCAGGATCTCATTCTTTGGGTGGTTGGCGATGGCATCAATCTGCGATGGGTGATTGTGAAGGTGAGTCAGGTTTTTCCCTCCCCCGCCATCCGCTGTCTGCCCATTTCTCCTTCTCTCTTGTCACTAACCAGCGATTTCGTCCTCTCCACCGCGCAGAACAAGCCACTGATCCCGCGTGTTGTCACCGTGCTGCTGCACAACATCAACCCGCAAATGTATGCCTACTACAGCGACTGCTTCCCCTTCCTCTCGAGCAAATTCCAAACCGCCATCCCAACCCGGTGTCCCGGTTCCAAGGTGCGCATCTACTCGCCCGTGCACAACTTTTTGAATATTCCGCTCCTGAAGAGCAAAAAGAAGGACGATTCCAACAAGGCATCTTCTGCAGCGACCAACATGGAGTCTGGTGAGTTTTTTTTTCTTTTTTTCTCGATGATCGAGCAGATTTTTGACTGTGCCTTTTCACGCAACTCACATACCCCTGCTGCAACGCCTCTGAATGAATGACCTACCTACCTTGATAGTCTATCCGAAGAGCCATTATTTCTTGACCACTGAGCAGATGCGCAACCACGGCTATCCCATGCCGATCGATGTGCGCACGCCAGAGGAGGCAGGCCAATTCTCAGAGTACAAGACTCTCGGCAAGCGCGATCCCAACCAAACTGCATCGGCCGAGCTTCCTGTGTTCTCGCTCGATTGCGAGATGGTGAGTGTGTTGGGCTGAGTTTTTTTTTTTCGTTCGGATTTTTCACGATTGTTACTCCATCTTGTCCGCTCAACACCTTGTCTGCTGCTTTGCGTTTTCACATGCTGTAGGTCAAGTCAGAACAAGGCTTTGAGCTGGCCCGCCTCGCCATCGTGTCTGAAAAGCTGGAGGTCTTGTACGACGAGCTCATCAAGCCCGCCCGACCGATTGTCGATTACTGCACGCGCTACTCGGGCATCACGCCCGACATGCTTGAAAACGTGACCAGCACGCTGAAGGACGCGCAGGATGCCGTTCTGCGTCTCATTCCATCCAATGCCATTTTGGTCGGGCATTCTCTCGAGAACGACTTGAACGTGCTGAAGGTCAGTTTAAAAGCTTGTATAGACTGTCTGGGTGATGAATGGGAAGTCCACTTTTTTAATATTGGCTGACTTGTTTCACGCCACAGATCATCCACCACCAAATCGTTGACACGGCGCTTGCGTACTCGCACACCCGCGGCTCCAACTTTAAGCCGTCGCTGCGATGGCTGACCGAGACCTACCTCAAGCGCATCATTCAAGCCGACGAGGGAGGCCACAACCCCGCGGAAGATGCCTCTGCATGCATGGAACTCTTGCGTCTCAAGCTGAAGAATGGTAACAAACATGTCTTGGACCAATTCGCTTTTTTACCAATGCTGGTCTTTGTTTTCCCTCAAAGCTGACCATCCGTTTCTTGTCGTTCTTGTTTTTTTTTTTCGATGTGCACAGGCCCATCCTTCGGTATCAACGAGGAGGAGACGGAAAGCATGGCTTTGCGACTGACGCGTTCGGGCAAAAAGTCGACCATCATTGACATCCCAACCATTGCCCGCCAGCATTCTATCGGCGACACGAACATTGTCCCTTGCCCTTCCGACGATGAGGTATGCAACGCCTGGAGGGACTGTCTGCAATTCTCTCTGCTTTTTTTTTTTTTTTTTTTGCTTGGGGTTTCAATCGGAGTCGGTCTCGCTCATGTGGATGCTCTTTTCGTGTCAATCAGATTCTGGCTGCTGCCATCAAGGCGGTGGATGGCCCCAGCTCGTTCGTTTGGAGCCACTTCCACGGCCTTGAGGACTTTTTCTGTACGTTTCGACCTCGAAATCGCTAGCATGCGTTGAGTTTTCTCTGACTTTTATCCCTTTGGTTGTTTCGTCCTTTGTCTATTTCAGCGGAGGCAGCTAACCAGACCGATCTTGATGAGCAGCGCCTGAAGGCGATTCTCACGTCGTACGATCAGCGCGCGAAGCTGATTTACGAGGCCTGCCCTGCCAACACACTGGTTGTGTACTTTACCGGCCATGGACCAATCGACGAGCTGAAGCGGTATGCATTCTTTGGTGTCGTGATTATGTGGTTGCCATCGTGTAAGGCTTTTGCAAGTTGGTCTGACGCGCGTTTTTTCCCCCACCGTTTTTTGTCCAGTCTTCAACGTCAGAAGGATGCTGCCGGTGCTCAATGGACTGCAACCCAGGAGCATGAGCTAGAGGAGGAGGTCATGAAGGCACGCGACTCGCTCACATTCATGGGCATCAAGCAATAAGAGAGATGTGAAACAGAAATTTGTTGTTTGGAATACAAAATCATCTTGAAACAATCCTTCATCTTCATCTGTGCTAGTGCGCTGCGCTAATGTGCACGTAATCCCTACTGTTTACTTTGGTCGTGACTGCGGTACCAGTAGATCATGTCCATTTCAGGGGGTGGGATGCCGCGGCCAATCAGTCCGACAGTGATTTGGCCGCGGTGGTGGGTGGAGTGGTTGAAGAGATGCAGCAAGCTGACATCGTATGGCGACGACTTTTCTGCGCCATCGGTCGTCTTGTATGTCATTGCAGATGTCGGATTGGCAGGGAGTTTGGACGAGCAGACAAAGTCAATGATGGCTTGATCCTGTGGCGAGTGTGAGTCCAGGAGCGCGTCGTGTGAGACATGCAAAGTCACCAGTGTCTCTTGCTCTTGATATTCAACAACAAGTACAGTGGCTTGCTGAACTTACGGAGGCGCGCAGCATGGCTCCAAGTTTGGCCGGGTCGGTCTCATACTTTTCCCACTGGCTGCTCTCGTCTTCGGGTTTGGCGTACTGTCCATTCGCCCAGAAATGACCAATATCGTCGCACTTGTATTCCGGGTTGGCGCGCGATAGCCTATGCAATTTGGTGCGGACACAGTGAATGAGTTCTCAGGACGAGAATGTCCGTTCTGCTGGCCCCCAAAAGTTTCCCCAATTCCCCAATTCCCCAATTTTGCCAAATCGCAATCGTACCATAGTTTCTGAGCAAGTAGAATGTGTGTGATTGTTCCATGGATGCTGAGCATGTTCAATCACAATTGCAGTCAGAGTGAGATTGAAATTTTGACTTGGAAACACGCACGTTCGCGTGCGCGCGTTTTCCCTCCGTTTCGTGTGCGCCCTTTTAGAGGAGAAGGACCGGGATGCATTTCAATGGTACCTGCGGAATGGCTGGCTGGCGTGGCTCTTGAGATCGGTCTCGCTGAGCGTCGCTGCAGCATCCAGAATGACCTGCGAAAACAAAGTGAGCTCAGTACCCATACAAAACCGCACTTGCAATGAGCGCAACAACCACAAAGAGAGCATAGTATTGGTCTACGCACTGCGTTTGCCCACTGGTTGTACCGCGCCATGCGTTGAATGTGGTGGAGCAGCTCCATGATGTGCTTTTTCAATGTGGAGAATTGAACAGAAAGAGAACTGAAACTTGATGATCCCGTCTTTACTTTGAGCGCTTGCAATGCAATACCAGCACAAAGGCTTCTTCTAGTTCCATTCTCTCTCCCCCCGCCTTCCCCCTCCGACCCCCATTGTTCCCTTTGGGGATCTGATTGGTGGTGCGGTGCGCGCAGTCTTTTGTTGTTTACAAGCGGTATGTTCAATCACAATCTGCCTCGCATTTTCCTTCCTTCTTCCCCCCCTTCCACGATCAACCGAGCAAAAGTGGCCAGTAGTTTGTCTTGCTCTTTCTATAGTCATCCCCTCAATATCGAATTGGGGGTTTGTGCTGCTGGATGGTTGGGGTCGTTCAGCCTGTGCGCACCATATTAAGGCAGCCAATAACTCACAATCATTACCGAACCTTGTTGCGCACAGCGGGAGAGAGAGAGAGAGAGAGAGAGAGAGAGCTGGAGCAGCAGAGCACTGCGAGGCTGGAGCCCCATGGCTGGATCGCCGGAGCAAGAGTGGGAGCGAAAGGGTTGGCGGACCAGAAGGGGGTGGGTGTGGGGCGGCGGTGGAAGCCCCATTTGAAAACCGCGCTGCTCCTTTTTGCCTTGAGGGGAAGGACCAGGCGGACCAGGCGGATGAGGCGAGCTATGGAGTGGACGCAAGTGTGTGCATGCGCGTGTCGAGGCTCACAGCGCAGCAGCACAGGCTGGCATTGACCAAAGCATGGAACAAAAAAAAACCAACACCAACTACAATACTAATGCAGCTGCGCGTTCATCACACACCCCCCCTTAAATGGGCTTCACTCTGAGTCGCCCCAAAAAAGGAGCTCGACCACCCTGTAATAAAGTGCAGGGCAGAGATGATGTGCGTGGATTATCTGGTTTTTGTTGTTTGGTCGACACGAACGGCAAACAAACCGCACTCCATCCGCTCGCTCAGCTCAGCTACGTGTACTTGGGAAAGAAGTGCGCACACATCAATCAGTTTGTACTTTTGAGCTGATTTTCCGGTGTTTCTGATGGTCTGATGTTGTACAATTTTCTGCATCAGAATGAGAAGATCAGCAGGGTTCAGCTGGTTGGTTCTGCCAGTACTGGCATTGGCAATCCACGTCAAGATGTCCCAGGCTGTCGACGCCTGTCTACCGAACGGCATGAGTTCTGCGTGCACTTGCAATGCTGCTATCACTGTCGTCGACTGCTCGTCCAAAGGGCTTTTAGCCATGCCAGCAGTCACATCCATACCGGTTGGCACAACAGACTTGTAAGAAGGTTGGATGAGATTTGGGTTTTTGACAAACCTCAGGTGAAATTATTCGCTCAATCGTTGCTCCCCGTCGTCTGGCTAGTTATCTCGGTGGCAACGCAATCACCACCCTCGATGCAGGCGCCTTTTCGGGGCTGACGGCGCTACGTTATTTGTAAGAGAGCGAGCTTAGCTTTGGGGTTTTTGCGAACATCACGACGCTCACGCCGTTGCGCTCGCTAGAGTCCTCAGCAACAACAAAATCACGACCATAAGCGCAAGTGCGTTCACCGGGCTGACGATGCTGACTTACCTGTAAGTGAGCAACCGAGTTGGGTTGCAGTGTTCCAACGAACAAGGACTTACCGCAAGCACGTTTACTAGGGAACTCGCTCGCAACGAGCTCACAAGCATTGATGCAAGTACATTCTCTGGGCTGACTCGTATGACTGACCTGTAAGCGAGAGGAAGTCACTTGGTTGGCCTTTTGAACCATGGGTTTACATAAGTGACTCACCGTCAACGGTACTTAGCGCCTTGCACAACAATCGGATTACCAACCTTGCTGTTAATACCTTCGTAGGGATGTCGCAGCTGACCTCACTGTAAGAATACGATTTGTCTGAAGCAGGGGGCAACCGACGCTCTGACTCAACACTGCACGCCTTCGACCAGGACTTTACAATTCAACCGCATCACGAGTATTTCTGCCAATACGTTCAATGGGCTTGTCGCACTAAGCTACCTGTAAGTCGGCCCTGGCCTCGTACGGTTATCGTGCAACAACCCTGAGTGGCTCAAAAAAAAAAAAAACGCTGGTCACATGGCGATTTAGATTTTTGAGCGACAACCAGATCACCAGCATCGCCGCGGGTGCCTTTACAGGAGATACGTCGCTGCAACAACTGTAAGCTTGCACCATTGACTTTTTTGCAGACAAATTCAGGCCGGTTGGCTCATCACTTGCCACACGATTCCCAGAGCACTGCACAACAACCAACTCACCAGTATCCCCGCAAGTCAATTCTCAGGGCTCATTCAGCTGCAATATCTGTAAGGCGAGCGTTGACGGAGGTCGAGCCATCCGATTCTGACTGTCTGTTGAGTGAAGAACTTTGAGTAACAGTTCCTTCACAACGTTGCCGCCTGGCCTGTTCCAAGGATTACCGAACGGCTTATTCTTGGGATATAAAGCAACAAATCCGTTCTACACGCTAGTGCTGAGCCCCAACAACTTTACCTTTGATGGAAACGCTGTCGCTCCGCCCAGCACATACGGCAGTGCTTCCAACCCAAACAGTAAGCGAGCTTCCGAGATGACTGCAATCCCCCATGTAAATTATTGTCACTGACACCTGTGGTGCAGAGTGCGATACAGCCTGTGCCACCTGCTACGCTGGAGGGCCTGGTGCATGTTGCGGGACCAACTGCTTGATCTGCGATTCCACTGGTTCATGCACCCGATGCTATGATGGTTATGGCATGTTGGGTGGCTCGTGTCTCCCGCTTGCTTCTGTCGCTTCTGCCTCAGTCACGTCTGTTGCATCGGCTGCGTCCATCGCTTCAGCAGCCACTTCTGCTTCTGCGTCCTTCGCTTCAGCAGCCACGTCTGCTTCCGCATCGTTCGCTTCGCTTGCCTCGGTCGCCTCTTCTGCTTCTGCATCGTTTGCTTCGCTTGCTTCGGACGCCTCGTTTGCTTCTGCTGCGTCCGCGTCCTCTGCTGCCGCATCCGCTTCCTCCGCTGCCGCGTCCGCTGCTTCTACCGCGTCTGCATCTCTGGCCTCGGCTGCGTCAGCGTCGTCGGCATGGCAGACGTCTGCTGCTTCTGTCGCCTCTCGCGCTCCGAAGGGTGATTCCGGGGGCTCGTCTTCCGTGGCGGCAATCGCTGCTGCAGTCGGTTCGGTTGTGGGCGTCGGTTTGATTGCTCTCGCCATCTTTCTGGTCCGACGTCGTCGATTGCAACGACGTGCGAAGGAATCCGCCGGTCCCATCTATCAGGAGGCTATCGAAATGGCAATCTCTCCTCTGAATCATGCGACCCGACCTCAGAGAGAGGAGGATGTTTCAGCCTACGCCGTCGTCGGTCAAAAACAGCCAGAACCGTTGTATCAGGCTGTCTCAAAAAGTGCTCCAGAGGTGGTCTACAATTATGCAAGCGCGTACGTTGCTGGCAGCCATTCTCGTCGCGTTCGTGAGGGCTTGACCATTGTGAAGCACCTTGCCAGCGGGAACTTTGGCGACGTTGCACTGGGTCAACTGCCGTTCAGCGTGTTGCCCCCACGAGCTCAAAACTTGCTTGGGCCTGCAGCGTCCGAAAATGTCCAAGTTGCAGTCAAATCTCTGAAGTCGAACGCGGATGACAAATCCCGCAAGGACTTTGAAAGCGAGGCCAAGTTGATGGCGCCGTTTGTGCATCCGAATGTCGTGCGTCTGCTCGCAGCTCTTGTCGAGTCAGAGCCCCATCTCGTTCTGCTTGAGTTTGTGCAGTATGGAGACTTGCGCACCCTGCTGCAAAAATCCAAGCTCCACTCGCTTTGGTGGACGCAGAACGAGCAGGTGCACGCCATTCGCCAGATTGCTCTTGGCATGGAGTATCTGGGCACGCTCCACTTTGTGCACCGTGACCTCGCCGCTCGCAATTGTCTCGTGGGGCAAGGGATGATTGTGAAGATTGCCGACTTTGGACTTTCTCGCGAAATGGCCTCTGAGAATGATTATTACCGCATGCAAACGCGTGGCAAGCTTCCTGTGAAGGTGAGGGTGTAGAATGGTTGCTACTCGCATGCGGTTTGAATGCTGATTATGTTGATGCTACACACGTAGTGGATGGCTCCCGAGACCATGACTTTCCGAAAGTTCTCTTCAATGTCGGACGTGTGGGCTTTCGGCGTTACGGCTTGTGAGTATCGTTGTATCTCGGTCTTCTGCTGGAAACTGCACTTGTATCTCACTTGTGCTCGTGCATGTTGGCAGGGGAATGTTGCAGTTACGGCGCAAAGCCGTACGGCGAGATGGATGGGCGTGAGACTCTGGCTCATGTTGAGGCTGGTGGTCGACTGCCCATGCCAGAAACCTGCATGCTCGAGCTCTACAACATCATGATGAGTTGCTGGAACCTGTCTCCCGAGCAACGCCCGAGCTTTTCTCAGCTCGTACAATCGCTGACGGCGCTTCAGGATGGATCGACCGTTCGCGAAATCGGCGCCATGGTGTGAACTCAACCCGCCCCTCTGTTCTCTCCAAGCCCCAGTATGAGCATTTTGCAAGATGATGGTATTGATTGCCGAGTGCTTGTTTGAGTTTGTTTTGTCGTGGGTTGCGTGTGAGCTTGTGTTTGTGTAGAGAGGCCTCCCGAAAAAGACTCAGTCCACAAACCATTGAATCAACTCTATAAATTATGCTCTTTTCCAATGATATAGGTGGCAGGGCGAGGAAATGAACAGGGGGGGTGGTTCGAGTTTTTGAAGGGAGGCCCTCTCTACATCACTCCAGCGAACAAAGTGAACAAAAACACATCGAGAGCACACAAACAACAGCAACAAACAAGCGCGGGGGGGGGGAGGGGGCAAGCCGCTTCTTGTAGCGCAAACTTGCGAACTGAGAATCAAATTTGGGTAATGGGGGATGCACGGTGAACATGACAAAAGCCGGATTTGTCCGAGGTTCTGTTGCGGCATTTTCGCGTCTTGTTCTGAATGTACGAGTTACACGCTGTCACGCCTGTGAGCTTGAGAACTGCAGCTTTAGGCAGATGGACGCAAATGTTGCCGTTTGTCTCCTCAAACACGAGTTGAGTCTCGACAAACTTGATGTCAACAGCACAGCTTTCAACAACACCGCTTGCGTGCTTTTCGTCAGAGGCAGGAACACGACATACTCACGGCCGTTCTCCTCCGGGACCAGCTTAGGTGCGCATCGTGGGCTCAGAAGAAGCAGGATGACTCGGCTCGTCGGTCTTGACTTCAGCGCTGTCCAGCAAAATACAAACAAGTCAAAAAGCGAAGATCCATCGAGAATTGCAACACAGACAACACAGACGACCTTACCTTGGAAAGCCAAATTCCAAAGCGCAGTCAGCCAGGAATGTGTTGACCTGGTCTCTAAACTGCAGTCCTCCCAGTGAGAAAGTTGTTTGCAAGATGGCACAGTAGAGATACCAGCAAAGATCTTCATGCTGCATGGCGTCGTCGAGAGAAAGCTGGCGCAGAGCCAAGTTGTCGTGAACCATGCAGCTGACGAGAGCTCGAGTCGGGTCAACGCCGGCGCACTGACTGACGTGCCTTCGAAGAGCGGCCACAATCGGTCGTATTGAGGAAGGCGCGTCTTCTATCGTCTTGCCACTAACGGTGCTGGAACCGCCAATACTGAGTGCGGACGTACTCAACCCACTGTCACTGCCCATGCCAACGCCGCACTGGGTGCTAAATAGAGTGAGCAACTCGGCTTGAAACTCTGCGATGGTCATATCTGCAACGGTGGGATGCACAACGTAATGAACCATGCCACCGGCAAGCCAATTCTCATCCAGACTGCGCGAGAATCCGAGCTTCGTTTGAGCAAACTGCTGCTCTTGTGCCACAAAACAATAGGATGCCTTGCGAGTTAACCTCCAGAATGGTGATACTCGGTCGTTAGTTGGATGCGGCACGACCACCGAAAACCCGACAGCTTTCGAACTCCCGTTTGCGTCTGACAAATCAACAACGGAAAGAAAGTGAAAGGATTGCGACCTCTCCAAAACGAACTCCAAAAACGAAAGGAGCCAAAACAAAACAACACGTACAATGTTGCAGAACGCCAGAGCCCGGCGAAGTTTCAACATAGTCACTCTCCATCAACTTGAAAGGCGAGGGTAGCGAGTCCATGCAGAGGCGGTGGAGATGCTGGTGATCTTGAAGAACAAACTGCGCCGACTTCTCTGCCTTCGGGTCGACGTCTGGCCAAAGAGGCTGCAAGTCAAGGGAAAGAACGCAAGAAAAGTAGCCAGCGTTGTCAGAACATTGTCAACAGCGTGCCCGCCCGACTCGATTCCGTTCGCTCATAACTTTTCGGTGAGAGAACATACGTCTGTCAGGTGCGACGGCTCGGCCATGATGAAGCGGGTGCGGGATTTTAACTGAAGAGATATAAAAATGACTGTCACTTTTTGTTTTTTCAAAAACAAGCCGAGACACTCCAAACTCGGATACATGCTTGGTGCACATTGCGTCATGACACAAAGCTGCCGTGCTTCCATTCGATATACGAAAAACTGTGTGAAGATGCTGGGAACGGGATGAAGCAGGCGACAATCGATTGATCGTTTGTAGAGATCAACGACTTTGCTTTCGTCGTTCAGCATTGAGCGTTTCTGTTCGATTTGTCTCAACAATCTCGCTCTCATTGCAACATACTGATTTTGTACTTTCTTAATAACGTCGCTTGAAAGAAAAACGTAAACGCAGTCTCACTTTTTTCCCCCCAAACCAAGCAACCATGGCGGAAGCGCGCGCTGCCGTCATGTCGCCGTTCGGTGTCTCCTCTTCGGAGGGCGAGATTGTTCTCCGCATCAACAAGGTCAGCCATCACCGCCCTCCCTCTAACTTCGTCACACACGCACACATAAACACGCACATGATGCAGTGATGCGCTGCTCTTCCTTACGTCTCCTGGCCTGGCAATCACAATGTGCACAACTGACACACTGCGGTTGTGCGGTTTTGAGCGCTGCTTGTCATTTGTTCCCTGTTCCCTTCTTGTTCTTCCGCACCCCCTCACCCCGACCCTTCCCCGACTCTCTGTCTCTCCTGCCAATAGAGTGGGAGACGTGGTTGCCTGTAGCAGCAGATGGAAGCGACGGAGCATGCAGGAAGAGCGAACTACTGCAAAATTCGCTTTTTTTTTTTTTTCCTGTTTGTCTTTGTTGCGCTTCGCTCTCACAGTTGTTCCGCTGCAGTCCGTGCAGCACAGCATGACACTCACACGCTGCAACATGCAAAGCTGAAGTCGCTTTCAAAAACAACAAAAATGAAAGAACGAAGAGAACGTGCTTTCTCACAGTGTCGAGGTTTTTTCTTGTTTTTGTATCTTGCAACCTACCATTGTTCAGTGCGATTTAGTGATGCGTCGTATCGAATACCTTCTTTTTGTGAAATCACAAGTATTGGAAAAAAAAACAAACAAAAAACAAATAGGAAAACACGTGAAAAAAAAAAAAAAAAAAAAAAAAAGAACGTGAAATTTAAAAAAAAAAATAAATAAAAATAAAAAATACAACCATCACACTATTGAACAAGAAGCAAAACGGACAAGCGAGCGATCAACATGCTTTGTAAACCAGTTGTTGATGAAAGTCACAGTTGCGCTTTTGAGACCAACAACAGCAATCGCTCGTTTGACGATCGTCTGACTGCGATAACATAAAAACATAAAAAGCGCCGACTTGTTTTATCGGCTTTTTTTTTTTTTTTTGGTTGGTTTTTGTTTGTTTTGTGACACTTGTCTTCATCATTCAATATGCAATGGGATGCGTCATGCGTTCAATGAGTGGGATGACAAAACACACACACAAACCCCCCCCTCTCAATGAACAGTGGACCTCGAGCATGGCACTGAATCACGGAAAACAACGTGAATCACCGAATCTCACACTGCTGCGTTTCAGCCACAGTGATGACTTTGTTCAACGATCACTGACCAACTCACATGTCTCTGTCTCTGTCGCCATCAGGATGCCATCCCGGCGCTCGTCCGCGCGACCAGGAAGGTTGTCGCCCGCGCTCGCAACGCAGTCATCAACTCGATCTTCCCCGCCAAGCCAGTCCAGTGGGTCTTCTCGGTCGCCTCCCCGGCTGCCATCCTCCTCTTCCCCAACCACCAATACCTGTCGCCGGTAAGTTCTAGCAGCAGCAGCAGCAGCAGCAGCAGCAGCAGTGTTCGTCTGGACTTGGCAATCCGCTTTTTGTGTAACAACTCACTCCCTTTCCTCTTCTTCTCTTTTCCTTCATGGTCACAGTACTCTTCTCTCCTCACCAAGTTTGGCAGCTACATCCCTGGGTATGCTACGTTGTCTAATGTTTGCGAGCGACGATGGTGTCATTTTTTCGAGCATCCATCTTACCAAAATCTTTTGCCTTTGGTCTCTGCATGTTTTTGCTCAACCCCCTCAACCTCTACAGCATCCGATCGTTCTCTCCCAATGGACAAATCGCGCTCATCTCGGCTGTGACTGGCACTGGCATCTTCCTCACTGCTTCCTTCCTGCGTCGTGTCTGCCTCCGTCTTCTCCTCTCGTACCGCGGCTGGCTGTACGAGGCTCCTCGCCAGCAAAGCTTCTCGACCACTGCTTGGGCTGTACGTTTGTCGCCATCTCTTTCCTTTGTTTTGCTGTTGCGGGACTGTCTCCTTTTTTTTTTTGTCATACTCACACTCTCCTCTTCCTCCCCAAACAGGTCTGCGTCCGCATCTTCACCGGCTCCCATGCCCTGACTTATGGCTTCCAAAACTCAATCCCGTCGCTGCCCGTGCCTCGCCTGAGGCAGACGTGCGCTCGCTACCTCCGCTCGGTGGCTGGCATTCAGAGCACCGAGGAGCTTGCCCGCTCGCAGGCGCTTGTCGACCAGTTCCTCGCCAACGAGGGCCCGCGTCTTCAGCGCTACCTCATGCTCAAGTGGCTCACGACCTCCAACTATGTCTCTGACTGGTGGGAAAAGTACGTCTACCTGCGCGGCCGCTCGTCCATCATGGTCAACTCGAACTACTATGTGCTCGACGCCTTCACCTACATGCCCTGCACCAACCAGCTTGCCCGTGCCGCTCTTTTCATTTCCAACATTCTCAAGTTCAAGCGCGATCTCGACCGCGAGGAAATCGAGCCCATCACCATCCGCGACACCGTCCCGCTCTGCATGGCCCAGTACGAGCGCCTGTTCACCACCACCCGCATCCCCGGCAAGGAGTGCGACACGCTCGAGCACCACGACTACTCGTCGTACATTGTTGTCCTCCGCAAGGGCCGCTACTACCAGCTCTCCGTCTACAACCGCAAGGGCCAGATTCTCGCCCCGTTCGAATTTGAAAACCACCTGCACTGGATTGTCGAGGACGCCGACCGCGGTGACTCTGCCTCGTACGAGGAGGAGCACCTTGCCGCCTTCACGGCCGAGGAGCGCCACGTCTGGGCCGCTGTCCGCAGCGAGCACTTTGCCTCGGGCGTCAACAAGGAGTCGCTGGACATTATCGACAAGGCCATCTTTGTGCTTTCGCTCGACACTGAAACCCCCAAGGACCTGTCCTCGCGCGGCAAGGCCCTGCTGCACGGAAATGGCTACAACCGCTGGTTTGACAAGTCCTTCACCTTGGTGCTCTTCCCCGACGGCCGCGCTGGCCTCAACTGCGAGCACTCGTGGGCCGATGCTCCCGTCGTTGCCCACATGTGGGAATGGGTCATGTGCCACGAGACTGAGGACGCGTACGACGAGCACGGCCACAACATCCGCCCCGAGAGCACGACTCCTCGCGTCGCCACCGCCGCGCCCCACAAGCTTGCCTGGGACTTTTCGCCCAAGCTCAGCGAGGCCATCAAGACGGCCGTCGCCAAGGCCACGACCATCATCAACGACCTCGACCTCAGCATTCTCCACCACAGCAAGTATGGCAAGGACTACATGAAGCACGCCAAGATCTCCCCCGACGCGTACGTCCAGATGGCACTTCAGCTGGCCTACTACCACGATTCGAACGGCGAAACCCCTCTGACCTACGAGTCGAGCATGACCCGTCTGTACAAGCAGGGCCGCACCGAAACCGTCCGCCCCGCGTCGGTCGATGCCCGCGAGTTTGTGCGCGCAATGGTCAACCCCTCCGTCACCAAGGAGCAACGCATCCAGCTCCTGCGCAAGGCCGGCGAAACCCACCAAAACCTCTACCGCGACGCCATGTCTGGCAAGGGCATTGACCGCCACCTGTTTGCGCTGTACGTTGTCTCCCAAGGCCTCGGCGTCGACTCGCCCTTCCTCAAGGACGCCCTGTCCCGCGCATGGAAGCTCTCGACTTCGCAGCAGCCCCAGCAGCAGACCAAGCTGTGGGAGCCCGAGGGCAAGGATCGCCACAAGATCGGCCCTGGCGGCGGCTTTGGCCCCGTCGCCGACGACGGCTATGGCACCTCGTACATGTTTGCTGGCAGCCACTGCCTCTTTGCGCACGTTTCGAGCAAGATTTCTGCCAAGAACACGGACTCTGCCCGCTTTGCCAACAACCTCGAGCGTGCCTTTGAAGAATTGGCCGCGCTCTTCCGTTAAAACTTTGGCTATGTTGTTGCTTTTTGTTGGGTATTTTTTTTTTGTTTGTTTGTAAATGTTTCCTCTTTTGAAACCTCGTGTATGCCAGATGGTCCCCCTTTTGGAATTACAATCGACACCACGAGATTCTCAAAAAAAAAAAAAAAAAAAAAAAAAAAAGAGCAACTGGTTCATCATGGCAAACACCAACGATTCAGCAAACAACATCTTTGTAAATCTAGGAGTGTGAAACTTGTTTGGTATACAAAAGCAATACAACTCACGCAAAAAAAAAGAAGGAAACACACCAAAAAAGAGGGAGCGAGCAAGAAACAGCGACAGCAAAAACAACACTGTTGTACTGTTGTTTACTGGGCGCCGCCGGGGGTGACAATGTCGTCAATCTTGAGAATCATCTTGACGAGTTGGGTGGCGAGCTGGAATTGCTGCTTCTTGCCAACGAGGGTCTCGACGACGTGCTGGTCGCGCATGTCAGCGTTGCCAGTCATGTTGCAGTCAATGCCGAGGCGGGGGTTCTTCTCCTTGACCTGGCGGGACTTGACGGCGGCGAGCGTCTCGATCGGGGGCAGACCAGAGTTCTCGGCGAGGGCGATCGGGGTGGCCTCAAGGGCATCACCGAAGGCACGCATGGCGTATTGCTCGAGCGTGGCGACCTTGTCGGCAGCCTCGTAGACGGCGAGGGAGCAGGTGATCTCGGGAGCACCGCCGCCATAGACGACACGGTTGTCTTTGACGAGGTTGCGGACGACGCAGATGGCGTCGTGGAGCGAGCGCTTGGCCTCCTCGATGATCATTTGGTTGCCGCCGCGAACAAAGACCGTGACTGCGCGAGTGTTCTTGCAGTCCTCAATGAAGAGCATGCGGTCCTTGGTGGTGCCAAAGGAAATCTCGCGGACGACGCCGGCGTGGCCGAGCTTCTCGGGCGACAGCTCCTCAAAGCGCGGGACAATGCGGCCGTTTGTGGCGATGGCGACCAGCTCAATCTCGGGGCCACCGACCCAGCGGACGGCGGGGAGGCTGTTCTGCAACAAGAGGTGGTTGGCCTCGTCGTCAAAGCCCCATTGGCACACAACAAAGTTGGCGCCGGATTGCTTGACGCGCTCGATCATTTCAACAAAGATCTTGTGCTCGTACGACTGGAGGGACTTGTAGTCCTCGACGGAGGCAATGTCGAGTTTGTGCTTGGTCTTGGGCTTTGGCGGCTCGAACGGGCAGGTGAGGATGGCAATCTTGGCGTCGCGCAACTCCTTGGGCATTTGGGGGTGGCTAAAGTCCTTGTCAATGACGACACCGCGCACGAGCTGGGTGTCTTGGAGCTGGCCGCCAACCTTGCCCTCCATCTTGATGAGCTCAAAGTTGACGTCGCGGGTCTCGAGGTCGGCGACGGCCAGGACGGCATCGACGGCAATCTCGGCCATCTGTCGGTGGCACTTGTTGATAATCTTCGAGCCGAGCGTGGTCATGGCGGTCTGCACAAGCGACTCCTTCTCGTCCTTGCCGACGGGGATGATGTCGCTGACAGCCTCGAGCTGCTTGACTGCCACGGCGCAAGCCATCTCAAAACCGTCCGCAATGCGGATGGGGTGGATGCCGCGGTCAATCAGGTGCTCGGCCTGCTCGAGCAGCGAGCCGGCCAACACAACAACGCCAGTCGTGCCGTCGCCAATCTCGCTGTCTTGCGACTGCGACAGCTCGACCAGCAGCTTGGCAATCGGGTGCTGCACGTCCATCTGTGACAGAATGGTCGCACCGTCGTTTGTGATTGTGACTGCGCCATCGGGCGACACCATCATCTTGTCCAGGCCTGGGGATGGTTCCAAACAGCAAGCAAGTCACAGGCAAGCAAGTGTGAAAGTGAGTGAGTGAGTGAGCGGTGCCCAAAGTCGCTGTCAAGACGAAGTCGCTTGCTGCCTCTCGCTCTCTCGCTTGCTGCCTCTTGCTCTCTCGCTTGTTGGGTTGAGCACACACAACCACACACACACACACACACACACACACACACACACACACACACATGCATCAATGTTCCAATGCGGATGACAAAAGTCGTCTTCCACGCGTTTTCCGTTGCCAAAATGCTGACATTGAAATTCAACGAAAAAAACGAAAAAAAAACATTTTCTTCTATTTTTTTTTTTTTTTTTGTGGATTTTCGTGTTCTGTCTTCTTGTTTTTTCAAAGGCAGACTTTGGCTCAGCCTTCGTCCAAAATCACAGGCCTGCCTCACGTGCAATCGCACCACGCATCTATCGCGTCATCAGGTCTGCGGGGCAGCAATGGGAGATTCACAGATCCAGCAACAACTGCAACAGCAGAAATCGAGATCACTGCTTTTTTTTTTTTTTTTTTTTTTTGTGAGACATGTGTTTCCACATTGTTTGCATTTGCCGCGCAATTTTCTACAAACTCACTCACTAGTCGAGGCTGGATTTTGTTGCCCACTAAACAATATTTTTTTTTCTTTTTTGTTGTTTCACTCGTTCGACCATTTCGACCTGTGAATCGGCCCCACGCTCCTTCCCCTCCCCCCCAACAACCAACCAATCACCACAACAAAAGGAACCAAGCGTCGAGACACGCACCCTTTGGTCCGAGGGAGGTCTTGAGGGTGTGAGCGATCGCCTTGGCGGCCAGAATGTGCTGCTTGATGGCGTCCGAGCCGGTCATTCGCTGGCGTGTGTCCTGCTCGCGCAGGATGATGAACGGTCGCCCGTACTCGTCGAAGGCAAGCGACATTGCTGAGTCTGTGTATTGAGCGACGGGGGGATCGCTGGAACGAAAAAAAGAGAAAAAGTTGGGAACAAAGGACTGACTTGTGCGCTGAAACGAGTGTCTGAGTTGCTGGATTCGACGTCATGCATTGCAAATCCACCGTATTGTTATTTGGGATATTCGCTCTTACCATACAAAGTCTCCAGCAAACAGCGAGCGAAAGGAAAAAAAAAAAAAAAAAAACAACGAAAGACAATAAGCAAAACAAATCTTTAATGGTTTTCAGTGCAGAACATTATTCGTCCAAAACAGATTTGCTCGCTCTCTTGTTCTAATGTGAGAATCAGCACTCTGGCAAAACCGCCGCTGCCCCGTCATCCGCACGTCCTCCCGGCCCGCTGCCCATGCAATCCGATAGAGAACCATGTCACACGAACGATTAGAGTGCAAGGGAGGGGTCGAGCAATGCATCTGGGGCCGAGACGGGTCGCCGAGATGGGATGTTTGGCGGGCCGCGACCGGAACCGCTCTTGCTTTGTTTCGTCTTGCCCTCGGCTTCGTTCGCGCCTGCTTGTTCTCTGACCCACGGTGCTGCTTGCCATCAGCATTCATCAAAGCGTGCAGTGAGGTGGAGTGTCGTAGCAGCCCGGCGGTGTCGTTTGAGCAGGGAAGACCAGAGCAAAGAGTTTTGGGTTGAAGTTGGCTTTTGCCCTTGTGAAGCCTGTAGCCCTCCCCTCGGTGCCGTCGCTCCGTCGCTACGCACGTCTTGCGTATTGCTTGCCAGGGGCAGTTCCACGAAAGACCGGGGGCGGGGGCAAGTGGCGCTCCATAACATGTCATTGCTCAAAAAAAAAAAAAAAACCCCTTTCGTACACACGACACACACGGGCTCGCTCTTACTCTTTCCCCAACTCCCGCATCGCTTTTCCTCATCTTGCCACATCCATCGCTCACTTTGGAAATGCCCTCCCACCACGTCTAGAATCGCAAATGGTTGCCTCCGCCAACCGCGTTAAGATCGTCAAGAAGCGCACCAAGCGCTTCATCCGCCACCAGTCGGACAAGTATGCCTGCGTTGCCCAGTCGTGGCGCAAGCCCAAGGGTATTGACAACGTTGTCCGTCGTCGCATGCACGGCACCTACGTCATGCCCAAGATCGGCTACCGCAACAACCACAAGACCCGTCACCTCCTTCCCGACGGCTTCCGCAAGTTCACCGTTGCCAACCTGAAGGAGCTCGAGGTCCTCCTCTTGCACAACCGAACCTTCGCTGCCGAGATCGCCCACAACGTCTCCAGCCGAAACCGCAAGGCCATCGTTGAGCGTGCCGCCCAGCTCAACATCAAGGTCCTCAACGCCAACGCCCGCCTGCGCACTGAGGCCAGCGAATAAGCGCTGCCACCGTCCCCTTCCCCTCTCCACGATCTTTTGCGAGACCTTTAAACAAGGAGTGGCAGGCTCTTCCCAGTTTGTTGCTCTGTTCTGTTGCTGCAGGATTTTCGTTGTAAAAGCAATGTAGCAATTGAGCTCTTTAATTCTTTTGTTCTTGTTGATTGGTGATTGTTGATTGTTGATGGTGAGATGGGATTTGGTTGTTGAGAGAGGCACACGTTGACTGTCAGGACAAATTCTCAGATCCAAGTCAGTCTGTTTTTGGCATGTCGGCAGATTGCGTGTTTTGTCGAATTTCGAGCGGCCAGGACCCTTCTACGACGCTGTTGTTTGAGGTGTGACCCTGACGAGACCTGACGAGACCTGATGCGGTTTGGATTTTGAAGCCTGACCTCGTTCTGCTCTGCGTGTGTGTTGTTTCAGAATGAGCGTCTGGTCGCGTTTCGAGACATTCGACCAGCGGCTCCAACGCATCTCCTCGTCGTCCCCAAGCAACACATTCGAGATGCTACACTCCTCGATTCAACGCACTCTGCGCTCGGTATGCGAGTCAAGGGTGCGCGGGGTCTTACGTCCGATTCGACACCCAATTCTCATCTGAACCTCTTGCTTTTTCTGCCGCAGTTCACGAAATGAACGAGGTTGCACTTAAACTATTAGCAGATCACAGCCTCGATGGCCAAGATGCGAGAATTGGGTTTCATTGGCCGCCGCTGGTCATGATCAAGCACTTGCACCTGCATGTGATTGCGCCTGCATCGCAAATGTCGTTTTTGGGTCGGTGGCTGTTTTGGGACAAGTCGCCCTTGTTTTCACCGATCGCATGGATGCTGGACAAGCTAGCGTGAATGCTGGTGCAGGACATAGATTCAATGAATTTTCAAGAAGTGACTTGTTTGCCTTTGAACGCAACACGCAGCAACAACAACAACAACAACAACAACAACAACAACAACCAAAGATAAAAGCAAAACACAAACACATCATCATCATCATCATCTCAGCAACGTCTCCGAAGAGGTAGCCAGGCTCCCACTCGCAGCAAGCCGAGTAGAACCAAGGTCTGAGGAGGGTGCTGCGACTGGGCCATTTGTAGTCACACCACCAACACCGAATTCAGAGAGATCCGGCCGCAAACCGAGCCAGTAGCGATGCACAGGCACATGAGCCGCGTTGTAGCGGGACTCGAAAAGCTGGTCCCCGCTCAAAATGTGCCCAACCGAGGGAACTTGGCTCGTGGAGTTGAGCAGCGTTGGGGTGCCGAATTGGGCGACGAGGAAGGGCTGGGAGGAAGCGACGACGGGAGCAGTAGCAGCATTGGTGCTGAAGTTTTGCATCAGCGAGGCCATGCTTTGCAGGTACACGCACTGGTCTTCGGGTGTAGCAGCAACTGCTGGAGCGGCTGGAGTTGCTGCATCGACAACCACACGAACGGTCTCGAGCGTGTCTTGCCAGTCGCCCGAGACGAGCATGTTCATGTAGCGCGAGGGTGTAATGTGGCGGGGCTTGAGGCGGTGCGACACGTCCGTGTCCTCCAAGGGCGACAAGATGGCAACAAAGATGCTCGTCAACAGCTCGCGCGACAGGCCGTCCCAGTCGTCGGGATGCGAGCGTCCCGTCCACAGGACCTTGCGGCCACGCTCGACCAGTCTGGCCATGTCCGTCTGCCGCCACTCACTTTCGGAGACATTCAAGTCGAGCTCGTGTGCGCGAACAAGGGCATCCAGACCGAGCAGCGGCATAATGTTGGTCGTGTAAAACTCTGCCACCATGGCCTCGGCGGCGGTGAGCACCTGCTCCAGGTCTGCGCGTGTCAGCTTGATCGAGCCCGCGTGCTTGATTGCCTGGAACGCGTCGAGGCGGCGCGAGCCACTCGAGTGAAAGTACAGGCCCAGATCGAGCTCGCGTTGCTCAATCATCTTGTCCATCAGATGGCGGAAGTGTTGGTGACGCGCCTTGAGGTGCTTTTCGTAGGGCGCGTCCGAGTCGACCGTCAACGAGAGCGGCGTGAAGAGCAGGCGCTTGGTTTGCTCGAGCCGGTCGAGGGGGAAGCGCAAAACAGCCTCTTGTGCAGTTCGATACGCCTGCAGCTGCTTGCGCTCGAGCAAGAGGCGCAATGTGAGAAGCACTTGCGACGGATCAGCCTGGTAAAAGTGCTGCAGCATGAGACCAGGGCCTTTCACACGAACGGCAAGGAATGTATCCGACCGTGGAACGCGAGCGCGATGACGCAACACTGCGTTGAAGACCACAGTGTCCCAAATGGAAGAAGCCACCATCAGGATTGCGCCAAAAAGCACCACAAACACTGCGGCGATCGGGAGGACGGCAAGACCTGCAATCAGCGGCACGACGACCTTGACCAAGCCATCGAGCAGGTTACGGAAGAGGACTTGCAAGAGGGGAAGGCCGCGGTGGGATGATCCTTTCGTGCTAGAGTCATAGAGGACAATGTCGGCAAGGTAGCGAGCCAGCGCGACACCGAGAGCGATCGCGGGAGCGCCCACGCCGGCCGCAAGCGACAGCCCGACATTCAACACTGTCAATATGGGCTGGCCGACGAGAAGCATGACCGAGCCGAGGCCGCCGACGATACCACGGTGCCACAGAATGTGGAAGGGTCGCGAAAAGCCTTTGCCAATGATGCCATTGTCCATCGTCGCCTCATATTCGACGCGGCACTGATGGACATGCGCATGCAAGCGATTCAGACGAGTCCAAAGTGTCGACACGCAGATGCGGTTTGGGATGACCATTGGGCGCTCCCGCCCGTCGCTCCAGATCTGCTTGCCAAGCGGGAAATCATGCCGCTCGAACAGCGCGCGGACACCAAAGGGCCCCGAAATGAGCGAACCCAACACCGCAACAAAGAAAATGTTGAATGAATAGACAAACGAGCGCTGGGCGATGAGAGCAAGGCGCCAGCCGGGGAAACGAGAGGTGATGCGGTAGGCAATGGAGGTTTCCACATTCCAATGCGGCCCAATAACACCACGACTGGGCGTCGTGCCCGAGAACGGACGCTGGGCGGCACGCTCCTTGGCCAGCTCCGGGCTCAGAATGAGCCGATCGAGCTGTGCTTCAGTCAGCTCGGGCGGGTTGAGGTCGGCTTGGCCCGGCTCGGTCCGATCGATTCGGTCCACTTCATTGTTGTCGCGATCCGTTCGTGCGGTATCGGTGATAATCCAGTTGTTGGGGTTCCAGATCTTGCGTTTGCTGACAAGCTCGTACTTTGGCGTAACAATGCTGCTGTACTGTTTGATGATGGGGCGCGGATCAAACGATTGCAAACGCTGCAAAAGGAAAACAAACAGCGGCAGCTGCGCCTGTCGCGCGCGCGCCAGCAGTGTCGGGTTGAACTCGGCCTCAATGGCGGCGCGCGAGGGCGCCTCGGCGGCGCTCACTGCTCGAGCCAGCCAACTGGTTTGAGACAGAATGGGATGCTTCTTCTGCAGATCTGCCTGCACGGTGCTGTGCAGCTGATCGAGGCGATAAGACAGCTCGCTCTGGGTCAGCGTGGCCAGAAGACTTCCGAGCACCAACTGGTGCAACGTGGATCCAATGCCCGGAGCGAGCGCGTCCAGCTTTGCGTCAGTCCGGATTGCGTTGAGCAAGCGCCGGTTTTGCTCATTGACGCAAGCGTGATCGAGGAAGGCCGTGAGTGTAATGCTGCTTGGGAGCGCGGATGGATTGGCCGCAATGTACTGCTTGACCATGCCACGAAATTCTGCACGAGAGTCATTCCAAGCGCTCTCCACTTCTGTTGCAATCTTGTGCAGGGCGCTGGATAGTTTGGAGCGAATGTGCGGGTGGGCGAATCGAAGATCCACTTCCGTCCCTTCCGAGTCGACAAACACGAACGGGACGGCCGTCTGTGAGCACAACGAAATGAGTTGGACGAAGGCAGTGTGAGTTTTGTGGGAAGGTGCGGCTGGCAGGAGAGAAAGGAGCGAAAACTGGAGCCGAGTGCCTCACCATTTTCAAGCCTCGGAGGAGATGCCAAGCTCGCCGGCGGGCCACAAACGTTTCAATATCAGAGTCTGAATACTTGTTTGTCATTGCGCGCATGCCAATCAGCAGGTCGAGCACTCTGTAGCCTCCACGAGCAAGGGACTGGACTCCTCCAACCACGCTAAAGTTGGAATTGCGCACGAGAACATCTGGCACTGTGCACCAGACCATCTCAGCCGAGGCGCACAGGAACCGGCTAAAGCGAGCCCAGACGCGCAACTTGCCCTGCTGCAGCCACGACGACAGTCTCCAAACGTGCTGCTGATCGGGCTCGCTTTGCGATGGCACCGAAAACTCGCCAGTTTGCCGCACATCGTGCAGCTGAGCGGCTGTCAGCTTGCCTCCCGAGACCGCTTGGAGTTCGGTTTGCACCGGGACTGGGTTGAGGTCGAGCGGAAACAGCTCTGCGATGCGCACTTCGGAGAGCTCGACCGGCGCCCCTGCCCCTGCCCCTGCCTTTTTGGTCGTTCGTGCGCGTTTGGACGTCCGTCCGGCAAGTCCAGAGTCGTCCGTGTCGTCCGTGTCGTCCGTGTCGTCCGTGTCGTGGTCGTCCGCATCGTCGTGACCACTGACGCTCGCAGCGGTCTTGAAGCGGGAGTGGTCTGAATACGCATCCGTCTTGGCATGGAATCCATCCGGAATGCGAGTGTTCTTCTTCTGCTGCTGGAGCGGGTCAAACACGGACGTTGGCGCGGCAAACGTGAACAGACCCCAGTCGAGCAGCGAGTGCGCCAGGTAGCCCGCAACAGCCTCCTGCACGGCGTTCGTGTCGTGGTCGCCAGCAGGAGTAGTATCAGCAGCAGCAGCAGCAGCAGCAGGAGTGGGTGAACTGGATGACGCAGCATCAGCAGCATTCTCGACGTCGTCGTCGTCGTCCTGCTGCTCGTCCTTGTCGTCACGATCCTCGTTCGCGTTTGGAGCAGGAGTGTCAAACCAGTCACTGGCAGTGTCATTGCTCCGGTTGTTGCGCTGCTGCTGCTGCTGCTCTCGGCGTAGACGAGCCGATTTGGCCAGAGCAGATTCGGGTGAGCGCTGGACGAGGCTGGTCTGATCAGCAGCGGCGAACGTCACCCACGGAGGCAAGCTGTGGACGAATGGGTCATTAGAGAGAGTGAGTGAGTGAGTGAGTGAGTGAGTGAGTGAGTGAGTGAGTGAGTCAAGTGGAATGCAGTGGCTTACGTTGGCAATTGAGCGGACATGAACAAATATGGGAATCAGAGAGAGTGAGAGGTAAAAGATGAGACTGAGCGAAAGAGAAAAAGGCAACAAATAAAGAAAAGACGAAAAGCTGAATGATGATGCAGGAATGAACAGCCGCAAAACCAAAACCAAAGGTGAAATGTTCATGTTCTGACACACGTTAGGACACAACAACTCCAGAACTTCAATGTCGAGAGCACTACACAGCAAGCGCAGAGACGAGCTGCAACAACTCAGCTGTCGGCTTGTTCCAGTTCTCAATGGACTTGGAAACTCGCGTCCAGTGCTCCCCGTGCCGCGGTTCTGCTGCAACACACTTTTGCAAAACATCCTGCTGGTCATTGGCAGTGCCGTGCTGCAGCTGGAATTTATAAAAGGTGGCCCAAGCGTCGCCGAGGTCTGGATCAGCACCGATCGCGCGGCGGAACCATTCAGCAGCCTTTTCCACCTTGCGCTCAGCCCACAAAAGCCTAGAGGTGGACAAGGGAAGGAAGGAGTGAGCAACAGCCTGAAACGGAAAACAACAATCGCAGAAATTCAGAAAAAAAAACCCGTCCGCGTTTCTTACTTTGCAACAGCAACAAGAACGTGCGGGCTGTCTTCGTTGCGCTGAACAGCGGTGAGACTTTTCGCTCGTCGCAATGGAACTGGTTCCATGAAAATGGCCTCGGCCAGGAGGAGACCAGACGTGGGGCACTCTTGCATCGCTACGAAAAGGAAAAAAAAAACCACAACAGGTCCAACGCTCGCACAATGAGTTTGTCGTTTCTCCAAAAAGCACGCATGAGCAACAAATTTCGCTCAACAGCCACATCTCACCTTTGGCCATGAGCGCTTGTGCGGCTGCTGCGTTGCCGCTTCGAGTCTCGACGCGAACCGCCTCCAGCCACAAAGTATCGTTCTTTTGGTTCTTGAAGCGAGCTCGTTCCAGAATACCGCGCGCCTTTGTCAAATTGCCAGTCTGTTCCTCCAGCCGCGCAGCCAGAAGCCATAGTGGAATGGAGGAAGTGCATCGTCGGATCTGCATCCAAACAACAACAACAACAATAGCCACAAATGCACAGCTTTCAGTACCGATCCACCTCTGCAGAAAACAAACAAAAAACACCACAGATCGCTGCAACGTACGCCTTCCTTGTAGGCCTCTCGGGCGCCGTTTTCATCGCCTTGCTGCATGAGGATTTGCCCTCGCATCATGTGAAGCTTGTCAAATTCCGGGAAAAGCTGGACTCCTTCGGCCAGCAGGGTCTTTGCGCGCTCCAGCTCATTCAACTGCCACTCGAGCTTGGCAGACTTCATCCAGACACGGGCGGTGGGAGCATTGGCCCGTGCACGGTCGAGAAGTGCGCGAGCTCGAGCAAACTCGCTGGTTTCGCTTTCCAGCTTGACGGCTGCCAGCCAAATTTCCTCGCTGTTGGGGTTTGCGTTGAAGGCGTACATCAAAATTTGCTTGCTCTGCTCAATATTGCCCGCGCGCCATTGCTCCTTGGCGCCCATCAGCCAGAGCTCTTCGGCCTGCGGGCAGTAACGAACGGCCTTTTCCAGCACGGCGTGCACAGTCGCGGGAGTACCGTGCTGCTTTTCGAGCAGCGCAGCGCTCTTCCACAACGATTGCTTGGATGAGAACTTTTCCAAGGCGTGCTCGTACACTGCGCGTGCGCAGTTGATGCAGTTTTGGCTGACAAACTGTTTGGCGGAGGAGCAAGTGAGGAGCGAGGCAAGACCACAGCACATTCACATTCACATTCCATCAACAAACGACCACAAAGAAAAAAAACCACCACGTACCGTAGCAGCGTCGTCAGCCCAAGTAACTCGACGATCTTCGGCCTCCACACCAACGTCAATAACATTCATAACAATGCTCTTGGCTGTCGCAATCGAGTTGGCCTTTTCGCAAACTTGAGCATCGGCAAGCCAGTCGTCGCGAACGATCTGCACACCGTTGGCAGACAATGCCTTGATTGCTGTTCAAGCGCAAGTTGCAAAAACAACAATGAACAAGTGAGATACAAAACCATAGAACGAGCAATCGCCGTCCCAGCACCCCCTTGAAACACCCCCCCCCGCACCGACGCAAAAACTTACCGCGCTGAACAATCTTGTCCACCATCACACGATTGCCATCCGCACTGTTGGCCTCTTCCAGTTGCGCTGCAGCAATCCAAATTTGGCGATCGGTGGGGATGCTCATGCGCGCCTTGTTGAGCACGGCCTTGGCGTTATCATATGTCTCGAGGTGGGCGAGTGCGAGCCACAAGTCCACGCTGTCGGGGCAGCACTCGACGGCGCGTCCCAGCAGGATGCGGGCATCTTCGGGTGTCTCGAGCTCGACGGCAGTCTTCCAGAGACGGACCGAGTTGGGAATGTGCTCGAGCGCCTTTCGCAGCACACGCTTCTTGGCTGTGGTGTCGGTTTCAATGTCGGACGCCTTGAGCCAGATCTTGACTGAATGCGGGATTTGCTCGACGGCCTGGGCAACCACTGCCTTGGCGAGGTCTGGCGGATGCAACCGAGCGGCCTCAACCCACATGTCCTCGCTCTTGGGGCAGAACTCGCAGCCTTTCATGGCCAGGGTGCGTGCAGCCGCCATCTTGCCAGCAGCCTCTTCGAGGCGGGCCGCTGCAATCCAGCCTGGAGCGTGGCGCGGATTGGTTTGGGTCACGTTGGCGAGGAGGGTGCGCGCCTTGTTCAAATCGCCGTAGTCGGAGCCCTTCTGCGGGATGACCGAGTTCAAGTCCGTCATGTAGCCCTTGGCATCGACAACCGTCTGGCCAGTGACAGAGTCCGAGGCCTGGTTGAGGCGGGCATTCAAAATGGACGTGCGCGCCTCGCCAATCTGGGTCAAGTCGCCAGGCGTTGCCATGCCCTGCATCGGGTCGACGGCGGTGGTTGTCTCGCCAGCCGTGCGTGCCGCGTTGATGACCGAGTCTGGCACAGGTGTATATCGCTCTGGACGAACCAGGCGAGGCTTCTTCGCGCGCAGCGAGCCGGCCTCTGGAAGCATCTCCCAGTCCTCGGCCGACATTTGATTCAAGCCGCGCTTGAGCTCTACAAACTGCTGCTGGATTTTCGGGTGCTCTTGATTGAATCGGTCAATCTCCTCTTGCATCTTCTTCTCTCTGCGGGCGTCTCTGCGCGTGTCCATGCGCCTGTCGATGGCGTCGTAGATGGCGTCTGCTTCCTTGTCGTCTTCCTCGTACGGCGCCGAGGCGAACAGCGATCCAGAGTAGCCGTTCTCCTCGTCGTAATGCGCGTCGTTCAGGTTGCCATCCTTCTCCTTGTCCTCCTCAGCTGCACGGCGTCGTGCGAACGGCGATGCTTCCTCACTGCAGACATGCATTGAAACAAGACGAACGAACGCAGGGTGAGTGAGTGATTTGAATCATCCAAAGCCCCGCCTGTCGCTCACTCTGCCTGGGCCACAAGCCGTCCACGCATCCACGCATCCACACATTCAATACAGCGCTGGGCATGAACGCGAGGGGGGGGGGACGGGAGCTCAACGTCGTCGCGCAACGTCGAGATCTCGTCTGTGCGCTTGCCGTCCCAGTGTGTTCCCTCCCCAGGAGTGGACGTTGCCATCCATTGAACATGAAGCGCAATGCGGGCTTACATTTCGACTTCGCCGGGTGCTCGCGCGGGACCAATGTCAGACCGCGTTGTGAAACCAGTCGCTCTGTTTCAAAGTTGAACAACGCACACACGCCGACAGTGAGTGTTCTCAGCTCCGTCAGTCATCATCATCATCATCATCATCATCATCATGAACAACAGTCCACAATAGAGCAAGGAATAAAGAACAAGTTACCCGCGACCAGCGCCGGCAACGTAGCCGCTCGGAGCCGCTTTGCCGAAAAAGCTCTTCTTCTGAGCTTCGACCAACGCAGCAGAAAACACCGACGCCATGAAAAACTAAGAAACAATGAAACAATGAAGATAGAAATAAAAAAAAAATAAAAATAAAAGGACAAATTATTGAAAAATAAGAAATGGCAACGAGGCTACATTTGGAATGGTCAAAATGATCATAGTTCAGATGTGGACTTCTTTTCCCCGAACACTGGTTGGGCTCAGCGAACAAGATCACCATCCACGCACAATCGGGCGTAAAACTGCTTCATCAACGAGCATGAAAATGCGATGGAAGTGAATGAATTGTCGGGAAATAAAACTACATTTGAGAATACAACAGAATCGAAACACATCTGCCTTGTTCTTTGTGTGTGTGAATGAGCGCATCATCAGAACCCAAGCGTTATGCGGTGGTGTTGGCAGAGACAGCGGTGTTGCTGCCAGAGGCAGCGGTGGAAGTGAGCGTTGAAACATGGGCAGGAGCAGTCCAAGGAACAGTCACGCCAACAGCAAGTGCCGCCAATCGAGCAGCCTCGCTTGTTTGAGCGCGAGCGGCGGGGGAGACAAACCCGCCTTCAGTTGTGCGCGCAATCTGGATGATGGCTACAACCTCAGCCACACGGCGAGCGTTGGCCTGCAGCGAGGAGGCAGGAGCCGCAGGGCTTGGAGTCGGCTGCTTGGCTGCCTCATCAGCAGCAGCCTTGCTCAGCGCGGCAATTCTGCCTGGGACGAGGTCAACGACGGGAACTGGATCAATGTCAACCTGTTCTGCGGGGAAGGCGGCATAAGCATCAAGCAGGAAGTGAAGTGCACGGAAGCCCGGAGGAATGCCAATGCTGCGGAGGAACTCGAGGAAGTGCTCGCAGCGGTTGGGCGAGCGAAGACTCAGGCCGTGCAGGATCTCCATCACGAGCGTCTTGAAGGCGTCGCGCGCAGTGTGCAACATTGTACGCGTTTCTTCAATGTCATGAGGCAGCAACGAGGTGTTGTGCAGCTGCATCATAACGTCGTCGAACGCCGTCCAATCCTGTCGCAAGCGTGCAAAATGCAAGGCCATGGCGTACGCTCGGCTCGACGAGAGCGTCCGCGGTGACAACAGCCACACGAAATGAAGCAGACGCTCTGACGCATCGTCGAGCGCTCGGTTTGAGGACACCTGGCTCAAAAAGGACGAAAAAGTGACCCACAGCTCTTCGGGCACAACCGCTGGAACGAGGGACGGACGGGTGTTGTCGACAGACAATTGGCCCCGTGCCTCGCGCGTGGCCGCCTTAGAAGAGGAATTCGAGGAAGACTTCGAGGAATTCGAGGACGAATCCGAGGAATCCGAAGAATCCGAAGAATCAGACGAGGCAGATGCAGCGGCTCCAGTGCGGGGTGCAGACGCCAGGAACTCGTCCATGAGCGCCGAGCGGAATGCACGCCCATGACCACGCAGCCACTGAGAGAGCAACTCGGCCGATGCTTGTTTCGGGAGGACGCGTTGCACGTGTGCAGCGTGGTGCTTGCAGAACCAGAGCAGCGCTCCAATGACAGCATTGCAACCATTGTTGCGTGTCGTGCGCAGAGCGCCTGGATTTGGGGTTGGGCTGCTGTTGGCAATTCGTCCAGCAGATGCTGCCTTGTTCAAGACAGCACAGAGGATGGCCAAGTCAGGCTTCTGAGCCAGCGACATGCTGGGCACAAATTTGATAAAGTAGCGCAGCGCAGTGTCCACAAGCTCAAACGCCACCGCGACACGGGGAATGATGCCCATGTGTTCCGGCCTCAGAGTGAGCGTCGACCAAAGCGCCTCCGGGTACGCCGAGCTCGGTGCAATCGCTGCGAGCGACGCATCCAACACGGGAATGAGCTGCCGGCCGTTACTCGTCATCATGAGCAGCTGCAAAACAGATTGCCGGCAAGAGTGGAGCTCGGCTTCGGACGTCTGAAGCAGAAGGGCAATGAGGGCAGAGTGCTGCGGATACACTTCGCGCAACAGTCGTGTGCCACTCGACGAGCTTAGGTGTTGTCCGAGCGTGCTTGGGCTCAGCACGACGAGGAACTGATCGAGGGCTGCGCTGACCTTGCCCTCCAGCAACAGGAAGCGCGTTAGCAGAAGCGGGTCACGCGGCAACGGGCGCTGGTACAAGCGCACGTGTGCCGCGCTCACCAAGGCGCGAATCGCGTCTCCGCGCGGCGTTGGAAGTCCATCAAGGGTGCGGAATACGGTGACGAGATCCGCTGAAGCCAGCTGACGAGGGGCGGAAGCTGTGGTAGTGGGCACAGAGAACTGCCGAATCCAAGCAAGCTCGCCAGCGTCGCGTTTGGACTGCTCCGAGAGGAAGCGGGCAATCTTTGCGAGCGCCTCGGGACCGCTGGGGTTGCTCTCGTCCAAGGCGGGAAGCAGTGCATCATCCAACTTGGCAACGTTTGCCATGAATTCCGCACGCACCGCAGCATCTTCAACAACGGCAGACCAGTGCATCGACCAAGTGGGGGAGGCTTGAATTTCTGCAAGAAGGGCATCAAGCCCGGAAAGGCCGGCGTTTGTGTGAACAGCAGCTTTCGCTGCGTGTGGTGTGAGTGGCGAGGATGCTGGAGTTGTTTGAGGCACTTCCCACTGAAGCTGAGCCGAACCAAGACTGGTGACGGGAATGCGCCCGACGACCACGCCAATTTGCTCGACGGCAACCGTGAAATGCGACGCTGCCTCCGATTGCCCTTGCCTCACAAGGGCATCTTGGACTGCAATCGCCACATCACGCCAGTGCTCGCGATTGTGGTGCAGCTGGTGTTCGACAGAGCGAGCAACACGCGAGGTGAATCGGACCTCTGCGTGACGGTCGGATGTGATGGCCGTCAGCCTGGTGACCAGCGAGACAGCCAACGCGGTGCGACCGGCGGCCAGCGCGTGGGTGAGCAAGAAAATGGACGTGTACGAGTTCAGGCGGAACGACGAGGCGTCAGCAAGGTCGAGCCACTGTTCAAGCGCCTGGAACATGCTGGAGAGCCGCGGTTCGGGCTCCAGTGGTGTCGCAGCGGAAGTCAAGGATGGCGCCACACGAAGGGCATCCACGAGCTTTGTGGGCCACTCGTGTGACGAGTAGCGATCCATCAACAGGAATGCCGCCGCGTCGAGGGCGCTGCCCACAAGAGCGGACAGGCCCTGCTTGACTTCCGGCTTTGCGTGCTCAAAGATGGCAATGTGGGGATGGGCGCTCAGCCGCCCGGCAACCTCAAGGCGTCCCGCACGCTGCTCGGATCCAGCTAGCAGCAGCATCATCACAGCCAGCGCTTGAGCACGAGCTTTGGGAGGCAACACGTGCTGAATGTCGCCCATGAGCCGACCCAAGTCATCGGCGCCAGGAGGGGCGGTTGCACCGTTTGCTGGCGCAGAAGCACTGGCTGGAGCATGCCAGCCAGAAGACTGTTCCAGGTTGGCGCGCTGGGGAATGACGTCAGGCAAGCGGAATGCAAGCGGAAAGGCGCTCAAAAACGCAAGGCGGGGACGAAACAGGCCACTTGAAATCAGATCTGTCAGTAGGGAGAGCGACAAGTGCGCCCGATTACGATGATCGAAGAACGGGACATGGTCCGCTGGCAGTAAGCCGACCGGGACTTCTCCTGGTTTGTGAGGCGCCGACCCTCCGTCCTCTCGATCGCCAGCCGGGTTCAATCGGGCACGCAGCTTTTCGTTGCCGACGATCGACACCACAGCTTGGACCATGTCAGTCGGAGTCATTGTGCTTTGAGTTTGCACCAATTTGAGGAGAGCGAAAGCCGACATGTAGTCGCGCTGAATGGTCAGACAGGTCAACAGGCGCGCAAGCGATCGACCAGACGGCATCCGTTGGTTGCGGCTGGCGGCCAATTCCAGAAGCGTCTGGACCTTGACTGGACGCCCTCGCAGGGTGTGGTACTCAAGCAAGGCAGCGAGTGAATCGACAGAGGTTGTGGTGGTCTCCTTGGGATCGGCAAGGACGTCAACCAGGTACGGCGGACAGCGGGGATTCCGCGCGACGTTGACGAGGAGCGCGTTGACAAGCAGGCCGTGGTTGACCGAAACGGACATCTGGCCGCCAACAGCCTTGGTGAGTTGCAGCACGGAATACTCAATCAAGCGTTCATAGAGTGCCGCCTTGACCAAATCGCGTCGTTGCGTGCGGTTCAGCGCGCTGAACTGCGTGCGGATGGCGCTTTTGAAGACAATCTTCTGCTGCAGCGTATCGAGTGTATCAAACTCGTCCGCCACCGGGCCAAGCGGCGGCTGCGGAGATGCGCGATCGGAGGCCGGATGGTGAAGGCGCTGGGGCTTGATCAGATCGGCCAGATAGGTCGGCTGGATGATGTGGGGTGGGTGTGATATGTACGCAAAGAGCGGCTTGAGGTCCAGCATCGAATACTGGATGGCCAACGACAAGTCATTCGGGTGAAAGCCGAGGCCCAGCGATTTGTACCGCTCAAACAAGCGCGAAAGCGACATGGTGGGTTCGTCAACGAGTAGTGCTTGGAGAAACCATCGGTGCCACGCGCGCCGCAGATTGAAAAGCTCTCTTGTATCGCCATTGGAAGCGGCCAAAGACGTTGCAAGGATGGAAGGGAAGGATGGGATGACAACGGAAATGGCGACGTGCAACTGGAGAAGCGTTTCAGCATCGCCGGCATCAGCCAGAGCCTGGCACACTTGGTTTGCGGCGTTTCGCAGAGTGGTATAATACAGCCGCGCGTGCTGCGCAATCCAGGCCGCCAGCGTCTTCCAGACCTGATGGGACGCCGCTAGGCTGAGAAGCGTGGGTTGCACGTGGCGCGAGATCAGGCTGGAGACCAGACGGTCGGCGCCAATGCGGTCTGCAATGCTGAAGGTGTCCGAAAGGAGGGTGAGCGAATCGGCCAACGGAAAGAGGAGCATCACGTCCTCGAGCGCTTCAAAGTTTTGGACACGTGCCACAACATCCGCTCGGGATGCTTGAGCGCGGAACAAGGCGCGGGCGAGCTCAAACCGGCTGGGATTGGAGCTCGTAGTGACATTTCGAAGGGACGTTGAAATCAAGGAGCTTTGCTGCTTGGCCAATTTCGGGCTCGGCGGTGGATGCGGCCAGTTGAGCGTCGTCCGGGTGATTCTGCGGCCTCGGTGAAGACTACGCAAGAGATGAGTAAACGTCACACTGTCCGGCGGCACGCCAGCCAGTGTCGCAGCATCCACCCAATCAAAGGCGTCCAGGATTGACGCCTTGGCGATGCCGAGCGTCAGCGTGGTCATGACATCCCCATCCAACGGAGCTGTCGACGGCTGCTGCATCATGATCGTAAATACGAGTTGAGCACGTGCAAAATCTGGCTGAGGATAAGTCAGCAGCAAGTGCTCAAAGATGTCGTTAAACCGCGCCGTGTTCATCGTGGCGCGCATGGCGTAGAGAGAGCGCTGTATTTCTGTATGGGTCATTCCGGGCATGGCAGCAAGCACGGTCTGGAAGTCGGGTGGAGGCGCAGATGCCGTGCCACTACTGGTCGAGGGTGTGGTTGTTGCTGTTATTGGTGTGGTGGAGGAGGAGGAGGTGGTGGTGGTGGTGGTGGCGGTCGTACTGCTGGTGTCGGCCGCCTGAGACGCCGTCTCTGCCACATCCGTAGCCGTCTCGGAGATGGCAGCAGTTTCAGACGCAATGATCGGACCCAGAAGACTTGCAGTGACCTTCAAGGGAGAATTTGTGCCCAGGGCAGTCAGCACGTCGGAAGGCGGCACCAAAGGTTCGCTCAGGTCAACTCGGGTGCCGAGAATCAGGGAGGCGGTGGCTGTGTCGACGCCCACACGCATCTTTTCCATGACCATGAGCAAATCGGTCAGCTCGTCGACTTTGGTGAGCCCCGCGCCGGCCAGGGATTGCAGCAATGGACGGAAGTGGGCAGACCGCGGAGCGAGCTGGTAGCTCGCCATTGCGTTGACAAGGGTCATGGCCAACGTCGTCTGATTATGCCGACAAAGCAGCTCCATCAAACGCTGGAACATTTGCAAGGATGGCGTAATAAAGCCCGTGCTCATTTCTTCAACCAATGCGATCGCGCTGGCGGGATCGGCCGCAACCTCGCATGCGCGCACCACACCCGTATAGGCAACGGAAAGCAACTGCCGAAGCTCGTTCTCCTCCAAGGAACTCCGTCGAACGACACCAGGAGTGGGCGCTGCTTGACCTGGTCCAGCGGTGCCTGGAAGAAGCGAGCGCACCAAGCCGACAATGGCCCGTGCGCCAGCAATGTGGCCGCGCTGGGCAAAGATCTCCACGCACTCCCGAAGCCCGGCGACATTCACGGGCTGCTTGGCGTGCAAGGCATGAATGCAAAACGCACCAAAGGCGGTGACAGCGTCGCCGTCAGCCAATGCTGCTTGCGCGATCGACAAGAGAATGGTTGATCCTTTGACACCGTGCTGCTTAAGGACTTGTACCACGGCAGCCAATGCGTCGGGCGTGCGAAGCTCAATCAACCGGCCCATGAAAGATTCGAGGGCAGATCGCGAGGGCAGCAGCTCAGCACGGCGCGCAAATCGAAGCGCAAGTTGAGCGTGCGCCCGTGACTGCCGAATAGCAGCACTCGATGAGGTCGGCGGTGGGAAGAGCGATCGAAGAAGCATCATGCGCGCGGACGGGGCAAGTTCGGGCATCGCAGCGTCAAGCCCGTTATTGAGGCTGGCCTCTTTCGTTTCATGCAGGAGCGCTTCGAGAACCTTTTGGCAATCAGCGTGCGAGAATAGGCTGCCAAGCAAAGAGAGGAAGCGCTGATAATCGGGAGAGGTTGGGGAGACCTTATCGGCCGATTGCAAAATGACCTGCGTGGCCACCACAGTCACCTCTGTTCTGTTCAGCAAGAGTGCTATCTGCCAGACTCGGTCAAATGCAAACGGCAGCAGAGCGACTGGCGCAGTGCGCAGCGTCGAGTTGAGCATAGCGGCGGCTTCCTCGAAATGGTTGTGAGCAAAGAGCGAGTGCGCAAGGCTCAGTCGTGCGTCCAACTCGATCTGTTCACGCTGGAAGCTGGACAGCGGATCGGCGGCGGGAGAGAGCGTGTGCTGATACTCTTCAAAAGAGACCTCTGCATCGTCATCTTCGTTGTCTGCAACCGTGTTGGAAGTGGCTGTGAGCGCCAGCTCTGGAAAGAGTGCCTTCAGCTGGGGAAATGCGCCAATGTCCTGAGGTTTCGCCAGCGACAGTTTGGCAAGCAGCTCGTCATGCAGCGCCCGAACTCGATCAAGCGTGATGTCAGAGGTGAACTGGTGTTGGGTGATGGCTTGAAGCTGAATGGCCTTGTCGACACACCGGACTGGCAGGCCCAGATTCTCGAATCGGGCAAGCATCAGTTCGACTTCATTGTAGCCGCTAAAGTAAGCAAGCCCGCGCATAATCCAGGCTGCATACTCGGACGCTGCAGCCGGATTTTCAGCAAAGATGCGATTGCTCTGTGTAGCGCGGGCGATGAACTGCACAAAGCCCAGGCGAAGCGTCTCAACCGCCACCTGCCGCTGCAAGCGACGACCAAAGAGTCGCCGCGATTTTTCGTCCAAGGCCTGTGCACTGCTCGCAAGGCCAGCAGCAAAAGGGACCATCGAAGACGGCGCAAGTTTCTTTTCTGCAATCTTCCTCAGCCACAGTCGGTGGATTGTCTGGAACTCGTCCAATGTCAACGAGAGGAGAGGCATGATTCGGAAGAAGCCAGTCTCTGTTGGCTCAAGACTGAACTCGTGAAGCAACCGATAGGTGCTAACAGGGGTACAATCTTCGACATACATGCCGCTTTGTCGATTGTCGAGCCAGAGCAAGCTGAAAGCGAGCAAGTGAATCTCCTGTAGCTCCATCGGTATCGCTGTTGCTGCAGACAGCAAGGCTCGAGCCAGGTCGAAAGGCCACGACGAGCGGGAGCGTTCTGATGCATTTGCACGCAGCAACGCAGCGAAAATGACGCACAGGGCACGGTTGGAGAGGACCGTGTCGGCCTGAAGAAGTTCGCCAAGCAAATCCTGGACCTCCGCATGCGACAGCCGACTGGTGGAAGCCAAGCGTTCGAGTAGAGCCTCAGATGCCTTTGCCGCCGCTGCAGGCGTCGTAGCCAACTCTGTCCGCGTCTGCACCCCTTGCCCGTGAAGACGCGCGAAGAGATACGAAAGACCTGTTTTGGGCGATACAATGACTGGATGCCGCTCTTCCAACGGCAGCGGACGCGACAAGCGGTGTGGAGTCGGCAACGCGGCTGGCGGCGATGATTTGACCGCGAATCTCGAGCGAGTGGACAACGGGAGGTCCGATCGCGGGCCTTCTTGTGCAGCCAGGTCCAGTAGCTGCAACATGATTGATCGGAGTCGTGTCGCATGAGCAACCCTGAGCTGCCGGATGGCCATGTAGGTCATTCCGCCGTAACCCTGAAGGGACGACTGTGGTGGTGGCGCGCTCGAGGTTTTCCTCGTTGCGGGTTGATCTTGCATCTCGGTGTCTTGGTCAGCATCTTGATCAGCATCTTGATCAGCAGTCTCTTGATCAACAGTCTCTTGAGCAGCAGTCTCTTGAGCAGCAGTCTCTTGAGCAGCAGTCTCTTGAGCAGCAGTCTCTTGAGAGCGAGTGAAGCCCTGTGGTGATGGCGCTTCAGCCGCAGCAGCATCAGCAGCATTGCTCGACGCTGCTTCAGACAGGGGCGCTGACGATGATGGCGACGTGCTCACCATGCTCGAAGTGTACGATGATGGCGATGGGGCTGCAGAGGAGCGGGATTGACGAGATCTCGCCAATGCCGCCAGCGCAGCCGACGATCGCTTGGCCGCCGGTGGGGCTGCTTGGGCTGCTGGGGCTGCTGCTGATGACGATGATGATGATGATGAGGCGAATGCAGGTGGCGTGGCGTCCGAGTGTGCCTGGCGACAGGGCAATCCAGCAGCTGCAGCGGCAACGGCCAGCGACAAAGATCGCCGTCCAGCCGCAGCAGAAGCAGCGACTGCAGCCGCCGACAACATTGAAAATATGGAATGAGGTTGAAATGAAACGGGAAACAAAAAGGAAACAACAAACTCAATCAAGCGAAACGAGCTCTGTGAGCAACGAGATTGAAACACAATGAAAAGCTTGAGTGAGAATTGAATATACGGCAAGTAAGTGGTCGAGATCGCTCCCGTGTCGTGCTGCACACAGTACTGTGCATAATGATGCACTTACTTTGTGTTTGGAATAGGTTGAAGGAGAACTGCACGAACCGGCATGAAACGACGACTGCGCAATGGTGAAAGCAGCGAACTTTTGCTTCTCCGTTCTTCTTCCGATGCTACTTTTTGCGATTGCTGCTTTTTCTGATCAACATGTAAAACTTGTGTGCTATTGTATTGCATTTCCATTCGACCCCAATCAATCCAGTTCTCAACTCAGTCATTCCCAATTCTACAATGGTCAAGCAGCAGAGCGTTTCGCAGATGAAAGCGCGGCTGAGCGAGCTCCGCAAGACAAACCAGCGCCAGTCCGAGGCACGCAGAAAGACCCTCCAACCCCACCATGAACACGACCAACCCAATCAACCCCTCATCGTCATGGGCCTAGAGTCAGAGTCATGGCCGGTGGATGGGGCGCTTGTCTATGGCGTTTCCATTGGGATCTCGACTTTTCCCGCTCTCTCATCTCTCTCTCTCATCTCTCTCTCTCTCTCTTCTTCTTCCCCGTTTCGCGCAGACCTCCCAATTGCACTCACACAGACAAAGCTTGAACTCTGGTGTTGTTGTTGCTGTTCGTGGTGGTTGGCAGTTTCACTGTTGGACAACTCACTTCACTTTGCCTCTCTGCACTTCAGCTTGTGCTCGAACTCGCGGAGGCCATCCAGTCGGGACAAGGCGCGCGTTCGCTTGCTGCTGCGTTCAGCGATGAGGCTGAGCGATGGGACGTCCTCGAGCAGGTCGCACGCGCTGCAATGGACTGCGGCAGAGCGCGTCCGACGCGCGGCGAGGAAGAGTCGCTCGCTGCCACACTCGTCAAGCAGCTCGCAGCTCGATTCCCAGAGAGCAACCGCGTCAAGCTCCTGCAAGGCGAGCTGTTTGAAGCGCAAGGCGACTGGGCCGGCGCCACGCAACTGTATGACGAGTTGCTGACCGAAACTCCGAATCATGCTGTAAGAGGGGTTTAAAGGGTTTGGGTACTCTGAACACGGATGAATTGGTGTTCACAGGGTGGTGGTAGTGGTAGTGGTGATGGGTGTTGGTGCTGACGCTGCTGGAATTGACTCTGAAGGCCGCCACCAAGCGAAAGGCCGTCATTTTCAAATCCCGAGGAGACATCCCGAAGGCCATCTCTGTGCTCGCAGCGTATGTTCAACAGGCCATGGCGGACTACGAGGCCTGGGTCGAACTCTCCGAGTTGTATCTATCGCGTGGCGAGTACGTCCTATTTTTGCGGAAGGGGGCAAAGGTTTGGTCGTCATTTTGTGCAAAATGCTCACGTTTGTCCTCCGCCGTAACTCCTGCAGTTTCCAACGTGCTGCTTTTTGCTTTGAAGAACTCATCTTGTCAAACCCATTGAGCCCTGTCTATCACATCCGCTACGCCGAGGTAACTTGATTTTTTTTTTTTTGTTTACTGGCTTGTTTTGGTTTCCGGTCCTCAGTGCCGTTTGCTCTTGCCCGCCTTTCTCTCTCTCTCCTTTAGACTCTCTACACAATGGGAAGCTTGGAAAACCTCCAGCTTGCACGAAAGCATTACGCCAACGCATGCAAGATCCAGCCCGATGATGCACGCAGCTTGCTCGGATTGTACATGACATGCTCTGCTCTCAACAGCGAAAAGTTTATCAAGCAACGAACGCCCATCAATGAGGAGCTGGAAGCATTTGCCGTTTCTCGTCTCAAGCAGTTATACTCCAAGCAAGCCTCGGCACCACAACTCGAGTGCCTTAATGAAACCTTTTCGAAAATGGCTTTGACCACCTCTTCCTGACGCCCCAGAGCGTTATGTTTGAAAGAGGGGCGGCGCATGTTTTTTTTTGGAAATTTGGCGCTAGGTGGCTTGTTGTGAACGTTGTAAAACAATTTAATGAAAACAAAAAGAAAAAAAAAGAAAAAGAATGAAACAAAATGTCCAAACCTAGAATGAAAAAGGAGGGAGAGTTCACACGCAACAGGTGGAATATTAGCTCTGGCGTTGCTTCATGTTGCAGTTGAGTGTGTGTGTGTGTGTGGGGGGGGTCATGGTGCAACGACTCCATCCACCTGAGCTTGCTGCTTGTTCCACTCGGCTGCGACATTCGGGAATGCTTGCTCAAGTTCTGCAAACAAGGCATCATGACTGTGCGACAGTTTTTCCAACTGTTGCTCCATTTCTGCAGCCATTCCCTCCGCAGTGTCAGCCGCCAATTGACACCGAGCAGTGTCCTCGCGCAGACTTTGCAACTTTGCGTTTCCTCGATTGGGGCCTTCCCACGAGAAGACATAACGACAATAAAGGTTTGCCCAGAAGCGAGTGTTTTGTGGCCGGCAAGCGGGAAGCAGCACGTCCATTGCCGGTGAAAGGTACAATGGGTTGGTCAGCGGGTGCAAGTGTTCAGGCTCGCTCAGGAAGGACCAGAGAGACTGCGTGCACAATTGCAGGCGTGCGGCAGTGCGTTCTGCCTCCGAGTTCATGAGGAAGGTGCCTGAAACCAGAGAGAGAAACAAAAAGCACAGATGGCACAATCCAGTCAAAAAACAAATCCTTGGCTCTCGCGGCCTCTGCTCCACAAATAACTCACCGTATGGACTGCAGTAGGAATGGTCGCGCAAGAAGCGCAGATAGGATTCGCCAAACTGGAATGAGGCAGGGAATTGCTGTGTAATCTGCCAGACGCAGTCCAAGAAAAGCGTAAAGACGGGAGCAGCCGCGCGGTATCGGTTTCCAGGAGGACCATAGTGTCCGTGGCGGTCGCTAAACCGGTGTCCAAACGACAGCCATTCTTTTTCGATGAGCACTTGAAAGCTGAAATACCGGGGATGAACAAGAGTAGAAAACTCCAGAGTGAGCCAACAATTCCTCACACCAACAAAACTTTCCCACAAAAAACCCCCCCCAAAAAAAAAAACACCACTACACACCCTTGCACTGTTCGGAAATACGGATCCATGAGCAGCATGGCCAGCGCAACGGCGCAGTTGCCAACATCAAAGATCTCCTGCGAAGCCAGAACGACAGAGGTGGCATCCGACCCAATCAGTCTGGCAATGCTGGCAGCCGCGACCATCATGGCTCGAACGTGCCGAAGCCAGCCACTCGACTCGAGACGCGACACCCACGACGATGCGGAAATGCTCGTGTCATGCGCATAGTCAATCAATCGCGCCATGCTTTCGCGCAGCGCCTGAAACCCCTCGAGTCCCACAAAATAGCGCGCATAGCTGGGATAGTGACTGCCGTGAGCGCTCGGGTACTTTTTCTTGTACGCGGAGGCAGCAGACGGCGACCGAGTGTCAATCACGCACGCTCGTTTGTGAGGGTTGGTGCGCAGAATGGCGTCCATCAACTTGTTGTCTGCTTGAACGGATGGTGTTCCTGGGGCCGGCATCGGTAGGCCAGTGCGTACAAGGACGGCCTAAGGTATGTGGGAGAGGTGGCAAACTCAGCGGATGGCCAAAACCAAGCCAACGCAAAACAAGCAAAACAAAACAAAACAAAACAAAACAAAACAAAAAAAAAAAAAAGCCCTGGATGTCGTCGTTACCTTTGTCGCAGGATGGTGGTAGGCGAGAACTGGAGCAGCATAGTCCAGGTGCGCTTTGAAGCTGTCGCCTAGAATCTTGTCATCAATGTCTGCAGGCACGCAGAGTAGTCGAGGATAGCCTTCGCAGCTCTAAAGATTGCAAAAGGAAAAAAAAAAAAAAACCAACAAAAAAAAAAAAGTGAGACCTCACCGGCTGCTCGTGCACCCGCGCTGGTGCCACCTGTTACCTTGTACAACGAATTGACGGACGAAAGGCGCCAGAGCGCAGAGGGAATGCCCATTCGCTGGTACTCCTCCTGCGGATTGTACAAGTTCCATCCGTTGAACTCGGGGAAGCTCGGGGGAGTCCGCGCGAACGGGAAGAGCTTGTCCACCGAGTCTGTGACGCGTGTTTGAGCACAAGGGAGAGGCGCAATTGGCAATTGGGGTGAGTTTCAGTGTGCGATGCATTGGAGATTGTTTGTTGGACTTTAGAAACAGAATTTTGGTACCTGGAAAGGCAGCGCGTGAAAGCCAGCTCGCGACAGCGTTGCAATCCGCTTCCGAGGTCATGCGCAAGACAACGTCGCGAAAGTCGGTGCATCGGATGACGAGCACAAGAGAGTCGCTGGCCGAACCAGCAGAACCAGAGCCGATTCCGGGTATGTTGGCGGCCGACCCAGGCGCTGACGACGCAGACCCACCGGACGCCGAGACCCCCGTGCTTGGCGACGACGACAATAACGACGATGACGGCGACAAGGACGACGACAGCGACGAGGAGGAGGAGGTTGCCGCCGAAGTGGACAGCAGGGCAGCTCCAGCAGAGCTGCCAAACAGCGCGCTCGCCGTCTTGCGCTGGACCTGGTTGACGTTCATCGCCGGGATCTGGCGCGGTGGCATGAATGCGAGTAAAATGAAGAACGTGAGTGAGTGAGTGCGTTGGCAGGGGGTGGTTGGAGCATCCCCACTTACAATGACATCCTCGGAAGCGGTCGTGTTGCGTCCGACAAAGACGAGGTGGTGCGCGTTGAGCGAGACGAGCCCAGGCACGCGCTGGTTGACCTTGCACAGATCAGCGGGGAATGTGCCAAACAGTTGCAGTTGCTGCTGCTGCTGCTGCTGCTGTGGTTGGGACATTGCAGCTTTGGGGGCAAAAAATGACTGAACAACCACTAACCACTGTGTGTGACTGAGTGAGTGAGTTGGAAACGTTCACACAAAGAGAAGACAGTAGATGCAGTGTTGTGAGTGCGATTGGATGAGCTTGAGGCGTGAGAGCGAGAGCACTTGGAGCAGAGTCGTGAGTTGTAGATCAGCGGCCAGCTCCGCATGTCCTGCATTGCTGCTACTGGTACAGGATCATCGATGACTTGTTGTTCTTGTTGTTTTTACTGCCTTGTCTGAGACACTCATTTTTTTTTTAACAATCTCGCTCTTTGTCTCTGAGATCCCAATGAAGCGGCGACACGACGACGGCAACGACGACCCCAGCCCGAGCTCGGCCTCATCGTCATCATCCTCGGCCGCCACTGGGAGCAATGATGCCCATCGTGCTGCGGCTGGGGCTGCGGCTGGGGCTGCGGCTGCGGCTGGAGCGATCGTCCTCAGCAAGAAGCCGCGCACAGATCTCGACTTGGCCGTCGTTCCTGCTGCGTCGGCGTCCTCCTCGGCGCTCATCCTCCACAGCCAGCATCCACAGCTGCAGCAGGTGACGACGATGCACGTCCTCATAAAGACGAAACCATCAACCTTCCCGCCCCCCCCCCTCTGTTCACTCTGCCTTAAACCGCTCACTTTCAGCCTCGCTCACTCTGATGCATGCATCGTTGCCTCCCCCGTGTGTGTGTGTGTCTTGCGTTTTCGCGCTTGGACAGAGACCGAGACTGTCAACATTGCTGGCCCCGATCGTGCTGCTGACGGGCCACAGTGCAGAAGTCACTGCAGCCAGGTTCAACCCGGCAGGAACAATCCTCGCTTCGGCGTCCCTGGACAAGTCCGTGCTGCTTTGGGACACTGCATCATGCAAGAACTTTGCAAACTTTTCTGGAAACCACACTGCGGGCATTCTTGATCTGCAGTGGACAAGCAACGGCGAGTACGTTTTCACCAGCCCCATTCTTTGCGATTGTGAATTTTGTATCACATCGTCTCACCTTGACTTGCTCGCGGTGTCTCTGTCTCGCGTGTAGACGCATCGTCACAGCTTCTATTGACAAGTCGGTAGGTATTTGGGATGCAGCTAACGGCGATCGGATTCGGCGCTACAAGGCACACCAAGGAATTGTGAATGCATGCGCAACAGCATTGAACAATCAGAATGCCATTGTCAGCGGTTCTGACGACCGGACAACAAGGGTAAGCGTGTGGCCGGCTTCTTTTGGTTGGGGATTGCGTTGTTGTGTGGACTTTTTGCACGAGATTGTTGTTGGACGCGACACTGACTACTTTTTGTTACTTTTTGTTCTGCATGCAGGTGTGGGATCCGCGAGTTCGAGCAGAAGTCCACTCGCTTGCCTGCTCGTATCCCGTCACTTCGGTAGCCGTGTCACACGGCGGCGACACTGTTTACGCCGGCGGTTTGGACAACGTAGTCAAGGTGTTTGACCTGCGAAAACCGAGCGAACCCGCGCTCGTCCTGGAAGGTCACGCAGACACAATCACGTCGCTCTCGCTCAGTCCCAATGGCAACTTTGTGTTGACAAACGCCATGGATAACACAGTACGCATCTGGGACGTTCGGCCATACTGCCCGAATGACCGTTGCAGCACCATCCTTACTGGCGCCCAGCACAGTTTTGAAAAGACTCTGCTCCGCGCAAACTGGTCGCCCGATGGCAACTTTGTCGCAGCCGGCTCTGCAGATCGCTTTGTCTATGTCTGGAATGCCAACACGCGTGCGCTGCTGTACCGCTTGCCTGGCCACTCGGGTTCGGTCAACGATGTGACCTTCCATCCAAAGGAACCGATTAGTACGTTGCTCTGACTGGCTTTTTTGGTGTTTTTTTTTTGTTTTTGGAACTGTTGCATGTGGTCGTGTTTGTGCGGAAGAACTCGTCTCCTCGCTCACTTTCACTTTTTTGTGTTCCTGTCGCAGTCGCTTCTGGAGCTTCAGACAAGAAGATTTACTTGGGCGAGCTGGATTTGTCTTAAAGCAAGTGGTTTTGCTTTTTTGAGTTTGCTCATTGTCTTCCGTTGTTTGCTTTCTGTTGCGTGCGTCTGTTGTTAACCCTCAAAGAATATCCCTCGATACATTGTGTCAGCTCGAACGAAATGGCAAAGAATGACTTGCATCAAACAAAACTGAAAGAACGGGTTTCACAGAAGGACCTTGTTATCAACAAACAGCAACAGCAACAACAGCAACAGCAACGACAACAACAACCACAAAGAAAAGAAAAAAAAAACCGGACAGTTTCAACGGAAACACACAAAATACACGGAAGTGACAATCGCCTTGCTATGCGAAATACCGAAGCAATCAACCCCCCCCCCCAACGGATTGGAAAAATTAATCGTCCCAGTCATCGTCACCATCATCATCGTCGTCGTCATCATCACTCTGCTCGAGCGCGATACGACGCATCAGAATGGCGGCGACGCTGTTGGTCGGCGCAGCAGCCGCGGGGGCAGCAGCCTTGGGCGCGGCTTCAACCTTGCGCAGCGCCATGCCACCCTTGATTTGAGAAAGCATGTCCGAACGGGGATCAAACACCTTGGACGGTGCAACAATGACATCGTCGCCCTTGCCAGCCGGCGGCATTGGTGGGGCCATCGGCGGGGCCTTGCCCATGGGCGGGAGCGGTGGTGCAGCGGGAGGAGCAAAAGCAGCCATTGGCGGTGGCGGAGGTGCCGTGGGCGGGGAAAAGGCGGGCGCAGAGAACGCTGCGTCCTCGGCAGTCGGAGGGGGCGCAATCGTACCGGGCAGCTCGAAGGACATGCCCATCGAGAGATCGCCTTCGTCGCCACCAGCCTGTTGGCTGTAGTCGTCGGCAAGATGCGAGTTGGACGCGGCCTTCTTGTAGCCGCCAAATCCGTCCAGATCGTCGTTCGCTGTCCAGGTGCTCGGCTCGTATGCAAATCCGGGGGCATCGCCTGCGCTGTTGCCGTAGTCGAATGCTGGCGCCGGCGGAATGTCGTCCAGGTCAGACGGCGGCGGGGGCGGAGGGGCCTCGTCCGAGCCAAACCCGTCGTCCATCGGGGGCGGGGGCGGAGGCACATCGTCCATCGGCGGCGGCGGTGGTGGCACGTCGTCCGTCGAGTCCTGCGGCATGGGCGGCGGAGGCGGGAGGAAGCCCGCATCTGCCGATGGCATCGATTTCGGCTTTGGCGGCGCCGAGCCGGCCGGGCGCGGAGGACCGTTGGTGGGAATCGGCGGTGCCGAGCCCTGAGGACGAGCAAACTGCTGCGGCTGTTGCGGAGCAGCAGGCGGAGCAGCCATGTTGGTGGTTGAGCCCGTGTTCTGCGGGATTTTGGGCTTTGGAGGAGGCGAGCTCGAGTTGGACAGAGGCTGGGGCGGCGCTTGAGGGGCGCCCTGCTGAGGCGGGGCCTCGAGCTCCTGGGGCTGTACACGTGCTTCCACAATGACGTTGCCTTGGCTGTCGTATTTCTTGACGGCAACCTCTGCCACCTTCTTGGGCCGGGCGCTCGACTTGTTGACGAGTGCCGAGACGCCGTCAGACTTTTTCTTCTTGCGGCCCTCGGCCAACTCTTTCTCTTCCTTTTCACGCTTGCGGACCCACTCGTGGAAGAAGAACTCGGGGTAAGAGTAGAGCTGAGAGAGAAAACGGAGGGAGACCGAACAAAACAAAGTGAGAACAACGAAAAACACAATTGCAATAAATCTCGAGCCGGGTGAGGTACCATCATGCAAGAGGGTTGGTCCTTGTCGCGGTGGCTGTCCATCAGATGAATCGGCGGAATGGAAGGAACGCTGTCGTACACGCGCTGGAGCGAGAGCGGCACGGACTGCTTGGTGAAGAGTTGCGAGTCTTCGACGCGCAGTTTCTTGGTCCACTTGACGCCTGTGAAGCAAATAAAAGAGTGATATCGTAAATGTGTTTGTTATTTCAAGTGAGATATGTTGTCCTGGTGGGGGGCTTCGTTCACATAAGCTGATCGATGTGGGCTGAATGAGCTTTCTGTGAAAAGTGCTTTTTGCTTACGGTGAGCGTTCCATTGGAACTTGTTAAGCCGAGCATCGCAGACTGCCTTGGTCTTTGGCAGGAGCCCCTCGAGGCGCTCGATGCGGGCAGTCAAGCGAGATGAGCGTTGAACAATGTCCGTGCTGGTCGCAGCGAGTTCTGTTGGTGAAGCAAAGGAAGGTAAAGGCAAAGCGAAGCGAGTTAGGAAGGAGGCGAGAACGAGAGACCGAGAGACCGCCCCCCCCACCGCCCCTGTGGACCGTCCGCCACCATCGACACGACGCACAAAAAGTCAAAGCAGAGTGGAAAGGAAACGAGCGAGGGAGTGGCAAGTTTGAGCGGCTGAGAAACGAAAGCAACCAGCCGTCAACAAAAAAAACAACAAAAAAAAGGAAAAAAATCAATGGATTCTGGCTGATCGCTGCGACTGATGCGCCCTCCCTCCCTCCCTCCCTCCCCCAAGGCGGGGTTTGCGAGTGACTGCCTCTAGTTCCACTCGAATTCACATGCGGGTCTGGCGGGCGACGACAAGCGAGTCGACGACGACAGCCAGAGCCAACGATCAGCTTTTTTTTTTTTTTTTTTTTTTTTTTGCCTTTAAAATCTTGAAGCTTTTTGTATGGAAGGACTACAATGGCAAGCGGAACAAGCGAAGCGCACCTTCGAAGAGCTCGGCGGCGTAGTTGGCGATGAGGCCGAGCTGGTGGATGGCGCTGCTGAGGTGGACGGCGGCGACCTGCTCAAAGCCGTTCGCAGGGTTGGGCTCGAGGCGAGCGAGCGTCGCTTTGCCAGCATCGCACTGATCGGCGACCTGACGGCGGACAAGTGGCATCGCACAAATAAGAGAATGAACAAAGAGCAGAAGAAGAGAAAAAGAAAAAAAGAAAATAGAGGAAAGGACTGCTTGATGGATGGAGGTTGCATTGTGCTTTTCTTGGCAGATTACCTGGAGAATCGTTGTCTGTTTGTCAACCAAAGGAAGGCTGATTAAACTGTACAGCGTTTATTGTGAAGGTCCATACATATTGAGAACGTGTACAAGACTGGACATACAAGCCACAGAACTGCGCTCTGAGCAAGGAGAGCGTACAAAAAGTGCACACATCTCATTGCTTGAGCGCATCGGAAATCAGCTTCTCCGAAACCTCCCAAAGCTTGGCAGCGGCTTCCGGGTCTGAAGCGTGTGGAGAAGGAACGCTGAGGTTGCAATCCTCAAAGTAGGCACCGCCGTGCTCCAGGACCTCGGGCGCAATGGCGCAGTACACGGTGGTCGAGGAGCACTGCTCGACGGTTTTGAAAATGCTGTGCAACGTGCCGTCCTCGTTCATCCATCCGTTGGCAATCATATACTCTCGCGAGATGTGGCGACCCAGGTTCGTCATTGCGCCACCCGGATGAAGGGAAACGGCAATCACGCCCTTCGGGCTGAGACGCTTGTTGAGCTCGAGTGCAAACAGGGCGTTCGCCGTCTTGGACTGCCCGTACGCTCGCCAAGCGTCGTAGGACTTTTCCCAGTTCACATCATCAAACATAATCGGGCTGAAGGCGTGGCCCATGGAGCTGAGAACCACCACTCGGGACGGCGCCGCGGCAATCAGGGCGGGCGTGAGCAGCTGCGTGAGGTAGAAATGTCCAATGTGGTTTGTGCCAAATTGCATTTCGAATCCGTCGGCGGTGGTCTCGCGGGTCGGAAGAGCCATCACACCGGCGTTGTTGATGAGGAGGTTGAGCGGGAGCTTCTTGGCGATGAATGCGTCGGCGAACTCCTTGATGCTCTTGAGCGAGGTCAGGTCGACGAGCATGGCTTCGATCTTGGTGTTTCCGGTGCTTTGTTGAATCTCTTGGGCGACCTTTTGGCCAGCCTCGAGGTTGCGAATAGCTGGAGGGAGCGAAAGTGAACAAAAATAGTAGTCAGCGTCAACTTTCAACTTTGAATCCAAATCACACCCACACGCAATCTCCCACACATACCGATAATGATATGAGCGCCCTTGAGAGCCAAAACACGCGCCGCCTCCTTGCCAAGACCGCTGCTGGCGCCGGTGATAATGGCGACGCGATCGCTCAAGTCGATTCCGAGCTCGGTGACGACTTCCTCGGCGGGGGTGCGATAGCCAAATCGGCCAATCGACTTGCCTTCATTCGTTGTGGTGGGGATGACGGGTTTAAAAGCTTCAGACATTGTTCGTTGTAGATGAGCGCGACAGTATGTAGTTTTGATTGTTGGAAAAAACAAAGAGTGAGGTTTCCAATCTGAAATTTCGACCTGCTTAAAAACGACGTGCGGAAATTTCGCGTTTCAAAGTTCCGCGCACTATTTCGAGCTCTCCCCCATACATGCACACACCACACACATGCACACACTTCTTCCCCCAACAAAAGCCATACCAATTCTGCGCATGTCAATTTTCCGCACGAGTCTGTCACCCCGCATCAGTCGGTTCCAGAGGAGTGAAAGTCAATTCTGTGGTGCTCGCTTCGACGTATTTGTTCAACACAACATGAACAACAACAACAACAACAACAACAACAACAACAACAACAACAACAACAACAACAACAACAAACCATAACCATACCAACACGAACTTGGACCTGTGGCTAGATGCTCAGTCAATCACAAACCCCTTCTTTTGTGTCAAGTCCACTTCCAAAATGACGTTCGAAGCCAACAACCCGGCGTCGGTTTCGCGCATCTTCAGCGCGTCGCGGTGGCGCTTGGACGGACGCACGGCGATCGTCACGGGTGGCTCGAAGGGAATCGGACGTGGCTGCGTGCTGGAGCTCCTTGCGCTCGGGGCACGCGTGCTGGTTGTCGCTCGCGGCGAGTCGAGTCTGAACGACCTCCGCTCAGAGCTCACGTCGAACGCCGCCATCACTTCAGCGGCGGCGGTGGGAGCCCACCAACAGTCGCCCGTCGTGGATCGCTTTGAAACGCTGAGTGCTGATCTGTCCACGGCAGAGGGCGTCGAGCGCGTCGTTGCACGCGCGCGCGAGCTGTTTGGTGGCAGTCTCGACATTCTGGTCAACAACGTCGGAACAAACGTTCGCAAGAAGGCGATCGAGTACACCGAGGCCGAGTATCACAAAGTCCTCAGCACAAATCTCGAGTCGACATTTATGCTGTCCGTCAAGCTGCACGATCTGCTCAGGCGCTCGGCCACTGGCGGAAGTGTGGTCTGCATTGGATCCGTTGCAGGGATCACTGCGATGCGCACGGGTGTACGTTCGTTCTGAACGCGCTGCGGCACTTTTACTGCTTGGGTGTGTAGCTGTCAATGCTGACTTGGTCATTTTTGCCAGGTGCCGTACGCGATGACGAAGGCTGCAATGATCCAGATGTGCAAAAATCTTGCCGGTGAATGGGCGGGTGACAACATTCGCGTCAACTGCGTGGCGCCGTGGTACATTCGCACGCCGTTGGTCGCTCCAGTCCTATCAAACGAGACGTTCATGAACGAAGGTCAGTTGGAGGTGCACAACGGATGTTGGTGGCTGTTTGTGCGTCTGGTTCAACTCTGACACACCATGATACGCACACACCCCGCTTGTTTGATCGACTGCGATAGTGATCGCCCGCACACCCATGAAACGAGTTGGAGAGATTGAGGAAATCTCGGGCGTTGTCGCCTTTTTGTGCATGACTCCTTCGTCCTTCGTGACTGGCCAAACCATGAGTGTCGACGGTGGCATGACGGTTTATACATTTTGACGCATGGAGCAGTGAAATTTAGAACGTAGCGCAAGAGTAAACAATGCAAAACAGCATCATCATCACGATCTCCATCATAACCCGTGTACTCAAATCAACATCGCTCAAACACCTTGTAAAGATCCGTTAGATTGGCAATCTGAAGAATAGTCCCGTCTGATGCAAACCCGGCAGGTGGATACATGGTACGGAAGGCAGGGAAGAGTACATGCTCCACGGTCCACTGCCATCTTGCGTGCGACATGGCAATGTCGCTGTTGCTGTGCAAATCCTCTGGGATTTCGTCCGCCAGCGGGTTTGCGGCGGGCTGTACGGCAAAGAGGGCAGCAATCAACCGCGCAACTCCTTCAAAGCAGGCCTCTTCCTCATCCCAGTTGACCTTCAAACAGACAAACAAACAGACAAACAAACAAACAAACCAACAACGACAACAACAACAACAACAACAACAACAACAACAACAACAACAACAACAACAACAACAACAACAACAACAACAACAACAACAACAACAACAACAACAACAACAAAATATGAAGCAGAACGATGAGCGCTCAAACGGGAGACTTTGAGGTTTGTTTTGACAAAAGCCCCCCCCCTTCCGTCGTACCTCCGTGGCCAGTCGCAAAAAGAACAATGGAATACGATCCAGCTCCGGGACAAAGTCGTCCAGCAATGCAGGAATGGTGACGAGTCGTCCTTCACCGTCCACCTGAATTGAAAAGTAATCTTGCAACATTTCGGCGCGCTCCGAGAAAAACGACACCATAAACTGGCAGACACCAACAAGAGAATAAGCGTGACAGCCGGAAGCAGCGCGACGGATGTGCAAGACTCAACTCACCGTTGCTAGCTCGTCCTTGTCGCCATCCTCGGGTGACCAGCCGCTCTCGGGATCGTCTAACGCCAGCATCAACACGTCGTATAGGAGTGGCGACGGATTGAGGCGAATTGTCCCAAAGTTTGAAAACTCTCGCAGCACAATCTGGTAGAAGAGATGCCAGCTGCAAAGCCCCCGACATGTGAGAGGAATTTGGGGATGCCCCAAAGAATCAAAGAATCAAAGAAGCGGGGCGTTCAACGCAACAACGGTAAACTCTCACCTGAGCTTGGCAACATTGACAAGATAAAGATTCGTCGAGTATTGCATCAGGGACAAAGTTGGCTTGACACAACCCACAAACGAGTGGCGTTGAAACATTTGCACAAGACCTGTCGAGCGTAGACAGGGTTCACTCAGCATCAACCAAACACACAAACACACATACACACACCGAAGAATCAAATTTGGCAGAGAAGGGTCACCTTCGGTCGACGTCTGCTCGACGTGGGATAGCAGGTTGCGAACACTGGTCAAGTGGACGGGGCGCCTCCGAATATTGAGCAGCTTTTTCTTCCTGTGCCAGCGTGTGTGTGTGTGTCAACAAGGTGGAGTCAGTACGCTCTCCCTGCATCAAATGCAAAACACACGCTGTACTGACGTTAGAGTTGTCACAGTGCCAGCAGCCGACTCTGCTGCAACTGGAGTCGAAGCTGCCGCTAACGACGAAGGCTCCACACTAGCAGCAGAAGAAGAGGTAATGGAGATGTGGTCGGAAGCAGAAGCAGAAGCAGCCACCTCTTCCTCCTCCGCATCTTCGGTGACAAGAGCATGATCTCCTTCAGGTTGAGCGATGGGCGCGAGAAAAGACTGGATAGACGGTTGCTGTCGAGCAGGAGCAGCCGCGGAGCTAGAAAAGAGCCCTGATGGAGCAGGTGCCGAAGAGGACGTTGTCCCCGCGGTCGATAATAAAGTCACTCGATTGGGTGGCATGCGCGGCGCTGGGGCCATGAACGCATCCAACGTCTGCATGCGATTGTCTGTGCGAACGAGTTGATGCGCGTATGAGCGAGCAGCGGCTGATGCCTGCGCACTACTACTACTGCTGCTGCCACTCGCGCCCGCAAGCAAACTCGACGCCGACGACGAGAGGGCATGCGACGAAGATGAGGACGAAGCCGCAGCCAGCGTCGCAGGGGCAATTGCTCCCGGTAGCAATGCCTGCGTGTAAAACGTGCGCGACGCGTTCGAGCCGAGCAGCTTGGCCTCAAGCATCTTCTGCACCGTCTCGACCACGACATCTTCGTGAAGAAAATGCACCTCCTTCTTGGTGGGGTGAATGTTCACGTCCACATTTTGCCCGGGCATCAGCAGTGACAGATAGACAAAAGGGAAGGTCTTTTTGGGCAGATACGCGGCGTACACGGTCTCGATTGCCTTGCGAATAGATGGACAGTCCACGAGGCGATCTACTCCAAAGGTTGTTGGCCCAAATCAAAACAGGTGTCAAGCGGTTGAAATCAGCGCTTGTGAGCTACTGTACAGTCGTCGCTCACTATTCATCGCTCACTATTCATAGGGCTTACGATTAATGAAAAATATAAAGGTGCCTCTCGGCATCGAGTAGTCTGCGTTGGAAACCAAACCCTTGACAACGAGATCGAGCTTTGGCTCGGTCCCGTCCAGTTCCAGCAGCTCCCGTGCAACCTGCGCACCGTAGATGGCACGCACAGCGTCGATTCGTGTGCCACCGGCAGCTGTTCGGACGTCTGCAGCAGTGGTTTCGCCATGCTTTTTGAGCGTAAAACTCACGCCAGAATTATGGATGGCGTATTTGCCAACAACATCAACTATTTTGGCGTGCTCTTCTGCGGGACTCTTGAGTGCTTTTCGGCGAGTGCTGATGTTGTAAAACAGGTCTTCCACCTGGAATGTGTAGAGTATGCAGCACAACCCCCCCCCCAAACACGCAAAGCAGTGAAGAACGGGTAAGTATCCTGGTCGCGAGTGCGCAAATTGTCGGCTCTGGCGTCTCTGTGTGTGATGTGTGTGATGTGTGTGTACCGTTATGATTGTTCCCTTGTTGCCAGCACATGGCCTTGGTCGCGCGTTCGTGTCTGAAGCAGTTGGTGGAACGAGCTTTTCGTCAGCGTAATGTGCCCTGTCCAAGCGCAACGAAAGATGAGTACATCCAATCGAGACTTCTACTGCCCTTGAAAATAAAGCACGACCGCAACTCTGCGCACTTACTTGTATGCACACTTGGCATCGGCCGTCTTGCTGATGATGGAGACATGCGCGACACGCGTCACACTAGCAAGAGCCTCGCCACGGAAACCGAACGTGGCAATCGACTTTAAATCGTCAAATCTCTCGAGCTTGGAGGTTGTGTGGCGCTCGCACACGAGATCGAGGTCGTCGAGCTGTCGCAGTGATTATCAGCGACCCGCCAACAAACACACACACACACACACACACACGCTCCTCATCGCTCCCCATCTGCATACATGAATGCCTGAGCCATTGTCTGCAATTTGCATCAACTTCATTCCGCCAGCCTTGACACTCATGACGATCGAGGTGGCGCCCGCGTCCAGCGAGTTTTCCATGAGCTCTTTCAGCGCGTTGAAAGGGCGCTGAATGACCTGCGTTTTGCCCCCCCCCCCAAAAAAAAAAAGCAAAGAGATCAAAATCAAAAATCCGACATGCATCCAACAACATGAGTAAGGTGGCAGCAACCAACAAGAAAAATCAGCGAGACACAGCAAGTCCAGTTGCGAGCAAAAAATCAACGCTGGTTTCATGTTGTCAAGTTTTCCCGCCAAAAAAAAAAACCAACTTCGGTGACTGTTCCACTCTGTCTCTCTCTCCCCGAGTTCGGATCAAGGGATGCGGGGTCTGGTCCGCCCAACCACCATAGTGCATCAACCGACCCGTCCACATCGCTACTGCAAGCCGGGATGAGCTTGCTTTGCTGGGGCCCCGGTTCCTCCTCGTGAGCGAGCGAGAGAAAGAGAAGCAGGGCTGCGCGCTTGCAAAAAAACCACCCCGCGGCTATCACTACTTGCCTCTCCTGCAGCAATCCGATTCACAACGCCGGGATCGAGCATGCGGATGCGTCGCGCGGGGGAGGGCGTTGGCGGTGCGGCGACGGACGCAGCTGGCAGTGGATGCTGCTGCTGGTCGCCTGTTTCAGCCAGCTCCATTTTTGCCTTCTCTCTCTCTCTCTCTCTCTGTTTGAGTCTTGACTGAGCGAAGAAAAAAAAAGATGGAGTGAGCAAGCGCATGCTTGGATTATACTACTCTGATCTCGATTTGGCTCAATGCACCAATGAGAGTTCCACAAGAGCTGCAGTACATGTTCTGTACAAAACACTTTGCACACGAAACAAAAAAATGTAGCAAAGACAACCAACACTAGTATGAACAACACGCATATGGAAACACTCTCACGCAACAAGCTCAATCTCGCTCTCGAGGTAGACATTGTCCTTGAGACCCACAACCGTCGGGACCTCGGACGAAAAGTCCTTGGGAGTGTACAAGACCCACCCGTTGGTCTTGGTCATCACCAGCAGATTCAGCTCGTACAGCACATAGGCCAGGAACGAGGAACAAAAGAACATGTCGGTGCGGCGCGTGTTGCCATAGTGCAGCTTGAGCTCGGCGCGGATAAAGTCCATTGGATCGGTGTCGTACGGTTTGTTGTAGACGACTTGGTGGATGAGCGCAAGGCTGCGGTTCATCTCGTCGCGATGAACCGAGCCGTACGACTGGCGCGTCGCAGAGTCCATGAGTCGCCGCACGTAGATGCGTCCAGTGTAGCTGCGAACATAGTCGGCAGTGAACGGCACGATCGACACGCCAAACTTGATCTTGTGGTCCTCAACGTCGGCTTCCGTGTCCCAGCCACTCTCAAACATGAGGATCGAGCCAGCAGCAGGCTGGTCGAGAGCGAGAAAGTGCGGCGGCGTCAAAACCATGCCCACATGCGAGAACTGGCTCCAGCTACCAAGTTCGATGGTTTCCGAAAAGATCGACTGAGCGCCATGGAAGAGGATGATATCGCCGGTGGCAAGGAAGGGCGCCGCCTCCGCAAAGGGCACGGGAATGGATTTGGCAAGCGGAACGGACGGAAGGGATGGGGCGGCGGTGGAAGTAAGCAAGACGGCAGCAGCAGCGGAGCGCAGGCATCGTTTGGCTGCCAGGTCTGCAGCCACAGGTTGAGTTTCGGGGGTCTTGCGCGGCACAAGAGTCAACGACGGTGTGAGACCAAGATAGGGAGCGTTTGTGTGAACCACCGCCTTCGTGATGGCAGTGGAGCCATCGTTTTCAAAAGAGGTGCTCGACTCTATGACGCGAGTGTCTGTAGCAGCAAAGTCCACAGCATTGCCCTTGGAGTCGTATGCGCTGAGACTGCGCGAAAGCTCAGCAGGAAGCGCCTGAGCCCGCACAGCAGTGGCAGAGTTGTTTTTGGCAGCAGGTCTGCTTGCCAAGGCGAATAATGCTCCGATGGCAGAGGAAATGGCCGAGAAAGGCTGTTTGTGTGGGGCAGAAAAAGGACATGGGTGTCAGCCAACAACATGCAGCCAAAAACATGTACAGCCAAAACACACAAAAAGTTGGAGGGACAAAAGACCTAGAGTCAAAAAAAGTACGTGTGTCGCTTACCGCAGTAATTATTTCCCAGGAATAGGAAAGCACATGGGTCGATGAATGAGCTGCTGGTGGAGCAGCAGCGCCAGCGCCAGCGCTAGCGCTAGCAGTGCCCGCGGCTGGCGTCAGTTTTAGCGGCAACGGATGCTCACGGTGCACTTCCACACGCGACAGGCCCGCACTGGTTTCGCTGGCCGCGTCCTCTGTGACAGAGGAGACAATGGATAGAATGGTAATGTGACGCGTGGTGCGCTCAGCAGGAGGAGCATCGGTTGCTGGTGTGGTCGCTGTCGCCGAGACTGATGACGCAGGTTCCGGTTTCCCCGACGCCACTCCGCCCGACAAAGCCAACGCCGTCGATTGCGCACTTTCGCCAGATGACTTGGGCGGCATGATAGCTGCTTCAGGCACTGGTGAAACAGGCAGCGGGTGGACAGAGGAAGCACCGACCACGTCACTGTCGGAAGCGCTGCGGTGGCGGCTGTGAGTACTTGTCGTCGTCTGGTTGTCGCCCGCCTGCGCAGCGTCGGCAGCACCGTCATTGGAGGACCGTGCAAGGAGCGACTCGACTTGAGCGAGCTCGGCCACACTGCCCGTGGGGCCTTGGCCCACCAGCGTCCAGTCGGCAGCAGACCGAGATTCCATGATTGTAAAATTTGCCGAAAACAAACAAAAAAAAATTATTGGGACTGTGAATAAATCTGTAAAACAGGCACAGCATGAAATTTTGGCTGTTTCACGCGAATGGTGAGGTGAGGAGTAGTAAACCGAAACAAGAGATGTATTGCTGTCATATCTGAACTTCGAGACAACCTCAGAAAAGACTCACGAGAAAGACCACCGATTAAAGCGAACGAAGACCAAAACATAGCAGAACAAAGACCAACGATCTAACAGAAAACACAAAACCACACTTCACCGACAAGAACAGCAACTACCGGATCACCATGTTCCTCGCTCACTTGGCCTGGCTGTTCTTGCGGTTCATGCGGTGGCGGCAATGATCCACCCACGTCAGGATGGCAGTCATGATGAACACCTTCACCGTGGACGAGATCAGGACTGACTGAATGATGGACACACACGCAGAGATAAACCACATGCGGTAGACGTCGTCGTCGTCAAAGGTTTCACTGAACGCCCAGAAAACAGTCAAAAAGATGCCAGTCGCGCTGAAGACAAAGCACAAGAAATAGGCCACATATTGCCAGGCGTGGGGAATACGCCACGCGCTCCAACGGTCGGCGAGAGAGCGTTTGCGAGGCTTGGAAGCGGGCTTTTCGTCGTAGCCAAAGTTGCCCACCGAGGAGATCGAGGAGAGCTCCATGGCGCTCTCCAGGTTGGCCATCGTTGTGCGCACCTGGGTCGGGTATCGGAACGAGTGGCGGAAGAGCTCAATGATCAAGGTCGAGAGAGGGAAGATGATGAACGTCGAGATGATGCCGTTCACAATGCTGATGGCAAGCGACTCGGTTTCAAAGCTCATCTGGTTGTAAATGAGCGTGTTGAGGCCCATGCACATCAGCAAGGTCGTTGTGCCAACAGTGGCACGCGCCACATGCGAAAAGTTTCGATCCAGATGCCTCTTGACAAAGATGGAGAGATAGATGTGGCGATTCTTCATGTTGAGCACCAGCCGCTCTTTGAAAGGCATGATTGGCGTCTTGTCATCCTTGCCACCGGAAGAAATGTTCAAAATCTCGGCCACAGCATCGTCTTGCGCAAATTCCTTGTCGAGCACACTACCGAGCTTGGACGACGCGTCCAACAGATCGCGCTTGACGCGACGGTCATTCCGAATGGCAAACGGCAGCAGAATGAACAGGTAGACAAAGACAATTGCGGCCAAGAAGACTACCAGCCACGGGCGCTCGGCAATACGGTCGCTCAGGTGCCGAGCAACATCGTCAAAGTCGATCGGATTGATTTCGAAAATGGCAAACGCAGTCAAATGCGTGCAATTGCACAGAAGGGAATCGGTACCGTTCGAGACAACCGAGCAGCCCTTGTGCGAAAACTTGCCCGTGGTTTCGTTGCGGAACATGCACACAAGCGTATTGTTGGGATTGACCAGAGGACGGAGGACGGGGATTCCAATCAGAATCGGATTGTTCGGATCCAGATTGCCCACAGAAATCTCATTGCCATCGGCGTCAGTGAGGCGCAGCGAGAAGGTGTCTGAGGCTTGCTCGTTGGTCGCATTGTCGTAAGCGAACGGGTTGTTCAAGTGGTGGACGTACTCGACACCAACCACAGGGGCTGAGCCTGCAGCGTACGAAGGCACGGTAAAGTTGGCGCCGGCATTTCGAGAAATGGGCGATGCGCCAAGGTTGTTTGAGTCGCGGTTTTCGTTGCGAATGACGATATCGTGGGTCTCGATCACGTCAACATCGCCAGGAGCACGATTGGCACGGGCAGCCGAGCCAAGACGTTGCAGCACATCGAACGCCAGCGCCGAGAATTCGCGCGACGCAGGGGAATTGTTGCCCGTTTGCAGCAACGGAATGGCGCGCAGCAGCGAGCCGAGCGTCGCAGCCAAGTTGACTTTTGCGGCCTCCTCGATACCAACCGTGCGCAACAGACCCGCAACAATACGAAGGGCTCCGAGAGCGGTGCCCAGACCCTCTGTAGTGAGCTCGTTCGGGAAGCGCGTCAGCTCAAAGAACAAACCGAGAGTGTCGGTCAAATCTTGCGGCGTGACGGCATCCGCAGTCTCCGCTTGGGTGGCATCGACGATAGCCACAGCACCAGTGATCAGCTGCGAGCGAATCTCTCGGCGACTGCTCGTGTCCGCGCCAGTACCAGCATCGGCGATGGCGTTGACAAGCGTCGATGCAAGGGCAATACCCGAGCGCGACTGATCCGAGTTGAAAACACTCTGGGCTTGATTCAAGACAACCTCACGCGCGGCCGAATCCGTGTTCAGATTGCCGGGAGGAGTGACGGTGAAGACCAGAGTCTGGGAGAACTGGCCACCGAACGGCGAGGATGAGCGGATGGTCACCAGCATGGTGCCCGGCGGCAACGAGTCAATGTAGAAGAGTCCGGCTTGCGCAGACGCCTTTGGGAAGAAGGAAGTGCCATCCGATGTGCCGCTGGAAGACTGGGGCCGTGAGAAGAACAGGCGACCCATGTCCGTCACGCTTGGCGGGCATTGCAACGAAAACACGTCCTGCATGAAGATGCCAGAGTCGCTTCCATCAATGATGCAGCTAGCGTCGCTGCGGGGGGCTCGAACAAGGAAGTCGATGGACTTGTTCAGAGTAGACGAGACATTCGATGTAGACGTGTAGAATGTGGCAGTCACAGTCGCCGTGAGCACGGTCGCAACGGGCAGCTGGCTTGCTTCAAGTTGCAGTGAGGCGAGCGTCGAGAGGGAAGCATTGAATCCAGTGACAGACCAGGACGTCGTAACGCCATGAATGCAAAAGCCAGACCCAGTGCCGCCACAGACATTCGCTCCGCCAATGATGGATGAAAGCTCAAGGCGATCAGCTGCCTCCAGGTAAACGACAGCATTGGGGTAGTCGAGCCAGTTCTCTGCAAAGTTGAGGAAGGTGGAATTTGAGCCAACAGGCATCGTCACAAAGTACGGGTTGCTGACAGTCACACTCGAGCCGCGTGTAGTGCGGAACCGCAAGACATAGGCCTGGCCAGCAACAAAAGTGCCGCGAATGACAGCGCTCAAGGTCTGATTGGACGCGTCGGACAGAATAAAGGGTCGAACCGAGGATGTCACTCGGGCGGTGGGATTGCTGGAAGGCGCGACCTCGGCACTGTACGAGAAGGGAGCGAGGTTGCCGTCCTTGAGTCGAGACCAGCGAACCGAGACAAACCCGGGGCCAGGGCTAACCTCAAAGTTGTCGCTCGCAGTGGCTGCCCCGCATCCCAGCGCAGCAAATTGGGATTGGGTGGTTGACGCAGCATTGGCCCACCAGGTGTACGAATCCGGGTCCTCGGTCTGGCACGCGTCCAGCGTGCTGTAGGCTTGAACGACAACATTGTCCAGGAATGGCTTGCAAGTCTGGCAGACGGAGATGGAGGAGAAGACGCAGCTGGTGCGCATGCGAAGCACATAATCAGCAACGATTTGCCCGCAAATGGTATTCAAGTTGAGGCCAGGGAACTCGATAGCAGCGTTCGGGAAGTTGGTAATGTTGACCGCCGAGGAGGAGCCACGATCAATTGGAGCACACTGACCCAACGTTCGAGTGCAAGTGTCGCCCAGCGTGCCACAGCGATAGCCGCCGGCGCACAGACTGCCAGTGGGACATTTCGAGCCCGAAGGCACACAGACGCCGTTGCCACAGTCGAGTTGGCCTGCACATTGAGTGCCGACCGGGCAGACGAATGCAGTATCGTAGCACCCAGAAGTCATTGTGGTCGCAAGTGGGCAGGTCGTCATGTTGGAGACGCAGAGAGACCGGTCAGTGTTGCAACGGAGCGGAGTGGTCGAGTTGCAGCAGCCAGCAGCGGTGGCGTTGTTCTGGCAGAACGTGGTGATAGCTTGCGTGCATTCCGACGACAAGGCCGTTCCAGAGGGGAAGTTGCAGCGTTGGCTCATAAAGTTGCAGAGTGTGGCATTCTGGAACGGGCAAGCGTAGCCGCAAAAGTGCTGGCTGTTGCCATTGCAAGTGAAGGGACCGGTGGGGATGGTTTCGTTTCCAGAGCTGCCAGTCGGGGAGCTCGACACGGAAGGGCTGTACGAGGCTGTAGTCGTGAGAGTTTTGGAGCTGGGAGTGACGGAGCTGGGAGTGACCGAGCTGGGAGTGACCGTTGAGTTTGCTTCTGCCGTAGCAGTGACCGTAGAGTTTGCTTCTGCCGTGGAGCTAGCAGCCGTGGAGCTAGCACTGACCGTAGAGTTCGCATCGTCCGCAGCGGAGCTCGATGCCGTAAATTCCGAAGCAAGGGATGCTGAAGATGCCGAAGCGATCGATGCGGCAGCTGCCGAGGCAACTGATGCTGAAGTCGCCAAATGACCGCTTGCAATCGACGCGGACGTGGCCAAATAACCGCTTGCGATCGATGCGGACGTGGCCAAATTACGGCTCGCAACCGATGCTGAAGAGGCCGAAGCACGCGATGCTGAAGTTTGGTTTGAGACGAATGTCGGGCTTGGAATAACTGTCGAGCTCGCAACGGGCGAGGAGCTCTCAATGGGCGAGGAGCTCTCAATGGGCTGTGAGCTATCTGTCAAGCTCACTTCGATGGAGGTGCTCACTTCGGCAGAGGGGGTGACCGAGGCGATGCTTGGCGAAATGCTGGCCAATGCGATTGGGGATGCCAGGGCCACAAGCACGAGCACCAGCAAGCCAAGTTGCGAGTATCTCATCTGCCAAACAATGTCAGGAATAGCGGAGGAGAGCAAAAACACAAGGTCAGAAGGAGAGCAAAAACACAAGGTCAAAGGAGAGCAAAAAAGAAAAACACATGGCAAAGCGATAGAGTTGGGGAAGGTGTGCCCATTGGCTCTGCCACGAAAATAAAAACCGGAGACGCGAATGCCGTTTTCTCGATGAGCGCATGCAAGGTGCTCGGCGCACCCAAGCTTCAAACGTTGAAGGAGATTATTTATTGGCTGTTTTGTTTTTTGGTTTTGACTTTCTTTTGTTTGTTGTCTTGGCTTTTTTTTTCTTTTTTTTTTACTTTCTTCTTTTTTTTGTGTGTGTGTGTGATTTTGGGGGATTTTTTTTCTCAAATTAAAGTTAAAAAAAAATTCAAGAAAACAAAGCGATCGTTCAAGGGGGCGACTTGTTTTCCCGCTGGGGCACCGATGAACGAACGGAGAGTGTGCAAGGCGTATTGTGTGCATGGCAGTCAGGTGCGAGGAAGGAAACGCGGCAGATCTGCCATCGAGATTTCGGCCCAAAAACCTTGAAAAATACAATAAAACCAAGACACCTGACAACGCTTTCCCCCACCCCAACAACACGCATCCAAGCAGGAGGAGAGCTGTGCTGTGTCCGCTCTGTCACACACCACACACTACACTGTTGCATCAGTCATGTGGCAGCCGTCGCCATGAGCCGCAGTCGGGCAACAGCACAAACAGTTTAAAAATACACTCTCAAAAAAAGGCCAAATATAAGATTTAAGACGGACGTGATCATGCTGCCCCCGAGTCACAATTCGCGTCAAGAGACAACCTCCTGCAGCACAAAAAACCACCCCCCCCACAGAGCTGATAGATCGAAGGGATGCTGAGGATGGGCGAGGACACACACGCGGAGAACACATGCACGAGAGGCTTTCAAAAAACACAAAAATGCGTTCAGAAAGCGAAAAACGTCACACGTTCAGCCGTTTTTTTGTTTTTTCCTTAATGAGGATGTTGTTGCCCTCAGAAAGCATGGTGGCAAAAAAGCAAGGCTTGGCTACCTCCGTCGTGCTTTTGAAAACGAGAACAGGTGGCTCATGGCTTCTGTGACGATAGGGGGATGGGTGAAGGGAGGGGGACGATAGACGGACGGTTGAAAATGAAGGATCTTAGAAACTGGCTGATGGTGGTAAACGTACAGCTGAAAAGGAAGGAAGGAAGGAAAAAGAAGAGATCACAGAAAAGAAGGGGAAAAAATGACTGCCAAAAAATAAAACGAAAGCGAAAAAGACACGAATGGAAAAACTTCGAAACGCAGAAAAACGAAAAAAAAAAAACAAAAAAAACTTCACCCCTTCTCGCACTCTTCGTCCGCCTTTTCCCCTCCTTTTCGACCTCCTCCTCCTCCACCACCATCCGACTTCAATCCGCTGCTGGTAAGCGCATCCTTGGGGGTATTGAGGCTGCTGGACGCGTTGTGTTTTGCTGTAGCCAAGGTCAAGCTGTGTCAGCCTGCTTTTTGACTCCGAACAGGTAAACAACCAACAAACCATCACAAAGTCCACAGCCAGTTGTGCTGTACAATGCTGTACTGTGCAGAGCTGTGCAAAGCTGTACACAAGAGTAGTTGCTGCTCAGGTTTATTTGGCACGAGAAACAGCCAAAAAAGAAACACCAAAATGACATTGATGTTTTTTTTTTTTTTTTTTTTTTTGTTTGGACGCTTGACGTTACGCGCTTATTCTCAGCGCTCAGACCACATTTATAAACGCTGCCGTTTCGGGAACATTGTGTGTTTAGTCTCATTTTTCTTTGTGTTCATTTTGCTTTGCGCTCTTTTCTTTTTGACTTTTTTGTTTCTCAGAAGCATTTTCAGCCTTCTTTGCTTTCCATTCACCACATCAGCTTTTCTCTCCCTCCGCTCTTCCCCCCCCCCTTTTTTTGACCCTTCGGATCGAGCAAGTCGGCGAAGGGCAGTGCACTACACCATTCGAATTAGCAAACGAAAAAGCAAACAACCTTCCTAGCGCGCTTCAGCGTACAAACACAAAGCAATGGTTGCAATTGCTGGCGCGCACTTGTCACCTCTCGCGTCATCGGCAACGTCTGTCGCACCCACGACTTCCACCAGCATCAGCAGCAACAATTCAACCAGCACCCCAAAGCGTTCAGCGATGGCCAATGCGGGCCGAAACAACACGCACAACAACAGCAGCGGCAAGAAGCACGGAGAAAAGCCTGCAAGCAAGCGCAGCAACGCGAACGTCACCCCGAGCATCGCAGCCATCAACACCCATCCTGCGTCCGCACCACCAGCATCGGCGCTGGCTGCGTCGCCATTGTGCGATCTGACAGCGAGCGAGCAAGCAACGGCGGCGGCGGCGGCGGGAGGTGGTTTTGCGTCGGCTTCGGCCGGTGCGGTTTCGGAGGCTGGGAAAGAAAGCCAATCGGCGACGCTGGCTCCGAGCAGCGTTCCACGCGTGGCTGCGACCCTGTCGCCTGCGCACTCGGACGCCAGCGACGATGACGACGATACGTCCAACGCAGCATGCGGATCTGTGGCCAAGGTGGCTGCGATCTCGCCTGCGGCAGCTTCGACTGGCTCGTCCAACCAACAAATAGCGGTCACCATTTTCACGCCGCCATCGCCGCCAAACTCGCCGCGTCGCAGCAGCAGCAGCACCAGCAGCACCAGCATCCGCCAACGCGCCATGCTCACGCAAACCTCCGCTCCGGCTGGGGTGGATGGTGCGCTTGTTCACGATGCAACCTCTGCTGCATCCGCATGTTCCTCCGCTGCTGCTGCTACTGCGGAACAAAGTGCGGAAAATCGTCGCCATCATGCGTCCCATCCTCCGTCCTTTGCGTTCGCACTTCCGCTTCCCTCCTCCTCTTCGCCCTCTTTTCCCTCTGCCTCTGCCTCTGCCTCTGCCTCTGTGCCGTTGACTCTGAGTATTAATTCCAACACAGCTGCGGCAATGGCGAAGGGCGGTGGAGCGAATGTCCCATTCAGTCCGTTTTCGGATGCAACCACAACGAAAATCACGTCGCAAAGTTTCGACGCTTTGCTTGGCATCCCGACCAGCACTTCTTCTTCTGTTTCTTTGTCTTCGCCCTCATTGTCGCTGCAGCAGCATCAGACATATCAGCAATTTTATCAGACATATCAGCAACAGCAGCAACTCCCTTTGTGGCAATCCCAACCGCAACAGCAGCAGCAGCAGCAACAGCAATGGCAACAGTCAGCCGATGCAAAGCAAACCGAGCCGTCGCTCAAAGTTTCCCCAAGCCAAGAATTCGCCGCTTTTTCAGCTCAATCCTCTTTTTCTCCTGTCACTCGCTCTTCCTCTTCTTCCTCTTCTTCTCTGTGTTCTTCTTCTTCTTCTTCGTCCTGTGCTGCTTTGCCTGGGTTGCCGGCATTGTCTGATTCCGCCTCAGCCTCATCCTTGTTGCAATCGCATCGCAAATCCGTCTCCTTGTCGCCCTCCTCTTCTTCTTCTTCTTTCCCACCAGCCCCCATTTCTTCCGCTGCTTGCACCGCTCTTCCCTCTTCGTCTGGCTTGAACGCACCCATGGCGATGACATCCAATCCCTATCAGCACCAGCCTTTCGCTTCGACCTCGGCTTACGTGGGCGGCTCCGCGTCTGGCGCCACGATGACCTCGGCAGACCAGTGGGACAGCTCGTTTCCCATCTTTGCGCGCGCCACCTTGCTCGACTCCAATTTCGTCCCGCAAAAAACCAACATTTTCCTGGACGACGACGACGATGATGATGACGATGGGCCTTCGTCGGGGCTGAACAGCAGCAGAAGCAGCAGCGACGAGCATCTCGATGACGAAGCGCTGCTGATTTCGGCTTCTTCGCCGCCTCGGCAACTCCACTTTGACCCGTTCGCCCTCTCGTCGACATGGAGCACCGGCGCCCCCGCTAATATCGCAGCATCCCTCGCAGCGCGCATCCAACCCAACTCCAACCCTGGCAGCAGCAGCAGCAGTAGTGGCTGGGCGAGCCCAACAACAGCGCTCGATTCTGCCCTGTGGCACGCGACCACGACCACGGCCCAACAACGCCTTGCTGGCAGCCTGTTCCCGCAGCACCAGCCACCTCAGCAGTCCTTCTACACCCAGCAGCAGCAGCAGCATATTGGACTGGTTCAGCACCAGCAGCAGCAGCAGCTCCTTCTCCAGCAACAACAGCTGCTGCAGTTGCAGCAATTGCAGCAGCAACAACAAGCCGCGATTGCACGAATTGCGCCTGTTCACCGACCGCAGCGCGCGCAAGCAAAGCAGCAGCAGCCTCAGGCGCAACTGCAGCAACAGCAACTGCAACAGCAACATCAATACATCCAAGCCTTCCAGCCGCAGCAACAGCAGCAACATGTGGCGTCGCTTCTCGCACCGCTCGTCCAACAGCCTCCTCCTCCGCAGTCTCAGCCACACCGCCACGCACACCCCGCCGCCTCCGCTGGCGCCATGGGGGGTGTCGGGACGCCTCGTTGGGTCAAGCGCAACATGCATGCTCCGGATGTCAACCCCCGCGCCCGTCACGAGGCTGGCAACTGCAAGGTGTGCAAGTTCTGGCTTCAGGGCGACTGTCTGTCCCACCCGTGCACGTACTGCCACGACCCGTCGCACCTGGTTGAAAACGGCGGCGCACACACCCGTGCTCGCAGCAGCAGCAGCAGCAGCAGTGCCCAAGTTACCAACAGCAACAGCAACGGCAACATCGGCAGCAGTGGCAGCGGTACTGCGTCGCCCGTCATGTCCAATCTGGCAGACCACCACCACCACCACCACTCTCCCTCTGCTCTGGACTTGTTTGATGCCACTGCTGTCGAGTCTCCTGTGCTCTCTACCAGCTACGATGACTGTGGACAGATGATGCGGTGCACTCGATGCAAAACCCGCCCGGTCCAGTACTTGCTCCGATGCGGCCATTCTGGCTGCGGCAACTGCCTCATGCCGTCTGGCCCTGCGCCCTTTGCCCATCTCTCATGCTTTACCTGCAACAAAACCTTTCCAAAGCAAAGCGCTTCGCGTCTTGTGAGTATGTAACTGGGTCGGTTTTAAAATGTTTCCTCTTTTTTTTTTTTCTTTTTCTTTTCCCCCTTCTTCTCCTTTCCTGATCTCTGCTGCTAGGTGTTCGCACCACCTACATGCGCTTCTGTCAATTCCTTCATCAGTCTCTGTCTCTTTTGCGCTTTTGCTCGCTCGCCGTGCAACCTTCTCGTAATTAATACAGTTATGAAACATGAGATTTTAAATAGTCAACATTCATAATAATAAATAAAATCATCAGTCTCGGCGCGACAGCATCGTCACACTCGGCTCGGGCTCGCGGGGGAAAATCACACCACTTCGGATCCTCCCCCCGTTACCCCGTGTACGGGAAATATAATTGTGTTGCTGATCCTTGAGCAAAAACAAGCACTGTGGCGAGATGGAGACCGTGTGGCACCAACGGCGATTTTATTCAAAGTCAGGCGATTCATGCGACGAGATCTGTTGTGCGTGTGTGTGTGTCCCACTTGACCATTTTTGCAGATGGATGGCCAAGCACAATTTATTACATATGCAACGGATCTGTAGCGTTCGGTTTGTGCGATGGCAGGCGTCAGATTGGCACTGTTTCGGAAAAATGAAAACCAGCAACTGAAAAAACGAAAACATTGCCGAACGAACGTGAAAATTGTTCAAAGTGCTTCAATCCGAACATGTCGTGCACCACAGCAATCAACTATCAGCAACACACACACGATTATCCGTACAACGAGCGCCAGAGTCTCACACGTCCAGCCGGCAAAAAGTAAGCGGGCGGTTTTTGTTTCATGAAGATTCGGCGTTTTCAAAGTGGATTCGAAGCACTCATTCTGTGAGATCTATAGTCCACCCACAACCACACACAATATCAGCCGCTCAGAAAACCAACCCCATTTACCAAACGCAAATCATACCAGCTTCAGTCAATTTTCTATTGGCGTCCCTCAAATCAATGTCTGAACACTCGTCGCTCAGCGCCGAGTCCCGCGGAAGCCCGAACCTGTCCAACCAAGGGCGATTCGACCCGCTGTCGTTTACGCTTTCGTCCAGCGACATGAGTGAAGGCAACACGCACGGCACTGGAGTTGGCGGCGCCAGTCAGGAGCAGCCGTATCCGAACGCCTCACGCTCGGCCGGCCACCTGCAGCACCACTCGGGCCCAGCAGGAGCATACACACACGCTGAGCTGGATGGCGGCGACCGACACCCCGCAGTGTTCAGTCGGAGCGCAAGTGCAGCCGAGATGGACCAGTACGCCAGATTGGCCGAAGCGCAGGAAGACGCCGCAGACAGCATGATGGGCAGCGGCGTCACAATGCTGGCTGCTGGTGGTGCTGCCGGCGGGCTTCCTGGTCAACTCAGTGGACGGTTTCGCGGTGAGTTAGGGCCGAGCACAGCCACACTCGCAATTGGATTGGGATTTGGAACACAACAGTTTGCCGATTCCAGTTGGAATCAGACAAATCGCTCCAACCGGTTCCCCAAGGCTAACATGGCTGTGGTGTCTTGTTTTTTTTTTTTTGTTTTTTTAAATTCTGATTCGGGTGGCAGGACCAACGGACGAAGAGCGAATGGCTGCACCGCGCGTCGCGCGAATGACAGTCGGTAGCATGTTTGGAGCAGTTGTGCTCTCGCTCTGGGATCACATCATGGGCCCGCGAACCCTGAAGGTACTCCACGAGGCTGCGTGCCCCTCTATTGCGATGCAGATGCGCGCGTGCCATGGCCGATTGCAACAATCCGCCGTTCTGCACTCATGAGTTATGCTTTTTGTTGCTTTGGTTTCAACTCACCGTTCCTCGTTGCTCTCTCGTCAGGTCTGGCAAGGAGACACTGTCCCCGAAGAAATCACCACATACGTTACCAAGCACACGCTGAACGGCGAGATCTGCCGCCCAGAAACGGACACCACGATCGAACCAAAGTTCTACATGTTGCCAGAAATCGGTACCTCCTTCTTCCATATTGGATTGTTCTGCGAGAATCCATTCACTCACTCGTACGTGTGCTGTGTGTGTGTGCGTGTGTACGTGTGTGTGCGTGTGCACGTTGCCATCGTGAAAAGGATATGCCATCTCGTCGTTTGTCTTTACAGCCAATTTGTCGAACGATCTGCACATTTTCTCGCTTTCGCTCGTGATGCCCATCAAGCACGCGCAAGAATACCTGCAAGTGCATGCTGTATGCGAAGACCGGATGGTATTCTTTGTACGCCGTCTCCAAGCGCATCTGCAGCTTCATGCTGCCGAGCAGGCGTTGAACGACCTCTCCCCGGTGATGCTTGCGGCACTCGACAACCTCAATCACGCCCGTCAAGCGTGCATCACCGATATCGACATTGCATTTACCGCGTTTGGAGAACACATGCAATCCCGGTTTGATCAAGGGTTTTTGACGAGGTGAGGGTCATTGGACCTGCATGTCTGTCTGCAACGGAAGAACTTTCTCATTTTGATTGCCTGCTACCCCACAGGGTTTTGACATCGCATTTGCAAACCTGCATGTGCTCGGTGGTCGTTGGCTCCGACTTGGATCAAGTGAACGCTGTACGTTGCTTCGCTATGAGCTGCAGTCGTCCAACTGCTTGTCTCGTGGACGCTCACCGTGGCTGGTTTGGACAGATGATTAATACCTTGGCTTTGTTTATGCCTGGCAACGACCGGCAACGATGCCGTTTGTCGACCGATTTGAATGAAAAGTACAACCCAGAACTGATGATTCAAGGATTGTTCTATGTGAGTGTTCCTGGATGTTTGAATCAGTTTTGTTGTCGTTTTCTTTTAGTCTCACATCTCGTTGACTCGTACAGAAGCCTGGGGAAAGCTGGGTTGCACGGGATGAAGAAATCATTCTCAACCGCTTGCCAAGTACCATCATCGATCTCAATACTCAGGAAGTCCACCGCACAAACCTGTTCCATCAATACAAGACTCAGCGAAACGAGTTCCTTGATTCGGAGATTAACCGTTTGAAGGACAAGATCTGGACTCCAACGTAAGCGGGTGACACCAGCGTTGTCTTGTTCAACAGAACTCGATCGAGTCCTCACTTACAGACCCAATTTTCATTTCCACCGACCTCCACAGAGCACTTTTCCGATCAGTCAAAGACGCAGCACCCAGTGTCAAGTCCTTCCTGCATGAGGTGAGTATTTTTACAATCGGATTAGAAGGAGCCAAAAAGGTAGTGATGCTGATTGTACATGTTTTTTCGTTGCTTTTCCCTGGCAGATCTCACGCATTCGGCCAGGATTTCTCCAAGAGGCGTTCGCGCAACAGTTCCAGCGCCTATTGACTCGACGAGCAATGGGCTTGATCAAGTATCTCGAAGCGGAGTTGTACGTTTCACACTGGTTTTTGTGCGGTGCTGCAGCCCCATCATCAATCTCACTGTCTGTTGGGTTGGTCACAGAAACTCTGGAACTCGATTCGATCGCGAGAATTCCATGAAACTCATCAAGTCCGACCTTGGCCTCAACGCAGAGAACGACTTTTTCATTGTTCTCGCCATTGCCGAGCGGTTGCGCGCTGGTACTTTTGTGGATGCCATGGGTGATCCCCGTCTGACAGAAGCCAAGCTGGCGAACCTGTTGAATGATCTGTAGAGAGACATGTATTCATTTTTTCTTTCGTGTATGGCTTTGTTTGTTGGGTTTCAAATGTTATTTCAATCGGAATTAGCTTTAGCACAATTGCCAAAAGTTCGAGCTGTCAGATTCAGCCAAACAAAAGAGTTTAAACGGACGACAGAGGCACCGAGTACTGGCTGGCCCAGTCACGATCAAACCGGCTCTGCACGCTTGACACAAGGCTCTTGGCATCGGTGACAAGCGAGCTTCCCGCCGTGTTGATAAAGTAATCGCCCACATAGTTGCTGGTCGAAATGGCCACCAAAGAGTCCGTCACAATAAACTTGGCGTGGTTGACGCGAGTGAAGGGCACATAGGGGGTATTCTCTGCATCAAACCAACAATTGTGAGCATACAGGGTGAACCGTTCATCAACATGGAATCGAAGAACCTACTCGGAATTTCCATGAGGCGAACTTCGACATTGTCCAGGTCGTTGAGAGACTTCAAGAACGGAATCATGCCTTCAATCGAGTTGTCCCAGTATGCAATCAACATGTTCACCTGAACCTTTTTGCTGATCAAAGCAAGAACAATAACAATAATCGGAATGTGAGTGTCGCGCATCGCTCCTTACATCAAGCCGTCCACCACCACCAGAGGTACGTACTTGAATGCAACGGTGCGAATGGCAGTGTCCAACGCAGGCCAGTACACTTGAGGCTCCTCATAGACGGTAATGGGCAGATAGTCCATGACTTCGATCGACACATTTCTGTGAAAAAACAAAACGACAGAGCAGGTCAACACAAGGCAAAACAATAATCCGGTGAAAAGCGAGAAATGAGGACGTACGTCTGAGCGGACAGGATGGCGAATTCAAGTGCGTCTCGATCAAAGCTGCGGCCAGCAGGGCAGAATGCATGGGGAGAGGACGAAATGAACGCTGAACCAGACTCGTGGTTGACAGCAATCGTAGCGGGGTTGGAGGCATTGAAGTCCGTGTCGAGTCTGCAGGCAACCAGGCGGAACGTTCAGCAAAACAGTCACACGGGAAAGCAAGGATTGGACAACGCAGCACACGACTCGAATGAATTCTACTGAAAATGACTCACTGGGACGGCCAGAATGCGGGCAGACGCTCGAGATTCGACGCCAAAACAAACACGTCAAACACTTTCTTGAGGTCGGAAGCAAGCAGATTGCACTTATCAACAACGATTCCGAGCTCCTTGACCTCGCTCAACGAGCGCCAATCTAAGAAGATTCATGAAACAAAAACGATGAACGAAAAGCCACTCAAAACGAGGTCAGTCAACTCGTTTGAGAAAAAACAAAACAAAACAAAAAAAAACCAAAAAAAAAACCAAGAGCTTGCGTTATGGTTGTCATAAGTCCCTACCCATGTTTGCGCTACCAATGTAAAACGCTTGCCCGTCTGCGATAATGAACTTTGTGTGCAAAACGCCGCCATCTGTGCCACCACCGAATGCGAGAAGGTGAGTCAAAAGAGCAGCTAAAAAAAAAAAAAATAAAAAATGCAACGTTGTTCTGCACAGAAACGCGCACTCACCAAAGAAGGTGGACATGTTGAGGTACGCAACAGAGATTTGACTGCCGCATTGTTGTTGGAGCGTGACAAGATCATCGTCGGGGAACTGGGCGTTCGGAGCGGAAATCGCAACGTTTATGGCAACATTGCGATCGCACGCAGCGACGAGCGCATTGAAGACCTTCTGACCAATGTCAGTGCCATTGAGCAGTGTCATGTAAAAGACAGCGAGGTCGAGTGTCTGCGTTGCGTTATTGATCAACTGCAGCCAAGCTAAAACAACGCCAGCAGAACCAGGAAGTTAGTTGATACATCAATAGCGATCGCACCGCACTAGTCCCTCCGTTTGATGTGGAGGTCAGAGCATTGCTGTCAACTGCTCTGCCACACTATTCTAGACAGAGCGGTCGAAACAAGGAAATGCTCAGACATGTTTGCCGTATTTGGGTTTGAAGGGATTTGCCTTGTTTTTGCAATGGATCGCCCGCTCGACTCGAGCGTATAGGGACTCTTATTGATGGTGTATCGTATGATCTGGAGCGTGCAATGATCATCCGACCTAGAGCCACGAAAACAAACCCTCGAATTGCTTACCATCGCCGGTGGACAAGTCGGTGTGGAGGGTCAGGTTGGACGGAATAGTCTCTGCAATGCGAGCGGTACCGCTGCAGGAGAGCTGATCCGCGTTGTGCTCCTGCTGCTGCTGCTGCTGCTGTTCATGCTGCTGCTGCGTTGCAGAGTCGAGCTTGCTACGGTGTTGGGTCGCAGCCCGCCATGAGGAAGCGAGGCGCTGTTCTGCGTCGGCTGCCGCGTTGCGCCAGTCACCCTGCACCGACGATGATGACGACGACGACGACAAAGACGAGGATGAGGATGGTGACGTGGTGGCATGAGTGGCGGCGGCAGAGCAGCAGGCGACGACGACCAGGAGGCACAGGACAGTCAGGACTTGCGCAACCGCCCCGACACGACCGCGAGCACAAGAGAGCATCATTGCGTAGCAGTAACAACAACGAGCAACAAACAAACAAAAAAAAGAAACGAATGAACGTTTGATCGCAGAGCAACAAGCAAATGAACGAATAAAGTACAAAATGTCAACGCCGCACATTGCAAGAGGTGATCTGATCTGTTCACCATTCTGTAGGTTGGTTACTTTGCGCTCATCCCTTTTCCCCCTCGTCCCCGCTCTTCCCCTAATCCACAGTGGCAGTACCCCAAAATGCAAGACGCCGTGTCGCACAATACAGCTTCAGTGCGAGCTGACGCTTTGGTTCTGCGTCTGTGTCAATTCAACATCGAACAACAAGTGTAGGTCCACTCCTGGTTTTCTCAGACTTTTTGGCTGCTCTCAGCTCAAAACAATGGCCAACCCAGGCCTCACGACTGCGCAGGCAACGCAAGCAGCTGCACGCAAGCCGCGCGTTCGCTCTCCTGCAGCTCGGCGACTTGCCTCTGGAGCAGCAGCAGCAGCAGCAGCAGCAGCAGCAGCAGCAGCAGCAGTCGGAGGAGCAGGTGTGACTGAGGATCAGCAGGACGACGACATGAATCACAATGACGATGACGAGAATATCAATGATGATGATGATGTTGATGATGACGACGACGACGGCGATGATGATCTCGGCGACGAAGATGATGATGATGATGATGATGATGATACAGACGGCGACGATGATGGAGGAGCGGCTGCTGAGCTCGACTGGTCACCGTCCAAAGACCTCGGCCTCGCACCCACCGCGCGCAACCCGCGATCCAACGTCACGTCAGCGTCAACGCTCGCAGCTTCCCATCGAACGAAGGCAGAAGCAGCGGCAGGCCCAGGCGCAGGCGCAGGCACAGGGTCGTACGGTCGCTTCTCAATCGCGTCCTCCTCTTCCTCATCCACAGCCCGACCTGCACCGGGCGCTGGGCTTCTGACGATGGGCGCCCGTCCGTCTCCTGCGCTGCATGCATTGCCAGCCAATGTCGCCGCACTGGCTCCAGGGCTGCCGGAAGGCGCCGTCTTTGCAGATTGGGTCGTTCCTGGCTTGGGTCCCGCTGCAGTGCTCTCGTCCACTGCTGCTGCTGCGGCGTCCGCTCGACCATCCTCCAGGTAACAGCTCGAAAAGAGCTTCATCCGACAATTGCAAGACACCACGTGTTTGGATTTTTTTTTTCAATGGTCCTTGTTGAGTTTGTTGCAATTTTATGGGCGTTTGCACTCACTTTTTGTGCTCCGATCCCATCCCTTCCTTGTCAACAGTCGATCGAAACGAAACAATAACGCAGGCGCCTCGAGGTTGGTGTGCAGCTTGCTCCGAAACTTTGGCTTGTTGAATTGACCAACAAGACTTCTCACACCTCTGCTTTCTGTCGTTGCGTTGGCAAACATAGTTCTTCATCGGTCTTGAAACAGCCCTCCCAGCTAATTGGCGAGTTGCAACTGCCGCAGCAGCAGCAGCAGCAGCAGCAGCAGCAGCAGCAGCAGCAGCAGCAGCAGCAAGCAAGCTCTGAACCAGCCACCGACGACGTAGCTGAACTCATTCCTTCAGCACTGAACAAACTGGCCGCCATGCTGTCTGTTGACAATGTCGTGCAGAGCACGAGACAGCAAATCACCAACGTTCTGTCTCCATTTTTTACTGGTCTGTCATGGCGTTTCTCTAGCTGTCATATGAATAAGCTCAATTGCTCTGGTTACATTCCACGTCCATTGTCGCAGAGTCACCAACCTACCTCCCGGCACGGATTGCTCGGACGAGGACGGCGAATATGTGTCGGCAGATGAGCAATTTTCTGCTGCCACTTTGGCCCGCGGTCAGGTGCGCGAGTCGCTTCGATCTGCACTCATGCGATCTGCCTTTGTCAACTCGGAGGAGATTTGCGAGTTAAGCGACAGCAGCGAAGACGAGGCAACTGTGCTGCTTGGCGCTCCCACAAGCGTGTCACGTCCTCTCCCGATGCAACTTGCTGTTGGTGGCCAAACATTCCGCACTCGTCGGATGCGCACTGTGGACGACGCTCTGCGTGCACTCCACCCGACAGCGTTCGACACCGAGTCTGACTCGGACAGCGCCGAAGAAGCAGCAGAAGACCTGCAACCGACAGCGGAAGAATACCGTATTATGCTGCGGCTGCACAAGATGCAAAAGCGCATGTCGCGCAACGCTCTCCGAAACCCACGCTCGTACGCCCCCGTGCACCAGTACTCTAGTCTGTTTCTTCGCGGCTCGGCTGGCGCCATCGACGACCCGCGTCTCTCCAACAAGCTCAAGTTGGAGCGCGACATGCTCGACAGTGAAATCCGCCACCGAGAGGAAGCGCAGCGTCGCAAGGATGCAATCGTCCGCCGCCAGCGCGACGCTGAAGAGCTCAAGCAACGCCGAGTGCAGGAGCAGGAGCAAATTCGGCTTGCCATTCATCAGCGCGTTGCGAATCGGTTTCAACGCGCTACTGTCGCCACAGCTGCCTCCACCGCGTCGTCGTCGACTGGACAGCACGAGCTACCTGCCTTTCTCGAAGGGTCTGACGACACTGAGCTCGTTACTCGGCGTCACATTTGGATGTCCATCGCCTTAAATCAGGTCGTCCCCGCCCATGCCTTGCGCGCCAGTGCAGTGCAGGCGAGCCGCAGTCTTGCCCAAGCCACTGCGCGGATGGTTACGAGTCGCATGCAGCAAGAGAATGCTCGGGCTCAGCGCCAGTTCAAAGATTCCAAACTGCGCGCCCGCCGACTCAATCGCGAGGTGAGTGGTTTGTGACATCAAAGTGTTGCAGAGAGGTATGCAGTGTCTTTTTGGTTTTTGAGACTCACCATTCCGATTTTACTCGCGAGCGCAGATGTTTTCGTTTTGGAAGAAAAACGAGAAGGACGAACGCGAGTCTCGTCGGCGGGCTGAGCGCGAAGAGATTGACAAGCGCAAGATGGAGATGGAAATGCGCGAGCAAGAGCGCCAGAAGCGCAAGCTCAATTTCCTGTTGACACAAACGGAGCTTTATGCGCATTTCATGAGCAGAAAACTACAAAGTGAGCCTTTTCGTGTTTTTTTTTTTCGGTGACAATGTTGGTAGGTCGCTTTCCCGTGCTTGAACCTGGTGCTTACTATTTCCTTTTGCTCTTGCCCCGACTCTAGCCAACTCGACGTCAGAAGATGAGATTCTCTCGAGATTGAACGCGCCCACTGATCTTGACTCGAAAAACCCAGGTACCTTTCGTTCGTTGCTGCTTTTTCTGCCCGTGTTACTGATTTCACTCACTTCATTGTTATTTATTTGGCATAGATGGAGATGTCAATGCTCTTCGAGCTCAGGCGCGGCAACACGCTGAAAATGCCTATCAAAGCTCTCGAACAGCGACCGAGCAATTCGACACAGAGTCTCAGCGCCTGCGCCAAGAGGCTAGCGAAGGTAACAGACCGTTTCTTCTGGTCCGAGAACCAGCAACACGCACGTTTGACTTTGCCTTTGCCTTACCTACAATCCCTTCCCGAACAGACGACGAATTGAGCTTGGCAAATCCTCGCATCGCGGATTCGTCCCTGCTCTCAGCTCCTTCCATCCTTGTGGGAACCCTCAAGTCGTACCAACTCAAGGGCATGAGCTGGTTGGCATCACTCTACGACCAAGGCATCAATGGCATCCTTGCCGACGAAATGGGCTTGGGCAAGACCATTCAAACCATTGCGCTCCTCGCTCATATTGCCGAGGTGCGAGTCTTGCCTTTGCGACTGTCAGAACATGCTTTTTGAGATTGATTGGCCGTCTGCTCACCTGTGTTGAGCAGAAGCACAACACTTGGGGCCCGTTTTTGATTGTCACTCCTGCGTCAACGTTGCACAATTGGCAGCAAGAAATTGAGAGGTTTGTACCCAGCTTCAAGGTATTGACGAGATCTGGCTGGCATGGTCGTGTTGATTGGTTTTCGCTTGACAATGCAACTGACACATGTGTTCGTTCTCTTTCAGGTGTTGCCTTACTGGGGTCACGCCAACGACCGCAAGGTCCTTCGAAAATACTTTAACAACAAGCTCTTGTACACCAAAGACGCTGCGTTCCATGTTCTCGTGACAAGCTATCAAATGGTGAGGGGATTGCTCTGAACAGCGACACTTGGTTGCTGTTTTTCGCCTAAGCTCACTGCATCGGCATTTTTAAAGATTGTGTTTGATGACAAGTACTTCCAGAGGGTCAAGTGGCAGTATATGGTTTTAGACGAAGCTCAGGCCATCAAGAGTAGCGCCAGGTAACAGTCATTTTGGTCGAAACGCGAACGCCCCGTTTTCTTCTGTTGAAATCTCACTCCACATCACCTTTGACTCTTGGCTCAATCATCGTTCCATACAGCGTGCGGTGGAACACCCTCCTCAAATTCAACTGCCGCAATCGGCTTTTGCTGACCGGCACTCCAATTCAGAACAGCATGACCGAGTTGTGGGCTTTGTTGCACTTCATCATGCCCTCCGTGTTTGACTCACACCAAGAGTTCTCAGAGTGGTTTGCCAAAGACATTGAGAGCCATGCCGAGAACAAATCTGGCCTTGACAAAAGTACAGACCGCATTGAGATTGAGCGAAGAAATGGATGTTTCTCTTTTTTTTTTTTTTTTTGTTAAATTTTGCTGGATTTTGCTGGATTTTGCCTCTGATCTCCTGGTTTGCCTCTGCTTTCTTCAGCTCAATTGTCGCGATTGCACATGATTCTCAAGCCGTTTATGCTGCGTCGCGTGAAGAAGGACGTCGAGAATGAGCTCGGTGAAAAGGTGCGACGAGTTGCAAAATTCACGAAACTGCTCAAACTTGTGCTAACACTTCCGCGTGTACATCCTGGGGTGTATCCGCCCCCCCCGCCTCCCTTTTCTTATAAATCATCAGATTGAGCTTCTTGTGCCGTGCTACTTGACTTCGCGTCAGCGACAACTCTATCAGGGATTGCAGTCCAGACTGACGGTCGACGAGCTGCTTTCCACCTCCGCGCCTGGCGGCTCGAGCTCATCACAGCGTGCCCCCGATCAACAACATCTAATGAACATGATTATGCAGTTCAGAAAGGTTTGCAACCATCCCGAGCTGTTTGAGCGTCGCCGTCCACGCTCCCCTTTCCAGTTCCAAGCGCCTTTGTTTTCGGTGTCGCAAGTGGATGACGGCACGCCACGCACCTTCAAGTACGGCGAAGCGCCCGCCGTCGATGTTGGCGACGTCAATCGCAACGCAATCTCCTTCTCCATTCCAAAGCTCGTGTATCGTGAATGTAAGCTGAGTCGTGGGTGTGTGTGGTTGGGTTTGGTGCTTTTCGCGACGTTTCGCTGACTCTTTTCTGTCCCTTCGATGTCCTTTTCCAGCATTGCTACTACCATCCAACGAGCACTTGCGGACTTGTGCGCTCCGATTCAACATTTTCCATCCGACCAATGTGCATGCGTGCATGCTTGGTGTCAATGACCAACGAATCGACCGTGACGTGCACAACAAGCCCACGAGTCCACGACGCTGGGTGCGCACGCACTCGACATCTCGATCGGGATTCTCTTTTGTGCGTTTGATGCGCGTGTCGCATTCAGACCTGCTGATCGGACTGGGCCCTGCGGAGGTGTTCTTGTGCGATGCGCTTCGCCAGCAATCTCGACGTGAAGTCTACGACCCCGAAGTTACTTTTTCCAACAGGTACGGGCTTGTTTGGGCTGAAATCATCGCGATCGTTGGAAAGAGTGCTCATCGATTCTTCCCCTTCTTCTAATTTTCATCCCACAGCATTGAGCTCGTACCAGTCGCAACACGGCTCCTGCATTGCCGCGGTGATCAAGCCGCACAGCTGCAGCTTCCCCTTCTTGTGTTCTCAACAGAGTACAAGAACTTGCTCTCCATGGGGCATTTCGGATCGGATTTGCAGTTCTGGATGGCTCCGGCTGTGGCACGTCCTGTCGAGTTTTTGTGCTCGGACGCGTCCTTTGTGCGCGATCGCAACGAGATCTTGCGTTCTCCGGGCGTGCATCGCCTCCTTTTCGGACCCACTGGCGTTCGTTCAATGAATGAAGCTCGCAATCGACTCGACCCAAGCGGACCAGTTCTGATTGGCCTGCCTCGTCTGCCCGTGGAACGAAATTTCGCCAGCCGTCCACTTGTGGATGGGGGCATGATTGACCGCTGCTTGTTCCAGCTCCGGGATCCTGTATCGTCCGAGTTGCAACTTGCTCGCTTGGGTTTGGTTAACAACTCGGTTCCCAGACCGGTGTTTTCGCACGTGTCCATTCCAGGTGTGTTTTTCTTGCAGGCATCATCGTTTGGTTGGTGTTGCGCCTTAACAGTGCGTTGGTGTGAGCTGACTTTTTTGTAACTCTGTGGCCGTGATAGACCGAAGCCGCCTCATTACCGACTCGATCAAGATGGTCGTGCTGGACAAGTTGCTGACCAAGCTCAAGGCAGAGGGCCACCGCGTCCTCATCTACTCACAAATGACCAAGATGATTGATCTTCTCGAAGAGTTTATGAACTTTCGGTTGCATCGCTATGTGCGCCTGGATGGCCAGACGACGATTGAGACGCGCAACAACATGGTGTCGAACTTTCAGACGCGCAGCGACATTTTCGTCTTCCTGTTGTCGACACGCGCCGGCGGCGTTGGTATCAATCTGACCGCCGCCGACACTGTCATTTTCTACGACAGCGACTGGAACCCAACTGTTGATCAGCAGGCCATGGACCGCTCGCATCGGTTGGGCCAAACTCGCCAAGTCACTGTCTACCGGCTGATTGCCAAAGGCACAGTCGAGGAGCGCATTCTTGCCCGAGCGAGGCAGAAGAGCGAGGTGAGTTGTTGAGCCGAGAGCCGTAGTCGGCATGTGACGCAAATGTCTCAACTTTTGGGTGATCAATTTTTTTTTGGTTCTCAGATTCATAAAATGGTCATCGCTGGCGGACACTTCCGGTCTGAGCCGAAAGCCAACGATGTCGTTTCAATTCTTTTGGGCGACGAACAAGACAACCAACAGCTGGTCACTGACGCGGTGGAGGGCGATTTGCTCGAAGGTGCGATTCAGCTCGATGCTTTGCCGGAGGCGCCAGACACGTCGGCCGAATCGCTGGCTGCCATGAACGGAGCTTGGAACGACGAGGGTGCTGCCGAGGGGTTGGAGCAGCTTGCCAATCCTTCGAAAAAGACACGGCGTCCTCGCAAACCACGCGCACCAGCTGGCGCGGCGGGCGCACCGCGGTCTCGGCAGAAACGTCGCCACAAGGATGACGATGGATCTGGGGAAGAGGTTGTTCTGCAGCCGTCGAAACGCAGTCGCCGTGCTGGTCCTTCCGCTGCGTCGTCCAACAGCGCTTCCATCATTCCGCCACTCACCATGCAAGGCGATGTCTTGGACGACAATGACGATGTTGACATTACCGGCTTTTAAAGTATCAAGCGTTTTTTTTCTTTTTGTTGTAATCGTCCATGCCTGTAACATTAGGATTCAATTTTTATTTCACAACGAAGCAAAGCCTAGGAACGAAAAGCGTTGGTTTTATTTCACACTCAAAACAAACGAAAGGGCAGACTCTCAAAGCTTGGCAGTGGTCATGAGGGTCTCGAGCCTGATGGCCTTGGTCATGTCACCCTTGATCTTGAGCTTGCCGGCAAAGAAGGCGGCAGTGGGCTTGATCTCGCGAGCGAACAGCTTGACCAGGGTATCCTCGGACAGGATCATGGTGACGTCGGGATTGGCAATCTCGCCCTTGTCGGACGCGCCAGAGCCGGTCTTGAGGTCGATGTAGTACAAGCCAGTGGAGCCGTCGTTCTGGGCAACTTGGAATTGGAACGTGGCCTTGGTCTTTTCAACAATGGCGGAAGAGAGGGCGGGGCGCACGCCGACAAAGATCTTGTCCAGCTTGGAAGCGGGAGCAGCAGCAGCAGCAGCCGGGGCAGCAGCAGTGGCGGCAGCCTTTTCCGAATGCAGCGATGCGCGAGCGTTCGCCTCAATGGAGGGAGTACGACCGCCAATCTGGCTGAGAGACTCGTGAGCGGCAGCGTTGTCGTGGTCCTCGAGGAAGAAATCGGGCATCAGCTTGGAGCCAGGGACGCACGCGTACTGGTCAAAGTTCTTGATGCCGGCACGCTGGAGGACAGCCTCGTCAATGTAAAAGTTGCCCGTGTTGCTGGCCTGGCGGCTGTTCTGGGTGAGGATGACGTACGCGGCGTCCGACATGATGTGCGTGTTGCGGCACACCTTGTCGGCCTCGCCACCGGCGAGCATGTCCATGGCAGCGGTCGAGATGGCTGCGAGCGCCAGAAGAGTAGAGTTGAGATGAGCATTTCCAAATTTCAACCTTTTTTTTTTTTTTTTTGCACGAATCAGCAAATACCCACCAGTTTGCGGCCAAAGAGCATTGACAGCAATGCCGTCGTCGTGGAACTCCTCAGACATGCCCAAAACGCACATCGACATGCCGTACTTGGCCATGGTGTATGCGACGTGGTTCTTGAACCACTTGGGGCGCATGTTCAGCGGCGGCGAAATGTTCAAAATGTGCGGGTTTTTGCTCTTCTTGAGGTAAGGCAAGCAGGCTTGCGAGCTGCAGAAAGTGGCACATGCGAGTTAAAGCACGGAAAAAAAACAAACAAACAAACACAAGCAATCTAAAAATTGTAGTGCATGCTTACGCCGAGTAGGTACCGCGAGCGTTGACGCCGTTCATCAAGTCAAACCTAGCAAAATAACGGAGCGCGCGTCAGCACCAAATTACCACATCCACGATACCAATCAAAAAAGTACACAAAACAAAACAGTACGCACTTTTTCAGGGGCGTCTCGGCGGTGCCAGTCAGGCTGATGGCGGAGGCGTTGTTGACGAGAATGTCAATGCCGCCAAACTTGGCCACCGCTTGCTTGACCGCCTCGTTGAGCTGGTCGTCGTTGCGAAGGTCGACCGCACAGGGCAGAGCCTGACCGCCGGCGGCAACAATCTCCTCTGCCGCCGTGTAAATGGTGCCGGGGAGCTTGGGATGCGGGACGGTGGTCTTGGCTGTCAATGCATCAATGGAAGCAAGAAGCAAGGGTTTACCAAGTCAATGATTGTGTGCACTATTGTTGCAAGGTTGTTGCTATTCTTGCTTACCAGCAATGACAATGTTGGCACCATCGCGCGCCGCTCTGTTTCACAAAAGACAGAGAGAGAGAGAGAGAGAGTTGAGTGTTTTTTTTTGCGCTTGAATCCAACAACCCAGTAGTGCCAAGATGATCCCAATTGGCAATGTCATCGACTTTTTTTTTTTTCTCTTTGCTCTTTTATTTCACCCCAATTCCAATTCAGGCTTATTCAGCCGTGCTCAGCCGCCAAATAGCACGTGAAGCGCCATCCCGTGTCAATTCTCAACGGGGATTGCTCACTCACTCGCTCACTCACTCACTCACTCACTCACTTAGAACCCCCCAACCCCCTCCTCAAAAACAAGCAGCAACTTTCTCAATAGCAAAACCATGTCAAAATGTCCAGAGGGGGAACGCACTTGAGAGCAATGGCCTTGCCGATGCCGCGACTGGCGCCAGTGATGAAGATGGTGACGCCCTTGAGCGCTCTGCCAGAAAGCGATTCAAACAGGGTCAAACGTTTAGTACGCATTCCATCCGTTGATATCGACAGTGAGTAAGAGTGAGTGAGTGAGTGAGTGAGTGAGTGAGTGAGTAAGAGTTGGAGATCCCAGCCAATTTGGATCTCCCTCCGCTTCTGCTCTCTGCTGCTTTGCTTGACTGCGCAACCCCCCCACACACACACACACACACTGCGACACACACATCTACGCAGACTCTGATGACGCTGTGTGTGGTTTATGACGCTGTGTGTGGTTTTGTTGAATAGGACGAGCTGATGATGACGGACCCGATTTCCGCCTCCGACAATCTCAACTCACTCAACTCACTCTCAACTCACTCAACTCACTCTCAACTCACTCACTCTCAACTCATGCTGCTATGTTGTTGCTACAGACAAACGTCAATCTGAAACAACAACGACTACAAACGCGTCGTCGATCTGCTGATACGCAACAAACGACACTGTGGCTTCGGATTGGGATTGATTGTCGTTACCCGGTGTTGGCGATGGCAGACATTTTTCAGGTGATCTTAGATGTGGGATCCAATAAAAAAGAACGAGTGGAGACAACGAAGAAAATGCAAGTCAACATCAGAGAGAAATACGCAGTGATGGAAATGACAATGGAAATTGAAAGGAAAGGAAAGAAACCAAAGCTCTAAGACGAAGCCATGCTGACGAGCTCGGCGGGACGCACTGCACTTTGATTTGACTGTGCATTGTCATTCTGTTTTCCTTGTAATACACACACACTCTTCTTTGAATTTTCCAATACAATGGTGAAGGCGGCTGCAACACCCAGCAAGTCGCCCGCTCCAGCCAAGAAGGCGTCCACGCCAGCTGCTCAAGCTCAAGCTGCAGCGTCCAGCACGCCCGGCCGTGGCCATCGCCGCTCCCACTCCCAGTCGGACATGGCTGCCTCGCCTACTGCGACTCTGACCCCCAACGCTGCTTCTGCTGCTGCTGCTTCTGCTGCTCGCAAGCGCATTCGTGTGAGTGATTCACTTGCGTTCCTCGTGGCGGCAGTAGCACCATTGCCCTCCCTCCTCCCATGGCCCCCCCCTTTGTCCCCCGTCGGGTTCCAGTCTCCGTGTTGTGGATCGAACGAACAGTGTCAGGATCTGATGGTTGATGACTGCACCGTGGGATTTTGGAGAGAGTCGAACATCTCCCCCTCAATGCGCTTCTCTCCATGTGGAGTCGCTCAACCAAGCCAACCAAGCCAACCCTCACCGTCTCCCACTCGCCGTGACTCGACTCTCTATTGCTGCAACCACTGCTCCATTTTGACCTGTTGCCGGACTGACAAAAAGTCGGAGAGACTCCATGCTGGAAAACTCAATGCGCTTTTGCTTTTTACCATGTGTGAAACACAGATTGAATCCACTGAAACACCGACCAAGTCGACCAAGTCACCTCAGAACACGGCAAAGAACGCAGTGGCAAAGGCATTGCCGAAACGCATGGTTCAAGCCGACGAAAACGAAGACGACGACGATGAAGAGGACGATGACACTGATCTCATGGCACTGGCTGCTGACGACGACGACGACGACGACGACGATGAAGCGGAAGCCGATGATGACAATGACGATGATGATGATGGTGATGCGCTCGACGAGGCCAGCACGGACATGGACGTTTCCGATGCCAATCTTGATGCAGACCTCACCGATCCTCGCTTTGTTGCACGTCGCCGCGCACCTCTTCCCACCGCCGATGAAATGCGGCAACTACGCGAGTCCCAAAGCCTGTACAAAGGCAACCTTTTCCGCATGCAGGTATAGTGCGCACTCAAACCATGTTGTCCACGTTTGGGCTTCATGGCTAACTTGCTGCTCCATCGTAGATCGAAGAACTCCTCACCCAAGTCAAACTCAATTACTCCAAGCACAAGACACTTGAGGCTGCTCTCTTGTCTCTCAAGCAGCAAATCGAGTCGATGCCGAGCGACAAGAGCGAGCGTGAGGTGAGGACCTTGACTTTATGCGTCGTAGCTGTTGTTTTTTCTTTGGTTGCCGTTGGGGTTTTTTTTTTTGGGGGGGGGGGTTTGGGCTCGCCGAGTCTGACAAACGCGTCGATTATTCTGTCTCTCCGCTTTAGGTCTCTGCTGCCGATTTTGCAAAGCTTGGTGTTGTTCCGCCGCTCTACGCGACCGCCGCTTCGTCCATCAAGTTCCAGTTCCAGACTCCTTCTTCGTTTGCGCTCGTCGGCAGTTACAACCTTCGCGTCCTCACGAAGCCGAATATGACTGTTGACGTTGCTGTGGAGATGCCTGCTGTACGTCATTGGATTTGCTTCACGGTTTGCGAAAGCCTCCATACACTCTGCTCACCGTTACAATTTTCGATGTTCGCTTGCAGGGCATGTTCCAAGCAAAGGACAACATCAACTATCGCTACCACCACAAGCGCGCGCTCTTCCTTGCGCGTATTGCCGCACGCTTGAAGGCCACCGCCGAATTTGCTAACGTGCACTTTGCGCTTGCATTCGACTCGGACCTTTCGCGCCCCATTCTCTCCGTCCGACCGCAATGTGAGTGGGTGTCTAGTGTATGACATTGATAGTCCTGAGGATGCCCCCCCCTTTTTTAACGTTTTCGCTCTTGATGGTAAATCCTTCATTTGCGTCAACAGATGCCGGCACCAACCAACAATCCCAGTTCACCATCCGCATCTTCCCGGCTGTTTCGGCTGCCGTGTTCAAGCTCTCCAAGCTTACCCCCGAGCGAAACAACGCTCGAGCCTTCAAGATCTTTGGAGACGACGCCACGGCAGGCGGCGCCGATGCCGATGATGGTAAATGCAAAGTTCTGACGAAGTTTTCATGTTGTGTGCAATGGCTTCTAACTCTCTTGTTTTGCCTTGATAGCCAACGCCGGCGTGCCGACCCCTCTTTACAACTCGACCATCTTGATGGACATGATGTTCTCCGCGCACCTCGCCGAGATCCACGCCGTGCTCTCTCAAAGCACCAGCGGTGCACTCTCAAACGGTCTCGTGCTGTTCAAGGTCTGGCTCCGTGTCGCGCACCTCGACAAGCACTTTTCCGGTCTGCAAGCTGCCTTCCTGCTCTGTTACTTGTACAGCGGCAAGCGCGTGACCAAGTTCATGACGGCCATTCAAGTCTTCCGGGTGATGCTTGAGTTTATTGGTAAGAGTTTGGGCGGCAGAAGACAGTGAGACGAGAGCATGAGAGAAGAGTTTTTTTGATTGAAAACTGATGTTCACTGTGTTGGGTGGCAGCTCAAACCGACTTGACCGAGACTCCTCTTGCCATGCCTTCAAACGTCGATTCCAAGGTATGTCTGCATGCGTCTATGAAATTTGTCGATCCACGACTCGCCAACACAAACAAAGCAACTCACCTTCCGCTTCTCTCTGGACCTCAACAGCCCGATCTAGCCCTGTTCCAACAAGTATTCCCTATCACGCTCGTGGACGCTTCCGGCTTCCTGAACGTGTTCTACTCGATTTCTCGAAGCCAGTACGATGAGATTCGCCACCAGGCACGAATTGCTGCTTCGTCGTTCGATGCGGTTGGTTGCGACCCGTATGAAATTCTGTTCCAAGTGCGAGCACAGCCCGAGATTAAGTTTGACCATACGTTCGTGTAAGTTGAGACAGAACAAGCTTGCATTCGTAAAGTGCGGATGGTTGCTCATGTTGCCTGATTCTGACGTACCAACAGCATCCACCCGCTGCCCGGCGCTGCTGTTACGCTTGCGTCTTCAACCCGTGAGGTGGTGCAAGACGCCTTCCTGCAGGCAAACGGCAACTATGCGCAGCACATCGCCAAAACGCTTCATAGCCTGCTTGTTCGCGGCCTGAGCGACCGCGTCCAGCTTGTGACTGTGACTCCAGTGTTGATTTCCGCCGATGCGACCCAGTCCGATCTGCAGTCAACAGAGTGGGGCTGCAATGAAGCTGGCCCGGCTGCCGTTCACCTCGGCGCTTGGGACATGGCGCCATTCGGAAGCCGCAAGCCCAGCAAGGCCAATGCGTCGTCCTCGGCGTCGTCATCCAAGGGACCGAGCTTTGCGCTGCGAGTAGGCATTGTTGCCCACAGCGAGCAATCGCTTCGTGTGGTGGATATGGGCCCGAGTGCCGACGACGCCGAGGCGGCCGGAGCCTTCCGTGCCCTGTGGCGCGAAAAGGCCGAGCTGCGCCGCTTCAAAGACGGCCGCGTCTGCGAAGCCGTCGTCTGGCAAAGCTATCCCGTGTCGCAGCGTCACTTGCTAGTCCGCGATATTGTTCTGCATCTCGCGGCGGTGCATCTTTCACTCCAAGGCCCGCAGACATCCGCGCCCAACGTGCACATCCACCACACTGCCAATCAGCTTGACCATTTGCTTGCTCCGATGCGATGGGCTCTCGGGGCGCATCGTGTTCACAACTCGCTCACCCAGGAGCGCGACGCTGCCACCAAGTCCGCCGCTGCTGGTGACAGCCGCACTCTGCTCACATCGTCCGCGTGCGAGGACGAGGCGCTGTCGCGCACCCGCG